CATCTGGGGAAACCCTTTTGGGAGCAAACATGCCCATCTGGGCGGAGTTTTACATTTTAAAGGAAATGTCCGGGTTTTTTGGGCTCAGGCGGCTCGGGCTCGGGCTGCTCCGCGTGCCACAGCTGCTGCCAGCCTGAGTTGGGGAAAGAGGTGCATGTGGCTGCTGCCACCGTGCCCATGCACCTCTTTTCCCAGCTCAGGGTGGCAGCGGCTCGGGCTGTTCACTTTTTTCCTCTTCAAAAATAGGGCAACCCTAGCCACAGAGTAATGAGGTGGCATGAGAGGGCTGATGTTTTGTCAGTTGTCCTCATTTGTAAAATGGGCCTAATTGTACCTGTCTACCTTACATAGGATGCGGGTGGCGCTGTGGGCTAAACCAGAGAGCCTAGGACTTGCCGATCAGAAGGTCGGCAGTTCGAATCCCCGCGACGGGGTGAGCTCCCGTTGCTTGGTCCCAGCTCCTGCCAACCTAGCAGTTTGAAAGCACGTCAAAGTGCAAGTAGATAAATAGGTACCGCTCCGGCGGGAAGGTAAACGGCGTTTCTGTGCGCTGCTCTGGTTCGCCAGAAGCGGCTTAGTCATGCTGGCCACATGACCTGGAAGCTGTATGCCGGCTCCCTTGGCCAATAAAGCGAGATGAGCGCCACAACCCCAGAGTCGGTCACGACTGAACCTAATGGACAGGGGTCCCTTTACCTTTACCTTTACCTTACATAGTTGTTGTACCGATTTCTCAAAGTACATATGTGAAGTGTTTTGAGCGCAGAGCACTCAAATGAATGTTACGTATCATTATTAATCGTGGAACAGCGCTTAGCATTGAAAACGCTTCATCAGATTACAGTGGTACCTCGCAAGACGAATGCCTCGCTAGACGAAAAACGCGCAAGAAGAAAGAGTTTTCCGTTTTTTGAGTCGTTCCGCAAGACGGATTTCCCTATGGGCTTGCTTCGCAAGACGAAACGTCTTGCGAGTTCTTGAGAGTTTGTTTCCTTTTTCTTAAAGCCGCTAAGCCGTTAATAGCCGCTAAGCCGCTAATAGCCGTGCTTCGCAAGACGAAAAAAACCGCAAGACGAAGAGACTCGCGGAACGGATTAATTTCGTCTTGCGAGGCACCACTGTATTGGCTGATTATTATAAAATGTTGCTGGGTGGAATTCCTCCCTCACTTTCAGGGTTTCAGCTATGGCTTCTGCCAGAATAGTTCATTTCATTACTCCCCTGGCTTGTTTTTCTGTTCCCCCAAACCATTTCGTGCTATTGATCATGCTGAGTCCTTGTTGGACTTTTTTGGAAGTCCTGCCACCCTTTTGGGGGGTTTTTTTAAGGGATGTGTGTGTATCTGTAAACCTCGGTGTTCCCCCATCTCTCCCTCTGTTTTGGCTGCATTAGGATAGGCATTTGGAGAATGTGTTTACATGAATATTATGTAGATTTGCACCTCACTGTTCTTCCAAAGAGTGCGGGACAGTTTTTCGCTTCGCAACAACACTCTGAGTTCCACTGATTCATCTGAGGTGGCAAGCACCTCGTGTCCAAAATCTCCCAGTGAGCTTCGTTTTGGATGCCCCCAACTTCCATAATCATGACTACTGGTCATGCAGGCTGCTCTGTTCTGCCGCATTGCACGCTGCTCCCCCGACCTCAGCCCCCAGAACAGGCTGCTATCCGCCAGCCTTGCGAGCCCGGGGGGAGTTCCCCCGGGCGCGCAAGGCTTGCGGACACCTGCCCGAAGCACGGGGCGTCCTCCGGAGGGCGCCCCGTGCTCCGGGCTGCAGGCTGCTGCCTGCAAGCCTTGCGAGCCTGCGGGAACTCCCTCCGGGCGTGCAAGATTTGCGGATAGCTTCCTGAAGCCTGGAGAGCGAGAGGGATCAGTGCGCACTGACGCCTCTCGCTCTCCAGGCTTCAGCGAAAGCCTGCATTCGCCCCATAGAACGCACACACATTTCCCCTTCGTTTTTGGAGGGGGAAAAGTGTGTCCTATGGGGCGAAAAATACGGTATCTACTTGCACTTTGATGTGCTTTTGAACTGCTAGATTGGCAGGAGCAGGGACTGAGCAACGGGAGCTCACCCTGTCGCGGGAATTCAAACCGCCAACCTTCTGATCGGCAAGTCCTAGGTTTAACCCACAGCGCCACTTAGGTAAGCTGATACCTGGCATAGATAACTTCTCAGGTAAAACATGCAATCGCGCAAATACGCCCGGTACCCAGGGCTGCATGCTGGGCATATTTGCACGATCAGCGGGGGGATTTTTGTGACAACGATCGCGCCAGTTGCGAAAATCCACCCACTTGGGGTGCCAGCACCATGTTGATCTGCCCTGGGGCATTTTGTCACCCCCCTAGGCATGACACCCGGGGTGGACCACCCCCCGTACCCCCCTTGCGATGCCCCTGTGAAGGGAATCCATTCCGGAAGTCCATTTGACTTCCAAAACATTCGGAAGCTCCTGCAGCCAATCAGAAGCCATGGAACCAGCGTCGGATGTTTGGGTTCCAAAGAATGTTCACAAACCAGAACACTCACTTCTGGGTTAGTGGCGTTTGGGAGCCACAGCATTCAACTCGCAAGGCATTCGGGATCCAAGGTACGACTGTACACATATAGATATATATATTAAAAAACCTCCATCATACCTCCGCCCCAGATTTCAGGTGTCTTTGTGTTGGCTCCTGACTTCCTCTCTGACATTGCAAGGGGTTCTATAGTGCACTGCTCTGGTTGCACGATGCAGGTGGGAGTGGTACTCCACTTGGCAGACATGGCCCTGAATATTTCCTCCTCCACAATTGTCTCTGTCAGCAGATGAGCTCGGCTGGAAGATGGCAGCGTGATGCAGCTGTCCAATTTAATTCAGGGATGTGCACTTACCTCTGGGATGGTTTGGATCAGCATCCAATGCTTCCTGGTGAGCTTCCGAGGCTTCTGGCCCCTGCAGTCTAAATCCCTCCTCCAGCCTGGCCTGCTTCCCTCTGCATTGCAAATGGGTGTCACTAGGTTGGGACACTGAGAAGCATCTCCTGTACGGTCAGGAGGATGCTTAGATGTAAGGGGTTTTTTGCAGTTCCATTCTGGGATCACCGTTCGAAGTTGGGAAAGCAAAACATCGTAAATGGGTGCCACTTCTGATATCCCAATGGCAATCGTGCAAATACCACATAAAAACAACAACTAAACTAAACTAAATCCCATTAAGCAATTTTGCTCCGGTGAAATGGAGGAATCTGTAGTTACCTAGCAGGTTTTGGTCTGCAGCAATAGAATAAGTTCATCACTTTGGGTGGTGTTCAACTAAGTTTAACTCATAGTGGACCCACTGAAAATAATAGACTTAACTTAAAAGGTAAAGGTAAAGGACCCCTGACAGTTAAGTCCAGTCGCGAATGACTCTGGGGCTGTGGTGCTCATCTTGCTTTACTGGCCGAGGGAGCTGGCGTTTGTCCGCAGACAGTTTTTCCAAGGTCATGACTAAGCAGCTTATGGCAAAACCAGAGCAGCGCACAGAGCGCTACCTATTTATCTACTCGTGTTGGTGTGCTTTCAAACTGCTAGGTGGGCAGGAGCTGGGACTGAGCAACGGGAGCTCACCCCGTCGCTGGGATTCGAACCACCAACCTTCCGATTGGCAAGCCCAAGAGTCTCAGTGGTTTAGACCACAGCGCCCCCCGCGTCCCTTAGACTTAGCTTAGTCATGTTCATTAATTTTAATTGGTCTTCTCTGTGTAAAACTACCTTGGATACCACCCTTCCCTTGCCCCCATTAGGAAAAGCCCCAGACCATCCTTTAGTCCCAGGAGGTTACAGTGGCAGTCGGGGGCGGGGGATGGGGGAGAGACATTTGCAATGGGAGTTTGGGCTTCTGTGTGTGTGCCAAGAACATAAAATTTGACCAAAGGTCCCTTCTGGAAAGGAAAGGGCTTTTTAAACCTCATGGTATGCACCCTACCATGCCCCCAATAGAAGATACTAATAGCTGTTAGCAGCTCAAACAGGTCTGTATTCCCCCAGTCTCTTTTTTTGTGTCTCCTCCAGTTGACAACCATGGCTCTGCATTCTGTGATTCATCTGTCCTTGACATTCCTTAGGTCCTGGAAGTCACTGAGCAGTCTTTATTCAGTTTCATTAAAACTGCATTTCAAGATGCACAATTCCAGTGAGGAAAAAACAATAGACCAATTAAGCACATAAACAAAAAAACAAAACACAACCAACTCAGGTGGAAAATCTAGGGGACAGGTAGGCATGTAATTGCAAGAAAACTGACCCTTACAAGACCTTTTTTTTTAAGCTTTAGAATTTGCAAACTAATGCTTTTGCAAATCTGGGGAATCTTATTTCTGAGTGGCCTGTTCCACTGAGAGAGGGTGTGACGGGTCAGAGGAGTAGAGAGGGATAGACACACTATCACAAGCTTGCTTGACTTTGCAGTTGTTTTGGTTGGTGTGTGTGATGGGCAGTTTGGATATTGTGCATTTCAACCATTTCATTGTTTTGTTACTTCATATTCTCTCTTGATTGTTTGGCTTCATAAGCTGCTTTGGGCTTAGATCTTTATAGAAAAGTAGGCTTTGCCTTGTTAAAAATAATAACCACAATGGTGTCCTTTTTTCATGGCACCTGGACCATCCAAGGTCAGAAATGGTGGACAGGTTTTCCTTCCATTGCTGTGTCCACTGGGACATCTGTGCCAACCACCGATTTATGTATGCCTAACTTAAGCTCCTTACTTACATATTTATTACATTATATGATTGTTTTTAGGAAGCATTTCCACTCAGAAGCCTTCCAAGTAGCCTCTATGTTTACATCCTGTTCTTCATCTTATTTTCTGATCTGAAACACACATACACACCCCTGCCTGGATTACTGCTCTTGAGTGGTTTTATTTTAGATTCCATATTCTGTTTATGGTTCAGTCCCTCATCTTAATGTTTATTTGCTACACCTTATCTTTTATCATAATTTTGTCTTTAAAAAAACAACAACACACACACCCTCCAGAACATGTCATCCAACGAAAAGACATATGAAATTCAAAACACATCAGAGCAACAGGAGCAGCAACTAATAATACTTAACAAAAACTGCAAAAAGAACAAAATGCGGTCAGGTCTTTCTTCTTCTTTGTATTGGTCTCGTTCTTTTCTTTTTATGAAAGTGGGATCTTTCCCTTCTTCATTCTTGTTTCTGGCATTAATCTTTGGAATTCCCTCCTAACTGCTAGTGAAATCAACCCAGTCTTCTGTTCCAAAGAACTGTCTTATCTCCCATTTATTTCAGATAGTATATTCTTAATTGTTCAGCACAGAATGATTTTTTGTCTCCTTTTCCAATTCTCCTTTTTCATCTCTTTCCCCCCTTTTCATTGCATGTATTGCTATTTTTCCATAGTCAGCCTGTGGGCGGCATCCTGTCATCTTGAATATTTTGGTACAGCGCCTAGATAGTTTTTTAGATGCTTGATGCATAGCATTTATGATGGCCGGATACAAAGGTGTGTCACCATGAGATAATATTAAAGTAGGTACAAAATTTGCTCCCTTGTGCAGTTGTTGTTGGTTGTTGCTGTTTATCAAATTTATATCCCACCCTCCCCCTGGTGTGGTAAACGGACCCACAATTTAGAACAAAGCGAAAACAGAAACATCTAAAAGCAGTTTCAGTTACAAACACTATTTCATTTCGTAATCTTGGGGTTGTTGACTCCAGCGGTCAAGGATCAGGGTGCCATCTTGAAAACCATTTATTGATCATAGCTTAGTGTAGACAGAGGAACCTTGGAAACCTGTTTAGATACAGTGCTGACCTTTGGGAACCATCATTGCTGGATGAGCATGAAGCTGCGAAAAATGAAAACTAGTGTTAAGATTTTTGAGCAGGATCTTAGAAAGATCCTGCTGCCCGTCTATATTCCACGTGTGCTATAGAATTTTGCCAGGATTCTGCACGTTTGTGGCTATTTGGGGGGCAGCAACATACAATATGTAGAATTCTATGCTGACTTCCCACTTTTATGTCTCCACCCCAAACTAGAGCAATTCCTTGCAACGGTGGCTCCTCTTCCTTTGCGAGATTTGTCGAGGCGTCCTAGCAAAGAGTGCTGCTGTTAATACTGGCGTAGAACAAAATGCCTGGTTTTTGTTTACATCCTCATTCCCCTGCTTTATACCAGGCCAGGCTCTTTTTCCAGCCTTGTCTAAACTGGCAGGGGCTGCCCAAGGTCTCAGGCACAGAAGGGTCTAATTCTCATCAGCTGCTTCTATCTGGTTCTGATTTTTCCAGCACCTCGCTTAACTACAGAGAATGCAGACATCACTTTAAAACACCCGTACCCTGTAAAAAGGGCGCTATCTCCATAGGGGCAGGGGGCTGAACAAGAGGGGGAATGTGTGGGTCCCAGCTCTCTAATCACAGCTTCAAGAGCTGCACCTATGGTGTTTACAGACCCCATCCGTCCTTTAGCAACCAGATTAGGGGTAGCAGCTTAAGCTGCCATGGCATCACACAGTGAATGGCTGCCATGGCAACCAGGCCTGCAGGCCCCTGGGGCCAGCAACCTAGGACAGATGGCTGTCATGTGGGAAAGGGGGTCCGGGTGGACAGGGGGCTAGAGAATAGACCCTGGGGGTGTGCATATCTCAATCCAATTCCCAGCCCCATGCTTTCCCCTGCCAACATATGTTTGTTGGCAAGAGAGGGGGAGTAAGGGGGGCAAATCTCATTGTGTGGCTCTAAAGAGGATAGAGAGTGAGGATCATCCCAATTAAGGGCTTAGCAGGGCTAAAGTGGGCCAGAGCTTGAAACTGATACCAGATTAGGCTGTGTGATCCCAGCCTGTGGGTAACTGGGGGAGCACAATATCTTGTCTGGAAAGAAAACAGGAGGTAGCTGTTCCAAAACTGAGAGCTAACAGCTCCCCAAGACCTTCCTGCCTAATCTCCTTTCTGCCTGACCTTCCTGAAGCCTTTCAAATTATACGCTGTTTAAATATTACTGTATAACCAAACCCAGTGCTTTTTTCTTAAAAAAAATGTTTAGGGGTACTCTCATTTTGACTCAAGAAAATCTCCATTTTATAGTTCATATAGGGAAAGATCAATACAGTAAATGGACAAGAGTACAAAGATTCACAAAATGTTTAGGGATATGCGTACCCCTTCGAAAAAAGCACTGACCAAACCTTCTAGTGGTGAACTGCCATCTTCGGATGAAGGGTGTTATACAAATTTAATGATGATTGATAATAGTAATTTGTACCTCACTCTTCCAGGAAGCTCATGACATCTCTTCTGCTCACTTGTTTCATTTCTGCACAACTTTGCTTCCATCTTAGAACTCAAGTTCTAAGTTCACTGAGAGCTAGCAGCTTGACACTCGAGATCTAGCAAGCTTCAGCACTAAGTGGGAATTTGAGGTGGTGCTTTTTAATTTGAAACCCAGTACTCAAATCACTGCATCACATAGTTGACGCCCTGTCCTGAAATGAAAGAACCATGCATATTTCTGCTGCTTTTGTTGTTGTTGTTTAGTCATTTCTGACTCTTCGTGACCCCATGGACCAGAGCACGCCAGGCACTCCTGTCTTCCACTGCCTCCCGCAGTTTGGTCAAACTCATGCTGGTAGCTTTGAGGACACTATCCAACCATCTCGTCCTCTGTCGCCCCCTTCTCCTTGTGCCCTCCATCTTTCACAACATCAGGGTCTTTTCAAGGGAGTCTTCTCTTCTCATGAGGTGGCCAAAGTCTTGGAGCCTCAGCTTCAGGATCTGTCCCTCCAGTGAGCACTCAGGGCTGATTTCCTTCAGAATGGAGAGGTTTGATCTTCTTGCAGTCCATGGGATTCTCAAGTCTCCTCCAGCACGATAATTCAAATTGCATCAATTCTTTGGCGATCAGCCATCAATTCCCAACCTAGTAACCTTCCTGAACCTGGTTGTACCCGGGTGCAAAGGAGGGCAGGACTTTCTCTCCTTTTAACAGTTACGTAAAAAAATGAAATTTCAGCAGGTGCAGCTTTGCTTATCCCTGCGTTACAGGCTGCACCTGCCAAATCTCCCTCTTCTGCACAGCTATTAAGAAGGAGCAGAGGCGCTCCTGCTGATGTCCTTCGCAAATGAACATCTTGCATCCAGGAGGGAGGCAATGCTTATTTCTCTTAAATCTCTGGGACAGCACAATGTTCTGCAGGTGCATCTCTGTCCACAGAACATATCCTGGACTCGAAAGCTATTTTGCACCGTGTCTGGGGCAAAAGCAAAAGCAAAAACAAAAAAAACCTAGCATAGTTACCATAAGATTACATGCTAGGTAATGTATGGAAAAACTAGGCTCTAATGTATAGATAAAGAGAGAGAGAGAGAGAAACTGTATTTTTCGCCCTAAAGGACGCACTTTTTCCCCTCCAAAAATGAAGGGGAAATGTGTGTGCGTCCTATGGGGCGAATGCAGGCTTTCGCTGAAGCCTGGAGAGCGAGAGGGGTCGGTGCGCACCAACCCCTCTCGCTCTCCAGGCTTCAGGAAGCTATCCCTCCAGCCCGGCAAGCTCCGGGAGCGATGGCGAGGTTGTGCGCAACTTCGCCATCCCTCTCGGACCCGTTCTGGGGGCTGGGGTCGGGGGAAGCTCGGGCTTCCCCAGCCCCGCAAGCTCCGGGAGCGATGGTGAGGTTGCGCAACCTCGCCTTCGCTCCTGGACCCCCAGCCCCGAGGCTAAAAACGAAGCCAGGACAGCGAGTGGGATCCATCCCGCTCGCTGTCATGGCTTCTTTTTGGCTGGGGGGGGGGAAATAATTTTTTCCCCTTTATCCCCCCCCCCCAAAAATAAGTGCGTCCTATGGGCCGGTGCGCCCTATAGGGCGAAAAATACGGTAGATATCTATGCCCAGCATAGATAAAGTTTGGATTTGGAAAGAAAAAAAAAGAGTTTCTGGAGAATTGCTTCTGTCACTCCATCCTTGCATCCATTTCTTTCTCTGTGTCATTCTCCGGTTACATAAATAGTTTGATTATTTCCCTGCTCGCGCATGCTGTCTCTGGTGAGAAGCATTTGACATTCTGTTATGTCTAAGCTGGACTTCCAAAGCTTTTAAAATTATTCTGGAAATTAAAAGTGAGCGCAGTGAAGAGCAACGAGGGTGCTGGGTCATGAGAACACGTCTTGCATAAGGTGATGAGGAATGCTTGGTGCTCCTCAGGCAGGCAGAGTCTTCACAGCAGCCATGCAATGTCATCAGCAGCATACAAATGCTAGCCTGGATTTCCCCCCATTGAATTGGGATTTCTACTTTTGCCCGAGTCCTGTTTGTGATACCAGAACGACCTGTTTGCAGTATCAAGTACCTGGCTTGATAACTCTGCAGCATGGTTTTAATTCAGCATATCTTCTACTCACAATTAAGTCTCATTGAGTTCAGTAAGAAGTTACTCTGCAGTTAAAGCTACAGTCCTAAACATGCTTAATGGGGAGTGAATCCTGTTGAATACACTGGGCATTACTGCAGATGGAACCTGCACAGGATTGCCCTTTAGGCTTATAGCCTTAAGGAGCCCATTACTTGACTTCGAAGATGAAAACAAGTTACTTTAACAAGTCAATCTGCATTATAAAGGATGGAGTTGCAGAACTAGTGGTGGTTAAACACAATATGTCTGGGAATCACTGTAGGGTAGTGATCCTGCAAATCTGGCATCCTGAAGGATGCTGTTCATCTCCTTGCATTGCTAACTCCCAGAAGTGACCTGACCTGACCACTGCCTCCTGGTAAGCATCAGTGATACTATAGACTGGAGGTCAAGTGAACATTGCTGCCCCACAATGTCTTCTGCTGCTTCTTGTGACCCCAAAACTTTGGAATAAAATTCTGGTTATGACCTATGAAGCCCTACGTATCTTAGGCCCAGGCTATCTGAAGGACCATTTTCTCCCTGCTCGGGCACAGAGATGTCTGGGGGAGGCCCTTCTCTCAGTCCCACCCACCCTTACATGCACGTTCACGGAAGACGGCCATCTTGGAGGCTGCTCTTTGACTTTGGAATTCCCTTCCCAGAGAAGCTACACTTGGCTCCCTCCCATCTGCAAGTGAAGATTTTATTTTGAAGTGACAGTTTAACGAAAGAGCTGTGCTGCTTTTACTATCTGCAGTTTAATAGATTGTTTTAATTCCATTATGGCTTAATGACTTTTTAGCTATTACTTTTTACAGTGGTACCTCAGGTTAAGAACTTAATTCGTTCCGGAGGTCTGTTCTTCACCTGAAACTGTTCTTAACCTGAAGCACCACTTTAGCTAATGGGGCCTGCTGTGCCGCTGCTGCACAATTTCTGTTCTCATCCTGAAGCCAAGTTCTTAACCCGAGGTAATATTTCTGGGTTAGCGGAGTCTGTAACCTGAAGCATATGTAACCTGAAGCGTATGTAACCCGAGGTACCACTGTACATGTTTTTAGCTTTCTGTATTCTTATTCATGCTGTTTTAATTTTTGGTAATCTATGTTGAGTCTCAGTTCTAGGGGAAAGGTGATGATGATGATGATGATAAAATGGGTGCCCCATTTTTCTTCAGTTTCCCTGGGTTGTTAAAATAAAGAATATTATCATTACCTTTCTTCATATATGAATTGCTTCCTCTGAAGCATACTGAGGCCTTTTTAACAAGACAACAGAAACACACAACAACTATCAGTCTCTACTGCCTGCTACTCATTTAAGTCTCTTTCATATCTGCATGTTTCTATATTTTGGGGCTGCTTCACAGATTACATTTTGAGGTGGTCACCTGAAAATGCCATGAATAGCGTTTCAGAGCTATCACACTCCTAATGTGGAGCTTTGAGTAGCTTCCGCTTCCTGTTGGTGATGCTCACTGGCAGAACATGCACATCGGCCCTGAGCGGGTATCATATCCTTTTTACATACTGTGTAATGTCTGCTCTGTTTGCAGCATCGTGACAGTGCTGCTTTCTTCCCTTCCTGCTGGTGATACTTTAGGGGTAGGGTTGGGTTGAGTTGAAAACTGAGGCAAGGAAGCCGGCTGCTTCTATGGTGCCTGGCTTTCATGCTGCTTGTGTTGCGCAGAATCATTGGTGGAGGCTGGTCAGCAAATTGTTTGCTGCTACACAGAACTAGGGAGAGCGACTGCAGGCTGTGTGATGCGGAGCCATTTTGAAAGAAAGCACTTGGCCGTGACAGCTTTATGTACCTAGGATAAAAAAACTCAGGCAAAGGGCATAAACCCACTCGCTTCACAAAGAGGGAGATGAGACCTGAGCCAAGAACCCCCAATACAAAGCCCAGTCTGCAGAGGCCACAGTGTCTGACCAAAAATAGAACAACATGGGATTGATTCAGATATTGAAATCCCAAGGAGCCCCAGTTCATGTAGCAAAGGCCCTATTCATGCAGTGCTTTTGAGCATATTAAAGGCAATTGGCCCAGGATGAAAGTCTCAGTGTGTCTCTCACCATATAACCTAAGGTAGCTTGAACCAAGATGTGGTGAAATTAGAAATGCACACGTCAGAGTATTTGAGACTCAGCACACCAGTACTCTGAGAAACCCATCTAGTATTGATTTCTAGATGTTAAAAATGATGGTGCAAACAGCCACCATGGTGGAGTGAAGTCTGGAAACCTGAGTCCTTTCCCTCTCTTATTTTTGGATTTTTGACGCTGAGTTCTCAAAGCCATTGGGGGAGAATATGTCTTGATAGTGAGACTGCATGTCATTGATTGTCTTTGGAAGCAGAATTAATGACAGGTCCTGCAGGCAGCGAAGCATTTTCCTTTGATGCTATGCAATCCTGGCCTGAAGCTGGAGATAATAGCAGAATCGATGGCCTGATCAATAGTTTAACAGGGAGCCATTGCACTGCTAGCAGAACAGAAGTCTGCTGGAAGGCAAAAGGGAACTGAGCCCGGGCACAGAGGCTTTGTGGAAATCAGGACAAATGTGGGAGGAGGAAACTGAATTGTGCCACTATTGCTGGAGGGAGGCACCTGTAGAATGCCTGGATTGTTCTGCAGATGCAACTGATTTCCCCATCATGCTCCCAACTCTAGGCAACAGACTGTTGTTGAATTGGTGTACTGTATATATTAATGGATTCATTGATGCAAATGAAAAAATTGTGATCTGAACCATATGAAGTTGCCAAAAACTATGTGACTTCAGACTGTAGTGATGGGGAACATAATATCTATGCATGTGGGACATAAAAGGTAAAGGACCCCTGGATGGTTAAGTCCAGTCAAAGGTGACCATGGGGTTGTGGCACTCATCTCGCTTTTCAGACCGAGGGAGCTGGTGTTTGTCCACAGACAGCTTTCCAGGTCATGCGGCCAGCATGACTAAACCGCTTCTGGCACAATGATGAGTGCCAGAGCACACAGAAACGCCGTTTACCTTCCCGCCACAGCGGTACCTATTTATCTATTTGCACTGGCGTGCTTTTGAACTGCTAGGTTGGCAGGAGCTGGGACAGAGCAACAGGAGCTCACCCCATTGTGCAAATTTGAACTGCTGACCTTCTGATCAGCAAGCCCAAAAGGATCAGTGGTTTAGACCACAGCGCCACCAGTGTCCCTATGTGGGATATATCTATGGATGAATGGGGAGCTGTGGCTGACAGTGTGGAAGTTCAGGACATTCTTCTCTCTCTCTCTCTCTCTGCCAGTCAGAGGTACTTTGGGATAGTTTGAAATTCTCCTACTTCATGTGGATCGGCATATACAAATGATCAATGGGCAGATTTTTCTTCTTGCCTCTATTTCACACACTCATCCCAGGAACTTTCGTTTAGGGATCAGTGGAATCCCCTCTGCATATTTTGTGTGCCTGTGGATCTGTTGCACATGCTCAAAGGCTCTCTGCCCCACACTTTTAAATCATCACTTCATACCTCTGCAGTTCCACCCCGTGTTGAAAATGGCTTTCAGGACTGTATTGCTCAGTGTTCCAGATCCCACAGGGTTATAGCAGGGTTTGTAACCTCGGTTGTGTGTGTAAGGAAGCAAACATGTGGCTCAGCTGACCTGACATTTCTTCATGGCTGGTGCATTTATTAATGGGGAGGGGTGTTCTCCATTTCTGTCCTCAACTCCAGCATTCCCTGGCAACTTTGCTTTGAAAAACAATACTGCTTTGTTTGTTTAAATGGGCTTTTGATGACCAGGGAATATGCCATTTAACCTGTGTAACTTGAGGGTGTGTGTGTTGTGATTTAATGTATTGTCTCCTGTCCTGGGCCCTTGACATGGAATGGGCTATAAATAAAAATAAGTGCAAATTCAGTAATAAATAGTTGTAGAATGCCTTTTGTGTGCTGCACCTCACATGTATTCATCCCCTACATCTTGGCTCAGTGGGATAAGTGGTACCTGAGTAGCCAGCAGGCAAAATGCCTCTCCAACAAAACAAAGCTTGTCAAAGGAACTTCTGGATGGTTCAGAACAGGAACCCTGATCCATCCAGACAAACCTATGGCCAACCAGACCCTTCCCATCCCGACATCCTTGTAGTTTCAAGCAGAAACACCCAAGCCTGACACAGATTGTTGGGTTCTGCTTTCAGTTCCTTCATAACAGTAACCCCCTCCCCCCACTCCCTCTTGTTTTCAGCAGATAATCAGCACAATGGAGACCCAAGTGTCCAATGGTCCCACAAGCAACAGTTCCCTCCCCAATGGGCCACTGATTAGTGCCAACGGCGCCACTGATGACTCCAAAACTAACCTCATAGTCAACTACCTACCCCAGAACATGACACAGGAAGAATTCAAGAGCCTCTTTGGAAGTATCGGAGAGATTGAATCCTGCAAGCTGGTTAGAGACAAAATCACAGGTAAGACAATATGGCGGTGGGGGGTGGGGAGAGGGAGAGATCTTGGCTCTGGTTTGACTCAGACATCACGATAAGCCACAGTATAATGATGATGATGATGATGATAATGATGACGACGATGATGATAATAATGATAATGATAATGATAATGATGACAATAATAATAATAATAATAATACCAAGCAGTTTTTGAAGAGCTCCAACTGGTTCCATTCAAACTGAGTTGATGGTCAACCAAATGGCGAGTGGGATAGCGTAAAGTGAGGTACATTGGGGCAAACAGAACTCCATGTACAGTGATGGAGTCAGAAGCGGCAGTGACTTAAATTGAAATTGTGGCAGATAGCTCAGTAAAAACGTCAACGCCATAAGGCGGCAGCTGTGGAAAAAGAGGCCTGGAGACCCAAACCCATGAAGGAGGTAAATATGTTTGGCATAGTAGGTGCTGACCTTTAAAGCCCTAAACAGCCTCGTCCCAGTATAACTGAAGGAGCATCTCCACCCGCATTGTTCTGCCCAGAAACTGAGGTCCAGGTCCGTGGGCCTTCTGGCGGTTCCCTCACTTCAAGAAGTGAGGTTACAGGGAACCAGGCAGAGGGCCTTCTCCGTAGTGGCACCCGTCCTGTGGAACGCCCTCCCATCAGATGTCACAGAAATAAACAATGATCTGAGTTTTAGAAGACATCTGAAGGCAGGGTTGTTCAGGGAAGTTTTTAATGTTTGATGGTTTATCGTGTTTTTAATATTCTGTTGGGAGCCGCACAGAGTGGTTCGGGAAACCCAACCAGATGGGTGGGGTAACAACAACAACAACAACAACAATAATTGGAATTTGCTGCCATAAAAAAGTGGCAATTGGCATCTGGTTAGCTGGCTTTAAACTGGGATTAGAGAAATCCATGGAGATTTTTCAGTGGCTAGGCAGAAGGGCCATATTGAATCTCAGGAGCACTTAGTAGTGGTGGTGGATGGCTTCCTGGTAGCAAAGTGACTGCTACTTATGAGGAGGAAGAGGAGTGAAGCAGTGGAAAGGTTGGCACTGTGTGGCCCTTGTCTCTCCCCCGATCCTCCTTGGCAAATGGCAGGAACTCATCTGCCAGGAGGGCTTGAGTGTGCAGCTGTGCTCCTCCTCACTGACTGCTCCTCCAGACCAGTGGAAGCATCCCTCTGAAGACCAGTTAATAGGAAGCAGCAGCAGAGAGCATTATAGTCGCCCAGCCCTGCTTGTGGACTTCCCAGATGCATCTGATTAGTAGGATGCTGGGCTAAAAGGACCTTTGGTCTGATCTAGCAGGCCAGTTATTATGCTTAGGATGGTGGCATTTAATTTATAGCTTGTTGTGGTACATGAATTAAGCTTCTCTGTTTGTTGTGGACAGGGCCAAATTTAGGTTTGATGAGCCCCTCAGCTACTGAAGGTAATGGGGCCCTTTATATGTCCAGCTGTCCGTTGTCAACAACAAATTGCTGCTGTTTTTTATGTTGAATATATGCTATATGGTCATTTATGGACCTAATAGGTATCTAAAGCCATTTGCACATGTTGCCATGCACCCAGTCCATGCAGAATGTAGGTACCCTATATATAGAAATGAGCAAACCAGTGACATTTTAGGGAGCAGGCTAGCAGGCGGGTCCCATTACTTCCATCATAAGAGCCTACACAACACAAAACACTGTTGTTGTTTGTAGGTTTTATTTTATTTGTTTTATATCTTATATTTTGGAAATGTACATCCAGGGTTTTTCCCCTTTCATTTTTTGGACCCCCCCAAAAGAGTGGGGCCCTAAGCTATAGCTTGTTTAGCTTATAAGTAAATCCGGCAGTGGCTGTGGAGGCCTTAAGGAGCTTTTGATAGATGGTGAATGGATCGCAGGCCTGGAACTGTACAGTGGTACCTCGGGTTAAGTACTTAATTCGTTCTGGAGGTCCATTCTTAACCTGAAACCGTTCTTAACCTGAAGCACCACTTTAGCTAATGGGGCCTCCTGCTGCCACCGTGCCGCCGGAGCACAATTTCTGTTCTCATCCTGAAGCAAAGTTCTTAACCCGAGGTAATATTTCTGGGTTAGCAGAGTCTGTAACCTGAAGCGTATGTAACCTGAAGCATATGTAACCCAAGGTACCACTGTAGTGCATTTGTGCTTCTCTCAGGATTTGCTATATCGTCATTTACTATCGCGATACACCTTTTTTTTATGATAATGACAAGCTAGCTGTGGATGGAATATGAAGAAAAGAGACTATAGCAGACCATGAGGTGGCATGAAACTTTTCTTCTGACACTGGTATTGAAGCTGTAGTTTACCAGGGGCCGGGGCATCACAGGGTGGCAGTGAGATTGTGACTGCCTGGGCACATCAGCACCTCGTAATGATGTGCACATGTGGCCCTGATGCCACAGTTGTTTTCCCACTCCCTGTCTCAACCTTGGATAAGCTGTACTGATGCCAAGGTTGGGAGGGCAGCTCCACAGGCTGCTACTGAAACCAGACCTTGAGGTATCGGTTCAGATTACCTGTTGCACTGGCTTGTTGCTGGTGTTTATTCAGAGGGAAGGTCAGATTTGAGCACCTGATATTTACAAATGGCAAAGCTATGTCTGAATTCTCAGCACATGTGTGCAGCAAGTAAATTTGACAGCCCCCTTTTGGGGGAAAAATACTAGCTTTGATTTGTGGCTTTGAAGATAGAATCATAGAATCATAGAATCATAGAGTTGGAAGAGACCACAAGGGCCATCGAGTCCAACCCCCTGCCAAGCAGGAAACACCATGAGAGCACTCCTGACATATGGTTGTCAAGCCTCTGCTTAAAGACCTCAAGAAGGAGACTCGCTACACTAACTTGGCAGCAAATTCCACTGTCGAACAGCTCTTACTGTCAGGAAGTTCTTCCTAATGTTTAGGTGGAATCTTCTTTCTTGTAGTTGGATCCATTGCTCCGTGTCCGCTCTCTGAGAGCAGAAACAGCCTTTCTCGCTCCTCTATGTGACATCCTTTTATATATTTGAACATGGCTATCATATCACCCCTTAACCTCCTCTTCTCCAGGCTAAACATGCCCAGCTCCCTTAGCCGTTCCTCATAAGATGGCAGTTTGTGACTTGGAGTTTGGTTTGGCGGGGCATTGTATTGAGGTTCAAGTACACAACTGAATAAAGAAATAGTCTGGTTTCAGGCCGTCCGGTTCTCAGAACTAGCTACTTGATTTTATTGTTATTATTTACTTCCATTTAATTTGCATGCTACCCTTTCATGTGAAATACAGTCAAACCTCGGATCCCAAACGCCTCCGTTTTGGAACGTTTTGGCTCCCGAACGCCGAAAACCCGGAAGTAAATGCACTGGTTTTCGTACGTTTTTCGGAAGCTGAATGTCCGATGCGGCTTCTGCTTGAGTGCAGGAAACTCTTGCAACCAATCGGAAGCTGCACCTCAGTTTTTGAACATTTCGGAAGCCAAACAGGCTTCTGGAATGGATTATGTTCAACAACCGAGGTTTGACTATATTTCCAGAGAGGAAGCCTTCTACTTTTGCAGATGTTAAGGAACAAATGAAGCCAACAGGACTTTTGTAGCACACCTTTCTCCCAGTGGCCTCCTTTGTGCAGGAAGATATGCCATGTTGATTATCAAAGGCCACTCAGTGAATTTCAAATTAAGCAGAAATTTGAGCTTAAACTTTGCACACCCTGTACTCTAGTTAGGCCTGATGGGGATCCTAATTTAGCCTGCAAGGCTGTTATCCCCAGGCCACGGCCACCTGTCCCCCACCTGACATCATACAAGATATCAGGTGCGGGGAAGGCAAAGATGAAGATCTTTGCCGAAAGCAGGGTTTGCAGGCTTTCCAAGGTCAGCTAATTGTCTGTGCCTAGCAAACTGCCCACACAGTTTGAAATCAAACTGTGCAGCAGGCAGAGTCTCAGCAAACAGGAATGCTTCACCTGAAATAATGGTGGCATCAGGTGACTGTCAGGTGGGCAGCTTCATTCTCCTGTCAAAATGGCTCATGGGGTTTGCAGAAGATCTGGTTCCAGCCCACTGACCTGATCCAGTTCTCTATGCTTGCTCCAAAGACCGCTGTTGAATCTAATTGCCAAATCCAGGAGGGTGATTGTCACACCTCTGGGCTGCTGACATCCAGGGTTTTCTTTCTCTCCTCCTTTCAGATCCAGATGCGATAACTTCTATTTACTGTTTCTAGGTGGTTTTAGTATGTAATCTGTCCCCTGTTGTGTCACCACCAACATTCTATAAAAGCAAGAAGGAAGCCCAAGCTAAGCGCAGTTTGCAATTTATTTGGCTCAAAGTCAAGTTCTGTTCTTTGCTAGTATTAGTCCAAAACTCATCCAGGTGCACCGAGCTTCTGTGCAACACCTTGGCAGTGTGTGACCGGCCACATAACTCAGAAGATGTAGTATATACTTAGAAATCCAGGCAAAATCTAACTCTTAAGTAAATTATCAAGTTTAATAAAAGAAAACTGAAATATCGACAGAGAATTTGTAGCATTAAAGGAAGGAAGCACATGCACACTGACAGATGGATAGGCATTGCTGAGATACAACAGGGTCAGCATGGCATGGAAAGTACATTGGAATTGCAAGAGGTTGTCTTTTTAGGGTGCAAAACTAAGTTCCCTGGGAGGGTGTTCCAGGAACAGTAGGGTATAGTGGAGCTCTCTGCAGCTGGAGAGGGAGGTGCCTTGCTGTGGCGGCATTGCTCTTCTGCAACCACCAGTGCTCCAGCGGTAGATATGCCCCAGTTTGCCTTCAGATTTATACCGCTGGGAGGAAAAACGGGTGGAGCAGTGCAGGATGGCAGAAGAAAACTCTGACCCCCGCCACCTTCTGGCATGAGCCCAGAGAGTTCTGAATTTAGTGGTTCTTGCACCACAAATTCATCCCTTCCTTGCCCCATTGGATTGTTCTGCCCAAGCCCAAAATACTCTGCCTGCAAATTGTCTGTTCCTGACCTGTAGTCGTTTCATGGATGCAGAATGAATGTGGTCTCGCTGGAAACAGCAGCAAGTTGAAAGGGGCAGTCCAGAAACTTAGTAAGATACTTTCTCAATTTAAAAAAATAATAATCTCAAAAACTAGAAAGAGGGACTGGGTGGCATATTTTATAGTGAATGCCAGTCATTTCCCCCCTCGGGGACTGTAATGTAGATTCCAGATTTAAATTCTCGAGGTACAAGCTTTGTCACAAGCAAGTTAGCAGGGAAATGTCTGTTTAGTTCCAATTAGTTGGAATGTTTCGATTGTGAACTTGGATGTACCCTTTATCACATGGCGGTGATAAAGACATTGAGAGGCAACCTACGCAATGGCAGGAAGACACCATCGTCATTCAGTAGAAACCAACATTCTTCAATGGGGGTGTGCCTTCTTCTTGCCCACTGAGTGTCAGAATATGGCTGTCTGTTGCTCTAGGGGCAAAACGAAACTTGCCATGGAAGATGCCTGAAAGCATTTCCCGACATTATTTGTGTGCTGTTTTAATTTTGGTCATTGTGGGTAAGCAGAGCTGTTTATTTGGAAAGGGGGGTTGGCTATCATCTGAGGCAGAGGTCTAGATGCTTCGCTTCTCAGCTGCTCTGCTTCCAGAAGTACCTGGTCACTTATGGGCTGAACTCTCTGGTCTGGCATTGCTACTACTTAATTCCATAAAAAGACCATACTTAACCACCATTTGATTGAGGTTGTAGGGGGCGACTTGGTGTGCATACTCAGACCTGGGTGGGCGAGCTGGGTGGGTCTGACCAACTCAGCTCTGCCACCTTGGGACATAGTGCAGCACTAAGCCAAACCAGAGAATCTGGGTCTGTGTGTCACCATCATCCATAGGACTTCCATCCCATTTACCAAAAAAACTATTGATCTTCAGGTGGGCTTAGAGGATCTTGCACCTGATATTGGGCCAAGGGAGCATACTGGGGGTATACCAACCACTTTTCTTCTGCTCAGCAGCCTCCCAGACTGAGTTGGCCAAGGTGATCTCTAGCACAGTGTTGGAAGCCCTAGATAACAGAGGCTGCTATAGATCTAACTTAGAACTTCATGGCCTCCACAACCACCATGGGGCTGTCTCAAATGGCCTTCGGTCCGACTTACTGCCCTTAATTTACAGACTTTACCCAGAGTGATGCAAGGCGTGGCCTGAAGTTGGGGTGTGTACAGGGCAAATAATTGTCCTGGTCAGACCACCATCTGGTAAAGTTTGGACTGGTGATGGCAGTTCCCCCCTGCAACTGGGATGGGCCCATTCGGAGGGTCTGCCCTGAAGTCTGATGGAAACTGATGGATTTCTGAATGTTCTGGGGAACTTGGCAGCAGAGAAGCCCGATGATCTTGTCCAAACCTTGGTTCCTATTGTGGAACGGTGAGATGAGACACAGTCACTCCTGAGTGTCCTCTTCGGTCTTGTAGAACCCAGTATGCTCCCTGGTATTTGGAGAAGCTGCGGGCTATGAAACAGGCTGGACAAAGTCTAGAGCTCAAGCGGTTCAGAAGTTCCCTTGAAGGGTCAACCAAACATTTACTGGACATCATTTTGCCTACAAGGCATTGAAGAAGATGCATTTTGTGCCTCAAGCAGCTCACCACTGGAGCTCTTCCATGCAGTTTGGAACTGCTGACTCGCACTGAAGCCCCTCAAGAACCTGCTTGAGACCAGCTGGCTGCACATTTTGATGATAAAGTTGTTTTAACTCTGCATTTGTGGCAGGTTCCGATGGCCAAGCCTCGATGTGTGGTGGGATCACCTTCTACTTACAGGTGCTTTCAGCTCTCTGCCCAGCCATGTTGCCCCCTTGATCCCTGTTTCTCTTAGCTTACTAACTCTAGCAGTGGAGCTATGACTGGTTGGATCCAGAGTGTGGTTAATGCTTTGCTGCATGTTGGGGTGGTTCCTGTCACCTTGGAGCAGGCGGTGGTCCAGCCTGTTCTAAATAAACTAGTACTAGACCCATTGGTTTGGACAAACTAGCTACCAACTAGCCACAAACACCCCCTATTTAGGGAAGTTGATAGATGGTTATGGTGGAACAAGTTCAGGCATTCATGGATAATACAGTCTTACCTTGGTTTTCAAACAGCTTAGTTCTCGAATGTTTTGGCTCCCAAAAGCCACAAACCCGAAAGTGACTGTTACGGTTTGTGAACTATTTCTGGGAGCCAAACCTCTGATGGGGTTTCAGCGGCTTCCGATTGGCTGCAGGAGCTTTCTACAGCCAATCAGAAGCCATGTTTTGGTTTCTGAACATTTTGGAAGTCGAACGGACTTCGGGAACAGATTCCATTCAACTTCCAATGTACGACCGTACGGACACATTCAAATCAGGATTCAGACTTAGCCATGGGAACAAATTGATCACCCTGATGGATGACCTTTATTGACACTGGGACAAGGGGAGTGTGACCTTGCTCTCTCTCTCTTTTTCTCAAATTCTCTGTGGCTTTTTGATACCATTGTGACCATGGTATCCTCCTGGACTGGCTCTGTTGGTTTATATTGTGGGCATTGTGTTACAGTGGTCCTGCTCCCTGCCTCTGAGTGTTCATTTTAGAGAGTAGCACTAGACGAGGGTCAGCAAATTTTTTCAGCGGGGGGCCAGTCTATTGTCCCTCAAATCTTGTGGGGGGCCGGACTATATTTAAAAATAAATAAATAAACAAACAAATTCCTATGCCCCACAAATAACCCAGAGATGCATTTTAAATAAAAGCACACATTCTACTCATGTAAAAACATGCTGATTCCTGAACCGTCTGTGGGCCGGATTTAGAAGGCGTCCTGAAAGCCACGGTGTTTTGTTTCCAATGCTATTTAATATCTAAATGAAGCACTTGGGAGAGCGGTCATTAGCAGATTTAGGGCAAGGTGCCATCACTGTGCGGAGGACACTCAGCTCTGTTTCCCCATCACATCTGACTCAGAAGAGGCTGTGCAGGCCCTGGATCAGTGCCCGGTTGCAGTGGTGCACTGGATGAGGAGAAATAAACAAAGTCTGACTCCGGGCAAGACAGAGCTCTGTGGGTGAGCGGCTGCCATGTTTGTGAACTTTGCCTGACCTGGACAGGGTTGCATTCCTTCTGAAGGGGTAGATATGCAGAATCCACCTTTGCCGCTGGAGACACAGGTGGCCTCAGTAGCTAGGAGCATCTTTTACCAGTTTCAGCTGAACACGACTGCTGCAACCATAATTTGGGCACAGGAGTCCAGGTGTTGGTAATTTCAAGGCTGGACTAGTTCAGAATGCTGCAGCACGGTTGCTGGCAGGGGTGAGATCCAACCAGAAAATTATACTTCTGCTCAAAGATCTGCACTGCCTACTGATTTGTTACTGGGCCAAGTTTGGGGTTTCATTTTTTAGTATACGAAGTTCTTAGAAGCTTGGAACCAGTTTACTCAGAAGAATCGCCTGGCTCCATATGGGTTTATGTTTTTTATATATATATATATATATATATATATATATATATATATATATATATATGTGTGTGTGTGTGTGTGTATATATATATATATATATATATACACATACATTTTTATTAGTTTTACAAATACAGAGTTATAAACAGAGAATCAAAAAGTATATCCATATAAAGACATTCCCCGAATCTCAGGACTTCCCTCCATCCCCTCCATGGGGTCCCATTATAAACATTTAATACTGCATATTCTTCCATACTCCAATTTTTATATCAAACCATATTGTCCATGGTAATTGTTAAACTAAAAGCGAAATCAAAATCCTGCTAATGTTTCCATCTGCTTACAGTGGTCTCCTAAATAACTTATAATTTTTTCCCATTCATTTATAAAGTTTTTATCCTCTTGGTTTCTGAGTTTTCCAGTCAGTTTTGCCATCTTGGCATAGTCCACGGCATGGACTATCGACCATATGTGCCTTCTTAACCATTTTGATCTGCAGAACTTGCACTTTTCCAAGGGCCCAGATGGTTGTTTCAAATTCATGAGGAGTTGATATTTTGGTGTGGCATCACCAATATTTTGGAACTCACTGCCTGTTGACACCCACCCCATACTGCTGTGTTGTTGTTGTTTAGTCGTTTAGTCGTGTCCGACTCTTCGTGACCCCATGGACCAGAGCACGCCAGGCACTCCTGTCTTCCACTGCCTCCAGCAGTTTCCTCAAACTCATGCTGGTAGCTTCAAGAACACTATCCAACCATCTCGTCATCTGTCGTCCCCTTCTTCTTGTGCCCTCCATCTTTCCCAACATCAGGGTCTTTTCCAGGGAGTCTTCTCCATTTCTTCCATTTCTCTGATGTAAATTGCTCACCCCTCCCAAACTACTAATATACAAGAATCTAGGACCCTCGTACCTACGGGACCACCTCTCCTGGTATGACCTGTGGAGGACCTTAAGGTCCATATATAACAACACTTTGGAGGTCCCAAGCCTCAAGGAGGTTAGATTGGTCTGAACTAGAGCCAGGGCCTTTTCAGCACTGGCCCCGACTTGGTGGAACACTCTGTCACAAGAGACTAGGGCCCTGCGGGATTTGACATCTTTCCGCAGGTCCTGCAAGATGGAGCTGTTCTCCCCTGGCCTTCGGCTTAGAATCACTCTGACCCCTTATATAGGATTTGGTATATAAATCTTCGCTTGGCTTTTTTGCTGGCCCATGTAGGACTAGCATGGATAGCTGGCTCGGGTGAATATCTGATGTTTCCTCCCTTTATGGTCTTGATCTATGGGCTACTACTAAAATGAGGCTGCATTTTAAACTGTATTTTAAGCCGTGTTTTAATTAACAGTTTTTTCCCCCTATTACGTTTTATTGTAATTTATATTTGGTGTTAGCCGCCCTGAGCCTGGCCCTGGCTGGGGAGCGCGGGATATTATTATTATTATTAATAATAATAATAATAATATTTTTTCTTCTACAACTAATGATGGTTCCAGGTGGGAGGGGGAAATTAGCATCAAGAGAATTGACATGGGAAGGGATTGAAAACCCTCCCTCCCTCCGCTTGCCACAATCCTAATCGCCCCTGCAGCTGCTCTCAGCCTGGGTGATCAAAAGATGCTGGGAAATGCAAGCTATATCTCGTTTTGCCCTTAGGCAAACAGGGCAAAATGTAATTTCCACAATTACAGTTAACATTAATTCAGACACTGAAATCTGGGTATCTTAAAGCTGCTGTATCATGCGTTAAAGTGATAAACCTTGGAGTTTCTATTAATAACATTTATCAAATTGGATATGTTATTTTAATTGTTTTTTGAGCTGTGCAAAACGTCAAATGAAACCTGAATTATTTATAGCACAGAGGCATATTTTGTCTGATCTCATATATAAAAATCTATAACCCTTGAGATTGCCCATTGCAAGTGTAACATTTTGGTGATTATGCAGTTTGAAGGCGTCTCCGGTCTGTGTCTGAAGGTGCAACTTTTGCTATGATGTCTTAACTTTCGTGAAGTCAGCAGCACAAAGCTCATGGCACTGTTGATTTTAATATTAACGAATCAAAAAAGAAAATTGACAAAATCTTGCTAGAGAATTAAAAAGTGCCGCGCTACAATTTGCATTTTCTGTTATACGTCAGCGGATCTTACACATTTTTCTACTAAAACCCTTACACTGGTTTGCCTGCTTGCCGCAAGCCCCCACATTTTCTTACCTTAAAGCCACTGTGTGGAATAGAGCTGGGGGGAGCTGAAGGGCTCTCAGCTCCTCTCCGCTCCAGCCTGCAAAACTGTCAGGCAAAGATGATGTGAGCTGTGGTCCCATCTGTGAGAGGCTCCCAGGTTGAAACTCAACCATTGCCCTGGTTGTGACTGTTGTAAACAAAATCTGCCCTTCTTCCCTTATGGGGTATCCAAGAGCCCGTACAGAGTCCTTAAGTGGATTCCCTATCGGTAAGAGAAAATAACAGAGGCCAACCAGAGAATATTGAGAAGCAAAGCAGCTAGTAAGCCTGATCTTTATTAAAGCTGTTGCAACAGGGTGCTCCCCTCACACGCAGGAAAGGAGGAGGACCCAGAACAAAGGTGTGCCTGCCCTTATATAGACATTTTAAATTCCCTGCCCTGGAGCTCAAGACCACCCCTCCATACATCATACATACATCACAGAAGGGGTGTAACCCAAGACCACCCCCCACAAATATCATACCACAGAAAAGCCGGTCTACAACAGAAATTTGAATGTTGTTTTTCCTGTCTATCAGGTTATCTGATAATGCCTTATCTGATTGCCTTTCCTGGTAGTCTGGCCATTCCTTTGAGATGGTGATTTCCCAAATTCCTGAGACAATGGGAAGGTTCCCTCACCCCCTCCCTCCTTGCAGAGAACACATTTGGTCAGTTTGGGAGTCAAAATGGTTTCAGGGCGGTCTTCCTGTTCTGCTCCAGACATGTGGTCCCCATATCTATGTACGTGCTTGGTTGGTACATTTATGAACATTTATTATATATATAAGACTTTAAATTTTTATTACATGACACAAGCAAAGCTGCGAGGAGGGGGGCGGCGGCGATGTGCATGTAGTATTACTTGGAAGTTTTTGCTGAAGAGTCTGCAGCACCTTTTAAAAAATGCAAACCACCTCTCAGTTTAAATTTCAGAATTTAAGCAGATGAGTAGGTTTCCTTTTCAGCACGTGAGGAACATTGCAGAGAATTCCCCCAGCTAGTCATTGTCATCAGCATAATCAAATGCTGAACTGGGTGGTCCTGTATCCTGTATCTGTCAGTTTGGTAGTGGAACAGGGCCACCTACAGACAGAATAGTTTCTGCCTGCTTCCGCAATAGACTCCCCAGGTAGCAGCTCAAGGAGGACTGAGCTTGCGTAGTAGCCTCCATCAATGCTGAGGGTGTCAGCTGGGGAAATGAAAAGGTGTGGAGAAGCAGTTGAGGCCCTAACCGAGAGGTAAAGGTAAAGGGACCCCTGACCGTTAGGTCCAGTCGTGGATGACTCTGAGGTTGCAGCGCTCATTTCGCTCTATAGGCCAAGGGAGCCGGCGTACAACTTCCGGGTCATGTGGCCAGCAGGACTAAGCCGCTTCTGGCGAAGCACACGGAAACGCTGTTTACCTTCCCGCCAGAGCGGTACCTATTTATCTACTTGCACTTTGACGTGCTTTCGAACTGCTAGGTTGGCAGGAGCAGGGACCGAGCAACGGGAGCTCACCCTATTGCGGGGATTCGAACCGCCAACCTTCTGATCGGCAAGTCCTAGGCTCTGTGGTTTAACCCACAGTGCCGCCCGCATGGCTAACCTTTTTTGGGGGGCCCTACAAGGACTGCATGGCAACATGCACAGATGAGGGTCATTACCAATGTGGTTAACAAGCACACACCAACCATATGGTTCAGCACACACAAGCTAGCGCCAGATTTACGTATAATCTAAACAAGCTCTAGCTTAGGGTCCCATTCTCTTGGGGGCCCCCAAAAAATTTAAAGGGGGGGGGACTGGATGCACATTTCCAAAATATAAGATTTAAAAAAAACAAATAAAATAAAACCTACATAAAGCAACAGCGTTTTGTGTTGTGTAGGCTCCTATGATGTAAGTACAGTGGTACCTCAGATTACAGACACCTTGGGTTACAGACGCTTCAGGTTACAAACTCCGCTCACCCAGAAGTAGTACCTCGGGTTGAGAACTTTGCCCCAGGATGAGAATGGAAATCGTGCGGCAGCGGCGCGGCGGCAGCAGGAGGCCCCATTAGCGAAAGCGCACCTCAGGTTAAGAACGGTTTTGGGTTAAGAACAGACCTCCGGAACGAATTAAATTCATAACCCGAGGTACCACAGTAATGGGCCCCGCCTGCTAGCCTGCTCCCTAAAATGTCACTGGTTTGCTCATTTCTATATATAGGGTGCCTACATTCTGCATGGACTGGGTTCATGGCAACATGTGCAAATGGCTTTAGATACCTATTAGGTCCATAAATTACCATATAGCATATATTCAACACAAAAAACAGTGGCAATTTGTTGTTGAGAAAGGACAGCTGGACATATAAAGGGCCCATTACCTTCAGTACCTGAGAGCCTTGTCAAACCTAAATCCGGTCCTGCATACAACACACATGCTATCACACATACATACAGAAACACAGATCACCCTCCCCATTTTACACACAGATACCTCCCCAGCATAGTGCTGCGCTTTAAGCCTCAGCAAGCTCACTGCTGCGGTGCGGACATTTCCCCGTTGCAACTTTGGGCTGGGTAGAGTGGGTTAAACCTCTCATCCTAGCCCAGTGTTTTGATTGGGGTGGGGGTTCCAGTGGGGGGGCTGGTGAGTCACTTCAAAGGGCTGCCCAGTTTGATCTGGCTTGTGGGTTCACTTTATCTGCCCTGATGGTTCATAGCAACCTGGAAGTGGAGATTAAAGTCAGCGCATGCATGCAATGAGGTTTAGAAAAACAAGCATGATTCCCTTAATAATTATTTTATTGTTTATACCCTGCCCATCTTGCTGGGTTTCCCCAGACACTCTGGGTGGCTTTTTATTATATTAAAAACATAATAAAAACATCAAGCATTAAAAACATCCCGATACAGGGCTGCCTCCAGATGTCTTCTAAAAGTCAGATAGTTGTTTATTTCCTTGACATCTGATGGGAGGGCATTCCACAGGGCAGGCGCCACCACCGAGAAGGCCCTCTGCCTGGTTCCCTGTGACTTCGCTTCTTGCAGCGAGGAAACCAGCAGAAGGCCCTCGGAAGAGGACCTCACTGTCCGGACTGAACGATGGCGGTGGGGACACTCCTTCAGGTATACTGGGACGAGGCCATTTAAGTGACCAAGGAAATAATGAGCCGTTCCTCACACACACCCTGGAACCTCTGCATAATCTCTGAACAGGTGGGAGGTCTAAACAGCAGCAGCCCAGAGACCCAACACATTTTCTTTGAGTCCCCGCTTGTTTCTCTATTAGGGCCTTCTGGATTAGGGACTGTTAATCAAGAACTGCTGCCTTGCTGAAATTAAATGAGGCCCCCTCCAATCAGTAGCTTGATTTTTAGTAGTGCTTTTGTTTAATGTTAATTTGTTGTCTAGTGCTCCTGTTAGCCCAAAACAGGATTCTGGGACTAGTTTCCAGATCACTCTCATTCTAATAGCCGATGGAAAGGTTGCTACTTTGGCATAGGCTAGAGCTGAAACCAGTTTGTTTTAAAATACTCCTTTGAGAGTTTATTAACAAATGCTGACCATGGTCATGTTTCTGACACCCAGTTACATAATGATGTGAGGCCCTCCTACTAGGGCTCTGGGACCTGAGTTTGTAGGTATTCTTAGTTGTTGAGGATGGTTGTGTCATTGGCTGAAACATAAGGTGTGTTAAAGTGCCCTCCTGGATTCGCCTATAGGGTGCAGTGCCCCTAGACCAGGAGCTTCCCAAACTTGCATCTTCAGCTGTTTTTGGACTACAGTTCTCATCATCCCTGACCACTGGTGCTGATAGGGATGATGGGAGTTGTAGTCCAAAAGCAGCTGGAGAGAGACCCAAGTTTGGGAAGCTCTGCTCTAGACCATTAGTTTCCACATCCGACTAAAGTGGATGAAAAGAAGCAATGAAAAAATTGTATGCTGCCCCAAGACCAAACTACAGACAGGGTGTGGGAGAGCCAATCTCCAAATATTTTTGCTTTTCCTAAAATGCTGTTATGCATCGGAACACAGGAAGCTGTCTTCTACCAAGTCAGGGCTTATCCACACTTAACCTTTTGCCCCACAATTTCTAGGGGCTTTCTTTGCAAAAACCTGCTCTTTACTGCTGAATCAGAGCAAACAATGATTCAGGTTTTCCATGGAATGCCATTTGTTCTGATTCAGCAGTAAAGAGCGAGTTTTCGTGGGGAAAGCATGGGGGGGGAACAAAGTGCTTGAACCTTTGCCTAGAAAGCGTGGGGCAAAAGGAAGTCTAAATGAGCTCCCAGACTACTGGTCCAGCTATTCAGTAGTGTCAGCACTGATCGTCAGTAGCTTTCCAAGCTTTTAGGCAGAGGTCTCCCAGCCCTATACAGAGGTGTCAGAGACTGAAACTGCAAATGAGGTGCTGTACCATGGTGCTATAGGCCTTTCCCATCTATGCACACGGTACTTGTGTGAATTTGATTGGACAACATTATATAATAGACAGGCACCATATCTGTTGTATTTTCGGTGGCCTGCTTAAAGACTCTCCTCATCCAACGAGACTTTTAAAGTGCAGATCCTATCCAGTTTCTGTACTGGAATAGTTCTTAAGATGCTTTAATTGTTTAATCCCTTGTGTGTTTGTCACCCTAAGCTCCTTTGAGAGGAAGGACAGGGTGTAAGATTAATAAATATGTAAATACAATAAAGAAACCATGGGTGGGGGAGAAAAGTGTTTAACTTGTGGACCATTTTTCTGATCAAAATTTGCTCCCACCAAGCTGCTTCCTCACCTGCAGGATATAGATTTCGGATCCCTGTATCTTCTCCCCTGCTTGAGAAAAACACAAGTGTGTGAGGGTCAGTTTGGGGAGGGGAAAGGGTTAGGCACGACTTTCCCCTATCTCTGCTGTGGTCAAATTTGCCACCCCCACATCTGTTTTTCAATAAGGAACCAAAAACCCCAAACCATCTGGAGATGGTCCACAGCTCTCCTGCATCATGTCTTTTGTGGCCCCCAAAATAACTCGATAGGCCACACTTTGTATTCTGAGCAACGCAGGCAGGAGCTGAAGGAGTGAGGGGCACAAAATGATATACTGCAGCATTCACAGGATAGTTCTGAACCCACTGAAACAACCCTTATATTCCAATTTTAACCTTTATATTCAGACGTTAAAATTGCATCAGACTTGAAGAGCTTTAAGCTTTTGTTTCAGCTCTTTTGAAAATGCTACCTTTGCGTTAATTATTCCCTCCCCCTTTGGTTTGAAAGAAACCTCCCTTCTCCATTTCTGCGTCTCTTCCTTCCTTCCTTGGCAGCTCCTCCACTGTAACCTCTTTCCCTTCTTCCCCACCAGGGCAGAGCTTAGGCTACGGCTTTGTCAATTATGTTGACTCCAACGATGCTGATAAAGCAATCAACACGTTGAATGGGCTCAAACTACAGACAAAAACAATCAAGGTGAGGAGGGTTGGGGTGGGCGGGCAAGCTGCCCTCAAGGTGCCTTCATGAAAGGAAGGCCGGAATGCATATCTGAGTTCAGAGGGGCACGGACCCTCTTTCCTTTCAGTTGTGTTTCACTGCCAGGGACTGTGCTGAGGAGGAATGGTGGGAGCCTCCTCCCCCCAAAGCTCCTGCTCAGGATCCTGAATCTTCCCAGCAGCCATGGGACAGTATAGATTTGGAACAATGGTTTGCAGAGGGGCATAGTTCAAAAGGCAGAAGTTGGGAAGAACTGGGTGATGAACAGCTAGGACAGCCTTTCTCAACCTGTGGGTCCCCAGATGTTGTTGAACTACAACTCCCATCACCCCTAGCTAGCAAGGCCAGAGCTCAGGGATGATGGGAGTTGTAGTCCAACAACATCTGGGGACCCACAGGTTGAGAACCACTGAGCTAGGAGAAGAAGAACTGGGAGAGAGAGAGAGTTAACAGACTTTCTTTCACTGGAAAGCACGCATCTGCTCAGCCCAAGGTCAAGGAGAACAGATAAGGTGGCTGCTCAGAAAGCACAGTGGTTTTGAGATCAGGTTGCAAGGCGCAGAAGTGACTAGGGAGAAAGTGGGTGGAACCCTTAATTGGGAGCACTTTCATTCCGAGGAATGGATTCTTTGTTCTTTCGCTATGATCAGTAAAAATTCTAACTGGTAAGAGACTCCTTTCACTTTGTTCTGTTTATCTACTGACCGGGGTGGGGTGGGGGGAGCCGAGTCCCTGACATTCACCCACTCAGGGCTTTCAGCACAGAATATGGGGTCATCCAGACATCCTTTTTGTTGTTGTTCCAGGCATTTTCCCCGGGAGAACTCACATTTTACCACTGAATCGGGGCAAACGGCAAACGGGTGTTTTTTTTTGCAGATTGACGTTTGCAGTAAGACATTGGTGTTCCCAAGGGAAACGCTGGGACAAACAAACTGCTCGGACACAGAGCTTTAAAACCTGGACCTGTGCCTAGAAAAGTGACATGAAAGGATGTCTGGATGAGCCCTAAGCTATACATCTAATCAGGGTTTCCCATACTTGAGTCTCCAGCTCTTTTTGGACTATAACTCCCATTATCCCTAGCTATCAGCACCTGTGGTCAGGGATGATGGGAACTGTAGTTTGAAAACAACTGGAAACCTAAGTTTGGGGAAACCCTGATCTCAACAAATCTGTGCAAATGATGGAAGGAGGCCAGAGTCTATGAAGGGGTGTAAAGGCAGAGTCTGGGTAGCAATATTGTTAGTATTGTTAATTATTATTGTTAAAGGTAAAGGTACCCCTGACCGTTAGGTCCAGTAGCGGACGACTCTGGGGTTGCGGCGCTCATCTCGCTCTATAGGCCGAGGGAGCCGGCGTTTGTCCACAGACAGCTCCTGGGTCATGTGGCCAGCATGACTAAGCCGCTTCTGGCGAACCAGAGCAGCGCACGGAAATGCTGTTTACCTTCCCGCTGGAGTGGTACCTATTTATCTACTTGCACTTTGACGTGCTTTCGAACTGCTATGTTGGCAGGAGCAGGGACCGAACAACAGGAGCTCTCCCCCGTCACGGGGATTCGAACCGCCGACCTTCTGATCGGCAAGCCCTAGGCTCTGTGGTTTAGACCACAGTGCCACCCGCGTCCCTCTTATTATTATTACCACACAGTTAATATGCATGGCACTGTGAAAAGAGAGGTTCCTGTCTCAGGTTGCTTACAGAGGAAGAGGATGGGAGATGGATGTGAAGGTAGGCAGGGGAGGAATAAAGGGGGAATCCTTGGCTCCCCTGGAAGAAAGTGGCAGCTGCTGGGGTTGAAGTGGGAGGTGGAAACAGAAAGCTCTTTCTTGAGAGTGTTTGTAATTCTGCCATCTCTGCCACCAGGTGTCCTACGCCCGGCCTAGCTCAGCCTCCATCCGTGATGCCAATCTCTATGTGAGCGGCCTACCCAAGACGATGAGCCAGAAAGAGATGGAGCAGCTGTTCTCGCAGTATGGGCGCATCATCACCTCCCGCATCCTTGTCGATCAGGTCACAGGTATTAAGAAGCGCATAAGTACCCTGCCACCAGCGCCACTGGTGGAAAAAGATTGCCAAAGGGACTTGAGCAGAGTGAGGAGAGGATTTATCATAGTCCTGGGGGTCCTTCAAACGGAGCAGGAAGGGTTGTGCCTGATGTGCCTATAATGCTATCATTGTAGGACATCATGTGCCTTTGCATGGGCTTGCGCTCTGATTTGCGTATCCTTTCTATCGCACTTGGTACATGGGCTCAGGCCTTGTCCACACAGGCAAACAAAGGTTGATTCTCATGTTGAGGATCAGTGGAGTTTCACCCGGATTCTGCAAATACCCAGAAACACTCTTGTCTATACAGTGGAACTTTGGTTCTCGAACTTAATCTCTTCCAGGAGTCCGTTCGACTCCCGAAACCATTCGAAAACCAAGGCGTGGCTTCTGATTGGCTGCAGGAGCTTCCTGCACTCAAGTGGAAGCCGCGTCGGACGTATGGCTTCCGAAAACCAGAACACATACTTCTGGGTTTTTGGAATTTGGGAGCCGATTTGTTCGTCAACTAAGCCGTTCGAGAACCAAGGTTCCATTGTATTACCACTTTGCATTTCCCAGGGCTAAATTAATTGTAATCTGGGGCCTGGATTGAGCCTGGACACTTATTTTCCGTATTCCTCGGTGCCTCGAATTCTGTGATAATGTCACAGGTAGCAAGAATGGCTTGTACTGAAGGGTTTTGTGCATGGCATTTTTGCACGTAACACTAAAAAATGGAAAGTGTGAGTGCAGTCATGAAAGAAGGGGGGGGGTTAAAAGCTCACGTGTGTTACAGATGCGCTCAGCGGGGAGCCAAAATTGGCTGCAGTTTCTTGTTGAGTGTACACACAGCAACAAATCTGGGTGTCCTTATTTTCCAATGTGTGGAATGGGACACATGCCCGTACAGTTGCGTGTTCCTCTCAAAAAATCAATATGTGCCAGTCTTAAAATGAGAAAAGAGTACACTATTACCCCTCCATAGCGTTTGTCTCCATTATAGCAAGGTGGGAGGATGGGAGGTGTATATGGAATTGGCCTTCCAAGCACAGATGGAAACCCAAGGACATGTGCTAACAACAACAACAGCAGCAGCAACAACAACAACAATGTATTTTTCGTTCCATAAGACACATTTTTTCCCTCCTAAAAAGGGGAAATGTGTGTGCGTCTTATGGAGTGAATGCAGGCAGGAGGCAGGCGGGAAAAGCCCCCAAGAGCTGCACACAGGCTCCGCGTGCTCTTTAAAGGAAGCGCGGCTCTTCCTGGCTTTTCCGCAAGGTGGGGGAAGAGACTGAGGGGCTGCCCTCTGTCCCTTCCCCCACCTCCCGCAAAAGCCAGCAGGAGCTGCGTGCTCTTTAAAGAGCCGCGCCTAGCGTGTGTGCAGCTCTTGGGGGCTTTTCCTCCTTGGGGGAAAGCTCCCAAGAGCTGCAAACATGCTCCACGTGGCTTGTGAAAGGGAGCGCTGAGCAGGGCCTGGGATGCATACAGGCTCTGCTCAGCGCTCCCTTTAAAGAATATATTTTTCTTGCATTTCCCCTCTAAAAACTAGGTCCGTCTTATGATCAGGTGCGTCTTATGGAGCCAAAAATACAGTAATAATAATTATTTATACCCCGTCCATCTGTGGGTTTCCCCAGCTACTCTGGGCGGCTCCCAACCAAATATTAAAAACACAATACAGCGTTAAACATTAAAAACTTCCCTAAACAGGGCTGCCTTCTGTCGCCAGATGTGGCAAGGACCACTAGCTTTAAAAGATGGCTTTAAAAGGGGGATTGGAAAAAGTCTACCAAAAACTGTTAGTTGTGACTCTAATACAAGTTGCTGTGGTAGAGACAACAGTAGAGAGCTGTTGCCTTCAAGCCTTCTTTGTGTACTTCCTGGAAGCACTTGGAGGCTAGTTTTGAAAGCAGGATATTGGGCTAGATAGATCTGCTTCATCAGCAGAATCCTTACAAGTTCTTACAAAGCAGCCATACACAGATGGAGCAGGTTTTAAAAAAGAGGACACATTAGGATCCTCCTCTGAAGTAAGTACAGGCATAGGCTGCACAGACTGTCTTTTAGAGTGATTATGGCATGCATACATTTTTTTAAAAAATAGAAATACTGTCCATTATCCTGTAGGGGAGAAATGTGATTCTGTGTGGGTTCTCACAGCCCATCTCACCACTGGCAGGAAGTAACCTTTTATTTGGAGAATATACCTGGGGCAGGGACAACCCCTTTATCCCCAGTTCCACCTCTTGTGGTAGGATGTTTTTGGCGACTGCTCTAGGCACAGCAAAAGAGAAGAGGCGGGAATGCCATATTGGAAGGCATTTTTTCCTTTGTTTGCTTCTTGATCCTCTTCCTGCTCCATTCCGCCACTCCTGCCGGGTTTTCCTTTTCTCCCGGCTCCAACCACTTCATTGGAGATGCGATAGGAGACATTCCTAGTAGACCTGGGCCCAGAGGATCATCCATAGTGGGGAGCTCGCCAAGAGGAAAATCAAGAGTGTGATTGCTATGTAACTAGGGAAGGGAAATGGGGAGGAGAGACTCTCCTGTTACCCCAAGTATGTGGAGGTACAAATAATGTGAAATTCTGTAAGAATTACATCTGCTTTTCCCCAATTCTAAAGCACTTAGGGCACCCTTGCTTGGAATCAGCACCTTTCTAACTCTTTGCAAGCTCAAACTGTGCCACATTTCTGGTAAACTCTCCATCCCAGTAGGGCTTATTTCTCCAGCTCTTTGTCCCATCTTTTCCATGATGCCGCTGTGTGTCTGGGAGTGCAGAGCTCAACCCTAGAACATGTCCAGCAATAAGTAAGAAATCACGGCTTTCTACATATGTCAGGTGCTCCTGCTCCACTGAGTAGCTACACCGATCCATACTACTTATGGGAAGGACTTCAGGCTGAGACTGTGTGGGTGCCAGGCCCCATATCACCTCTTAGAAGCACTTGCATTCTCCTCATTTGTTTGTTTGGAAGGTTTCAAAAAATCCCTTGCCATAACAGATTCTGTTCCTGTAATAAGAAAACACCAGATACAATACACCACATAATTTTGGACTGTCCTTTTCTTGACACCCTTCGCAGAGATCTCCTAGTGACTCCCACACAGCTCAAAATATTGACTTGCAAGGAGTCTATAATCCAATATTTGTTGGGGGATGATACTTCTGAAACTACCAAGATTATTTTGGGGTACTTAGCTGAGATATTTAAAGATTAATCTAGAGTCTGATTTATCCAATGGTGGCTATCCAGTCTTTTATATATTGTATGTGTTTCAAACATCCAGGGACACTAAAAAGGAAAATTAAACAGATGTTACAAAGAATGCAAGGTGCTAGGGAAAAAAATGCAAGAAGTGTCTGTCTTCAGATGAGCAATATAGTCAAACCTCAGTTCCCAAACAGCTCTCTTTTGGAACATTTCGGCTCCCGAACGCCAAAAACCCAGAACGAAATGCTCCGGTTTTCGAACGTTTTTTGGAAGCTGAATGTCTGACGCGGCTTCCGGTTGAGTGCAGGAAGCTCTTGCAACCAATTGGAAGCCGCGGCTCGGTTGTCGAACATTTTGGAAGCCAAACGGGCTTCCGGAATGGATTACATTCGACAACCGAGGGTTGACTGTACCATACTGTAGCCCCGCATTATCAACAAAGCAGGTGCCCTCACCAGCATTCATACGACACCCATGCCATTCTGACTCCTGCTCTTCCAGGTGTCTCTAGAGGAGTCGGTTTCATCCGCTTCGACAAGAGGATAGAAGCTGAGGAGGCCATCAAGGGGCTGAACGGGCAGAAGCCCCTGGGCGCCAGCGAACCCATCACAGTCAAGTTTGCCAACAACCCCAGCCAGAAGACAGGACAAGCTTTGCTCACGCATCTGTACCAGACCACAGCTCGGCGGTACACGGGACCTTTGCACCACCAGACTCAGCGATTCAGGTGAGACACCTTCCCCTCTCCTCTGCTGGAGGGCTGAGAGTTCAGGTTGTTCTTCTCCTCACCCGGTCCCTGGCAGCTCCTGCCCTATGCTTGGGGGAAACCTAGGACTCAGATACCCAGCCTCATCATTTGCCTGTCTGTTAGAGCTGAGTGTCCACAGGTGTGGCTAGTCTCTAAGTAAACACAAGGCGAAGATGTGCGGTTGAATCCTCTGCCACCTTCCAGTGTCCCTTTAGCACAATCTCACTGGCTGTTCCTTAAGAGATTGCCTTCTGTAAAGCTGACCCGTTGGGCTTGGGCTTTGTTCTGGTACTGCTCTGTGCACTTCCTTAATATACTGTGGATCAGGGCACCTTGGGGGGCTCCTGGATTTCCTCCTGGACTCCCTCCTTCTCTTGAGCCCATGCCTTACATTTGGGTCTTAATAACGAGGCAGACAGGAACAGTACCATTCAGTGGCTACCTCATGCTGAATTCTTCAAGGCAGGAAGGGACCAAGTCATGAGTATCTTTCAGGTTGTTGCTATGCTGAATTGGAAAAGATTACAGGGCATCTGGTCTACCAGATGGTTAGAGGCGGTCTGTGTGCTCCAGTGATGCTCACCTGAAAACTGCTAGGATTAGTGGTGGTGAGGCCAGGCACTTCCACTGTGAGTGGGCCTCTTAGTGCCTAGCTGCATTTTCCCCTAGTAGTTTTAGCAGCAGCTGACCCTGCCGCTCCACTCCAGAAACAGCCACATCTCAGTATTCAGTAAAGGGACGGTTGTCTATATAGCTTGAGGTTCTGCTGGATCTAGAGGGCAGCCACATTTCCATCAGGTGTAAACAGAGGAAATGCCATCTTCCTAAGTACCAATGTGTGCCATTTACCAGTTGTATTGTGTTCCTCAGGGCAAGGTTGGGACAGATGAGCGTCCAGATTCCTTTTGTGTGGGGCAGGTCCTGTAAGAAACAGGAAATTCTTTTTGTACATTGTTTTGGGAATCGTGATCCATGAATTCTCATATACAGTGGTACCTCGGGTTAAGTACTTGATTCGTTCTGGAGGTCCGTTCTATACCTGAAACTGTTCTTAACCTGAAGCACCACTTTAGCTAATGGGGCCTCCTGCTGCCGCTGTGCCACCGGAGCACAATTTCTGTTCTCATCCTGAAGCAAAGTTCTTAACCCGAGGTACTATTTCTGGGTTAGCAGAGTCTGTAACCTGAAGCATATGTAACCCGAGGTACCACTGTACCCCATTTCCTTTTTTTCAATTTGTAGGTAAGATGGGGAGGGACAGATTATGAGGGCCACCTGAAGGTCTGCAGTAATCCCTAAGCAGCCCCTTAGCCCGTTTGGATTTGAAAAGTCTAAGGCAAACTGAAATAAAGCCTCAAGGCTGTTAACCCCGCACTCCCCGTCATTTGGCGTCGAATGCCTGGTTGCATCTGAACTCCAGATCTGCATCACATGTATGTTTTCTCCCACGTTTTTCATGAATTTTTTTTTTTGTTATCTCCTGCTTTACATGTGATATTTTTCCCACATGGCATCGAGAAACACCCTGTGTACACCTGCTGGGTGTGAAGATGGTGCATACGTCTGCTTTCGATGTGACTTTGATGTGTGGCAGCGTGCATGGATTAACACAGATTTATCTTCATGCCCAAACAGGAAAAAGAATCATGTGTGAGAGAACTGTTCACTTCTTTTTCAAAGTGACGTTATTTGAGACTCATTATGTGGTACCTACTCATCACATATTTATTCAGCTTCATACTGTCCCCAAATCTCTGAAGTTGTTTATCTTCCTAACGCTCTAGGATGGCTGGTAGTCCCAGCTAACAGCTTGAGAGCTGAGAGGGAAACTGGGAGGGAAACTGAGATACGAAAGCTAGGAGCTAAATGGCACCTTAAACCTAGGTTATGGGCACACAACGGAATGTCTAGGCGGGCTTTTTTATAACGAGAATACAAAGCTGAAATTGAATGAACTGCAGCTAAAATATTATGTTCACTTTTCCCATGGTATAGTCCTTTCCCTGATCACCTTCCCCTAATATTCTTAAAAGAGGGTCTCTTCTCCAGTCTTCGGAGAGTAGCTGGAAGTGGGGAGGCAGAAAAAGGTCCTCCTTACCTTCCACACTGTGTTTTTAATCTGAAATCTTAGGCGCAGTACTGCGCCCAGAGCTCAGAAACTACTCGCGCTAATGAAATCCCCTGTCGCAAAACGCGCCTAGAACAATGGGAGTTTCAAACACTGGGATTGCCCAGGCTTTGATAACACAGGGAAGTTCATAGTTGAGGTGGAACTTAACCTGGGTCTTGAGCTCTTCATGTTGCCCACCAAGCAGTAGAAGTTGTGTTGTGCATCTCATGCTAAATAGCAAGATTAGAGCACTCGCTGCAGGAAGTGGCTGCGTTTTTAAAGGAATTGAGCCTGCTGCATCCAACTGGCAAAGGTGGGGAAAGAGCAGTGGCAAAGAGAAATGCAGAGAGGCTTGTATTAGGCGGTGGTGCTCATCATTAGATTAATGTTAATATTTGCCTGCAAGAGGCGATCTATTTTATCATTCAGGTTCTGTGGAGAAAGGTATAGAATGCGAAGGTGCTTAAGGACAAACATATCTGCCTCTAGTTCAGTGCACCCATGAGACAACAAGCTTCTCTTTCACATTTGCAAGTGTCTTTTTTAGGTAGTCATTAGAGAGATCCAGAACATCACCTCCTTGCCCATGCAACAGCGTTAGAAATTCCTTATTGCTCAGACTTAAAGATGACTGCAGAAACTGAACGTTTGCTTTCACTTGCTTGCTGCTCCGTAAGAGGATAAAGACATTTTTAGAAATTATCTGTTTTACAAAGTCATCATGATGGGTTTGGGCATAGGCTGTGCATATTTGACCTAGGATGTGGGTGGCACTGTGGTCTAAACCACTGAGCCTCTTGGGCTTGCCGATCAGAAGGTCACCGGTTCGAATCCCCCGATGGGATGAGCTCCCGTTGCTCTTGCCAACCTAGCAGTTTGAAAGCAAGTAGATAAATAGGTACCGCTCCAGCGGGAAGGTAAACGGCGTTTCCATGCGCTGCTCTGGTTTTGGTGTTCCGTTGTGCCAGAAGCGGCTTAGTCATGCTGGCCACATGACCCGGAAAAACTGCGGACAAACACCAGCTCCCTCAGCCTGTAAAGCGAGATGAATGCCGCAACCCCAGAAACATCTACGACTGGAATTAACTGTCAGGGGTCTTCTACTTTTTCTCTTCTTCTTTTTTTGACCCTGTAGGAAAGGTGGTTTGGATACTAGAATCATACCAGGGCTTGTGGAGGAAGTTTGTGGTAGAGCGAGTGAGCAGCTGTGCCCTTTGGACTTAAAAACATTTTGAGTGCAGCAGGGAACAGAGATTTATCTAGCCTTGCCTCCCCAGAGGACTGTTATGGGTGTTTCCTTCGTTTCTTGGAGAAGGAAATTGCTGCGATTGGGAGGTAGACTTCCTGAACTATTCTGTTGCCCGTCTCTGTGAGGCTGAACCGGTAATAATCTCCTGTTGCTCCCTTATCATCTGAGCAGAAGACATTTCTGTTGCACTCATGTGCCTCTCTGTCACCTTGAAGGGTTGCTTCGAAACCAAAAAGGCCATAGGTTTAGATATATCGATATTGTAACCGGAGCCTAGAAACAATGGATTTTAAAATCTATATATAGAGAGGTTAGTTGCCACTTTGGTGTCGGAGAACAGGAAACTGAGTATTTTGAACAGTATCTTGCACCATCCTACCTTCTGTTGCCTCTCCACATTCCATGTCCTTCAGGTTGTGGGCGAGTTCTTCATATTTATTTCCTCCACCCACCCACCTTGGCCATACTCTGTGTCCACTGCTAGCTGGGATGGGAGCCCAAAGGATTCTGGGCTGTGTCTGAGAAGAACCGACTTGGAGCAGAGGGTACACCTGTGTATTGCACTGAATGTGCCTAGCCCCAACAACACCCCCCCTGCTGTTTTGCACAGGCATCAATGGCAACTTCTCTTCCTGGAGCAAATAGCACCTTTGCAGCAGGGAGGGATTTTTTTTTTGTCAGGATAGTGGAAGTGGGGCTGGGTTAACCATGCACACACAAACACGCATGCTATGCCATACTACGGGTTATATGACAGTTTTACGTACAGTGGTACCTTGGGTTAAGTACTTAATTCGTTCTGGAGGTCTGTTCTTAACCTGAAACTGTTCTTAACCTGAAACACCACTTTAGCTAATGGGGCTTCCTGCACGATTTCTGTTCTCATCCTGAAGCAAAGTTCTTAACCCGAGGTACTATTTCTGGGTTAGCGGAGTCTGTAACCTGAAGCGTATATAACCTGAAGCGTCTGTAACCCGAGGTACTACTGTATTGTCTATTTTTGGCCTTAAAGTGTGGCAGGGGCTGGGAGAACTCCTCAGGGTAAACAGGCTGTTCAAAGCTCAAGGGGTTTCTTGTATCCCAAAGCCCTGCCCCGCTTTTGGTTGAAGTTGTGATGAATTTAAAGGAGTGGTTTTTGGCTTCCAGGCATGTTCTATGGAGCCACTGAGTGCTCTGTAATTGTTCTGTTTGCCCTCTCCCATGGAGAGCAAAACGACCTTGGGTTGCTAGTAGGCTAGTTCAGATTTCTGTCCTGAAAGGTCTAATGTAAGCTGCCACACCCAGGTTTAGAATCTGGTGATTCCTTCTCCTCTTTCTTAGAGATGTCTGTGGTGAATTTCCCTTTTAACCCCATCAGCTAATGCAGATACATTCCGACAATTCAGGTAGAGAGAATCCACCAAATGGAATTACAGCGGTACCTTGGTTCTCAAACTTAATCCGTTCCGGAAGTCCGTTCCAAAACCAAAGCGTTCCAAAACCAAGGCACGCTTTCCCATAGAAAATAATGCAAAGTGGATTGATCCGTTCCAGACTTTAAAAAACAACCCCTAAAACAGCAATTTAACATGAATTTTACTATCTAACGAGACCATTGATCCATAAAATGAAAGCAATAAACAATGTACTGCGGTCACACTGTCAATCAATCAGTAGTTGAACTGGGTTCCACACAGTAACACACAAAAAAGAGCCGCAAAAACAAAAACGCAAAATAAATAGCGAAAACAGACATAGCTCAGCATAACACTCAAAACGGAAACATGGAACCCAAAATGGAAGTGTGGCACTCAAAACTGAAGTTTTGGCACTCAAATTGGAAGCATAACACTCAAAATGGAGCATTCCTGGCTTCCCAAAGAAGTTCGCAAACTGGAACACTTTGCAGTGTTTGGGTTCCAAGTTGTTTGAGTACCAAGGCGTTTGAGAACCAAGGTACCACTGTACTGTGTAGAAGTGAGGAATACAATGTTTCCAGAAAGCCATGTGTCTAAGCCCTTCCCAAAAAGTGGGATTATCAACCCAGCTACTTTCCCACAATCCAGGTCAACTTTTAGCTATAGTATCTACAACATAATTTTATCAGAAAGAAAGCAATAACAATACACTAGGAGAATTAAAATAGCCTCTCTGCCTACTAGACAAGGAATTTTGTGCTGCTGGAAGGCTTTTCTGATAACCCACTTCTTCCTTTGGTCCAAAAGCCAATTTAGGTCCCAACAGGCAGGTTAAATTTTGGTTCAGTTTGGTGAAGTAATGATGGACTGAATTGTAGGTTCTGGTCACTTATGTTTGAACTCCCTGCTCATACATATCCGATGGACCCATACGCAGATGATCTTCATAGGCATGGCACCTGCACGGTGTACGACATGCCATAACATGACACACATGCAAAAGTCATACATATGCATGGAACATGCGGACATAGATATTTTTCTGTGTCTTGGCTCATTAAACTTCCGTTTATGATGGAGCCACAACATACATGCTAATAAACACATCCATGGATCTGGGAGGTGTTATGTTTCACCCATTAAATGCTCTCTCCTGCATGTGCAATCTAGTTTATTAGAAATGCACCTCATAAGTAAGGCCTGGATATCTGCACTAGGAAAAATACTCCCAAGTCCTATTACTAAGTTATAAAAATTGTGCTACTGAAATGTGTATACTGTATGCAATTGCACCGTTTGGGGGAGTTCTTAGCAAGATTTTGCCTTTCTGCACCGCATTCTTTGAAGAGATGAGATTCTGGAAATCCAGATATGTGTAGTTGATGGGATGAGGGACCATTTTAAAGGACAATAGAAGCAGGAAGGCCAATAGGGAAAAGTACTAATACTGGTAGCTTCGCCCATTGGAAGCTCAGGCAACCTGCAGGTTTTCAGATCTTTGCTAGCAACTATTAAGACTAAACTCTTGCCTTTAAAAAATAAAGAGTAAGGCAAGTTGCCTAGATTCCATGGCATGATGGTAACCATGCAGATTCTTAAGCAAATCAACTGAAGACAATTCAGGGTTGCCGCATGAAATCTGGACACAGCTCTGCAGAGGAAAGTAAGTCCTAACAAGAGGGGGTGGCAAGTTGTAACTGTAAATATGTTTCCCATGTTCTGTTCTAGGTGTTCTCTCTCTCTCTCTTTTTTAAAAAATGATTGATTATTACCATAATCATCATCATCATTTTTGAAATGCAGACACCGTTGCCCTTAATTAATTAGTGCCTGTCCATTACCCATGCATCTCAGTATGTGAAAAACAGATTATAAACAAACAAAATAGATGGAGCTCCTTTCCCATTGCTGTTCAGCATATATATATATACATATATATATATATATATATATATATTTCCAAACCTAAGACATTTAAATTCCTCCAGGGCCTCCAAGTGCACTTGCACATATGCAAACAGCAACCTGTGCTTAGTCTCAGGAAGCAAGCGCTGCCTTGCTGCGGCACTAATAGCCAAGCCAGATGGCACCGCAGGACCCTCTTGTTATGAGATCGTCTACTAACAATGGCCTCTCCTCGTCTTCCTCTTCCTCCCACAGGCTCGACAATTTGCTAAACATGGCATACGGCGTCAAGAGGTAAATAGCCTTCAAAAGCCTACGCTCCTCGCCACTCCCCCCCTCCCTCCCCACCTTGGCCCACAGCACAAGGCTGGATTTTAAAAAGGTGATTGTCAACACAGCCCCAGAGGCGAGAGCCCCCACCCCACCTTGGCCTTAACAGTGCAGCCGCACTCATCCTTTTAGAAAGCAAATGTGGGTGTCATGATTAGACATAACATTGGTAGTCTCCTAAGGTATCTGACTGTTTTTCTTAACCTTAAAGGAGAAAAAAAACGTAGACAACTTTATTTGTGGTTGCTTGGTTCAATACCCACCCCTCCCCAATACTAATTTTTTAATTTGTAATCATTTCCCCTCTTTTTTCTTATTCCCCCCACCTCCCTCAGCGAGCATGGGAATTTAAAAGTACTATAAAAGTTAAAACAATAGAATCCCTCCATCTTCTGCCTTAGGCCTGTGGAATTTGGGTTTGTGTGTCTTGGGGGACACGCTACAGACCTTTCATGCCTCTCTTTTCGTTCTGTTTTGGGTTTGGTTCGAGAGAAGGGTTTGCTGTTTTGCTCAGATGACTGGCTGTTCCTTATATAATTTTTTTTTTTGGTCTTGTGTTTATCTGTTGTCACTGTGTTGGGTGCTTCTTGGTTTCATTTAGTTGTGTTGCTTGAAGGACAGAAATTAGACGGTTGCTCCAAAGGTGAATTGGGAAGGCGGACAAACTTTATACCAAAGACAGATACATCTGAGAGCTAGAAGGCTGTCAAACATGTTACAACAATTACTGTTTATATTTCACGTCCCAATCTTCCTTCGAAAGCTCAGAGCAGCTTAAATGGAGCTCTCTGTAGTTCCACATTCAGGCATTGAGCAAGCTCATTCCTCCTTAGGTCCAAAATTCCTAGGCCCCAAATTGAGCCTGTGTCGTTTTAAGTGGTTGCTATGCCAGCATCCTTCATGAGTGGTCCAGTCTGCCCTGGAGATTCCTAGCAATGCCCAGCTGTTTCCTCAGATTCAGCAAGAAGCAGCTTGACTCTTCTGCAGAACTGCCTTCCTTCACGCCTCCTGTTCCCAACAAGATTAGAGGGGAGCGTTGTTGTTCACAGAGAATTTTCTATGCAATAGCACAATCGTGTGCATGTGTTTATTCTGACGTAAATCCCACTGAAGTCAATGGGGCTTCCTCCCAAGTAAATGAGCATAGAATGATTGCCGCTGAAGTCAAGTAAATTAGCAGACACTTACACGACTGCTCTACTGCAGCAGGCTGGAGGTTGAAGATATTCTCTGCACAGAACCACTCCGATACATTCACTTCAACCTGTATTAGAAAAGCTTAGTTGCAGCAGGCAGGTAGTATTGGTGAGCCATTCAGCCACGAATAACAGTGTGTTCTGGATCAATAACAAAAATTACACATCCATATACAGAGTTGTGGTGTGAAACAACCCAGAGGGACGCGGGTGGCGCTGTGGTCTAAACCACGGAGCCTCTTGGGCTTGCCGATCAGAAGGTTGGCGGTTCAAATCTCTGCAATGGGGTGAGCTCCCATTGCTCTGTCCCAGCTCTTGCCAACCTAGCAGTTCGAAAGCACACCAGTGCAAGTAGATAAATAGGCACTGCTGCAGCGGGAAGGTAAACTGCGTTTCCGTACGCTCTGGTTTCCGTCACGATGTCCCGTTGCAGCAGAAGCGATTTAGTCCTGCTGGCCACATGACCTGGAAAGCTGTTTGTGGACAAACGTCGGCTCCCTCGGCCTGAAAGCGAGATGAGCACTGCAACCCCATAGTTGCCTTTGACTGGACTTAACTGTCCAGGGGTCCTTTACCTTTTACCTGAATCAACCCACAGATCCAGGTTATCCAAACATTTCAATTTTCTTTCTTTCTTCTTCTCCAAAACTGGGGTGGACGAGGAAAGGGAAGGAAATAACTGGAGCACAGGTGGTCACCAGCAACATGTCAGAAAACAATAGCTGGCTGGGCAATGGGACGAGAGAGAGACATAGGGAAGTTTGTACTATACCTGTTCCTCACAGCAAGCTCTGCCCCACATCCTGGGCAGGATGCACCTAATGAGTCCCATCACTGGAATCCCTTGTACAATGGGCTTTCCCCTCCTTCTCTCCCCCTTCCCTGTGCCAGAATTGGCTTTGGGGGGCTTGGGAGAACCCCCATAACAGAGCTCAGGGGCGGAGAGGGGGGGTCATTTCGTCTGGCAAGCTGAAATGCTTGAGCTGACGGAACAATTGGAAGAGCACGACATTGAATTCCTCCCTGTTTCATTAGAATCATTTCTAAGATGTTATTTGCTACCATGAAGTTTATAACTTGGCGTGGGGGGTTTTTAAGTTTGTTTTTCTTTAAATGGAAAATGAGATTCTCATTGTGCCAGATTCTGCATGGGATTCCAATTTCAGGACTTGCATGATGAACTCATTCATGCACAGGAAAAGTCACCGTCTCCTTCGTTAGGAGCCCTTCCATTTTACCCTTGAGGTTACTTCGTTATTAGAGCCAAGAAACCTGAAGGCCAAACAGGGAGACTCGTGGCACACTTGCAGGCTGAACCAAGCTGGGGGAACATCTAGCACAGGCAGAAATACCCTTGAAGGAGTGTGAATTAAAATGTCACCTCACCAAAATCTGTGTGGGAAATTACAAAGGTAGGCTTGTACAGAGGTACCTTGGTTGTTGAATGCCGTGATACTCGGACGTTTTGGCTCCTGAACGCCGCAAACCCAGAAGTGAGTGTTCCAATTTGCGAATGTTTTTCGGAAGCCGAACGTCCGACGTTGCTTCCGCAGCTTCCAATTGAGTGCAGGAAGCTCCTGCAGCCAATCGGAAGCCATGCTTTGGTTTTTGAACTGTTCCGGGAGTCAAACGGACTCCGGGAATGGATTAAGTTCGACAAGCAAGGTACGACTGTACATCAAATTCAACCTGAAGGATCCAGGTCTTTTGGTAGGAACTGCCTGTGCCCTTTCCCTCCTGCCCCTTGGAGCCAAGGCTTGTAGGAGTGAACTGCCGGTGCCTCTCCCTTTCCCCTGAGAAGTAGGTAGCGCTGTTCCTAACCTGTCCATATTGCAGTGAGCTCATGCTGGTAGAATGCCAGCCTTACACCCAAAGTAGTCCTCTCTCCTTGATCTCCAGGTTCTCTCCCATCACGATCGACAGCATGACCAGCCTGGCGGGAGTCAACCTGACAGGGGCCTCCAGTGCCGGCTGGTGCATCTTTGTGTACAACCTCTCCCCAGAGGCCGATGAGAGTGTCCTGTGGCAGCTCTTTGGGCCTTTTGGAGCAGTCACCAACGTCAAAGTGATCCGCGACTTCACCACCAACAAGTGCAAGGGCTTTGGCTTTGTCACCATGACCAACTACGACGAAGCAGCCATGGCCATCGCCAGCCTCAATGGCTACCGACTGGGCGACCGAATTCTCCAGGTTTCCTTCAAGACCAGTAAGCAACACAAGGCATGAGCGAGCGAGCGGGGCGAGAGAGATGGCGGGAGGGGTGGGGTGGGGCGAGCGGCAAGGATGCTGGAAAACAGCCCTCTTCCCCGACTCGCCACGAGAACGGAAATGTTCATTGACTCAAATGTTGCAGAATATTTAAAACAAAACAAAAAACCGCCAGACACCGTGATCTTCTCTGGGAAGCAGGAGGCTTCTCCCGCTCCCCCTCCCCTGTGCCCGACAGCCCAGCAGGGAGCACGGACGTGGCAACATGTCAGCCACCTTTTGAAAACCGATCCCTGCTCTTGGCAATGTGCAGGGGAGACATCCACTCAGAATAGAACACCTCTCTGTTTCTGTGACCCTACTGCGCCCCCCCCAACCCGGTCCCTTGTCCTAGGCTTTTCTAACATACTTTACCCAAGTCAGAAGCTTTCCCCAATCTTCCATCCTTCCTTCCCTCTTTGAATTCTGACCCCTTATATTGTTCCTTTCGATGGGCAGGTTTCCTGGCCCCGGGAGGATGAAAACCACTCTCTCCTGTAAGGTGTGATATAGAAACACTCCCGACTCTCCCCCCCCTCCAATATTGCGGATCAGCAAATCCAAGAATTGTCACGACTGCTTTTCTGAGCTAGCCTAGGGGAGGAGGAGTTACAACAATCCAGCTCACCACTTTTGTCCTTCTTGGATGCAAAAAAAATAAAATACAAAAAAGTACAAATGTGGTGGGTGGACAATGCTCTCATCTCATCCCTTGGTCTAAAATGTTAGCGATATTGTTTGTTAATCCTACCACCTTGCCTGGCCCTTAATTAGAATGATGTTGTATTTGGGAAATAAACCCAACCCCATATGTCCTGAACGGGGGTCCTTCCTGCCTTTCCCCAGAGAAGCCTCATTCCCTGGGGGAAAAGCAAAGGCCCCATATATATTTTTTCTGCTCTGTTTTGTAAGTTTGCATATCAGGTTTGATAATTTGCTTACGTCCTGGAATAATTTGGGATTAAAGTAAGGAGTGTGGGTCATGGCGATAAGCAAGCGAGAGAGGCCAGGGACCTGGCACAGTGTCCAAGATTCCTAGTCGATTAATCAGGTTGTGTGGACTAGATGGGTCAAGTTTCTTTTCGGGTCAGAAATATGGACTTGAATCAGGTGGTGGTACAATTTAAACCTGCTGTTTTGCCTCCTCTCCCAAAATCAAGCCTTTCATTCTTTCCTTCTTTCTTTATAAATTTTTAGGCGAAGAATTTGTTAAGACCAAGCATGGGGCCATCTGAGAGAGAGGAGGGAGCCAACCCCCCACCCCCAAACTGTGTTAGTTAACTATCCTGATAAGCTAGAAAGTTGTTTTTGATTAAAGGGGGAGGTACAGGAGTGGGAATGGGCTGGTGGGTGAGTTTTCCCTTTCTCTTTTTCAATGTTAGATCAATCTAATGACTGAACGAAAGGGGGAAATGATACATTAAAAAGGCTGAAATGGGAAACAAAATGAAAACAACAGCAAACGTTTAGAAAGATTTTAAAAAAATCTATTTTTATAAAAAAGGAAAAGAGACCTTGTTGGAAATTTTTACTGGGATTCTTGAACTTCACACACACACACACACACACACACACACACACACACAAATTCAAAGGGAGAAATGGAAAGCAAGTCACTAAGTGCTACTGCTCTACACACACCAGTCATTCATTCCCAATGGCCTTTCCAGACAAGTGATGGGGATGTCCATATTGTATCAAATTTCACAGATACAGGTAGCTTGGTAGCTTGGAGACACACAAGAGTCTCCATATAATGAACTGGGATTTTGGCATGAGCTTTGTTATGGCGTTGAGTTGGGGGATAGCCATAGTTCTGAGCTGGGACGGTTCCTACCTGAAAGCTGAGCCTTCCCTTCCCTTTGCTAATTCCACCCAGGTTTGCAAAACGACTTGGCGGTGCAGCGGTTGGGGTTGAGCCTGGCTTTGTTGCAGGGAGGGTTTAAACGCCAGCGAAAGCAACTGAGCCCACCAGCACAACTGTGGCGGCTCACAGTGACTGAAGGCATTTTTAAAAGCGTGAGACTTCGAAAGGAAACCGAGTTCAGTTAGTGCCGTATAGAGAGGTGCTGGGAGCAGGAGAAAAAAGGCATGGCTTTTTCCAAAGGGTGGTGTACCAACAGATGCCAGCTGCTGCCAGTTGCATAGCAGCAGTTTCACAAGCACCCCAAACAGCAGTGAGTAAGGCCCGTGTGCTTTCTCCACACCAGAAGCATGCTGGGAAGGTAGCTGCTTTTCTTGACCTATTGTCTTTTTCCTGCCACACCCTCTCCGTTGCCCCCATCCCCAGTTGCCTGGAAAGTCTTTGAGAGTCTTGTGCAGGAGCAGCACTTAGTGCCTCAGATCCCAAGGGTTTTGGATTGTTCTGTCCCTCCCTTAGCTGGGCAGAAGCAGCAGCAAATTGCTTTCAGGATTCTTTTTTCCCCCTAGCCTTTTTTATTTTATTTTAATGCTTTTCTTGTCTTTGTGTGTCTTGTTAGGGGCTGGGGAAAGGGCAGAAGGGGCTGCAGTCACCTTACGGCTTTTTGCAACATCCCCACCAGACTTCTCTCTTACCCACCCAGCCCCTGCCAAAGGGACAAAAAGCCTAGGAAACAGTTTATTTCTTTAAAAACAACAACAACAATGGTTTAGGCTGTGTGCTTAATACCGTTTTACACACGTCCATTTTCAGAGTTGTTTCCCTGCTAAGATTTCTTTTGGCTTTTTCATCGGAAAAGCCATCGAGTGAAATTTATAAAAAAGAAGCACCCCAAAACAGTTAGTGCTGCTAGAGTATGGAAGCTGATTTGTGCAGATAGGTTTGGTTCTGCAGGAAAACCCTGCTGCTGCTGGGTGGGGGAAGAGGGGCTCTATTCACCCACCTCTCAATGCATGCCTGATATCTACCCTTAGCAAAGAGACAACATGGTCCTCAATGGGGGCACGGTAGCAAGCAACTCCTCTAGCTGTTGCGGAGGACACAGAGCCTGAAGTGTCTCAGATGTCACTGCCCACTGCTGGCGCGCCAAGGCTGTTATGCATGATGCTGCAAAACATCTTGGAAAGAAGAGGGAGAATTAGATCCGCAGAGGTCCGTGTACGACGCAATGGACATCAATTACGGAAAAGTAGATTAACATTCAGTTTCCCAAAGGCAAGGCAGCTTGATCCAATTTGGGAGGCTCCTGGGCAGTCCATTAAGCGTAGTGCTATAATGATGGGCTAAGTGCAGGGGCAATCAGGAGAAGGATCATGAAGGAAAAGCAGGGACCCTCTTATTTTGAGGGGCGTCTCTTGTTTGACACTGACTTCTGGTAGTATCCCACATCCATATACTGTAACTAGAGTCCACAGCTCCAACAGTCTTAAAAATTAAAGGGTTCTCTTTATGTTAATTATGGATCCAGCCGTTTCATGTAAGAGACCAAGGATAAGTTGGGTAGGCGGGGAGTAGGGAAAACTGGTCCAAAGAAGGTCATGCAGCTGGAGGCTGGGGAATCTGCAAATGCTCCCTCCTAGGAGCCTGGCATTATACTTCAGAAGAGTGCAACAGGAGACAAGCTGACGGGCCTGGGGGTTGAAATTGCTTGTCTTGGCATTTTCTGAGGAAGGACTAGATAGGGAGCAGCGAGCACTTGCTAGGGAGGCACCAATTCTTCTCCTTCCCCTACCATTTGAGTGGACACGAGGCAGAACATTTGCCACTTGCCCTTTCCAGGCAGCTTAATGCAACCAAATAGGTCAGCTCTTTGACCCCCTTCACTGTTGAATGGAGATCTCGGGGCTGTTTTGGCAATGTCTTTGCTCTGCTTTGTCCATGTGGCTTCCTAGAACAGCTGAGCGCAAGTCACACTTGGCCAGGGGAACTGCACGGCCCGGTTTGTGGGGCGGATGAGTCCAACATGATTCCTGGTGATGCCACAAGGGATGGCTGTGCCACGCCTTCCTTTTCAATAAGGGGCACAGTTTTCTGTTCCTCCTCCGCCTTCCTAGGTGGAGGCATTGGCAAGACCAAACAGTCCAGTGTCCATCTGGGCATTTGATAACTCCATGTTCATTTTTTCTCTCGGCTCACTCAAGTCAGTTCCGTTTCCCACCCGCCCTCACTCCGAATTAGCCACATGCCCTGGCAGCTCTGAAACGGCACCACCTTTTCGCCCTCAGCCATTCTGCTAGATTTAGTGCCTGCTCTGCTGTGGCTGGTCCATCCCCGAGAGAGAATACGTCCCCACAAAGCCAATCACCTCTGTAAAGCAACACTGCACTTAGCCACAGTGGACTCCAGCAGCCGAGGATGTCTTCTGACTTTCCAGCAGAAGGTCTCCGGTGCGCTGGGCTGTAGGAGAAACATCGGAGCGCTTTCCACCATGCTGCGAGGCAGTTGTGGAGCAATCTGACCCGTAGGAAGGCCTTGCAATTCCCATGCTTTAAGATTTCTCTCAGGGGGCTTCTCTTTTCCTCTTGGCAGCAATAAACCTTCCAGTCTTTTGAGATGCACACTCCTGCTTGGGTTCTTGGTCCGAGGCAGCATGGGCCAGTGGTCACGGCATGGGCCAGTATGATTGCTTTGTGCTCATCTCGCAGGAGGGTGAGCGCCTCAGCCCACCTTTCTGGATCCTTGCCAAAGACATGCTTCTTGTCTGCTGGACATCTAGCTTTCAGCATGACATCCCCGCTCCGATTCTAAGCTGATGGCATGTTTCCCCTCCACCCGATGTCTTGTGGTATCTGATCCATCATGGGGGAGAGATTGGGAGGGAACCCTTTGTCCATGTTTGGAAGGAAAAGGTACTTAACCAGGTTCCCCACCAGAGATTTGGATGCCAGTTTGTTGAAACACAACAGCAAGTTTCAGCTAAGTTGCCCTTTGAGGCTAAGCATTGAGACGCCTCCTCAAAACTTCCTTCGGTCAAGGCAACCAATAATGTTCTTGGGTTGTCTGCAAAAATTGCAGGCGGCAAGAGCTTTTTTGATGTAGCCAGAGAGGTGCGTATGTGAGTGAGCACCTCTGCACACGCTTAAGGAAAAGGACGCATGTGCTCTCTGGCTCAAAAGGGAAGCCAGGGTGAAACTAGGATTCACCCCACTGAAGCGTAGACCTTTCAAACAGCTTCTGCTTCCGGCTTTGCCATCTAAGCTGTGACCAAATTACTATCATGGCACCTAATGGCATCCTAGCATAAGCATCACCCCTGCCTGTTAACCATGATAGTAGGATGATGGAACAATGCTTAGAGCTATTCCCTGATCAAGCCCTGCAGGGACTTGTGTACCCAGCCACCTATCCCACCTGGCCCTCCTGGATTCAGTCTCCGTCCGATTAAATGTCCTAAACATGTCGGCAAGTATAAGGGCGAAAACCCCATCCACCACCATCTTCAACCAAATAGACCTTGTGGGTCCGAGGCCATGTTTATTTCGCGGAAAGCTGAAATTACACCGTACGTAACACAGCCCTCAAAGGGAAGGAACTTGCTGCTCCAATATCTCACACCTTTGTCACGTAGGCCTCGATTCAAAGGCTTGGGGGAAGCTTCCCTGACAGTTCTTAATACCAAATCTCTTCCCATTAACCGTTGCCCATTGTAATTTCCCCCCCCCCCGCGTTTTTTTTAACAACGGGATTAACACGCCTGAGGGTGTCATCTCTGTTACTGTATGTACGTTTCCTGTGATATAGGAGGTGCTATCATGGAGTGGATAGAGGAGTAGAGATGAGGTTCTTGGCACAGGTGAGAGTGTTCCACCTTTGGACCAAGACATCTCTTGCTCCATGGTCCTCCACAGGGAGCCTTCATCCCTTTCGAGTGTGTATGTTTGTTGAATGGGGACAGGCCAAATCATTCATTTGGGACAGTTCCTCCACAGCACTGCCCAGCTTGTTTTTTATTTATTTGGTATAATAGCAAGAAATTGTATTTTTTTGGGGGGGAGTGATGGTGGAGAGAAATCTACTCAAGTTTTTCACTCATCCGGCAGCCACAAATGCCAAATACCTTTGGAGTTTTAGCCATTTCCGTGGAGGCATTGCCCAGTTTCTCAAATTAAAGCCAAAAGAGCCCAGGAGGACTTTTTAAAAACGTCTGAATCTTGCTCTCTGTAGGGCTGCTGCTTAAAAATAAAAAAGAATTTATTTATTTTATTTTATTTTATGGTTGTCTCCCTTCAGAATGGAGCCTTCAAGTGGGATTAATCTGTTTGTAAGGGTTGTACTACACTGACATCCATGTCCATGTTGCTTTTTTTTTTTTTTTAATTCCCCCTCCACATACTTCAAAGGGAACGAGAAGGGAAGTTTCTCTTAAAAAAAAAAAACTTAACTTTTAAAAAGGGGACGCAACTGCTACCGCCTTTTCCCGAGGCATCTCTTTGGATCTGTGTTCACAAATCACATCCTGAAAATGCACATCGGCTATTTTTCCGTTCTTCTTTTTAAAAATTTATTTATTTATTTATTTTGGTTTGCTGAAAACAACGAAGTCATCGTTGGCACTTGTGGAGCAAGGGACTTTTATTTTCTTTTGCTCTCAAGCAAAAAAAAAAAAGGAAACAAAATGAACAACATTTAAAAGACGAACTTAATGATAATTAAAACATTTTAGCATTAGTTCGAGTTTTAATTGTTTAATGATTTAGAAATTAGTTTAGGATTTCTTGATTTTTTGACAATAAATGTGTTCACTTGTGTTTTGTAAGAGTCTGTGGCAGCTTCTGTTTGCGATAAAATGAGAAAAAAAAAGAACAAAAAAACTGGCACCATTAACTCTTGTATCTTTTTGCGAATTTTAGCTTCTTGTAGTTTTTAACTTATTGTTAACTTAAATATTTATTACTGCCTTGTAAAAGTACATTTGTGTATATTTATGTTCTCATCAGAGTTGCAAGTTAAAAGGGAAATATTTTTTAATTTGCTGAGAAGTGATTATTCCTAATTTATTTATTAAATAGCAAACAAAAATTGAAACAACAACAATAATAAAAATAATAAACGCTTAAATGACAGGCTCTCCAACAGGGCAAAGTGCACAGAGGTAATTTTTTCTTTTTTTAAAAAAACAACAACCTACAAATGTGGCATTTAGAACAAAAAAAAAACTTTATAGGCAAGTTTGTTTGTGGGGTTCGATGTTACATCATCTACTTTTGTCTTGTTGGGAAAAATACATATGAGTCTTCATCCTAATAGAAAGTAAAGGGGAGGGCGGGAGGGGGAAAACATGTAGCTTGTCATTTTCTCTATTTATTCTTGTGTTTTGTACCCTCTGCCCTTTACATGCTGCCACTCAGCATCCCTCCCACATGTTAAAAAAAGTTATTTCAGTGACAGTTTGCTTCTTTTATTTTAAATATTTGAGCAGGCACCACAGGCAGCTGAGACGGGCTGGCACAAAGGAAGTTTTTGACCCACTCTGGCTCTGATTCACTGAGATCTTTAAGCACAAGGGGAGGTCTCTAGTCACGACAAATAACCTGCTGGATGGCTGGGAAGCGGGAATCTCCCAACTCAGGAAGAATTTCAAATGCGATTCACCAAACCCCTGGGCAACACTGCAGAAAGGGGAGGAGAGGCTACTTGCTTGGGTTAAGTTAATGGTATAGCGAGTGACTTTGGGAGCCACCAATAAAGGAAACTGAAATCTGGCAAAGTATACAAAATCTAAAAGGTATATATGAGAAAGCTTAGATCCGAGTAACACATTTGAAAATAAATTCTCTGAAATTTAAATAATCAGGATGGCATATTAGGTCAGCTTTTGCCAAGTTGGCGCTTTCCAGATTTTTTAGACTGGCACTGCTGGGAGCTATAGATCTATGTGTTGATGGAAAAAATGTAAAAAAATTGAGCTCATACTACTCTTTTGAGGCATTTTCTTTTCAAAAAGACCACTGAACTAAAAAAAAAACTTGCATTCTTGGCTACTGAATGAAGCTACTTCAAATCCAAGAGGGGTCAGCGTGGTCTTTTCTTCAACACAGCAACACAGCCCTTGAGAGAGCTGTTCCTCAAAATTCATCTTGGGGGTTTCCTGAAACTTGGGTCTCCAGCTGCTTTTGGACTACAGTTCCCATCATCCCTGACCATTGGTCCTGCTAGCTAGGGATGATGGGAGTTGTAGTCCAACAACAGCTGGAGACCCAAGTTTGGGAAACCCCGGATTAGACGAAGGCTAGACGCGCCCCCCCCCCCAATAATTTACACTGTCAGGTGGCATTGTTACTTTGATTTGTGCCCTGCCATGTGGCCTCCTTAGAAAACCACTCCAGCAGCTGAAGAACTACTAGGTGGGAGCACTGTTCCTGGGCTGTTCTCTTCTATCATTGGGATTAGCCTTTAATAATCTTAGAAAAGAGGTCATGTTGCAAACTCTTTACACTAGCTAGCCACAAAATCCGCTGGACTGTGGATTCCAAAGTGGACCCCTGCTCCGAACTGTACATGAGTCTGGGAAGTGCTGATCAGGGGAGTCATCTCTGAAACTTGTTTGTCAACATTCAACCCCACCTCCAGACCAGAGGAACAATGCCTTGGAGCAGAGGTCAGCAAACTTTTTCAGCAGGAGACCAGCCCACTGTCCCTCAGACCTTGTGGGGGGCCAGACTATTTTTTTTTTTTGGGGGGGGGGAAAGTGAACGAATTCCTATGCCCCACAAATAACCCAGAGATGCATTTTAAATAAAAGCACACATTCTACTCATGTAAAAACATCAGACAGGCCCCACAAATAACCCAGAGATGCATTTTAAATAAAAGGACACATTCTACTCATGAAAAAACAAGCTGATTCTCATTCTACTCATGAAAAAACAAGCGATTGGGCCGGATCCAGCCCCTGGGCCTTAGTTTGCCTACCCATGCCTTGGAGCTTAAAGAGCAAGAAAAATAGCGCAGCCCTGTAGCTGTATCAAGTCCTCTCTTCTCAATACCACTCAATATATGCAGGAAGAAGTGTAAACTACCTGTGTGCATGATAGTGGGAGTGGAAAAGGTAGAAAAACTCCACCCCTACAAAGCTCTCTTGGTGGGTGGGAAATGGAAACCCACTGAAATTCTTTTGCTACCCACAACACAGCCTAGAGCCTGGCTCCCTTTGCGGACCATGCAGCCACCAAAATAACTTGCGTGCTTAAAGAACTGTTCTGAAACAGAGCCACTGAGCTAAGCTGCAAATTGGAAAGCACAGCTACTTTAGGGAGCTTTGCCTCCAGTTCCAGCTAATTTGGTCAAGACGCTTTTCCTTTGGCTAGCCGGCTCAGATCCTGATTAATTTCTTCTCCCGCAACCACGCCCCTGCATCTGACTCCCTTCCCTGCATCTCGACGAGGGCATTTAGTGGCAAAACGAAATTCTCTTTGTGATCTGTTGCTTCTAAAATGGTCACAGCAATCTAGCCTCTTCTCGACTATATTTTTTCAAGTAGCAATAAGTGCCAGTTTGAGTTTACTAAAAAAAAAAAAAGCGAAGTGGATCGAAATGGGGGTTGGAGCAGGGGTGGGGAGGGAAAGAGAGAATTCTGCAAGCCAACGAAGGCAGACACCAGAGAGCGAGCGAGCGAGCGAGTGGGGCTCGTGGCATTTCCTTATGTTTGCTAGGCAAATTTGCTTCCAAATGATGGGTCAGGGTGCAACATTGAAGGGAGCAGAGGGTTTAAAGAATTGTCTGTCTGTTGTAATGGCGAGATCCTAATAACCTTTTTACATGCCCTCCACCCTCCCCACCAATGTATTTAGTCATGGGGCATGGTGGGGCTCAGGGGAAAAGATGACAGGCCTGGAGTACCTGGCCCCCAGAGCCTCTTTAAGCTTCACATGTGTATTGGGACAGTTTTTAAAAACAATATTTAAAAAAAAAAATCATGAGAGAGTCTGTTGATGTGGGAAGGGTTTAAAAAACTGCTGTTAAAAAAAAGAAAAAAATGACACTTTGCATTTAGTTTAGAATATTTATTACTGGGATTTCAGGCACGGCGGCTGTATGAATCTTTTACATGGAATTGTTTAATTATTTGTACTTTTCATGCCAGAAAATAAAAAGTTCAGAATCTTATGAGAGTCCTTTTGTCTGTTTATGTGATAGAGAATTCTAGCAAGGCAGGACAGGGCATGATAAAAGTTGTCCTCCCTTCCAGAAGGCACCAACAAAGCACACATTATCCATAGAAACTGTTGTGTGTCGTTCAGAATAGGAAAAAAGTCCCGTGCCCTTTGCAAGCAAACATCTCTCTCCTCTTGCCAACAAATATCTTGGCAGAGTGTTTAATTTACATATCTACATCAGAGCAAATGCCCACAGTTGCTTCAGAAGCAAAGGAACTTTTCCAGACGAGAAAAAGGGCTGAGAAGCACTTTAACCACACACGAACACCCCAAAACAGAAGTGTTTTGATGTATTGGGACACAGCCCAGTGTTAATATTCATACGCCACACCTCACAGTCGCCTCTGACTAGGCTTAACCGTCCAGGGGTCCTTTACCTTACCTTTTACACATATAATATGAACATAGCGCAAAAAGTCTGTTTTGGATTGAAGGCTGGCTTGCATAACATGATGGGAAAGTCCCAGAATGCTTGTAAATTTTGTGTTAGCCAGGGAGGAGAAAGTACAGTGGTACCTTGGGTTAAGAATTTAATTCGTTCTAGAGGTCCGTTCTTAACCTGAAACTGTTCTTAACCTGAAGCACCACTTTAGCTAATGGGGCCTCCTGCTGCTGCCGTGCAATTTCTGTTCGCATCCTGAAGCAAAGTTCTTAACCCGAGGTACTATTTCTGGGTTAGTGGAGTCTGTAACCAGAAGCATCTGTAACCCAAGGTACCACTGTATATCTCAGCTGGCTCATGCAATCAAAGGATGCAGCCATGCATGTTCTCATGGTTGTTAACTGTTGGGATAGACACACACAATATACAGGCTTGTACATTTACTGAAGCAGATGCTCCACTTACTCTGGGTTACTCAAACGTATTGGGGGAGTCAGCAGTAGTAACTAGGTGGTACCTGTGGTCTGTCACACAACTGAAAAGAAACAACACTGAGACGGGCTCTGCAGTTGGTGGGGGTCCACCTGCAGTAGATCCCATTTGAGTTCTGTGAGAAAAAGTAAACAGGAAGCAGTTAACATACAGCAAAGGAGCAAAGCCTGATCCTTCGTCCAGAGACTGAAGCCCGTTTTAATCTCAATTCCCAGCGGTTTGCCCAAACTCTGTCTTTTACTTTCTTCTATAGTGGCCACAGTTCACTTATGTGGGGGGAAACTGAACACTGACACCTGAGAGATGTTGCAGCGGATGGTCTGTCCCCACTAACAGATACACTGCATATTTAAGTCACTCTTGCAGGAACAATGAAAACACCCCCAATAAAGGGACATTTTATTAGCATAAATAAAAAAGAGGTCTATTTGTCATGCTATGGCAACCAAGCATAGAAGCAAATGAATGAGGTGCTAACTCAAGTTTTGCCCTGTGCACAAGAGTCAAGTTTACTTGAAGTGTGTTTCGGCGGGTGGGGGGAATGAACGGTGCTTGTGGGAGGTGGGGCACAAGAGTCTCGCCCATCCATCCTTCAGCGATCAGAGGATTTGATCCAAAGGAAGGGAACTAAGGGGTGCGCATACACACACACCAGTTGAGATCTGGTTTGAGAACAGATGCTTCCATTTAATGTCTTGTTTCGCCAGCAGAAACCGCCTCCGTCACCCCATGGGTGTGGGAGAAACACCTCCTTTCCCCTCTGGAAAGACTGGGGGGTGGGATGAGGTGGTGTGCCCCTCCCCCATCGATAACCAACTGCACATGCTTCCCTGCGTCTTTGCCCAGGGGAGGCTGAACCCATACAGTAAACATGTCCCCAGTCACCAGAGGGGCCTTTTGTCAGGCCTACCCCCCAACCCCCTCTTCCCAGCACCAGGCGCCTTTTGCGATAGGAGCTCAGATGGGAAACAATGGTGGCTGGGAGGGAAGTCGCCTCCCTTTTTGTTATGGAAATGCTCCGGCTTTGACAGCAATGAGGGGAGCAGGTGTAGGCACCAGCGCTGCCCTCCCCCAAAACCTTTATCAAGAGGAGCATAGCAGCCCTGGGAGGCCCAGTTCCCCAAAGGTGGAGGGGGAGGAAGGAGGAAGAGGAGGGTCTGTTGGGTCTAATGCATCCTGTCAAAGTTTCTGCCAGCCCCTCCTGGAGAAATGACACGTGCGGAGGCCACTGATAACAGCTGCATGAACGGAAGGCAGACATAAAACCGGCCATGTTGTGCCATCCCCCTTTCATACAACCCCTTCCAAACAACTCTCCAAATCTCACCTTTGAGGCCACAGACAGAAGAGAGCAGAGACGTTTATTGGAAGGGAATGTGGTGGTGTGTTGTTTTTTTTTAATAAGAGTTCAACATCAGACAACAGATTAAAACAACAACAACCAGGCTGTGATTGGCAGTGCAGGGGGCAAGCTAAGGAGCAGGTTCTTTTCCCAGTCTTCTTCTTTCAGCTGTGCAAAGTCTCAGACAGAGTGGAAATCTGGCTCAGAACAGAAAATGCTGGCAGGAGAGAGCTTCAGGGGAAAAGGCCTGAAGTCTCTGCATGGCTGAAAAGTAAGGGCTCTTCCTCCACAAAGAAGCAACCGTTAAGAGGCGGAGGAAGCCTTTTCCCCAGCAAGAAAATGGCCCAAGCAGCTGAGCAGTCCTGTGTGTTGTGCATGATCTGGGCAGATGGTGCCCTGGAAGGAAAAAAGGGGGGGCACACTCAATCCCCAGTGTTTCACAGGGTAAACATAATTATTCAAAAGCTCCAGAGTCCACTGAGGAAGAGCAGCGCGAACAGTGGAGAAAGGATGTCGGGGGTCCATGTGGGGGAGCCCCAGGGGGGATGAGAAGGCAACTCAGAAAAGCCCACCGCCAGCCTCGGCCGGGTTGGAGTGTAGCGGCAAGGCGTCGCGCGCCTTCCCGCTGCCCCCCATCCTCTGGGGCTGGCGATGGGGGAAGCGCTGCTTTCCCCCCCCACCAGCCTCAAAGAGCAGAGTCTCCTGGCTTCAGCGGAAGCAACGCGAAGCCTCCGGAGCGCAGGCTCGGAGGCCTGCATTGCTATCGCTGAAGCCGAGGAGTCTGCATTCGCTCCATAGGACGCACACACATTTCCCCTTCATTTTTGGAGGGGAAAAAGTGCGTCCTATGGTCCGAAAAATACGGTAAATTTGCAGTGCTTCTTTGAATCATGTCGATTAGAACCTGGTCCCACTGACAACAGCTCTTTTGCAAATCTGCAGGGGGGAAATCGCAGACAGGACAAATCAGCCAAGGGAACAGAACTGACAGAGACACTGGTCTTCCTTCAATACATTAAAAAAAGAAGTTCTGATTAAGCAGAAGGGGGCAAGAGAGGCAAGCGACTTCCCAAATGGCCTGATCTTGGGTAGTTGCCAAGTGGTGCAAAGGGTGGAGGAACCTTCTCAAAAAACTCTGCTCCCCTTTCCCGGTGGGGCTTTATTTACTTTCTTTACGTACACAAAATTTATACACCACTTGATTGTATTAAAAAACCTAAGTAGTTTACAAGAAATACTAAAATTATCAATGAAAACAGCAAGCACAATTAAAAACATTTTGGTAATTATTAAAAGCAGAAGTAAGGGATTACAGGACACCTGCCCGGTGTCAACAGGCAGGGGGTTCCAATGTGTAACTGCTGCCAAACTAAAAGTTTTTGTCTGTACAACTTAGAACATGGCTTTGCTTCCCCATTTGCCAGCGCCCATGGCTACTGTGTCATCTTGAGACTTGACAAAGGAACTCACCTGCCAGCCTCAGAGTTCATCGTGACCGAGGTCTTTTGGCTCCTGGCAGGCTGCTGGGGTGATAAACTCCATCAAGTACTCACAGCGGCTGGGCTCTGTCGTTGATGTGACCACTGTCTCCTTGCCACATGTAAGTTTCACCTTGGTAGGAGAGAAAACAGGACATTGGCTACCCACTATGGAGTCTGTGGCTTAGTACTGCAGCTGTTGTGCAGGAGCCCATCGCTCTTACCACTGCCTGTGGCATAAACCCTCCCTTACCCACTGTCATTTCTTTGCAACAGGCATGGGGAACCTCTTTGGTCACTCCTTGGGGAAGCTGCTGAACTACAACTCCCATCATCCCTGGCTATTGACCATGCTTTCAGACATGGATGAGTTGTAGTTCAGCAACACCTGGAGGGCAAAGGTTCCCCACACCAGCTTTACAACGTACTAGCAACAGTGTCAGCCAACCACTGACACTGTTCTGCCAGGTTTTAAGTTTCTGCCAGGTGAGACAAATCACTGGGCCTGTTCAATGTGGGATGGGAGAATTCCTACTCTGATCCAAGCAAGGCAGACCAGCCTGATCCTGAACTCGCACAAAAATCCCTCATCCATCAAATCTTCCCAAGAGAAATCCTAATATTATGTTGGAGTAGATGAAGTGATTGTTTATATACAGCAGACAGATAAAGAATCAGAAGTTATTTAATTTCTGAACTGTATCTTTTCTATTTTCTCTTGAAAGCTTTTCCTATCTTTTTTCTTATCTCACTATCCTACTTTTTCTTTTTCGCCATGTTTTTATATTACTTAACGTTGAACAAAAAAGGTATTTAAGATTAAGTTTTGTATTTATAAACTCTAATAAAATTTATTTTAAAAGATACGGAGGGAAATCCAAGGACATCACAGAGGCAAGGAATGAATGAATGACTTAACCACGGTCACTGCCCCATCCCCTCAGGCTGGTCTGCTAAAACTGGCAGCCCAGCCCCAAACTTTCGGATGTTCCAACAGGTAGCCAACTCTGCTTCCTACTTACTTCTTAAAAAGTGCACCTTTTCTGTTGAACTGCCCTCTTCCCACTCTCAACTAGGTTTCCTTCACTAACTGGGATCAGGGAGTCCACATTAATGGGCACGCTTGGGAGTAGAAAATAAAGGTTTGGGGTTTTTCGTTCCATTTGAGCCAGAACTTGGGTGTGCTGGAAACCAAACAGCTTCACGCAGCCTGCAGATAGGGAGGCATACTGTCAGCTGGGTGACAGGCCACTTCGCTGCTGCTGGGCCTTGAAAAGGCAGCTGTATCTTGCTAGTCACCCGACCAAGCTTGCTGGTCTCTCAGGACTACGTGAATCACTTACTGTGGTGGATCGGTTGGGGCCTTGCCAGCAGCCTGTCCCGTGTTCGTACTTCATGACACCAAATTTGTTATCCTCTGGACCGCTCCAGGAGCCCCACGTGCTGGAAGGGAAGCAACAACTCAGAGCACCCAAAGTAGCCCCTGCTAATCATAACCTTAGGGAACATTTAGAACCAGATGGAGCCACTTCTACACAGGATGAATCTGCTCCAGGGTTGGCTGGTCTCGGGGGCAAGGATCTAGCCACCAAGTGAGGTCCTATCAGCGCACTTGACCATTTTCAGGAAGTTAAAATAGGCAGCAAGGTGTTTTTAAAACAGCACACCACACACATGAAGTTTTCTTCCCCGTTTCTAATTGAGTAGGTATTCTTACCTACTCAATGCTAAGGGGCAGGGCTTTATTATTCACACTGATAGTAGTGGTTATTATTATTTTATTCCTTATATATTACCTGCCCTGCACCCTAAGGTCTCAGGGCAGGTTAGAACATAAAAACAACTTACAGTTACAGAAATAAGGTGGGTCCTAAAAATATGCACTTCAAGTGTCAAAAGCCAGGACAAAGAGGTGTGTGTTTTAGATTATCCAAAGTGCCTGATGTACATCACCATGGTTGTAATCCTAATCCTTACAGCCCTGTAAGGTAGGTCAGTATCATCACCCCCAAGATAAGGATTGTTACGAGGTGTCCTAAGGCTGAGAGTCTGACTGGCATAAGGCCTCCTAGCATGTTGAAGAGCAAAGCCAAAGTTCAAACTATGCACTTCCTGATCTGTAGCTCAGCCTCTGCTTAGTCACTAAAACACTGTGACATCTCCCTGTTTAGCTTGGGAGGCTAGTGACCTCAAACTGTTGTGAAACATGTTGAATCCTGGAGCACTGGAGTCTCTTACCCAGAGGTCATCAAACTTTTTCTGCAGGGGGCTGGTCCACTGTCCATCAGACCTTGTGAGGGAGCCAGAATATCTATCTATCTATCTATCTATTGGTGGGGGGGATGAATGAATTCCTATGCCCCACAAATAATCCAGAGACGCATTTTAAATAAAAGGACACATTCTAGTCATGTAAAAACACGCTGATTCCCAGACTGCCCATTCGCCGGATTTAGAAGGCGATTGGGCCTGCTCCGGCTCCCAGGCCTTAGTTTGCCTACCCATACTCTTACCCAAGGCTGGTCTCCGAGCCGCCATGTTTGGGTTTCTGAGACACTCTGCTGAAGGGACAGAGGCGATAAATATATCTGAAGAGGAAAAGAGCATAAAAGAAATCCATGAGATCCCTCAGCCATGTGCTTTGAAGTGCCGATAATTAGACCATTAGCCCTGGCTCCTAAAACGATGGCACCCAGGGCCATTGGGGTTAGATGGAATGGGAAAGCATGGCAGGAAGAAGACTAGGCTCCTGATCTGTCCCTTGCTTCCAAGATTATTTTGCTATCAACACCAGAGATTTAAGAATGTACGAGATGAGCTTCCCATTGAAACACGCAGAATACAACTGTGTGCAACCTTTTAAACATGATCTGCTTACAAGGAAAAATACTGAGCATCCAGAATATAAGACTTATTGGTCTATCAAGTAAAGAACGAATGGGGAACCTCCAACTTGCCAACCAAATCAAATTAGGCCCCCCAGGTGTCCTAATTTGAACCACATGGCCCTTTCCCACTAAACCATATGCCACCAGGTATAGGGTGGGTGACGGTGCCACTACACAGGAAAATCAGGAAAATCAGGTTTGGTTTTAGAAAATTTTGGAAGTTGAACAGACTTCCTGAATGGATTCCGTTTGACTTCCAAGCTACAACTGTATATCTAGATCAAAGAACAGCACCTCTTCTCTTCTGACTGAGTGTAGAACCTCACTTCCCCAAGGAATAGTAAAAAATGACTTCTGATGGAGTCTTATCTGCCTAAATTTTGAGTCCCTGGCTCCAATTTTGGAGCCTTCCATCTTCAGTTTTGAAGGGGGTGCCTTTCTTCTCACCCTGAGCTGCCCCAGCAAGCTTGCGAAAAGCTAGCCACCTTGTTATAGAGGAATTTGCCATACTACCAAGCTACAGTTTTGGGGAGTAAAAACCAGCTTCCTTTTCATTAATAATGCTCATCTTACAGTCAAGAACAGGAGCAAAGAACCTTTTGGCCAGATCTCCATCTCCTGCCGCTCTACAGGCTAACCCTGGCGGGTGGGCAGGCCACCCACCTACTTTTTGGCACCTCTGGAGTGACGGCTTGTAAGACATACAGTTCAAAGAGAGCACTCCAGATGTCATAGGGCTGGGCAGAGAGAAGAGAGCCACTCCCCAGAGGAAACAAATAGTCAAGCAAGGGACACAGGCACCTACTCATTAGTGGTGAGTTCATAGCACTGGCCGTAGAGGTAAGAAAATTCACCATGAGGTCCAAAATCAAAGGAGATCTCTTTCTCCAGGCTCCTGGGGGAGGAAAGGAAGAAGGCGACATTGTTAAAAGAAAAAAACTACACACAGGCTAACAGGACATTTGACGGAATAAAGGTTAATGGGGCTAGGGGGTTACTGGAATATTCCTGGGCCAATTTTAACAGAAATACAGGAGGGATGCTTTGCTCAGAAGGCAAAAGTAATCCAGTCAAAAAAAGGCTGAGAATTTCTGACCACTAAATCTGTCTTCATACTTTGAAATTCCCACTATTTAACATATACAGCAAAATATGGAGAAGGCATGAGGGAAAATGGGGCTTTTGGCTCCAAAACTAGAAGAGAAGGAAATGTTTATTGTATTTTTAACTGGACATTTTATCACATGGGATATTGTGATTTGAAAATTCTGAAGGCTGTTCCGAGTTGTGCCTAAGCGACAAGAAGCATGGATAGAAATTTAAAACAAGCAGGCAGACCTCCTGGCAGCCTTTAGGTGACTTTCTCTAGACAGCAGGCTCATAACTTTAAGGGGTATTTCCAGGGGTGGGAGGCCGTGCAGTTGATAAGGACAAAGAGTAAGAAGCTGTTGCAATCAAGGAAAGGTTTTGCGGGATACATGCGTTCTGTGGAGGTGAAACCTCATCTCAGGACACACATTATCCCAGAAAGGCCAGCAGGAGACTGGCGTGAGACAAAGATGGCAAAACGTTTCATGCTTCTCACAAATTGTCTTCTTTTTTTTTTAAATGAAAAAATGAATTTTTTAAAACAAGAGGAACTGACGCCGCCATATTGCTGAGCCAGCTCAACGGTCCATCTAAGTGAAGCATGGCCTCCCCTGGTGGGCAAGAGCTTTCCAGATTCTGCAGCGAAGAGGCAGAGGGCCGTGTTACCCACTCTTGAGTTACAGCTCCCCCCAAGCTGCCAACGCTGGGGAGCTGAGAGAGGACGGCCAGTGTGGCAGCAGGTCCCTTTTGCTTCACTGACCACCAGGAGTCAAGTGTTCTCCTGGCATCGGTCTCCTCCGCCCTCTCCCGCTGGTGGAAGGCAAGTCCAGCCTGTGTCAGGGGTCAATGGCCTCTGCCCAAGCTCTTTGTTAAGTGGCTGTCTTTGTTCCTTGCCCTTATCTGCCTGTCCTCCCAGGGGACCCCACGGAGCAGCAAAGGGACTGGTTGGGGAGGCTGGATCCCATGGTTACCGCCCTGTCACCAAGGCTACTCCTAATTACGGGTCTCTCTCTCCCCCATGCGCACAGAGAGATGCAAAGCTCTTTGTTTAATAAAGCAACTGCCTTAGCCTTTAACCACTTTGCCCTGGTCTGATCAACATAGCTTTTAGGAAGAAGGAAAAACTCCTGTCCTCTCCTCCCTCGGTCTGTTGTGGCAGGACATGCCAAGGTGGGCACTTGGGTCCTAACCCAGACTTTGCCTCGGAGCCTTAAGCCACTTCTCTGTCTGCAACAGCCCCCCACCAGCAACCTGGGAAAAGTGGGGTAGCAGCGACTCACGGCTCTGAGACTCTAAGGATAGGGGCGAGCAAGTACGTTCGGCCATGCTGAAACTTTGAAGGGAGGGCAGGTAGTAGCCCTAAATAAAAGAGACCATGAAACATCCTCCTTCCTTTAGAAGGGAAAGATGCCTTTCATTACTTAAAAAAAAGAGCTTGGAAAGATGACACCAACAAAACAGGTCTCAGCTGTGACTCCAGACTTCCATTAGCTGCTTACTTAGCTGACACATTTTCTCCAACCCCTACCCCCTTAAAAGCCTTCCTAATGGGACAAGCCAGAGATCTCCCTGGGGTGGGGAGGGGCGGTTTGCACTGCAAGCGCAGCGGAGTTATGGCTGGGTGGGAAATGCCCCATGTGGAGCTAATTCTGAAGAGGGACTTCAATTAAAGCTCTTGTTTTGCACCTGCTGTTTTAGGCCTAGTTCTCCCTGGGGGGATAAACATGTGTTTTGGCTGTATCACTTCAGATGGCTGGGGGGGGGGGTGGCTCGTATGACTAAATGTTCCTCCACGCAACTCCCCCTGCCCCCGCAAAACACACCCTTTCCTGAGCAGAGGAAACTAGAACATCGGAAAGGAGGGCTCTAGCCTACAGCTCCTTGACATGCTTGCTGCCTATCTGCGGAGACAGGGGCTTGGGGGAGGTCGCTCGGATAAACTGTTGGTCATGCAAGCCCCTTCCTGCCGGCTGAAGTGCTGCAGGCATGGCACACACATACAAACTCAGGGGAAAACCCTAGGTCTGAGTGGCCATAATTGTATACTTTCTAAGGACTCCAGCTCACGACAGAAGCAGCTTAATCGCTCTGCCTGCACACTCTCTCCAGAAATCAGAGCCTGCTGTCAAGGCTTGCAACCTCTATGCCTTTCGAAGTTCTGGACCGAAAGTTGCTCCAGAGGCATAAAGTCTCTGCTGGTCAGGGGTGAGGAACCGGGGCATCCGCCAGATGTTTCTGGACTACAACTCCCATCATCCCTAACTCTGGCTAGAGCCATGGGAGTTGGGAATCCCACATCTGGACCAGGTTCTCCACCACTATCTTAGACCTACCCATCAAGGAATATTGAGATTGACTATTGATATTGGGAAAGCAGCAACAGTAACACACTAAATATCAGGCTTTCCCAGATATATCTTAGCAGTTCATTACTCGCTGATGCCTATATTTTAAGTATTTGATGTACTGTATTCCTTGATGCATACTGCTTTCATATTCTTCTATGATTAAACGGCATATAAATTTGTGCAAATAAATAAATGAGAAGCTACTGCATTGTCCCTGAGCCTGTTCAGAGGTCTTGGTCAGACTAGGGCGCCCCCATGGGCAGCTCACAGCCTGCCCTTGCAGGGACTGCCCTTGATGGGGGGGGGGGGGAATAAATCTATAGACTCTCCACTTAAGAAGATGTTAAAGTCAATGCACAGGAAGCTGCAATACTATGGCCGGAATAAATTACATTTTCATAGATTTAATCTGCATAATTTATTCTGCTTCCTTAAAAAAACAAAACAACGTATTTATAAGGAAGAGTAACAGATGTAACAAGAGGTTCATTCAAACAAGCCCTTCATAGCTAGTTTGCGGAATAAGATTTATTTTAGCACACTCCTCTCGGACAGAGAAGCTCCTGCCGCACTTCCAAGCAAGCTAGTGGGAGATTTGTCAGGAGCAAAAGAGTAAATGGTCTCGGGGACAGAGCATGGAAATTGTGCAAAAACCTTTGGCCGGAAAGAACTGGCTGGCTGACTTGAGCAATGTGCTGTATCACAGCAAAACCTGCATCCATTCTAACCACTTGCAAGTGACTATAGCCATGCTGAAGATGAAGTGGGGAAAGGAAGGAACAGCTGATAATACTTACTTATCAGACTGGGAGTCAATGCAAAGTGATAGAGGACGTCAAAAAATACCACCATGCCACAATGGGTATGTGAAGAGACTCTGAAGATGCGGCCAGAAATCACCAAGCCACAGGGTCCGTTTAGTGCCTCTGCCACTGTACATCCCCTTCCACTGAGAAGGCGGCAGAAACCAGCAAAATATATCCTCCCCCAATAGCTAAATGAAGTGTCTGTCGCCAAGGTCAGCCAAGCTAAGCATGCCGAGGTCTCCCATCTGCTCCCTGCATCAGCCCTCCCAGCCTAAGAACTCAGAAGTGGCGTGATTACGGCAATAATTATGTATGCAATCAATAGGAGACAGCTTGAAATTTATTTTTGGCTTCTATCCTTCTCCCCTCCCCCACCTGGGACCGGGGAAAGGTGGGGGGAGATGCGATTTGAATGGCAAGTGGCATCAAAGCAGTGCCCAAACCCCTAGAGCGAAACTGTACAAAGCGCTCTTATCTTCACAGTAAAATAACGAACAGTAACCTCTCCTAACATCCTAGCTGAGGATGCATCAACAAAGTAAGAAGCAGCAAGAAAGACCAGGCAAAGGATAGGGTTTTTAAAAAACCAGCCCTTTTAACTCTTTAAAAATCACCCTTGTGGTTCTCAACAGAATTCCCATGGACACACACACACACCTTGCTTTTAGCACATGGGTCCTCAAACACCAGCTTGCTGAGCTCCCCTAACTAAATGGGGGTGGGGTGGGGAGAATGGCACATTCTTCTTTAGAGGGTGGGTAGCGAGGTGGAGGGGATAGAGAGGGAGGAGGAAAAGCCATATAGATTAGATCCATGACAATAAAAATGGTCCAGGAGCATAGCTGTTAATGTTTCCCTTTTCTTGCAAGGAATCCGATTCGGAATAAGGGAATTTCCCTTAAAAAAGGGAAACGTTGACAGCTATGTCCAGGAGAAAGGACCTCCCTGTCATCACCCCCCCCCCCAAGACTTTGCCTACTGAAGCCAAGTGTACTACCTATCCAAACCATTAGGTGTCTGGGGAAATCACACAAACAGCTGGCTAGGGGGTACAAATTGCCATTGCTGGAAGCCAACGGGGAAGGGTCAGTGTCAAGCAGAAAGAAATATTGCAGGCCTCAAGGAGAATTCATCCAAGGCAGGGGTGAGGGAACCTCCAGCCTTCACAGCTAATTAGGCCCATCAATCCTCCCCATTTGGCATGCCAGGCTGTTTTGGCCAAGCCATGTCCCCATACCCGACGCCTGACATCACATATATGACATCAGGCATGAGGCAGGTAAGGACAAAGCTGAACTAAAAAAAAAAGGGGGGGTGTCCAACAGTCCTTACAAAGTGATATGTATAGCAAAGTCCGTGCTCCACCCAGGTTATGCCTTTGCACACATGGCTTGATTTCAAACGGGGAGGGGGGCAAAAATATCACCCAATGCCATTGTGCCTGAAAGGTGAGAGGCCTTCCCAACCTGTCAAGCTTGGCTCACCAGTAAGGTCTGCCAGCAAGACTCGGTCCCCCTAACTCTGATTTAAGGGCTTTACTTACCCTTGCAAGTGACATGGATTCTGTTCTGCCCCTCCTCCAGAGGAAAGCCCACCTCACCCTTGAGAGACTGTGGCTGCCAGCCCAAAGCCATACCTGATAGACTCCTCCATTTCTTTCAGGGACTTCTCTACCTCTTCAAACTGCTCTCGGGCCTTCTGGGCAGCTGGAAGACATACAGGAAAGTAAGCCTGGCTGCAAAACTGAATGAAAAACGTAACTCCCACCAACTTTTCTGCAGAGTTCACTTCTTAATTAAACCAGCCCTGCTAATCAAACCAGTCCAACCCCATAGGGACACAGGTGGCGCTGTGGTCTAAGCCACTGAGCCTCTTGGGTTTGCCGATCAGAAAGTTAGCGGTTTGAATCCCCACGACGGGGGTGAGCTCCCATTGCTCGGTCCCAGCTCCTGCCAACCTAGCAGTTCGAAAGCACGCCAGAAGTGCAAGCAGATAGATAGATACCGCTTCAGCGGGAAGGTAAACGACGTTTCCGTGCACTGCTCTGGTTTCGGTGTTCCATTGCACCAGAAGCGGCTCAGTCATGCTGACCACATGACCGGGAAAAACTGTCTGCGGAGCAGACAAACGCCGGCTCCCTCGGCCTGTAAAGCGAGATGAGCGCCGCAACCCCAGAGTTGTTTGCAACTGGGGTCCTTTACCTTTACAACCCCGTAGCAATTCTGCAAGGTGTAAATCAGGACCCTACAAGGCCTATAACAAGCCACTACAGCAAGCTTCAGCAAACTTGCAGCAGCCATGATGGACAAAAGTGGATGAAGAGAGTGGAAAGATTCAACTCTGGGCCACTCACGCGCAAGCTGCTGGGAGCTGTTCAGCTGATTCTCAGTGGCAAATGTGCAAGTCCCTGGCATCTTGCATGACAGTAAGATGAAATACGAGGTCATACTATCAGCACAAATAGGATGCCATTTGCCTTTTAAAACTTTCCCCCACATGGTAATCCACGATTTCTCTCTTACATTGGTTCACCTAAGTATGTCATGTAACTGACCTATACTCCTGACCCAGCTACTGATCAATATAAAAGGTGTTCAAGGAATCATTCTCTCTGTCTCTGCTCACTATCTATCCAACTCTACCTCATGTGCTCAGCTGAAGGCCACAGGATCCTGGCCCATAGCCTTGGATGACTAACTATGACCTTTATATCAGAATGCCAACATGCTATGGGAGATCAGAAATTTTGTTTCACAACTAGATGGTTTGGGGAAAATCAGAAAGAGGGTAAGAAGAACTCTGATTGTTAATGCTATTCTTATACAATTTGCAATCTATCATGTTTTCTATATTGCCATGTTGCACTGTTTCAGGGTTATTTTCTTTTCTTCTGAATAATATTATCTTCCGTGTGAAGATAATATGGCTTACATGAAGCACTGTACACCAATTAAGATGCATTTCAGCTACAATCTTGAGTTTAAGGCCTTTTATCACTAGTTATGCTTTATTGAGCTGCTATTGAGTAAGTATGAACGCAGATTAGAGTGCCCAGTTAACTGTGCCATGACTAGAAATTGAACAGACAATGCAGAGGATGGTGATAGAATGGCACAATGCAAAGGCACAGAAAAATATATCACCAATGAATACTAGCCATCTTGGTATTAATTTGATACCAAGCAATCAACGTTAGCACTTACCTGGCCAATTACCAGTCACCCACAATAAGGAGTACAGACAAGCAGACAAATATAGAAGTAGTCTTTTTCTTTACAATAACTCATATATTTGATAGAAGTAGCATCAATTCGTAAGTCAACACCCAGCTTGGGGGTTGCATAACTAGTTAGCATGCCAAAGTCTCGTTTGTTATCTGAATTAACCAGACAAATCCCTCTAACCAACTAAGAATGGCCATTCACCACATGGGAAAGCTCGCCTGGCCCAGACACAGAAAAAATTGACAGATCGATAGCTCTTTCTCGATTTTGGGGGTGGTGGCGCATGGCTGCTCTTAGTTGGTGGAGCAATTTGTCTGATTAATTCTGATAACGAACAAAGCTCTGGCATGCTAACTACTGGTAGTTATGTGATGCCCGAGCCGGGTGTTGACTTATGAGTTGATGTTACTTCTATCAAATACACGAGTGACTGTAAAGAAAAAATACTACTTCTATATTTGTCTGTTTGTCTATACTTCTTATCGTGGGTGACTGGAAATAGGCCAGGTAAGTGCTAACATTGATTGCTTGGTATCAAATTAATACCAAGTTGGCTAGTATTCATTCCATTTTATAGGAGAACCCAGACTGAGAGCAGGACTTGGAGATCTGAACTGCACCAGTGAGGTCCAAATTTCCACCAGCTGCACTGCATTGCTTTCCCCTTGCAAGCACATTTGCTCTTTGCCCAGGGAGTTTAGTTGGCTTGCAAGGAACCAGCACAGAGAAGCCTTTCACATATATGAAATGGGAGATGCTCTGGAAATTCAACAGCCGCAGCAAGAAATGGCGAAAAAGCAACTGACTTCAACACTGGGCCCTGTCCAAAGGAAGGGGAGAACACAAGAAATGATGGCTCTGTGGCTCAAATTCAGTCTATTAATAGCTACCTAAAAGGGCCATTTCCTTCTTACTGCAGACCACGAGCTAACCACTGGCCAATTTCTATCCTTCTGGGAAACAGCTTAAGAGCAGTGCAGGAGATGCCACTCATCTCTGCCCTCTGCAGAGAGGAATGAAGCTATGGAGCACAAGAATTTGTAGTGACCTTGCTGCCCAGGACTTTTCTATATTATATTATAAATATTATATTATATTATATTATATTATATTATATTATATTATATTATATTATATAAGGTAAAGGGACCCCTGACCATTAGGTTCAGTCGTGGCTGACTCTGGGGTTGCGGCGCTCATCTCACTTTATTGGCCGAGGGAGCACGTCAAAATCTAAGTAGATAAATAGGTACCGCTCCGGCGGGAAGGTAAACGGCGTTTCCATGCGCTGCTCTGGTTCGCCAGAAGCGGCTTAGTCATGCTGGCCACATGACCCGGAAGCTGTACGCCGGCTCCCTCGGCCAATAAAGTGAAATGAGCGTCGCAACCCCAGAGTCGGCCGCGACTGGACCTAACGGTCAGGGGTCCCTTTACCTTTACCTATGCCCATATATCTGTAAAAGTTGCCCCAGACTTTCAACCCTCAGTAGCTCCTTACAAGGGTTGGGAGGATAAGGAGTAAATGTGTTCTCATTTTGTAGTTTTGTTGTGAACTGCCCTGTGATCTTCAAATGAAGGGCGCTATACAAATTTAATTAGAATTAACAAAAACAACAACAAAACAACAACAACAAATTTAGCACGCCTCTCTGGAAGAATTTATACAAAATAATGGGAATCTGGGATGCACCACCACCACCACCACCTAGTGGCTGTCAACTGAAAACTATCCATACGTCTCAAGTATATGTCACTGTCCACTCCCCAACTAGTTGGAATTACTGAAAAGCAGAATTAACTCGTTTCAGTACCTATAACTAATGCAAAGGGAAGAAAAGGCAAATCAGAAGTTAGGCAAACATGTCCATATTGTGCGTTTTGATGGCTTTCCACTGCTGCAAGGAGAAAACCACAAACAGAGCTATTCCCCCTTTAGCCCACGCGAGCCACTTCAAACAGCAAGTCCAGCCTATTGATTGCCTTTTGCTTCGTGGACATTAGATATCTGAGAAATGGTGCCTGCTTAGCAATGCTAATGGCGGTGATCTATTCGGATGGCGCACGTTCCCAGAACACAAAGTGCAGACATGCCTTTGGCTGCCCAGTTCATTTTATTACAGCTATAAAACAGCTTTTGACTACGTCTGGTACATTTTGACAAGCTCCGTTCTACAGCATCGACAGATCCTGCTTGGAAACTGGGTGGACTTGGAAGAACCTCTCAAGCACCCTAGGTCAACTTGGTCTGCTGCTCCTTTAAGCCCCAGCAACAGTAAAAAAGAAAGAAAAAGCTCCGCCTTCCCAGGCTTATTGAAAAAAGTGTCACTGCATACCTTTGGGTAAACTCAATCTACCAAAAGACCAAGCACACCTGGGTCACTTGGAAAAGAGAGCGTCACATTAAAGTAAAATATGATGCTGAACTGCAGGTTGGTGAACCTTTTTCAGCCAGAGGATCACATGCCCGCCTGAACAACCTCATAGATTATTATTTGGGGGGGGGGCACATGCCAGTGGTGGGTGGAGCAGTACATATAACTCTTTGCTCTGTACAGTAGGCTATAGTCCAGCCACACAAGTGTTTGTGGTTACTACATCTGCATCCCTCCATCCAAGCAGGTAAGAGGTATTCTGAGCAGTACAGGGTCACGTTCTGTTTAGGCCGAGAAGAGTAGCCTTGGGAGGAGCGGCCTGCAGAGATTCCTAAGAGCCAGATAAAAAGGGCTTGGAGGGCCTGAGGTCACCCCACCCCTGCTGAAGAAGTTAGATCACCTCACTGGGGTACCAAAGGCTTGGCAAGCCACATGAATTCAGGAGGAGAAAGTGGAGGTGTGGCTACATGACAGCTAAACAAAGGTGGTTCCATTATGACATCTATCCGGAAGGAACTTACTGGAACACTAAACACAAACATCCTCCTCCCCCGCTGCCTCGTGCTATATTTAGACTCAAGGTGATGCTAAAGTGTCTTTGCCCTTTCCATAGACGTGACTCAACTTTTCCCAACAGAGCAAAAATGGTCAGGCAATGCAACAATTTAAAAAGATTCTACTCCAACGTTCAAATACAGAAATATTTTTTTAGAAAAATCAATACACACTGAATATACAGCATGGAGAGTAACCAAAAGGGTGAGCTATGGAAATTCTTGAATACAGCTAGTGAAAGACATAACTACATGTACACATCTGGCTCTGTCCCTCTCTCTTTCTTTGGTGCCATGCAGAAAGTTTGTATGATGCCCATTTCTCACCCACGAGGCACTAGATGGTTCCATGACAGGATTAAACCACTCATCTCACCTCCAATGGAGAGAAATAAGGCTATCAGTGACTAAAAGCCATGATGGCTATGCGCCGCTTCCACTGTTGGGGAGAGTATTCTTCTGAATACCAGATGCTTGGTATTGTAAGTGGGGAGAGTTGCTCTTGTGCTCAGGTTTTCCCATGGGCATCTGGTTGGCAACTGCAGCAACAGGATACTAGACTGATCCAGCAGGGCTCTCACGTTCTAAGAGCAGCTTGATTTGCCCCATCTTGACTTCACACCTCTCCTTCTCATGTTCAGATACTTGTTAAAGCGAGCAGATACCTGTAAACTCCCGCTTGCCTCATTGACTACTGTGTGAGAAGAAAGCTCTAAGCAATCAAGACATGACCAGTTAGCAGCATCAAGTGTTCATGGAACCTCACGTTGGACAAGGTCAACTGGATCAAATACCTTCCTTGCAAGAAATATTGAACAGCTCTGATTTTTTTCAGAACTTTCTCAAAATGAGACAGCTCAAAATTTTCAGCCATGTGTTAAAAGCTGCAGCTCACCTCCTCTCAGAGCAAATGGCTTTTGTTTTTCTGACCTGGTAGAACATCCATCTTGCTTGAAGTTCATAAGCCTCTTTATGGCATTTATTTGAACAGAAAGAAAGCAGTAACTTTCTTTTGTACCACTGCTGGTTGACTCCACTTGGACTTGACCCCCTTTGGAAAATAGCTGTTTTCTGCACAGCAAGTTCACGGGCAGGCCTGCATGTACTAAAGACAGTCATGGTGTTTCTTGCATTTGAAAGGATGCTTTCTAAAGAATAGCTTACCTTCAATTAGAGCTTGTGTGGCTTCATCATAAGGGGGCATCCTCTCCAGTTCATCTTCTGATGCCTTGACATCAGACGATGGCTTGGGGGAAGGGACCTGTGGAGACATTGAGGCAGCAGGTGGCCATTGTCACTTCCAGTTCAAAAACCAGCCTGCATAGACCATAAGCAAGAGGGGAAAGGGGAGACTGGGAGAAACTGACAAGCGGGGACTGGCCATGCTTCACACCCTGAATGATTTTGTGTGACTGAAATGTGCCCAGAAGGGAATGCAGCCCTCAGGCTGAGGAAGGCTCCCCATCCCTGCTTTGGAGGATAAGAGGGGCTCAGAGGGAGCGAGACAAACAGAGAACCCGCATTGAATTCTCATGTACTTCCTAATGTTAAGCAACAGCAACAAAAATTCTATGTGTGAAACTGTAGTACTAGCAACTTGCCATTCTTCTCATTACACCAGGCATAGCAATTTGTCAGGCTTTAATATTCCACCCTATCCCAAGATCAGCAAAAAGCTCTGGAGGGGATGAGTCACTGCTACCAGCATGGCTACTTTTCCACCCACCCTCTATAGTAGTGTTAGAAACTGAGATATGAAAGCTAGGAGCTAAACAGCACCTTGAACCTAGGTTAAGGGCACAACAACGGAATGTCTAGGCATGCTTTTCTTATAACAAGAATGCAAAACTGAAAATGAAGGAACTGCAGCTAAAATATTATGTTCATTTTCCACATGGTCTAGTCTTTTCCCTTACCCACCCCCCTAATATTCTTAAGAGGGTCTCTTCTCCAATCTTCAGAGAGCAGCTGGAAGCAGAAAAAGGTCCTCCTTTCCTTCCACACTGCGGTTTTAATCTGAAATCTTAGCAGTACTACACCCAGAGCTCCGAAACTGCTCACGCTAATGAAATTCCCTGTCTCAAAATGCGCCTAGAACAATGGGAGTTTTGAACACTGTTCTATAGGCTTTGGGGCAAAATTCTTTACTCAACGCCACTCCTTCAACACCTTGCTCCATGACCAGCTCCTCTCTAGTCAAACATACATGCAAATATTGTATTCAGAATAAAGTGTGCTAAAATAAAAGCACATATATTTTCCTATGGTGTGTGGGTTCTTGAATGTAAAATTTAAGTTAGGAGAGGGGCGGGGGAGAAGAATATCCCTGTATATTTCAGTTGTAGACTCCAGAAACTCAGTTTAGTACCTTCACCTCCTCATCAATGCTGTCTTCCTCAGGTTCTTCATCTTCATCCTCCTCCTCGTCATAATCGTCATCAGGAGGTAACTGGTCCACGTGGGCATCGGGCTGAGTATCTGGCTCTTCATCTGATGGGCCTTTTGGTGGGGGCTGTACATCAACCAAGCTCTGGAGAGGGGAAAGTTGAGTTTAGCCCATCTTGTAACTGATGGCTGCCCTTAGTTAGCAACTGTGTTTGAAATTCTCGAGGAGCAAGGGAGAATGGATACCATGGATGTCACTCAGGAACTCCCAGAGCCAAAGTGGCCTGCCTTTCCATGAAAGACCCACTTCTCCAGTAGCTGCAGATGGAGCCATGATTAATGCCTGCCAAGATGCTTCTAATTCTGCAGTCCAAACAGTTCTGCCAAATGCTCCAGTCTACTTATGCTTACCATTTATATCCTGCCTTTCTAACCAACTAGGAATTCAAAGCAGCATATAATATATCAACACTACATAATTTATACTGTGTAACCTAGGCTCCTTCAGGAAGGATGGGTGGGATATAAATTGAATACGTAATAAATGTGAAACCACCACAGAAAGTTTTCAGAACATATTGACTAGACCAAAAAGTGATGTAAAAAATTAAGAGTATAGTAATGACATCAAGCCAAGCATGGAACAAAACTGTTTCAGATATCAGTTCCCCAGAAAACGTCATTCAAACTATTTGGATCTGTGATAGAGAAAGACAAGGCTGGCACACTGACCTCTGGTCTGTACTTCTCCTTGATCGCTGCCCACACAGTGTCCTGGAATCTGGCCACATCCGCCTGCAAGGAATTGTCCAGTAAAGTCTGAAAGAACAGGAAAACTGTATTTATACACAGCTGCATATGTCCCAGGGCTAACCCATAGTTCAAATTAAGTAGCAATGCACTGTATCAGTCAAGTAGTCATCCTCCTCCTCCCCACAATGGTTACAGATTTTGGAAAGACAAGAGAGTAGCATTTCTTTCAAGCGAGCCAGACTGTGCAAGATCATTTTTTATAAGAAACATTAAAAAAAACAAGACAGACCCTGCTCTTTCAGCAAGTAACACCCCTTAAACAAGGGGTGGGCAGAAGCTGCGTTTGCATCTACAGTACTGGTAGATTGCTGGGTGATTTGCAGTAGATGGGCAAGGATTTCTGACTCCCAGCAACAAAATGACACACACATACACCCCACCCCTCTGCCCTAAATAATGCTGCGGAAATGAAGAAAGCTTAGAATAACCAAAAGTGAGTATGGAAAGACTGTATGCACCATTCAACTTTAGTATGAAAGAACAAAAATTCTGAGACCAGAAATTTGTTTAACTGTATGTCTTTTGCGTTTGGCTTCAGCTGGTGGCTTACGGGATTTTGGTAAAAATGACAACAAAACAGATTCTGCAAGCCAGAGATCTGCCCACTCCTGATCTAAACCAATGAAACAGTGAATTCCCTAGGCTAACTATGAATTGTGTGAAGAGGTACCCTTTTCTCTGCCAATCATTTTTGGGGGAAGAACCTCATTTGTGATGCTCTCAACCATGCAACTCTACAGAACCAAGAAGACAGATTGGGAGGATTTCCACAGTCTCTTCCATAGCCTTGATGGGTTCCCTTGGGATGAAGAAATGATGTAAAATCAGTTTCAGCAGCCAGCAAAAAGAGCCTAAAAACACACTCTGAAAGTAGAGCAGGTTCAGTGTTACTGCCACCTTGTGGACACCTTAGGCGTAAATAAATACCGTATTTTTCGCCCTATAGGGCGCACTGGCCCATAGGACGCACCTCATTTGGGGGGGGGGAGAATAAAAAAAATTATTCCCCCCACCACCACGGGGCTGGGGAAGCCCGAGCTTCCCCCGACCCCAGCCCCCAGAACAGGCTGCCGCCCGCAAGCCTTGCGCGCCCGGGGGGAGTTCCCCCGGGCGCTGCAGGCTTGCGGACACCTGCGCGAAGCACGGGGCGTCCTCTAGAGGGCACCCCATGCTCCGCGCTGCAGGCTGCCACCCGCAAGTCTTGCGCGCCGCGGGGAGTTCCCCCGGGCGCTGCAGGCTTGCGGATAGCTTCCTGAAGCCTGGAGAGCAAGAGGGGTCGGTGCGCACCGACGCCTCTCGCTCTCCAGGCTTCAGCGAAAGCCTGCATTCGCCCCATAGGACGCACACACATTTCCCCTTCATTTTTGGAGGGGAAAAAGTGCGTCCTATAGGGTGAAAAATATGGTAAATCACACACTAGTAAAAAAAGGGAAAAAAGACTGAAGTTGAAATAGAAAGATTTTCTCCCATGGGCTAATTTCCTTAAACATACCGTATCTTTTGTCCTATAGGGCACACCGGCCCACAGGACGCACCTTGTTTTTTGGGGGGGGAAATGAATAAAAAAAATTTATGCCCCCACCGCGGCTGCCGCCCCAAGCCTTGCGCACACCTGCCCGAAGCACGGGGCACCCTCCGGAGGGCTCCGCGTGCTTCGGGCTGCAGGCTGCCGCCCCAAGCCTCGCGCGCCCAGCGGGACATCCCGCCGGGCGTGCAAGGCTTGCAGACACTCGCTCGAAGCACGGGGAGACCTCCGGAGGGCTCCGCATGCTTCGGACGACAGGCTGCCGCCCCAAGCCTCGCGCGCTCGGCGGGACCTCCTGCCGGGCGCGCAAGGCTTGCGGACACTCGCCCGAAGCACGGGGAGCCCTCCGGAGGGCTCCCCATGCTTCAGGCGACAGGCTGCCGCCCCAAGCCTCGCGTGCTCGGCAGGACCTCCTGCTGGGCGCGCAAGGCTTGCGGACACTTGCCGGGGCTGCAGGCTGCTGCCCGCAAGCCTTGTGAGCCCGCGGGAACTCCCGCCGGGCTTGCAAGGCTTGCGGATAGCTTCCTGAAGCCTGGAGAGCGAGAGGGGTCGGTGCGCACCGATGCCTCTCGCTCTCCAGGCTCAGCGAGCTTGCATTCGCCCCATAGGACGCACACACATTTCCCCTTCATTTTCGGAGGGGAAAAAGTGCGTCCTATGGGGCGAAAAATACGGTACATTCCTTAGATTTGTTATTCTTGATGCACTTTAAATTTGAAACTGTTTGAAACCTACATGTAAACTTCCGAATCTGGGAAGACAGGATTCTACAACTTCAGACCTCTAATTCGGCAAGTGGGATAAATACACATGGATTTGTGGTTACTTTTATCATTTTGCAAGTATTATAAATATTCCAAAAGGTTGAGATATGTGAAAACTGGTCTGGCAGGGCTGAGGAAAAGTGACAGATATATCGGAAAGGGGCAAGAGCTTAGTGATTGCTACATAACTGGTTGCTCCATAACTAGGAAACTCCCTTCTTCTCTAGCAGACTTAGTCATCCCTCCCCCAGCCCAGAAGACCCCTTGTAGCATTGCACTGAAAAGCGCCTGAGTTTTCAGGTCAGCAGGTAGGCAATATGGAGCTTCTAAAGCACTTATGGGATGACTCTTTTTACAAAGGTTTCTAGCTTTCGCTTAAAAGTGTGCACCTCTCATCACTGGGGCTGAAAAGGTGGCAGGAAAATGAAGACTGTGCTTTACAGTCTTTACAGCCCTGTTTAGGGAAGTTTTTAATGCTTGATGTATTATAGTATTTTAATATTTTTTTGGAAGCCGCCCAGAGTGGTTGGGGAAGCCCAGCCAGATGGGCAGGGTATAAATAATAAATTATTATTATTACCGTATTTTTTGCACCATAACACTCACTTTTTTCCTCCTAGAAAGTAAGGGGAAATGTCTGTGCGTGTTATGGAGGGAATGCCTACGGGTGGCATGCCAACGGATTTTCCTCCTCTAAAAACTACATGTGTGTTATGGTCGGGTGCGTGTTATAGAGCGAAAAATATGGTATATTATTATTACAGTGTACAAGAAGAGAAAAACATAAGTTAAAAAGTAAGATTTTGGATAGACACTACTGCACTAAAGGTTCAAGTATTATTATTATTATTTATTGAATTTATATACTGCCCTATAGCCGAAGGTCTTGGGGCAGTACAGTGGATGCTCGGGTTGCAAACGTGATCCGTGTGGGATGCACGTTCGCAACCCACAGCGTTCACAACCCACAGTGGCGCATCTGCGCACAGGCGGGTTGCGATTTCGCATTTCTACGCATGTGCAAAGCGCAATGTAGCACTTCTGCGCATGAACGCCCAACAAAACCCAGAAGTAACCCGTTCCAGTACTTCCGGGTTTTGGTGGGTCCGTAACCTGAAAAAACGCAACGTGAAGCGTCTGTAACCCGAGGTATGACTGTACTGCTAAGAAAAGATCCAAGAAAAATCTGACAAAGGAAGTGAGCTATTGAGCACACATAGGACATATTGGGAATGGCTGGAAAACAGTAAAATAAAGCAGAGTGTCTTCAGTAGAATGCGTACTGACACCTTCCCCCACCCCAATATACCCCCAAGCCCAGCAAGTGACTTCTAAACAATATGGCGGGTGGGGGGAGGTTCACAGCTGGGCAGTATTTGGACACTCTGGTTTGATCTACAACTTTGTCTACTTCCAGACTCCAGCCCTACTCCAAGTGTCAAGTGGTCTCATCTTAACCTAGCTTTTGGTGGGAGAGGGAAGAGAACTGCAAAGCACAGGAAGTGCATGAAAGCAGAAGGCCTAACAGAAAGAATGAAGGATAACCATGAACAGCTGTTTTCACTTGCATGAGAAGAAAAGCCCCCCTCTACAAGTGCACATTTCCCACCATACCTGGGCTTCCGATTCTGAAAGGATCCCATCACCATCTGCATCTAGTTCAGGGTGCGTCTGGAGCTCAGCAACAGATATCCTGAAGGCACAGGAGGGCAATTAGGGTACTAACCATGCCTTTCACAACTCCGCATACACAAAGACTGATATAGCAGTCCCTGTGGCATGTGTACTCCAAGGTTCCTAGCTTTCATTTTACGGAAAAGAGCAAGTTTTTAGCCCTCATTATTTCTTGAAGACTTAAAGTATCACTTAGGGATGCTTTTAAGTTACAGGGTATCTTGTATCAGAGCAATGGGATTGGGTTTGTGCCCTCTCATCAGTTTGAAACGTCTTACAGACAATTAATGCCTCCTGAGCCAACATGGCCCTTGAGATGGTAACAATAAGTGCTCCTCTGCTCCAAATAAATCCAGGAATAGTTAAGCGCTAGAATTTGACGTCAGGACACAAAGGGATCAGCAGCTGGATCAACATCTGTCCTGCCACATGCCTTTGACCACAGATGACAGAGTCTGCGAACAAGCTACTGAAAGGGGGAATCATCTCACTCACATGCCATCTCCATCATCATCCAGCTCGTGAAAGGCTTCTTCTGCTTTGGCTTGATCCCTCACCGCTCTTTCGGCCGCTTTCTGTTCTGTTGCAAAGTGGGCAAATAACAAGTTCAACTCATTCATTCATTCAAAAAAACCAAAGTAACTTCCCTGCATAACTTCTAAAGTCACCTTCTCTCTACAACTAGGAGAACAGCTTTAGGATTTCTGTGCACCTCAAATCCTGTCCCTAAAGCACATATTCCAATGAAACAATAAGGTAGACACACATGTATTAAAATCTAAAACCCTGCAGACTTATTTGCCTGATAAATGCAGTCTTTGAGAACCACCAAGAAAACACATCCCATCCATGCCCTAACAGAAAAAGGGAACAGAGAGTCATGCCCAACATTTATTCTGCTTATTTTTCATTTCAAATTCATTCTCAACACATGGCAACGTACAAAGATGAAGAACAATTTAAGTGGCTTGATGACTACCCAAGAACTGTGTGGCTCCCTCTTCCTGAAGCCCTGCCAAACATCTTCCAGAAGTGTTGCAACAGCTTCATATTGGTCTGTTTTTAACGGCCGGCGTTAAGCAGGTGCAGGATAATTTCAATCCATTTCTGGATGCTGCACTAAGTATTTCACCCAAGCATTTCATTGTATTGCTTTTATCATGCTGAACTATTGACGTGGCAAACACCCCAAGCCCCTGCAAGAGCTGGGCTTGGAACTAAGAATGTGAGCAGCGCAGACAAAGGCACCTCCGGCTGCAACTCTAGCATCCCATCTCCTCATCAGTGGCAAGGCAGAAACTTCCAGGAAGCCATTCTAGGACATGAGGGTAAACCCATCCATCATAAAATTCTCTAACCTCCTATTAAGGCAGGGCTGGGAAATCTGTGGCCACCTGTTTGCTATGGGACTCCCAACTCCCATCCATCTTAAGGCAGCATGGCCAATGATCAGGGATTCTGGAAGCTGTATTTTAACATCTGGAGGACCACAAGTTCTCCTGCTTTAAAAACGAGGCTGTTGGCTGACACAGAGGCTTTCAGTGCCATGAAATCCCCTCGCATGGTAGACGTGCACTCACCCTCCCAGGCTTTCTGATGGATATCCTTGGCTTCTTTTTCAGGTTTCTCAGCAGCTTCTTTTAGCGACCTCAGAGTCTCCACTTGCTCCTCCACAGACTTCTTGCTCTCCTGTAGCTCAGTGAGCTTTATCTAGAAGTGTTTGGGGGGTGGGGAGGAGAGAGAAGAGGTCCTCTCAACAGTCCAAGCCCAAGGTGTGTACAGAATCTCTATAACTTGGCTCCCCACCCACTAGAGGTCACTTCTAATGCCTACCTGAAAAGAGCCATAGCTTGGCTTCTTCAAGTGACTCCAAAATGCTCCTGTGAGAGGAACGATGCCCAGGCTCATGAGCACTGGTGGCAATGGGCACTCTTCCCCTGTATTGTCAGCACAGTGTTTCCACTTCCTAGGCCAGCATCCTCACCTGTTTTTCTTCCTTCCTCTTACTTGCTTCCTTCATCAGGGCCTGCTTGATTTCGAAGCCTTCTCTGGCCACTTCAGCCATCTGCTTTAGTGCCTCCCGCTCCTTTCGGCCCATTTCTCTGCACAGGGAAAGGAAAGAGACAGCTGGAGCTGAGCCCCAAAGACACCTTCCACCCACAGCACTAACCAGTGCAGCAAGAGAGACCCTATTCTAGAAGGGGTGGGGAGCAAGCTTTTTTCAGGCATAGAGTATATGGCAGGAAATGACAGCCCAGCAGCAAGCTACAACCCAGGCAATGTCAATGATGACCAACCTTGGGCTGCGCAGCCAGAGGCAGTGCTCACATTAAGACACACAGTGCAAGTCCTCTTATTCTGAATAACTCCATATTCATAAAAGTTTGCAGAATTATGTGACAACAGGACAAGAGCTATGGGTAGCCTGACAAATATGACTACTCTGCCCGATTTATTTTGTGAATTTATTACAGTTTAATAATAATAATAGTCTTCAAATACATTTTCAGGGCAGCTTAGAGTAAAAGGTTATGAAAAAACCCTAAAATAACTAATAAATCAAAATAAACTAAAAATAGCATTAAAATAATCATTGGACAATACTGCATCAAAGTATTTTAGAATCTCTACCCCTGCAAACCTATACAGCTACTGCCCCTTTTTTTCTTTCATGATATTTACAAACATCAAGATCAATATAATATAATACAATACAGAATGTAGGACCGCATTATGCTTAGCCAGCACCAATGACAAACACGTGAAAAGAAGTTATCAGGGGAATGAAGAATTGTTACCTCCCTCTCTGTCTTTAAGAGTGAAAACTTGCATTGCACAAGAAGATTATGTTTCTCGTGCTTCCATGCATTTGTTTTATTTGTTTTATTTTTTGGAGTTTGGTTTTAGCTGGCATCATTATTTTGCAGCTGCATATTTTTCTGGCAATCATGTTTGAAATGTTCTGTTGTGAGCTGGACCCAAATATGGCACAGACAGGCCAGGAACATACTTAAAAAACCAAACACCTACAACCTACAGCACAGCAATTTGCTGTAGCCGCCCAAAAGCTGAGACGTTCTATTATGCAAGATAATACAGCGAACTATCAAGAAAATTTGCCTTTTAAAATGTCTCCAATTGATTAAGACTGAGTTGGTGTTCTGTTTTTAATCCTGAGATTTATTATTGTAGTGCCCTGTAATTAAACAACAGAACTGTTAAGTGGATTTATTTTTTTGAAGATGGGGAGGATCCAAGTTTCCCAGAGGTTGTGCAAAATTATTTTGGGAGCTGCTGCTGCCTGGGATCAAGTGTACATTTATCCTCTTTCCTTTCCCAAACTAGCCCAAACCCAGTCTGGAGCTGCCTTTGAATCAGCAGTCCCAAGGAGAGGAAAAGCTTCCTGAAAGTATATAGGCCATGCCTTACTTGCAGGTGTTTTCACACACAATGCCGCTGTTGTACTCATCTGTTGCATCACAGCAGTCTAAAGGCAAACAACAAGGAGAGCCATCAACATTCACTCACTTGGGCTTGGCTGCCCGCAGCCTGAAGTCTCCCACCCACATGAGCTAGCAAAGCTTACCACAAATTCCATCATTGACACGGGAGGAGGGGATGTACTGAGGTCGGTAGCCAGCGTTGGAGCAGTGGAAACGGCCACTAGGGCATGCAGCAGTTCCTGGGCAGAGAGATAAGGTACTAGTGAATTCCTTAACAAATCGGATGCTTACAGCTATCTACAAGAACCAATGTTACCCTTCCCTCCCGCAAATTCTGTGATTTAGGGATAAACTGGCCATGCTGCATTTGCCCATGCTATGAAGTTAGTCACTATGACCACTTTGTCTTGTTTTACCATTATGAAGAGTTGGATGTAGGATCTTGCAACAAGAGAAAGATAATCCAAAGGTCACTTTCAGTCACACACAAACATACTATTCACATCCAATCTTCCTCATGCTTCAGCTTCTCCCATTAATTCTAAAAAAAAATGCAGCAAACCTATGTAACATATTCAGACATAACTTCTGGTCTAAAAAGCCTTACTCAAAGTGGCATTAGGACATATCATTTTCACTCTTGACTAATGTTGAACATCCAAGTTTTCTGCACCAATTTAATATATCAATTTCATCTCCCCTGCTCCCAATTTTCAATGCAGATTCTTGCCAAAGTTGCAAGCAGGATGACAATATAGATCCAGCTCTGTCTCATGCACCACTAGCAACTTTGCACCTCAGCTGGACCAGGACCTGCCTATCATCTAGGCATTGCTGATAACTCAGTTAGTAGAGCGTGAAACTCCTAATCATAGGGCCATGGGCTAAAGTCCCACACTGGGCAAATGATTCCTGCATTGCTGGGGGTTGGAGTAGATGACCCTTGTGGTCCCTTCCAACTCTCCTATTCTGTGATTCTACAAGTGGTATTGCTGTAAGGCAAAAGAACAACAACCCCTCCAAAGTCCAGATGCAGATTCCAGAGCTCCCATGGGCATGTGCTTGCCCCTCTGTTGTGTGAGGAACATCTAATCCAGTGGTGCCCAAAATTTTGAGGACCAGATTTGATGAAGTGAAGGGCCGTGAGGGCCAACCAAAGTTGTTGCTCTTTTTTTAGGATTGAAATTGTTGAGCCTTTTTTTTTTTTTAGGGTTGAAGTTGTTGAGGGGTTTTTTGAGGATTAGGCCCCCGAAACGGACTTTGGACATGTCTGTGGTAGAGCCTTTGGCCAACAAGGGAATCAAAGGTGTGCTAAAGGTGGGAAAGGAGATTGCAGAGGAGCTGAACGGATTATTTGCATCTGTCTTCAGAGCAGAAGACTCGTGAGTAACATAAAAGTAATAAGGTGAAACAGGAGAGATGCGAGCCGGGAAGGGCGACGGAAGGGCCCGGCCGGGTGGCGACTCACCTCGCAGGCAATGCGCCATCCCTTTGGCCCAGGCAAGGCGGCGGCGGCTGCTCGGCGACCTCCTCGCCCGTCTCCTCATGAGGGAAACGCGGCGTCGGGGCGCCTCCGGCGGAGCAAGGCCGCTGGCCTTCGCCTTCCCCTCCACCTCCCTCCTTTTCGCCGCGCCACCTGCGCCTCCGCTGCCTCCTGCTATCGGCGGGCCCTCCCGGGCGTCGGGCTCCGAGGGCGAAGGCGCCCCTCCTCGGCCCCACTCCACCATGCCCATCTGCAGCACGGGCCCCGCCGCCGCGCTCCCTCCAGCCGCCCTGGCCGCTTCGCCCGCCTCCTCCTCGGGCTCGAAGCCCGGGTTGTCCCGGCTCCAGGCCTGCCTCGAGCAAGACGAGAGCGACGGCGAGCAAGACGAAGGAGGAGAAGGAGAAGAAGTGCCGACGATGACTCTGCCGCCCGGCGGGTCCTGCAGCCGCCCCAGCTCCAGATGCTCCAGGCCGCCGGGAGGGCAAAGTCCCGCCATGGCCCCCTGACCCTGGACGAAGGCCGCCGCCTCAGAAATTTTCTCTCAGGCCGGCCGAGTACTGGCGCGAGAAGGGAGCGCCTTCGCTTTCTCCACCGCCCGCCTTCCAGCCCCCCATCCCTGCCCACAGCGTGCTGCCTCGCAGGGGGAAGCGGGCAGGCCGGGCTGCGTGTGTCTTTTGGCCGGGATGCTGCGGGGAGGGGAAGAGCGGCGCTCCCCACATAGCCAGGAGCTCCTGCGGCTCCTTCCGAATCTAATAGGGTTTTGTTTTGTTTTGGTCTCTCTTTTTGCAGCTTCAGCTGCCAACACAACTGTCCTAGGCTTCGATTAGGATGGTAGACTTTATTAGCGAGAATAAAAGGTGAAGGCTGGCGGCCGGCGGCGGCTACACGGGCCACATGATGAGGTCTGGCGGGCCGGATTCGGCCCGCGCGCCTTGTGTTTGACACCCGTGATCTAATCTGTCCTGATGTCTGATCTAAAACCTCCCACCCAGCTATGACTTGTGCTGTCTCTCTCTTCAGCTAATATGTTTGCTTTCCATCCAGGCAAACCATATTCTGCTTTTGCAACTTTGTGCATTTCATGCCTTGTACATTTTCACACATTCAGGGAATAGGAAACCCCATGAAGTACAATATTAGCAAGTATCTAATTACAGCAGCAATAAGCAGCATGTTTCATTGGTGGAGGCAAGGTGTGTGAGTGGGGCTTACCTGGCTCATCTGATCCATCTCTGCAGTCACAGTAATCATCATTGACTCTATCAAAGGCTATTGTTGCTGAGCCATCTAGACAAGTAAATGGCTTCGATTCATCATAGAAGTGATGGCCTGAGAAGGACAGCAAGAGACACTTGGTTCCGAGAACAAAAATTGCAGAATGCAAATACACCAATCCAGAAAGGCATTCAAGGCACAAGCCAAACAACACAAATTTGGGGTGATGGGACAAAAACAAAACACCAATAGCAATATCATGGAATAGTCTTCCAACATCCCCAGTCACGTATACAATACCAAATCCTTAAACACACTCGCTCTCTCTAAATCACCCATGGATAACCATAGTGATGTGCTGGAGAGGGGAAGATTGACATTTGAACTGAGGGAAACTGCAACAGGAAACGGAAGGGGAAGGACAGCTGTGCACCAAAATAGGATGAGTTTGCTTTTTAGAGAGCCCCAAGGAACTGTTTATTCAAAGCCACTGAAATAATATTTAGCTGTGAACAGTAGTTTCTTCTTCAACCTTGCCACTGTTCCACTCAAAGGAGGCTGTATTTAGTGCTAGGAAGATCTGCAATCATTTGAGGCTCAGGAGCTATTCAGGAAACATGACTGACCTTTCACAAACCGACACTAAAACACCATCTTCTCCCCAAAGCCACTCAATGATTTGACACATTCTGGCAATCCATCTCCTAGAAAATGCAACCAGTAGTGTAGTGCTACCTACTTTGCCCTTCAATCAGGGCACCTGCTAATAAGATGAATTCACCTCATAGTTAAACTAGTCCAGAAAAGCTACACATTCAGATGTACAGTCTCTTTTCCACCACATGAGGAAGAAAGAGCACAAGGGAGGCTTAATACACTTTAAAGTTTCGTGTAATGAAAGCCTCAGCATTTTATGCAAAACAGTTCCAGTGGGGAGGGGGGGGGAGAACAGTGGAATCTGAAGAACGAGAATGTGATTACAAACCTCAAGACCAAGGCACTGGGGCCACTGCCACTGACTTTCAAAAGAATTGAGACTCCTCAAAGAATTAGGAAATGCTTCCAAGTTTAACAATTTTACCAGAAAGGAACAGCAAGTCATGAAGAAGACAACCCTTCTCTACAGGAAGTAACTGTGTGAATGTGTGCATAGTTGCAAATGTCAGGGCTCTAGCACCAAATGAAGTGTAGAACTAAGAGCAGGAAGCAATGGTAGCCCTTGGAGTCTTCCCTCATTCCTCCATTTTTCAACCAGGAAAAAACAAACAGTGAATATACCAAATGCAGGGTTTTGCTAAGAAATGAAAGTGGATGCACAAATTTATAATACAGACATCTTGTTTCCATTCTCCACATCAACAGAAGGAGTTGCTTGATGGTGGAACAATGCTTGGCATTTTATCTGCTGGGAACTCACTTGTTAAGGAGACGCCCCGTGGGCGCTTCACCTCCACAGGAGATGCTAGGCCCAAAAGCAAGAACAACAACAGGGTAAGCAGCAGCATGATCCAAAGGCAAAAAGCAGCAGCGGCTCCTGAAGGAAAGGGAAAAACAGAGGACTGTTGCTACAGAAGTTTCCATGCTAACAGAAATAGGTGAAGGGGCAAAGATGCAGAATTCTGTCCCCTCCACTCGCAACCCAAAACACAATTCCCTTCACATCTCAATAACTTAATTTGAATTTTATTTGAGCAGAGGGACGCGGGTGGCGCTGTGGGTAAAACCTCAGTGCCTAGGACTTGCCGATCGTATGGTCGGCGGTTTGAATCCCCGCAGCGGGGTGAGCTCCCATCGTTCGGTCCCAGCTCCTGCCCACCTAGCAGTTCGAAAGCACTCTTAATTGCAAGTAGATAAATAGGTACCGCCTTATAGCGGGAAGGTAAACGGCGTTTCCGTGTGCTGCGCTGGTGCTGGCTCGCCAGCTGCAGCTTCGTCACGCAGGCCACGTGACCCGGAAGTGTCTTCGGACGGCGCCAGCTCACGGCCTCTAGAGCGAGATGAGCACGCAACCCTAGAGTCGGACACGACTGGCCCGTAGGGGCAGGGGTACCTTTACCTTATTTTATTTGACCTCTACGATTTAGAAAATATTCCAGTTTCAAAAAGAAATTTAAACACACTTTTATCATCTTTCTCAGGGCTCAAAACTAAGGAGGCTGATATTAAGGCAACTTTTAAGTACCTTAAAAGGTGATGCTGTAGTGAATTCTTTTCAACTCCACACAAGATGGGTGCATAAAACATTTTACACCTTACTAGAAATTGTAGTTATTTTTCCATCACTGGTGTTTAAAAACTATTCCAGTTGTTTTTATTTTGGTGCAGCCCCCCCCCAAAAGCTTCCCATTTTCCAAAGGGGCCACACCCTAAGACCTGGGTCACTGAGGACTGTCAAAACATGAAACAGGATTCTGGGTGGGAATCAACAGGCACCTACTAACTTTGACTCTGAGTCTCCACAAACATGAGAGCATTTGTTATAGTTGCCATCATGGGTGGGCTAATAACCCCATGGGGGAATTGTTTGGGTTTGTTACTATGTTATGTCTTTTTGTGTTTTTCTAGAAATTTAATAAAGAAAGAAAATAAAGGCGTCTCTTTAGAATAGGCCACCTGTTCTGGCCATAACATATAAAACTACCTGCAGTGGAAGTCTACACAGTCACTGCCTATTATTATCTATGCTACAGCCAGCACATAGCACCATCTGTAGGAAAGCCTCAGATGGCATCTCTATGGTAACTACATGCTCTGGTCTTCAGAGAACATCATTGTCCAATCAGTTGCTAAATCTGGGCTTGAGAAAAGAATTGGGTTGGGATCTGAATAAAGAAACAGCAGCACTTTATCCCAGTGCTTTGGAAGCGCTATTATCTCGTTTGCCAAATCATAGCACAAATGAGTAACTTGCCTCCTATCCTGCCTTGGTCTTTCTCTGTGCCTGTCAAAGGACTTGAGGCAGAGAATCTTCTTATTCTTCCTACCAGTGGTTTGAGTGAGGCAACATGAGTCCCCCATGCTCCTTCTGCCTTTAAAGCCCAGCTGTAATGAGCAAGGTATATATGGGCCAACACTTTGACCACCACGTTACCAACGTCCATTTTTAAAAGGTGAAACTCCATTTTGGGAACCAGGTAGCAAAGCTTTTAATTCTATTGAACGTGTGCATTTCTTTTTCAAAGCATACCTCTTTCCACCCACCTAAGAACTGGCCAATTTTATAGCCTGAAATGCTACGCTCCAAGCAAATTTCCCAATTTCTGTCCAAGATAATCTCAGAGAAGTAGAAAGTCTGCCCTTCCTGAACAAACTAGAATTCCAGCATTTGGAGTGCCAAACTCAAACCAACCTTCATTAGTATGAAAAATGGAAACTCCACCTAATATAAAACTGCCCTGGTCCATTTTCCTAAAGCCCTGCTCAGGACCACAATAAATCAAGGACCGCCTCTCTCCATGTGAATCACTCCAGACTCTGCAATCACCATTCTTTGTGTCCCTCCTTTGAAAAGTCTGGAAGGTGGCAACCAAAGACTGTGGCTGACTGTGGAATGCTCCCCACCCAGGGTGTCTGTCTCGCCTGGTGCCTTCACCAAATATATTTAGGCACCAGGAACAAACTTTTCTCTTCAACCAAGCCTTGGGCTGTTTCACAATCTATGGTCTTCCAAATGCGGTTATGTGCGGGGGGGGGGGTGTCATTGGTTTGTTTTACAGTGGTACCTCGGGTTAAGTACTTAATTCGTTCTGGAGGTCTGTTCTTAACCGGAAACTGTTCTTAACCTGAAGCACCACTTTAGCTAATGGGGCCTCCCGCTGCCACTGCATGATTTCTGTTCTCATCCTGAAGCAAAGTTCTTAACCCGAGGTACTATTTCTGGGGTGGTGGAGTCTGTAACCTGAAGAATATGTAACCTGAGGTACCACTGTGTTATGCATTTTATGTTCACACTGAACCTGGGATCTCAGAACAAAGGGCGACATACAAATCTAATAAATAATAACAATACAGTGGTACCTCGGGTTAAGTACTTAATTCGTTCCGGAGGTCCGTTCTTAACCTGAAAACTGTTCTTAACCTGAAGCACCACTTTAGCTAATGAGGCCTTCTGCTGCCGCCGCGCCGCCAGAGCACGATTTCTGTTTCATCCTGAAGCAAAGTTCTTAACCTGAGGTACTATTTCTGGGTTAGCGGGAGTCTGTAACCTGAAGCGTATGTAACCCGAGGTACCACTGTAATACAACAAGGAGGTGTCTTCACTGGAAACCATCTGTGGCCTTTTAAATTGGGGTGGGGTTTTTTTTGTTTGTTTGTTTGTTTCCGTTTGTTACCTTGCTGAGCATTTTTGCGTTTTCCTATTGCAAAGCGCCCTGTGGTCTTTGGATGAAGGGCGACTGCCGACATTTAATTCGAAATGATAATCAATATTTTAAAAACACAGAACCACGACAAAAACAGCACGGCACCCCGCACCCCCATTTTAAAGCAGGCAGGGTTCTGCAACGTGGCGAAGCCCAAGGCAGGATCAGCCCCGCTGCCACAGGCAGGTGCAGCGCGACCTGCCCGGCCCCCCCCCCTCCGCGCAGAAGCCCTGGAACTCGCCTTTCCCTGGCTCTTCCTCCAGCGCCCCTCAAGAGCAGCCTCCGGGCTCTCCCTCCAAGAACCCGCGCCCCCCTCACAAGCCCAACAGCCTCCCTCACCGACGGGGCGCGGGAATCCTCGCGGAAAACGGGTCCCAAGTCCAACCGTCCGAGGAAGCGGAAGGGGATGACGGGAACATCCGCTTCGAAGTGCGCGCGACCGCGTGTGTGGGCGTGTATGGCGGAAGCGGCTCCGGTCCTTTTCCCTCAGGCGCTTTCTCGAGGACTTCCCCTTCCTTTAGGTGCCCATGGCGAGAGTGGCGGAAGTGCGCTTTGCTTGTTCCGCCCCCCAACGTTGCTGCCTCATGGGTTCAATTGACCTGGTTCCCTTTTTCCCTCCAAAGGGACGACACCAATACCTTTGCTCGCGTTCCCCCGCACGGCGACGGCGAGGATGGCCGCGGATAGATTTCAGCTGCGGCCTAGGAAAAGCGAGACAACCTGACCTTCCTCCCGCCATGCCTTTCGCGGGTCGCTTCCCTCGGCCAATGGGCGCTTTGCATCGGAGGAGCTGGTCGCCATGGAGACGGATGCAGGCGAAAGGATGCAGCTGATGGTCGAGTGAGGGGGAAGCAGCCTGGCGAAGCGGGGCAGGGGGAAGACAGGGAGGCTTGGGGACGGGGGCAGCGGTCGTGTGCAGGTGGGGAAGGGACGAGCAGACCCTGCTTGAGGTGGTAGGAGAGATACTCCGCCATGCCAGTGACACAAGCCCTGCAGGGGATTAAGCCCCCGGTCCACGACCAGATTACAGAGCTGCAGAACAAGATACAACTCCTAGGTAAGGGGTGCCTGGCTGCTGAGGGGAGAAAGCGTTCGGAAGTGGGAGAGGAGGCATCCCGTATTGAGTAAGGCTGCTTTTCTGTGCACACCTACTTGGGAGTAAACATTAATTTACTTATGTGTAAGTGTGCATAAACTACCAGCATGAGTTTGACCAAACTGCGGGAGGCAGTGGAAGACAGGAGTGCCTGGCGTGCTCTGGTCCATGGGGTCACGAAGAGTCGGACATGACTAAACGACCAAACAAGTGTACATAATATTATATATATAATATAGTAAGTGTGCATAATAAAGGGACGCGGGTGGAGCTGTGGGTTAAACCACAGAGCCTAGGACTTGCCGATCAGAAGGTCGGTGGTTCGAATCCCCTTGACGTGGTGAGCTCCCCTTGCTCGGTCCCTGCTCCTGCCACCTAGCAGTTCAAAGGCACATCAAAGTGCAAGTAGATAAATAGGTACCACTCCAGCAGGAAGATAAATGGCGTTTCCATACACTGCTCTGGTTCGCCAGAAGCGGCTCAGTCATGCTGGCCACATGACCTGGAAGCTGTACGCCGGCTCCCTCGGCCAATAAAGCGAGATGAGCGCCGCAATCCCAGAGTCGTCCGCGACTGACCTAATGGTCAGAAGTCCCTTTACCTTTACCTAAGTGTGCATAATATTGAACTGATTGCAAATTGTCATGCAGGACCACGAGTTAGGTGCTAGGTTGGCCCAGAAAGTGTTTTCCTGTTTGTCACAGCAATTTTTTTATTTTAAAAAAAGCAACAACTGTGGCGTGTTATGTATTGGGGAAGGATCATAGCATCTGCCTTTTGTGTAAAAAAAACCCCTGTGTTCAACCCATGGGGTCTCCAGGTAGGGATGGAAACAGAAGCTGCCTGAAACCATGCAAAGCCATTTCCAGTCCAAGTAGATAATGGTGAGCACGATGGACCAATGGTGTGATTATTTTAGATGTAGCAATCACTCAGCAGAATCCTCAGGGACAATATTCCATTGCTTCGTTCCTTTTTGCAACACCCTGTAAATTATGTCATTACCACTATTTTGTTAATGGGAAGGTAGAAAGGGAAGGGCTCCCTCCTAAAGCTACCCATGGGGAAAGTGGAACATTACTAGTAGTCCACTCACTTTTATCTATTCATTTGTGGTATAAAGGGGTGTGGGAACATGAATGTTTGTCAAGCTTCCCTGTTTGAAAGCTTCAGGCTAATTCTTATACACTGCAGATGACCAGACTCCTGGCTGTTCCATTTCAGATCTTTCCCACTTGGATTTCTAACTAACCAGTTGCATGTAGTAGTAGTAGTAGTAGTAGTAATAATAATAATAATAATAATAATAATAATATTTATTATTTATACCCCACCCATCTGGCTGGGTTTCCCCAGCCACTCTGGATGGCTTCCAACCAAATATTAAAAATACAATAAAACATCAAACATTAAAAAATTTCCCTAAACAGGACCGCCTTCAGATGTCTTCTAAAAGTCAGATAGTTGTTTATTTCCTTGACATCTGATGGGGAAGGTGTTCCATAGGGCGGGCACCACTACAGAGAAGGCCCTCTGCCTGGTTCCCTGTATCTTCGCTTCTCGCAGTGAGGGAACCGCAAGAAACTGGCACAGTTCAGCCACTGATGTGGTTTTGCAGAAACACTCTTAAAAATAAATAAAATTTTATGGCACCTTTCCAAAGTTAAAACCATTCTCAAGGCGGCTTACGACATGAAAATATGTTACATAATTACAAACATAAAGTAGTCATAACCAATAAATAAAACACATGAAAAAGTACACAGCCAAATTGAACAATTTCCATGTAAAGCATAATATATTAAAAAAGATACAAAAAATAATATCAGTAATAGCAACTAAACCTCCCTAAAAAATACCCCAGCCCAGTAGTGTGTTCAGCAGCCTCAGCTTTTGTAGCTGGAGGCCAGTCAGGGCCCTGCCCTTCTAGGCCAGGTGGAAAAGGCTAGCAAGGCAGAGAGCAGGTCTTCCAGGACACACAGCCAAGATGTTGCCTCTTAGGAGCAGCAGAGAGGGAGAATGTGAGAACATACTATAGCCATGCTTGTGCTACTGTAAAGTCGAGTTAGATGCTAAGAAGTGCTGGTTTCATTGGGTTGTATTCAGCACAGCATGTACTGAGTTCCACTCATACAACAGGACTTCCTTTCTCCATGCACCCCCTAAAATCTGTTCCAAATGGTCCCCCCAGTCCTCTAGAGCAGATTTTGGGGACCCACAGGAGGCTGCAAAGGAGAGGCAAGTTTCTTTGCTCAAGCAAGATGTCTCTTGTGCAAGCAGAACGGCAACATTGGATATAACCCATTAATCCTATTGACTGTGCCAATATCCATATTTCTAGTGTGCACCACAGTCTAATTAATATGTTCAAGTCTCGTACATCCAATACTAGTACACTTTTTGTTGAGGTCTAGAAGTGGAGGGGCATCTGAAAGGTATTTATACTGCCACAGATGTATGATTGGCCTACAATATCTATTTTTGTGGACTGAGAAATTAAAAAACACTATTATTTTCAGACTGGAGATACAGACCAAAGCAAAATGCTCGAAGCCTCTACAAGGAGATTGGATTTCCTAAAAAAAGAGGCCTTGTATTAAGCCCTTTTTGTCCTTGGTTACACTCCTGATTCTAGTGAAATACTAAATTCAACTCTCAAAGTATGTCATGTAGTAAAGCATTATTTCTGTCATTTCACTCACTATATATAATGTAGCTGCCATAATCACATATCTGTGAGAGGATATGAAGATGACTAAAAGTTACCCAAATTGGCAACTACTTCAAGTTTGGCTTTGCCGCTGCTTCTTTTTTGGATGAGCAATAAGCAGAGTGGTTTTATTTGTCCTCATTACAGAAGGTGATCGGAAAGCTTACTATGAGACCACCCAATGGAACATTAAGAAGAACAAGGAGTCAATTTTGCAACTGAGAAAGGAGAATAAGAAGTTGCACAAAACGTTGGCACATCTCCTAGCGGTGAGCCTCATAGCTATGTTTCCCCCTGTTTCTAGCAAGCGGAAATAGTGAGCAGAATTTATGATATCAGCTCATGCTGGCACTCATCCCAGACCAAGATCTCTTTTCACTCTCAGATAAGGGCCCCAGCTCTACAGTTCTTCCTTAGGCACAGTGATTTTTTTCTAAAAAAATGTTTAGGGGTACTCTCATTTTCCTACTCATATTGAAATACTGCCCCTCAATGATGCCAAACTTAGATTCACAAAATGTTTAGGGGTATGTGTACCCCTGTGTCCCCCCAGAAAAAAGCACTGCTTAAGCTTGAGTGCTTTTTGGTGGAAATATATAAAAGCATACATTGTCCATACTTTTACTCTATTAGCAGTCACTGCACAATCTATCAGGGATGCTTCTCAGGAATTCTGGACATTTTGTCCAGGGGTCAAAGCAGTCAACATGGATTTTTAGGTGTTTTTATATCACCTTCATGTGTACATGCTGAAACCAGACAATGGCATTCTATAACCTTTGGGCAATTTGAGATATTTGGCTCCAATGTTCGAGTTACCAAGAAAGCTGGAAAGTGTCATGCGGCAAATATTGTTGCTAAAAAAATATTCAAGCAACATGAATGGTTAGAACTCAAGCAAATCAACAACTTTATTTCAATTTCTGCACTTTAAGATAGTGACTGCAGATGTGGCTGTATGTGATACTGATTTTGCTGCCCGATAACAAGCTAAAGCTACTTCTGGATACCTTAGACTTTCAAAAACTTCTCTTACCGGCCAAACAAGTTGTATTTACAAATATTGAGAAGAAAAAGCACATGATTAATGCGTTATGTTCAAAATGTGTACAGTGTGTCAAAGAAAATGCATGGAAAATATACATGTGCTAACCTGAAGTTCAAGTGTAGCATCTCAAGTCCTTTGCAATGTTGTCTCTTAGCACAGAGACCTGAAAACACACGAGGAAGCATACATTATTTTGTTGCAGCCAGTAATCTATGTTGTCATTGTGTGTCATCACAAATGCATCAGGGCTGTTTCAGATGACAGTGGTGTGTTTGTTTTGCTAGTAAACTACTACTGGAAGTTTAATATGTCAGGGAAAGTAAGCATGAAAGTGACAAGCCATGGAACACAAGTCATTGACCTAGGGCAAACTGCAAAGAAACACAAAAGTATTGCTCAGAGTCTGTTAGCAGCCCATTCTGAATCTGGCTGTGACACTCTGGGACGCTGTCAAGGTGCTAAGGAAGGAACTATGATGAATAAGACGTTGGAACGGCTGTCAAGCCTAAGAATGAACGAAGGAAAAACTGAAGATGTTCTCAGTGAGGCTATAACACTGGTTAGTAGCTTTTATCACCTTTTTCAGCCTGAAGTCCACATTCCCTTCCAGAGGTAGAGGCAAATGTGGGCAGACCAACAAATGTGAATGATACCTTTGTACAGTAGGCAGTTTTGACACACACTTGCACACCCCTCTCTAGCCTCCAAACAAGCAAAAAGCACCATCAGTGTTCAGGGACTGGCTCCAGCCAAGCAAACACACTCAAGGAGGGTGCAAAGTTGAGCTAGTAAGAGGCATGGGTTGGGGCAAGTGCCATGGGAGAGGTCTGAGGTTCCCCATCCCTGGTCACATTAATGCAGACATGCAAGCAACAAGTGTGGTGGCTGGAAACTCCAAATGCACATTTAGTAGGAATATATTCACAGAATTGTAGAGTTGGAAGGGACCACAAAGATCATCTAATCCAACCCCCTGCTGTGCAGGGATCTTTTTGCCCAATGTGGAGCTTGAACCCACAACCCTGAGGTTAAGAGTCTCATACTCTGCCAACTGAGCTATCCTTTCATGTGCACCAAAGCTTGCTTCACTATCACCACGGAACCACTGGGGAAATGTCAGACATGCTCTTTCCCAAGCCATGGTATGGTATTCATCTGCCAGCTCTGATCCACCACCCAACTAAGCTTTGGTTGGACACACAAGGAAAAAACAAAATGTTTGGTTCCAATTGAAATCCCACTAAATGTACGTCCTGTTCCAAAACAGATGCTAGAACTCATCAAATGTAACTCATTCTGCTAAGCCTTGGAGGAACAGCCCCTTCCCATCTCCCAAGTCTGGAGAAAGATGGGGGTCTACCTGAGCTCACACTGAGTTTGTCGCACCAGATTTAATAATGTGCTCGCCAATAGCAAGATGGGAAAGGCCCTTATGCACCCTTCGTTTTTATAATTTTATTGCATACAAAGAGTGGGCTGGACATATAACTTGGGACATTATCAACCTTTGTTCTTCGGCTTGTGTATGTGCATGAGTGGTTTTTGATTAGACCATTATCTGAACTTGCAAAAAATATATTCGGACTCATGCAACACTGCTGATAATCAGTTCCCTTCCTATTCCATCTACTAGAGGTGTTTGTCACCTGGAGATCTGTGTGCTTCTTCAGAGCTGGTCCAATAAAATGTTGCCTTAACTATTTCTTGCATGTTTGCATTTAAAGCATTCCCAGCGTTTCCTCTGCATTTTTAAAAAGATGGGAGAAAGGACTTTGGCTTTTGGGGGGGAAGAGGGGGTGTCGCACATGCCTTTCTTAACACACCCTACCTTCCTACTTGTAAAAGGCAAGCTCTGTTCAAAGAAATATGCTTCCATCTTGTATGCATCTTGGATTTATGTCAGACTTTCAGAAAATGAAAACAGTTATTTGGGGTTTTTTTCAGGGAGAAGAAAAAGTCATCAAGGCTGCATTCCACGAACATCCAGCTGAGCAAGGGTCTGTGAAAAATAAAACTGGAGAGGTAGGTGATCCCTGTCCCGTTATATCATTGCACAGAACGAAAATGCCAAAAACTGAAAACCCTGCAACACAAAGGAAAAACAATGTGTCTATTGGGCAACAAGTTTCTCAGGTTTGCACATTATTTCAAAAACCTGCAGTATCTGTTTGCTCAGAGGAAATAATAGGACAAAAAACATTTGCACAACATGAAAAGCTTTCCTCAATTCAGTTTTTTATAACTTTATTTTTCATTTTCAGCTTATACAAATATTTTGACAAGAAAAACAAAATCTTTACAAATCTAACTTCCCTTCCCTTCAAATTCCCTCCCTTCCTTTCTGCGGTTATTTATTTCATATCTTTTTTATAGCTGCATATCCAATTCAAATATATTTGCAAATTTTCCCTTATCTTAAAGCCTTCCTCAGTTCAGACGAGTTTCAGCTTTATTAAAACCAATTCTTTGTCTCCAGTCTAATTCACCCTCACCTGGATGACTGTCCACACAATCGTTGAGGCTTCTTTAATTCTTCTCCTCTTCCCTCTGTTCCAAAGGGTGCTATTCAGATCATCAATCACCGGCTATGTGAGAAAATCAATCAGTTAAACAACCTGAAGCATCAGGTGGAGATGCGGAAACGCAGGCTGGAAGAGCTACAGCTTCAGTATGGTGTTAAAACAAAAGAGATCACTGAAATGCAAGAAATGGAAGAACGGAATATAGAGGCAGCTAAGGTGAGTCAAATCTGAATCCTTTGGAAGGAGGAGGCTGAAAAGCTCCACCATTGTTTCCCTCTCACTAGGCTAGAATGTTGTTGTTGTTGTTAAATTTGTATACCATCCTTTATCTGTAGATCTCAGGGTGGTTCACAACATAAAATTACAATATAAAAGACATAATACATCAGGCTCCCTCAACCTTGGCCCTCCAGATGGTTTGAGACTACAATTCCCAGCATCCCTGATCACTGGTCCTGCTAGCTAGGGATCATGGGAGTTGTAGGCCAAAAACATCTGGAAGGCTGAGGCTGAGGAAGCCTGCAATACATAATGCATAATAAAAATAAGAACAAAAACAAATCATTGCTGTAGTGCTGTTGCCACTTCTCTCTCTCTCTCTCTCTCTCTCTCTCTCTCTCCCTCCCCCCTCCCTCTTTGAATGCTTGAAAAGGACTCTTGTCATGGGCACCTCACCTTTTATATTTCATCTCACCTTTTATATATGCATTCTATTTATATGCATTCTTTTATATATGCATTCTATATATTCATATATATATTGCATTCTGCAGAAGTTGGACTCCTGCAGGTATTATTAGTTGTAGTATTCCAAGTGGAGTCTTTCCTTCTACCAGAGTCCTGGTTTAGCTAAAATGTCTGGATTCCCTGAGCCCTCAGATCTCTTGAGAAGAACCACCAATGATTTTGCAAATGGCTCCTTTCTGCTTTGATTCCCTCAGATTGGAGGAAAGCTGCTCTCTCAGGTAACACAGAGAGCAAGTTCTTATCACCGAGCTGTAAGGTTGATGTGTCATATCTACTCCTGTAGCTCCTCTCCCTGAGATGCAGTGATGAATTCAGGATCTCTCATGTTTGGTCTCTTTTGCTCTCTGATTGTTACTAATTGGTAAGGAGGCATCAGTGTGATGTTTGCATGTCCTTGGCATGCTGAACCCGTGACTGGCAGTTCTTGGAGTTTGTGCCATTCTCTCATAATCATACAACTGTAGAGTTGGAGGGGACCCTAAGGGCCTTCTTATCTAAGCCATCTTCCTTGTGACAGCCCTTTGGATATTTGAAGCTGGCTATCATATCATCATAGGGACGCAGGTGGCGCTGTGGGTTAAACCACAGAGCCTAGGACTTGCTGATCAGAAGGTCGGCGGTTCGAATCCCCGCAATGGGGTGAGCTCCTGTTCTCGGTCCCTGCTCCTGCCAATCTAGCAGTTCGAAAGCTCGTCAGCGTGCAAGCAGATAAATAGGTATCGCTCCGGCGGGAAGGTAAACGGCGTTTCCGTGCACTGCTCTGGTTCGCCAGAAGCAGCTTATTCATGCTGGCCACATGACCCGGAAGCTGTACACCGGCTCCCTCGGCCAATAAAGCGAGATGAGCGCCGCAACCCCAGAGTCAGCCACAACTGGACCTAATGGTCAGGGGTCCCTTTACCTTTACCTTTATCATATCATCTCTCAGTCTCCTCCAGACTAAACATGCCCAGCTGCTTCAACCATTCCTCATAAGGCTTGGTTTCCAGGCCTTTTATCATCTTGGTTGCCCTCCTCTGCACATGTTCCAGCTTGTCAATATCCTTCCTAAATTGTAGTTCCCAGAACTGGAGTTGGTGCTCCAAGTGGAGTCTGATCAAGTTAGAATAGGGCATTGAAAATAGAAATAATAATAATAATAATAATAATAATAATAATAATAATAATAAAATGTTAGCTGACATTTATAATGCAGGACATCCTGGCATTCTAGATCTGGTTATCCTAAATTGGATGTCATCTAGGAATGGCAGCTTTCCTTCCTGGGCAAGCAGCAGCTGTGGGAGAGCAGGACTGATCTGGATCAGAACTAGAGCAGCAATAAAGGACTGAATTTCTATCCCTTTCCTCCCAAGTGTGCAGTTGCAATCCTGATGAACCCCTCCTGATGCTGCTGCTCTTTATCAAAGACAAAACAACCAGTTGCTAACATATAATGTAACGTGTAATTTGACTCCCCTTTTCTTTCTGGCAGCTTATGTAAACACACCGCAAGAGGGAGGCAAAGAACCACTGCATTACTTTCCTTAATTGTCCCCATTCTAGCTACTTAGCTGTAATAGACGCAGTAGATTGCCCAGTAGGCAGATTAAGCACAAGCTTTGGGCACTAGCAAAACAGCGGAACAAAAACAAAAAAACAACAACAAGAAGAAAATGTTTTTGGGAAGAATTTGACATTCGATATTAAAAAACAAAACAAAATTAAAAGATTCTGGGGATGCATTCATGAAGAGATAAAAAAGATGTTCAAAATCTCTATAGAAAAAAAGCCAGAGCATATTTGCTGAGCATTTTAGGAAAAGATACCCCACAGGATAAGAAAATATTATTCTTATATGCTACAGCCGCAGTCAAACTAGTCTTGGCAAAAAACTGGAAAGGAGGTACTACCCCCCACAAAAGAAGACTGGTTGAATAAACTATGTGAATATATAGAACTGGCAAAGTTAACAGCTGCCATAAGACACCAGACAAATCAGAAATTAAGGAGCGGATGGCAATGTTTTGAAGACTATATGAAAAAACATTGGTCTAAAGATAACATGTTAATATGCATAGATTAAGTATGTATAGCTGAAATAGAATTGATATATTAGGAATATCGGGGATAATATATGAAAGTTGCAATGGTAAAAAGACTGTAAAAATAAAGAATGTTGAATTTTGGGGAAGGGAAGCCACAGGGGGGATTATTGTTTTCTTTTGCTTTTATTTTATTTTTTATCGTGTGCTGCGCTGGTGCCGGCTCGCCAGAGCAGCTTCGTCACGCTGGCCACGTGACCCAGAAGTGTCTCCGGACAGCGCTGGCTCCCGGCCTCTTAAGTGAGATGAGCGCACAACCCTAGAGTCAGACACGACTGGCCCGTACGGGCAGGGGTCCCTTTACCTTTTATGTTAACTTTTATTTTTTGTGTGTGTGTCTTTTAAGCAAAAAAACCAATAATTTTTTAAAGTAAAAAACAAAACAAAAAAACAACCAATTGAAATAGTCACCGTGGGGGAAATCAGAAGTTGGTTAGACTTACACTCCACTACACATCTTCCCTCATGTTTCTGTTCTCTATTACTGATTCCCACCTAAACCAGGAGGCATCCTACTCAAGTAGTTCAAAATAATGCAAGGAAGTCAGATCCTGTCATGTGCAATATCTTGATTTCTTTTGTTTTGAAATTTTGTTTTATGGTTTACTATTGGTTTTATTTTGAATTACATATGGGGGCACCATAATCTTTTCAGTGCTTGGAACATCTAAGGTCTTAATTCTGTAAATGGAGCTGTCCGAAATTGAGAAATTGCCATATGTGCCCTATTCTCAGATGAGGACATCAAGACAGAGAGAAGGGAGATGAGTAGCTCACTGAGATACTGAGGACAAAAGCACAGTGCCTGAGCTCCCAAGCCTTAATTTATCCACCAGACCTCTATACTGTTCCTGTTAGTGATATGATAGGGATGCTGTTCCACTTTTAGTCCTCTGATATGAATGATTTATACATTTGAATATACAGTACAGGCAGGAGCTACACTGATACACACCTTCACAAACCTATGAACAAAGTATGTATTCTCCACCCTGTGATGAATATACTCAGTACATTTTGGCTGTGAATGGGCAACAGTTCTGAGCCATAAGAGAAGGACCCATAATTCAGTGATGTGGTTTGCTTTGTGCACATAAGCTCTCAGGTTAAATTCCTGGCATTATCTGACACAAGAGGATAACAAGCCTGTAGACCCTTTGCAATTCAGAACATACAGTACTGGGGTACAAACAGTTGTCTAGGTTGGCATGGGAACTTCATATGTTCATATGAAGGTTTAAATCAGAGCTTAGCATGTCCTGCAGCTAACTGCATGTGCGCATATGTTGGATGTTTTTATCTACAAGAGGAAAATTGTGTGATAGTTTCGAAAAATAAGCATTGTTGAAAATGTAGGCAAACATCCTCTATCAGATGCAATTAACCGTGTGCAAATGCATGAATGTGTTATCAGATTGAAGTATTGAAAGGATTATTTTATTAGATGGTAAGAGCACATAACTTGGAACAACATCGCTGTGCTCTAATTTTTCAAATGCTAGAGCATCTTTGTTTAAACAATCTTAGATACTTATATTGGTGTTTGATATCTTTCTGAGAGACACTGGTTTCTCAGTATCTCATTATTTTTCTAAGAGAGATTCAAGCACCATTTTGCACATCCAGTTATACAAAACCTAATGCTTAGCACCTGCTGTAGTCAGTGCTTTCCCCCCCTCTCATTTTGACTCAAGAAAATCACCAATTTATAGTTCAGATCGGGGGAAATTAATACAGTAAATGGACAAAAGTACAAAGATTCACAAAATATTTAAGGGTATGCGTCCCCCTGCATGTCCCCAGAAAAAAGCACTGACTGTAGCTAAACCAACTGAAAAACAAGCAGTTGCAACTAGCAGATCACAGGAATCTGAATAAAGGTATCACCCAAATTTGCAATATCTACCACTTGTAAAACAAACAGAAGAGATTCTTGGAACTTGCCTCAGAAAGCGGGGGTTTCTAATGTATTCTGATTACTTAAATAAAACTTGTTTGAGTAAAGGAAGTAGGAAGACAGTGGTTGTATTCAACCACGTTCTTGTTCCCTCAATCCTGTCTGTGCATGAATGTCGTTAGAGGAGAAGACCACACATGCCAGACAGGTGACTTTTCTCACCCACCACCCATCCTGCCAGATCCTGAGGTCTTGCGCCGGGGACTATTCTCCACTTGCTGGCTGAGCTGTACCAGCATTTTGTTTTCCCTTCCAAGCTGGCAATGTGCCAGGTCCGTTTTTTCCTTGTTCTGTCACCATGGAGCGATCACCATGTTTGCTCACCTTGAAGATTCCCTACAACTCAATGAGGTCATTGTAAAAATTTCCACTGACTCGTAAAGCACTTGGGATGGTTGTCAGTCCAGCCATATGCAATCTGAAGAACGTGGTAATGGAAAGATTAGACTATAGAACCTGAAAGTTGCTTGCATCCCTGCAGCTGTAACTTGGGAAAAGGACATCTTTGAACTAGATGGGTTTTTGGAGAGACTTCATCCTACTGGCTGCTAGCTCAGTTTGCTGTTCTTTATATCCAGACTCTACGAACGCTGGAGAACCGACTGGAAAAGGCCAGATTTAAGACTGATGAGGCCCAACGCATCACCGGCATGTACCAGAAGTTAAAATCGCATATGCAGGTGAGACACAGACACATTCTAAGATAGGGATGGGGAACCTTTTCCAGCCCAAGAGTCAAGTTTCTTCATGAGTAATGTTCTGGGGGCTAAATGGCAGGTATGGTTGGACCAGAGCCTCACATGCAATCCATCCACCTGCACATTTGCCTCCTGTTCACCCACAGGGCAGGTAAGTAGGTTAAACAGAGAGACTTTACTCACCCAAGGTCACAAAGTAAGCTTTGTGGCTGAGTGAGGATTTGAATCCTGATCTCCCAGGTCCTAGATGCAGTGAGTTAAGTGGGTTAGGAGCCACCGAGGGAGTTAGATGATTAGGGATTTGTGGTCTGCAAAGATAAATGAGGCATCATGGCTATTTGCTCCACAACCACCCTGGAATGCTTCATCCCTTTTCTAGGAGCAGAGCCTGCACTTCCAGAACAAGCTGGATGCTATGGAAGCTGAGATCTTACGCCTACGCAACGAGCTTAAGGACCTGGAAAGCGTGAACACGGAAGCCCAACATGCTCGTGATACAGCCAGGGTAGGGAGTCAGCACAGTGTTGGATACAGGAGGAAGGAGCAGTCATGGTTTGTGGCTACTGTGTGGTGAGGAGCAATACAGTCGTACCTTGGTTCAAGAACCAAGAACCTTGGTTCAAGAATGGAACCCGTTTCAGTAGTCCGTTTGACTCCCAAAACCATTCAAAAACCACGGCGCGGCTTCTGATTGGCTGCAGGAGCTTCCTGCACTCAATCAGAAGCCTCGTCAGATGTTTGGCTTCCATAAAAAGTTTGCAAACCGGAACACCTACTTCCAGGTTTTGCAGCATTCGGGAACCAAAACGTTTGAGTCACAAGGCGTTCAAGTACCAAGGTATGACTGTATATACATGTTGAACTTGTATAATAATTAAATAATACAAGACCTCCCACTGTAAGGAGATTCTCACTAGGGGCTGCAGTTATAATTAATTTTATTTGCACACATATTATTCATTTCACATATTTTACTCTGTTCTTAAGAGTCATACTTTCAAAGAACTTGGGGTTTGTTCCAGAGACTTTTTAAGCTTTTAAAGCAAACATATTAGCCTAGAACTCTTATTTAAAACAAATAAAATAAGAGTCGGGTGCCCCTGTATTAACCACACAACTCTAATTGTGATCTAGTGTTGAGTAGGTTAGGAGAGAGCACCAGGAAGTGGTCCTCAGGGAACATCACAACATCCCCGAGATTGGAGTCTCACCACATTAATGGGTGTATTGGGCTGTCCAAAAACAGGCCTAAGAGGTGCAGAGATGTTCACAGTGCATCCTATTTAGAGATTACAAGGACAGGACAGTAGCTTACCTTCTCTTCCCTCCAAAATGCAGGCACAGCTCCTGAACCAAGAAGAAATCATCTACCGAGAACGGAAAGTTCGTGATAAGAAGCTGAAGGATCTGAAGAAGCTGACCGAGGAAAAGAGAGCGCAGAATGAGCGTACAGAGAGGCGGGTACTGTAGGGTTTTCTTCTCTCCATTAAGTGACTGACACTCCCCAAGTCTGTCCCCTGTCTCCAGACTGACTATAAGCCAAAAGGATATTTTGCCTGTTAGATAGCTTCTGCTTTTCCTGGTGCTAACAGCAAGATCTTAAATCTCAGAAGTGGACTAGATAAAGATCACAAATGTCTGAAATGGGCAAGCAGCCACTCTCTGACTCTGAACAGGCCTGAGTGTGCTTTAAACCTTCTGTAACGAGAAAAGAGGAGTTAGGTCTTATTATTATAATTCTGCCCCCGCTAGCAAATTCTGTGGTTTTGCTGCATCTGTGTGAAATTACAGAAGTCATAACACTGTCTGTGAACTGCCAGTGGGATTCTATAGCAAAATTTAAAAAATCTAACATTGCCCCCAATCTATTGTCAGCCAGGGATCTGGGCAAGGCCCCATCTCTTTCTGAGGTGTGGTGTTATGGCTTGTCAAGTGTATTTTTGGTCCTTAAGCACCGGCCACAAGGTTTGTCAACTGAACTCAAGCCCTGGGTATGGAAATTACTATACTGATTAGGATTGTTTCATTACCCAGCTGAGGCTCAGGCCACTAAGGGCATTTAAAAACATTTTAGAGGCCAACTGTTGCACCATGAATCCCTCCCCACCTCTGCTGTTTCCTCTTCCAACTACGTGTAAAATTTTGTTAAATAAATAAAAAGTTTCTTGCAAAGAGGCTCGGTGGATGATTTTTCTGAGCACCCGATTGATCTCTGCACCCAGTTAAGAAATAATTAGTTTATGTAGCAGGTGAGCAATTATATCCTCCTTTATGAAGTGTGGCTGCTTTGTTTATTCCCTCCCACGAAAGGCTTTAATCAGGGTGTCCTGACTAATCTGAGGGTGGGCTAATGTGGATGTGATCAGTGACTTAGAAGATCCTGCCAGGGGAAAGAGCACGACGAGATCATCTTGAAGATCTGTGCCTTGATTACCCAGAGGCCCTTTCACATATTGCCACCTGAACTGCGTTCCAAGGGACTTCTCGTGCCCGTTTTTATCTAACATCTCATTGGCTGGGTGATCTCATCTATACTCCAGGGAAGGTGATCAAAGGTGTTCTGGTCGCCACCAGCTGTCCAGGGCCTTGACACAATTGTAAAGGCGAGAGGCAGTAAAGAAGGGAAAATTATTAAGCAGATGAAAACACTGGCAGGATTATTGTAATAACCTTCAGTTTTATAAGAGTATATATTTAAAGAAGATGAGTAAATGAGCAAATTAAGTTAATTTGGATATGCATAAGATATTAAGAACAAATTTAAGGAACTGCAGAAAGAGGGGGAAGGAAGTCAAGTTTTGAAATGTCAAAATGATTGTGAAATTAGTGAAATGTATAAAATTAGTGAAATGTATAAACTTGAAAAGTATAAACAAACAAAGGCTAAAAATAGAAGAAGGGAAAATCATTCAAAATGGGGGGGGGGATAGAAAGAAATCTAGTCAGTTCAGCATACAATAAAATGAGGCAGGAGAGGAATTAAAAGCAAATCAACAATCAACTGGCAAGGCCTTAGTATAACAGAAGCCATTTTGAGATTTTTTTGTTGGGTTATGTGTACTGTACCTTGTCCACATGCACTCCATTTGTTTCAGCAGTCTCAGAAGGATCGTATCCCATTTGGAAGTGACGACGTACTCAAGGAGCCCCAGGTCAAGAAATCAACTATCCTGAAAAGCAAACAAGCCATGTTCACTGCAGCAGAGGCCTTTGACAAGATCCGAGTAGCCACTGGCGTCACAAATGCAAATGTAAGAACTTTGCCCGCTGCCTCCTCCCAGACTCCTTCCTTAGCTGAGAGAGGGCAACATTAGATCACTGTTAAACCCACCCTCCCAGCCCCTTTCCAGACTTAAGACGCTTGTTATTTCTAGCTCCCCAGTCTGAGATTAATCTAGTGAACAACATTAGTTGTTTTGGTGTGGATCAGGTTGCTCTAAATGTATCTGACCTGCCTCACATTCACTGGCAACGGATTCAGGAAGCCCAGCCAGTGTTGTGACACTGTCAGGGCTTGCACCCCAAGATTCAGAAGGAGAAATAGGCAGCTTGCTGTGAGGGGTAGGAGTCTGTTTTATCACTGTATAATTTGCAAAATAGCCCAAATTCAACCTCCAGCTTGTCCATTGAAACAGAAACAAAGCAAGTGCAGGATACGCCACTGTGCAATTCCTGCTTAATTTTCTTTCCAAAAGGAGTTCCTAAGGGGAGGGGGGGATGCTGTTAATTTTGTTGCCCCCAGACGAACTGCAAACAGAAGTGAATTTAGCCACCCTTCTCAGAGTGGGAGGACAGCTTCCTGGCTACTCTCCCTTCTTTCAGGCAGAGGACCAAATAAGAAAACTCAGAATTGATCTGCACCTTTCCTCGCCCCCGTTTTGCAGCAGCTCCAGCACATCCCATGACTGTTCCCTGCTGATATGCAGTTGACGCCACAAGTCCAATTGTTGCTCGGGGCACTAGCTATTCATGTGTGACGGCAAAACATTCTCTGCTCTCCATGTACCAGCTGCTGCCAGCCAATCAAAACTTAGTTATCCTTTTCTGTTGCAGGCTGTGTTCTTATGCCATTCTGGGCAAATTCCATTCATAAATTTATTCCTTGCCCTTAGTTGATTTTTCTCATGACTTTGGCCTCTACTTAAATATCCCAAAGACGCCCTGGTTTTGTTTTTTTTTTAAAGCATTTCTAGGAAAACCGGATGTCCATTCCCATTCAGGTCTTCTGCACTGTGAACCCAGCAGGAATGCTGCTGTGCCCGTAGGAGGCTCAGGCTTGCAGCCAAGCTATCTATGCACAATCAATTGTTGCTTTTTGGCAGGAGCCAGACCTGCAGACAGCCACCCACTGACGTAGTTTAGAGGCACTTGTGCTGCAGGTTCCTGGAGGGCAAAAGGCCAAGGACATGAAATCTGGATCTTTTCCAGTAAAGCTGAGGGATTGGAGAGGATGTGCTTGTGGCAGGGCTGGATTAATTGAACCTATAAAGCCCGGTATGTTGATGAAAATCATTGGATGCCCCTCCTGTTGTCCTCTCCAGTTGGAAATTTTTGACCCGCTTCCTCCATGCCTGAAATTTCAGAGCTGTGTCTTGTCCTGTAAGCAGCATTGCCTGTAAGCATGACTGTCCCATGAATGACACAGACCATTTTAATTTACTCTCAAGCTGCTTTTTGGACCCATTGCAAATCCATTTGATCTAGCGAGGATCACAAGGCACCCAAACTAGACAGGAAAGTTTCAGGTTGATTCTAGAACCAGGACAACTGTCTTTTGCAAGACTTCTCTGTGCTCCAGACTTCTCTGTGCTTCTGTTAGCTTCTAAGCCAAAGAGATACCCCATTCTGAGATTGCCACACTTTGATGGTGTGCTGGCAGGTTTGCATTGTCTTGTCTCATGCCCCTGTGCTGCTGGTTGCTCTCCTCTTTTTTTTTTTTTTTTAATGATTTTTATTAAGGTTTCAGTAAAAAGTTAAACAGAAAAACATAAAAAAGAAATACACAAATACACAGTACATAATCCAAAAAAGAAGAAAAACACAGAGAACAAAAAAAAAAAGAAACAGAACAATTAAAAACAATATCACCTTTTCATTTCCGTTTTTAAATTTACTTATTTTCTGGACTTCCTCATACCTCCCTCTTTTGTATTCCAGTCCAAATTGTTTGTCCAGCAATTTCTTTTCCACTTTTTAATCCCAATCTTTAATCTTAATGTAATATAGCATTAAAATTTTACCTCTTAAGTACCAAATTTCCATTTCCTTAAACTTCTTTAATCCTAATCTTTAATCTTAATCTATCTATAACTTTATCCTGTACAGCTGGAAACCACTTATTTTCAATCCAACATCACTCTAACATTCTTTAATTTTGCAGTGTTTCTGTAGATAATCTTTGAATTTCTTCCAATCTTCCTCCACCGACTCTTCTCCCTGGTCACGGATTCTGCCAGTCATTTCCGCCAGTTCCATATAGTCCATCAGTTTCATCTGCCATTCCTCCAGCGTGGGAAGTTCTTGTGTCTTCCAATACTTTGCGATGAGTATTCTTGCTGCTGTTGTTGCATACATAAAGAAAGTTCTATCCTTTTTAACACCATTTGGCCGACTATGCCCAGGAGAAAGGCCTCTGGTTTCTTAGGGAAGGTATATTTGAATACCTTTTTAACTCATTATATATCATTTCCCAGAAAGCCTTAATCTTTGGGCACGTCCACCAAAGGTGAAAAATGTACCTTCAGTCTCTTTACATTTCCAACATTTATTATCGGGCAAATGATAGATTTTTGCAAGCTTGACTGGGGTTATGTACCACCTGTATATCATTTTCATAATATTCTCTCTTAAGGCATTACATGCCGTAAATTTCATACCTGTGGTCCACAACTGTTCCCAGTCAGCAAACATAATGTTATGTCCAACGTCTTGTGCCCATTTAATCATAGCCGATTTTACCGTTTCATCCTGAGTGTTCCATTTCAGCAGCAAGTTATACATTCTTGACAAATTCTTAGTTTTGGGTTCTAACAGTTCAGTTTCTAATTTTGATCTTTCCACCTGGAAGCCAATTTTCTTGTCCAATTTAAATGCCTCCATTATCTGAAAATAATGAAGCCAGTCTCGCACTTTGTTTTTTAGTTTTTCAAAACTCTGCAATTTCAGTCTATCTTCATCTTGTTCCAAAATTTCCCAATATTTCGGCCATTTGACCTCCATATTGACTTTTTTCAAGGCTTTCGCTTCCATTGGTGACAGCCACCTTGGGGTTTTATTTTCTAACAAATCCTTATATCTTATCCAAACATTAAAGAGCGCTTTCCTGACAATGTGGTTTTTAAATGCTTTATGTGCTTTGACCTTATCATACCATAGATATGCATGCCTGCTCTCCTCTTAACTTGGTCTGCTTGAACTGTAAGAATTCATCTTTTTGGGAGGTTGGATACCAGCAGTTGGCTCTAGCAGAGACAGGAGACTTTGCTGACCACAGTGGTTTCCCTATTGAGGCTCCTTTTGATGTGTGCAGTAATACCTCTGGTTGCGAACCTCTTTGGGTTACGAATTCTGCTAACCTGGAAGTAGCTTCTCCCGGAAGCAAACTTTGCCCCGGGATGCAAGCAGAAATCACGTGCCAGAAGCGTGTGCACGCAGCGGGGGCCCCATTCACAAAAGCGTTCCTCAGGATAAGAACAGCTTCCAGTTACAAACGGACCTCCAGAACGAATTAAGTTCATAACCGGAGGTACCACTGTACAGTGGTACCTCTAGATACAAACGGGATCCGTTCTGGAGCCCCATTTGCATCTAGAAGCAAACGTAACTAGCGACGGCACATCTGCGAACATGCGCGTCGCTTTTCGCCACTTCTGCGCATGTGCATGACGTCATTTTGAGTGTCTGCGCATGCGCAAGCAGAGAAACCCAGAAGTAATGCGCTCCGTTACTTCCGGGTTGCCGCGGAGCGCAACTCGAATGCGCTCAACTCGAAGTGTATTCAACCCAAAGTATGACTGTACTGTAGGAGGCAAAAGGGCCAGACATGACCAATAAGATCTGCAGGCTTGCCTCAGAGCTGTGGTGGATCCTATCGTTCCACGGCTGCCTCTTATTTGCATGGAAAGAGTAGCATGCATGCCGAGCAGGGAGGGGCCAGATTCGTACAGCTCTGATACTTCCATTCATCCCTGTGAAATCTTGACAGGATGTTATGGCCTGCTTCGCGGCTCAAGAAGAAACCTTCAAGCACCTGGAGGAAATGAAGAATGAGAATGAAGAGTCCCTGGTGCGACTAAAAGAGGAGAGGGATGTATTGCAACGTGAACTTGAGCACACCAAGTACTCGGGAGAGGCCCGGAAGGTGGGGTAAGTTGGCTCCTCCACTTGTATCACTTGGCTTACAGGCAAGAGCACATGTTGGCGATCCGCCATGCAGAGTGTGCCAGTCCTTGCTCCCTGACCCACATGAGGGTTAGGAGCTGGGGGGCTCAAGGGTTCTCTTCTGTGAACCACCCCACCCCCTCTCCCACCCCCAGGGCCCAGAACCTTATGAAGGAGTTACGCGCGCATCTGCAAAAAGAAGAGAAGAGGCGTGATGCAACCCGGGAAGAGCTGTCCAAGGTGAACAAGGTTCTGCTCAATGCCAAAACTGGAGTGGAGCATTTGGCCTCCAAAGTGCAGCACATCAAGCTGGTGAGTGCACAGCTGAGCATGTCCTGGCTCTACGGCAGGCAGCTCCCCACCCAACGCACAGCGTACAGCTCAATCAATACGATAACCAAGATCGTACCTCTGACCTGCATGATGTTCCCAACAATCTGCACTACTTGGCAGCACCATCAGTGGCAGGTTGAGGCTCTCCACTGAGGAGGAGAGTCTTGGAGGAAGAAAGCAGGGGCTAATGGTTATAGCAGGAGCTGTGAGGCAGAACTCCAGGGTTCTGTTCACCTCACTGAAAGATATGCTTATAGTAGGGTAACAGGATTTTGCCTTTGTTCTCTCCCTGTGTGGCCCTGATCAAGTAGCTGTTCCAACAAGTTCATAGGTCTCCCTGCTGTGCTCTGTTGGGCAGAAGCTAGTGAACATCTCTTCTTCTCCCTAGGAAGATAGCCGCTTTGCTTCTACCCAATTGAACGAGAAAGCCAGTGATTATGTCCTTGACCTCCTGGCCCAGACAGAGGAGAAGCTGCTGTTCCTAATGGATTCTCTCAAGGATCGAGACAAGAAGGAACTTCTCCAGAGAATTGAAGACGTGGAGGTGGGTTCAGATAAGGTTGAGAGGGCTACACTTCTCAGTTGTCTTCTCAGTCACCTTTGTTGGGATTCTACACAATGACATATTCCCCAATTCACCAGGCAGTGATAATCCACATGGAATTATGGGGTTTAGCTTCCTATGGATAAGAGGGCACTGAGACTTGTGATTTTTTTTCCTATTTGCTTTATTTACGAATACACAACTGAGCATTTGGGGAGCAGACTCCTAAAGCAGGCAGTGCAGTTGCTAATTCTGCCTCGGTTCTCCAAAGGGAGCAACTTGTGCTTCTGTTTCAACTAAGCACTCTCTGCTCTATCCTTGCCCTGCCTAAATTCAGACTGGCTTCAAACTCTTTGCAATTCTTTTTCGCCCTCCCTTTTCAAACTCTGGTAGGTTCTGAATTCCAAGAACATAAATTTCTCAGCCATTATGGCTGCATTCCAGTTATTAAGATTCTTCTATTTAATCCCTGACCCGATCAGGTGACATTAAGGCAAAACATGACTCAGTCAAAGTTACAAAGATAATACATTTCAAGTCAGGTCAGAATTGCTGAGCTACGAGGTCTGCTGGGCTTTGCCCTAATACACAAGGAAATGAGTTGCCCCTCCCCATTTCCCATGGTCCCAGTCTAACCTCTGTCCTATGTTGTTGCAGTTCCATTCTAAACTTGAGAGACGGCTGCCTGCCTACAATACGAGGGTCAAACTACCCACCGCACAGAAGCCAGACATGTATTATGGTGAGTCTCAGCAGCATGTATCCAAGTTTTCTAACACATGGCCATTGGATGGAAGCTACATTGCACAGCGAGAGTCTTCCCTGTAGGCAAATTCTGTTGCCTCATGTCTACTTCTGTGCTCTATAGCTTCTATAGCTGATAGTTTTGGGTTCCATGTATTGGGCTAACTTCTGCAGGTGGGTACAATGGAAAGCAATGCACAAGAAGCTTTTTGGACTGTGGCTGTGGACTGTTTGTCGTGTTAGCTGTGCCACAATTTTGTGGGAGCATAGAATGTGCTTGTGGGCATAGAACTCAGCTTCCTGAATTTTAAAAAAAGTTGTTTTGAAAAGAGAATTTGTAACTTTTGTGGGTGTGCGGGTAAATTTTAATGCATGTATACAATGCCTGCTAAAATTTCTGAAATCGGATAAATGGCTTAATGGGATTTTCAGCAGAGAGGGAAAACGAGCAAAATGATAATGTATTTTACAAAACACTGAACATTATGCAAACCCAGAGTAAATATGCATGTTTGCATACCTTGCAGAATTTCTTATTTTTTTAATCCAGAATTTGGACTACCTGGGCACAGAATTTCTCTCCTTCATTGCACAGAGTTCACGCAGCCCCTGTCTTAGCACACTGTGGGCTCTTTGGTAGTTTTAAGTTACAGGTTCTGTGTAAGTGGCAGCTGTGTGGCACAGGTCTTCTCTGCCTACAACATCATTGGCCTTGAACACATGGCTATGGGGCATTGGCACACCTATGTTTCCCTTTGTGACGTCACAGATGTAGAGTACTTACCTTTCTTTGCCTTTGGGCTATGGGCTTTGTTGAGGGGCAGCCTTTCTCCGTGGCTGTGGACTTGGTTATGATGCTAGTCCCGTGTCATAGTGCAGGGCTTGGAACCTTAGCCTTGTGACCTCATGCACGATGATGATTTTATTTATTGAATTTATATACCGCCCTATACCCAGAGGTCTCAGGGAGCTTCACAAAACAAAATCAAAATATAAAACCACAAAATATATACTCAAAATAAAAGCAATAACCCTCCCCCCCCAAAAAACCCACCAACCACATTTTAAAAGGTCATAGGATGTCAATCAAATCAACCACCTGGTTAAAAAGGAATGTTTTTGCTTGGCGCCTAAAGGTGTCTAATGAAGGCGCCAGGCGAACTTCACTGGGGAGAGCATTCCACAGACGGGGAGCCACTGCAGAGAAGGCCCCGCTCTCGTGTTGCTACAAACCCTTTGGTCTCTTTGCAGATGAGGAGGATAGCGGAGAGGATGATGCAGATGTGGTGACCCGTGCAGCCCTGAAGCGTCAGTCCCAGCAGATAATAGAATCGAAGACCAAACGTCGCACCCGCTACAGAAAGAAGGAAGGGAAGCTGCATCCTATGTAGCCCCCTTCCATACCTTCCCCTGATCCTGCAGTGCTCCAGAGTCCTTGGCTATTAAAGGTGCCTCCCAGCCACTGATTTTCCGTGTGAGCCAGTCCTACACTTCACTCCCGCCAAGTCTGCAGGCCCCAGGAAAGGAGAAACATGACCGCTTTGTGGATCTGTTTCCCATGCTGGCAGAGAGCAGGCAGGGACCTACAGTGAGCTGCAGCCAGTGCATAGCTCCTGCTCTCCCTGCCTTTCAGCTCTCACCTATGTGAAAAGCATGGGGTCTTCAGTGGGTGGGGTGGGGTGGGGTGGCTTGGCCCTGGTGTTTGTCAGGAAGGAAGAGGATGCACCTTGCCCACCTCCCAGCTAAATAAGACTCTTTTCCAGAATCTCTCAACCCTGAGCAGAGATATTCCCCACCGTGCCCTTAGTTTGACTGATTTCCCCCCTTGCTCCAGCCACAAGCACCCCCCTGGTATATGTGGATAGAGGTGGGGGCGCAGAGTCAGTTACACTCTGGTTGCGGAACGGGGTTACTATGTGCTGTGTTTGCTGTGTATGATGCAATAAACCTGTTCAGGCTGAGTTGCCTCCTTGTCTGTGCTTTTGTCAGCGATGGGGTGGACTGTAAACAGAGATCAGGCTGGTATTGCAAAGGCTAAGGAAGCAGATGGTTGGGAGACCAAGCTGTTCATAGGGTTGGCTTTTTGGTGTAAATCTCCTGGATGCAGGTTTTTTAAAAAAAGAAGCATAGCCTGGTTAGTTGATGTTAGCCAGACAGGTGTCCCTCAGCTTCTCTGCTGACTGACCATCAGTGGTGAAGCCAGATCCACAATGTGTGGCTGTCATTTCAATCACACCCACTGAACAATGGTGAATTAAAGGACCAGAAACTGTATTGTGGGATCTCATGTATCTCTAATCCACATGGTGCACTCCTTTTAACTGGGCTTGGCCCAGGTTTGTTTGTATTGCAAACAGAGAAGAGCAAGCAGCCTTCCTTGGTTGTTTAGATTCCATGTTATGTATCCCTGATTGGCTGGGATGCTGCTGTGAAGGCTAAGAATGTCCCCATGGGGGGAGAAAAGGCTCTGAGAGAGCAGAGGTGTGGGGAGGGAGTGGGCTGCAACACCCAGATCAAAAATGCAGAAGGAGTTGGTAGTGGGTGTGCTAAGATAAAGTCGTGTGTGGTCTCATGGGCAACAGTTCAGCAACTGCTCCAGTACAGTGGTACCCCGGGTTAAGTACTTAATTTGTTCTGGAGGTCCGTTCTTAACCTGAAACTGTTCTTAACCTGAAGCACCACTTTAGCTAATGGGGCCTCCTGCTGCCACCGTGCTGCCGCCACACGATTTCTGTTCTCATCCTGAAGCAAAGTTCTTAACCCGAGGTACTATTTCTGGATTAGCGGAGTCTGTAACCTGAAGCGTATGTAACCCAAGGTACCACTGTAAATTATATCATGTAGATTTTCTTTGTATAGTATTTGTTTCTTCTGTCCTGTGTGGCAGAATCATGCACTCGCAGAATAATAGAATTGTAGAGTTGGAAGGGACCCCCAAAGTCATCTAGTCCAGCCCCCTGCAATGGAGGAATCTCAACTACAGCATCCATGGCAGAGGGCCACCCAACCTCTGCTTAAAAACCTCAAATAAACCTCCCGAGGCAGTCCCTTTCCACTGTCAAATATCTCTTGTCAATTTTGATTTCTATTCTTTCAGTCTACAAAGACCCTTGGGGCAGCTTCCATTAAAAACGAATCAGATTTATCCAGTCACTCGGGGGACTCGCTCCATGGTTGCATGTCCTCCCCACCCCCATCCCACCCCCTTCATTAAGGCTGCAATATTCACTCGGACTGTGTGCACATTAGTGGCTTAAAACAAAGCAAGGTTGTTTTCCTCTGCTGTGTTTCAAGTCACATTTGCACGTGGCTGGACACACCAGAGAGGGGATAGGGGTGCCCACCTGATGCGCATTACCTGATTTGTTTTCCCACACTTGCAATTCCATCCCCCTCCCCTGTTCAAGGAATCTGCCATCTAAATATGCACAGATGCTGTCTGAACTGAACACAGCTCAGCTTAACTGCATCTTGCATTTTCAAGTTGGATGGAAGTGGGGGGAAGGAATGAAGGAAGATAGTTTCTCAGGAAACTACAGGATACCTATGGATTTTGGCTAATATCATGTGCACTTCAGACATCAGTGGTGGGAGCACACTGGAGCCTTGTAAGGACAAGTCCCAGTGAACTCAGTGGGACTAATTTGGGAGTAGATTGCGCTGTAAATTGTTGTGGCTCTTCTTACTGACTCTCACTGAGCTGCTCTTGGACACAGCAAATGTTTCCCACTGGCCAAGAGCAGGGAGGGAAGAGGCAGGTGAAGTGACTTGGTGAGTTGCTAAGCCACCAGCGAGTGTTTGACTCATTTTACGACTCCTGTTAGCATTTTATCATATTACAGTTTTATTGTCGTGATGCCTATTCAGATGCTGCCCTGGAAACACTCCTGGGCAGCACAGAATTGTGAAAAATAAATATTCTCTGCTGTCCAGGGACTCGGATCAGCTGGCAACAAGGGAATGCCAGGGGTGGACTTTGGTAATCGTTCATTATTTGACGAGGCCAAAATTTGGCACCCCCAAATGGATCTTCACAGTTTTGCGCCCTCTCAGCTCAGCACTCTGTGGGGGGTAGGAAGCCCCCACACTGCCCTAAATCCAGCGCCAACACCCAAGAATGGCAAATGCGCACACTCCCTGATGAGAGCCAGTTTAGCAAAGCAGCTGAGAAACTACCGCTGCAAGCAAGGAAGCCCCGGGTTCAAATCTTGCCTCTGCCACCGGCAACCTAAATAGGTTTAGACAAGCTACTATCACCTCTTCCCCTGTCAGCTACTTGGGGGGGGGGGGTGTGATGCTTTGCAGGGTTGGTGTGAAAAATGCTTGTGATGACATCTGTAAATCCCAGCTAATAGTCAAAAGCCCCACAACAGGAGTAACCAACATGGCGCCTCCAGGCATTGCAAAACTACAGTTCCCGCCTTGCCAAGTATTATGAATTACTCTCTTGATAAGAGTCCTGTGTAATATTGCATTGGACAAAGTGAATATTGTTTATATATAGGAGAGAAATTAAGAATTGGAAGTTCTTTACTTTCAGAATCTTATTTTTCTGTCTCAGCCTATTTTCTACACTCTCTTTTCATTTATTTCTCTCTTTTTCTACTCCTTTCTCTGCCTGTCCCCCTTTTCTTTCTTCATGTTCTTATTGTTATCTAGATCAAAGCCTTAGTTCGGTTAAACCAGGCAGAGGGCCTTCTCCGTAGTGGTGCCCTCCCTGTGGAACACCCTCCCATCAGATGTCAAGGAAATAAACAACTATCTGACTTTTAGAAGACATCTGAAGGCAACCCTGTTTAGGGAAGTTTCTCATATTTGGTGTTTTATCGTATTTTTACTATTCTGTTGGGAGCCGCCCAGAGTAGTTGGGAAAACCCAGCCAGATGTGTGGGGTATAAATAATAATAATTATTATTATTATTAGGGATATATATTTGATATTAAGCTTTGCAATTTATTTCTCTCAATAGAGAGAAACTAATAAAGCTTGCTAGAAAAAAGGGGGGGAGCCTTGTGTTAAGAAATGAAAAGTAAGTAGAAAAGCCGAGGGGAGGAGAGGAGGCCTTTGGGAATCTTTTAGGAAAACTCTCTCTTGCGTAGCTCCCTTGGGATTCTACCCCCATCCTTAAGACTCGAAGGAAGAGGTCCCCGGGCACCAGGCGCAAGAAGCCAACCTGCACCGGCCCGCACTGTAAGGCTACCCGATCCGGGCTGGGGCGGAGGAAATTTGCACGGCGGCTCCGCCTCCTGCTGCCTCTGAGCTCGCTGGCGAACCGGACGGCTCCCGAGGAGGAGTCCCCAGCCCGGGCAGGAGCTCTCAGCCCCTCCTCGCAACAGGGCCGGGCAAGGCGCCTGCCCCCATCGCCTGCCCCATGCAAAGCCCCGGGAGGGACCGGCCGAGGCTGCTGCTTCCGAGGAGACCCGACGAGGATGGGCAAAGCGGAGATTGCAATGGTAGGGAGGCGAGGCAGGGAGGTCGGGGGTGCAAGGGGTGGGGGGCGCGCAGATGTACAAAATAGACCGGCTTGCTCCTGGAAGAAGAGGGGATTTCGTAAAGGGCACCTTTTCCCACGCCTGCGCTTCACCTGCAGAATTTCCTCTTTCCCCCCAGCTCTTGAACCCAAGCCCCGCTGCATTCTCCTCCTTCCACTGCTCTCCAGATAGATACTCCCCCCTCTTATCACGCTTTAATCGTCGGGGGTTAAAGGCTGCCTGAAAAGCAGCCGATCCGCAAGGCAGTTAAGCCGCCGCTTAAGGGAGCCCAGGGCGCGTGCCCGCGGGTCTTCGGGTGCCGCGCCGCGTTGGAGCTGATCCTGAACGGGGCTTTGCAGCGGAGGGAAGCCTCCAGGGCTGCAACCTGAGACGGGAGGGGTTGCAAGACCCTATGCCCATTGAAGTCAACGCGGCTTTGCACAAATCTAGGACTGCTGCTCTGGAAGCCACAGCAAAGGCTGGTACCCTCTCGCCATCTTCCCCCCAATGCCAACTGCAGAGAAAGTGTTGCACGGCGCAGCTGTGGCTTAGGATGGGAGGGAGGGCTGGCTTTTATGTAGGGTTGTGGTGAGGTTCGGATATTGAAAGCGTCTCTCAATGAGAAACAGGAAAGTGCAGAGCATAAACTGAAAAGCAAAAGAACTAACTCCAGAGGCCAAGCTTCTAATCCTTTGCTCTCAAATTCTTTTAATTCACACACACAGCCCTGCTTCTCAGGATGCTTCTCACGAAATGCAGGATCCGCATCCAGACACCCCCCCCCCCTTCATAACACCTTATCTTCACTGGAGATAGGCCAGACCCGTGTATCTTTAAATAATGCAGAATAGGAAAGAGATATACAAAGAGGGAAACAATATCACCGCATGTTTAAAAAGAGGGACGCATTTTGGGACTTTGCAGATGGATTTCTAAATATCCTAACATTTATAATATGAATTTCTGGTACGGTATTTGAATTCATAATTTTTATAATACAGTGGTACCTCATACGCTTCAGGTTACTTATGCTTCAGGTTACAGACTCCGCTAACCCAGAAATATTACCTCGGGTTAAGTACTTTGCTTCAGGATGAGAACAGAAATCATGCTCCGGCGGCACCGCAGCAGCGGGAGGCCCCATTAGCTAAAGTGGTGCTTCAGGTTAAGAACAGTTTCAGGTTAAGTACGGACCTCCGGAACGAATTAAGTACTTAACCTGAGGTACCACTGTATTTGACAACAAGATCCAAAGTGTGTGCACGTACACACAGAGAGAGTTCATATTGTGGCTTTGCAAAATGCTTAAAGTTAGTTGGCAATCATGTACTTTGTGCATCAATAATATTGCTATTATTCACTGATTTTGATATATTTATTATTTTCCTAGTTCAACTCTTAAAGTTAGTTGGCAATCTTGCATTTTGTGCATCAGTAATGTTGCTGTTAGTCACTGATTTTGATATATTTTTTATTTTCCTAGTTCAACTCTCTCAGTTAGAAATGATGTTTCCAAGTAATGCAGAGCCACAGTTTTTAGGGGTGGGGAGAGATAATGGGTGTGTGTGTGTGTGTGTGTGTGTGTTTAAAGAGAGAGATGCCCCTTTTTCGCTTCTGTGCCCCTTCTAGTGAGAGCTGGCGGAGGCCACTTGTGCTGCCTTTGCCTTCAGCCACTGGTACCTGGCACAGAGCAGTGCAGATGGTTGTGGTGTTACATTTCCACCTCTTGCAGGACCGGTCTGGCAGCTCCGCTGAGCAGGAAATGTCAAGGAAGGTCACAGGAACGAAGCTGGAGCAACTGGATGGGGTGCAGAGACCAAGCGGGAGGAATTCCTGTCCCCAGGCAGGGCTACTTTCATCCTTTAGCGCAGTCACGTCCAACTCCCAGGAGACTGCAGAACTGGCAGTGATCTGCCCAGAGTTGCCGAGCTTTTTTTAGGGAGCCAAAGTTGTTGAAATTTATCAGGGGGTCCAAGGATCGACCAGGGACATCCCTACTGGACTGCCTCTCCTGGTATGCCCCACAGAGGACCTTAAGGTCCACAAATAACAACGCTTTGGAGGTCCCAAGCCGCAAGGTGGTTAGATTGGTCTCAACTAGGGCCAGGGCCTTTTCAGTACTGGCCCCGACTTGGTGGAACGCTCTGTCACAAGAGACTAGGGCCCTGTGGGACTTGACATCCTTTCGCAGGGCCTGCAAGACAGAGCTGTTCCACCTGGCCTTTGGTTTGGACTCAGTCTGACCCTTATGTTTCCTCCCATTAAGGTTTTGATTTATGGGCTACTATTAAAATGAGGCTGCATTTTAAATTGTATTTTAACCTGTATTTTAATAAACTGGTTTTTGTTTGTTTGTTTGTTTGTTCTCCCCCATTATGTTTTATTGTAATTTTATTGGTGTTAGCCACCCTGAGCCCAGCTCTGGCTGGGGAGGGTGGAGTATAAATAAATTGTTGTTGTTGTTGTTGTTATGTTGTTGTGATCAACCTGTTTTAGTGGGTCTCCCCCATCTCACCTTACCTGGATAGGAGGGGGTTCAGCTTGGTGGCCGGGCGTGGAACTCCTCGATTCCACTCTGAGTCCAGATATCATCACTCCAGGAGAGGAAGGAAGGAACAGTCTGGTCCGTCCTACACCCAAATCAAAGAGTATTTTTCTCCTGTGTACAGACAACATTGGTAGCATGACCGCAGTTGCATTCTTCTTCCCTGTGTGCTTTTCTAAGCAGCAGCAACCATTGGTGAAGCGTCTCCTGACAGGCAGAGTGGGAAAAGCTGCTATGTCAGGTTGCTGTTAAACAAAGCAAAACAAAAGCACAAGAGCAGGGACAGAAAAAGAGGCCGCCCCATAGGTACAAATTCAGGGAGTGAATCTTAGGAGCAAGCCCAGTGCTGGATTTATGTATAAGCTAAACAAGCTGTAGCTTAGGGTCCCACTCTCTTGGGGTCCCCCAAAAAATTAAAGGGGAAAAAACCTGGATGTACATTTCCAAAATATAAGATAAGAAACAAATAAAATAAAACCTACATACAGCAACAGTGTTTTGTGTTGTGTAGGCTCCTATGATGTAAGTAATGGGCCCCGCCTGCTAGCCTGCTCCCTAAAATGTCACTGGTTTGCTCACATCTATATACAGTGGTACCTTGGTTCTCAAACTTAATCTGTTCCAGAAGTCTGTTCCCAAACCAAAGTGTTCCAAAACCAAGGTGTGCTTTCTTATAGAAAGTAATGCAAAACAGATTAATCAGTTCCAAAACAACCCCTAAAACTTTGTATTTCAGTATTACTATACTATACTATACTATACTATACTATACTATACTATACTATTAATTGTATACTATACTAATTATTAATTGTATTTCAGTTCAACAGTTCAACAATTACTTTGATATAATACATATTTTGTTATGTGCAAATGGCTTTAGATACCTATTAGGTCCATAAATTACCATATAGCATATATTCAACACAATAAAACAGCAACAATTTGTTGTTGACAAAGGACAGCTGGACATATAAAGGGCCCCATTACCTTCAGTAGCTGAGGGGCTCATCAAACCTAAATCCGGCACTGCTGGAGCCCATTGAGCACAATTCAGTGGATGGTTTTCCCCTGGAAACCCCATTGAAGTGGAGTGGAAGAGCACAGCCCTGCAGAGTCTTAAAAATATTCAGATATTTTGGCAAATCAATAAAAAGTGTAATCAGACACTTATAAAATTGTAACCATGTTTGCTACTTTTATTAAAGAAGTGGATTCTGAAGTTCTGTAGACTGGGGACTGTTTTGAAGCCAACTGACATTTCCCCCCAAACTCTTAAGATACTCAAGCAAAAAAATAAATTCCAAACCCAAAGGGCTATTGTTTAAGACAATATTAACATATAATTGGTTTCCTGTACTCTAGCTGAGACTATTAATAAAAATAATCAATCATTAAAAAATCAAACTGAACCGAATTTGGAGAAGAACTTCTCTCTCAGCTCAAATTTGCATGCAACACCCCACCCCAGCCAGCCCAAATTTGTGCAATATTGATTGAAACATTTTCCCCTCGGTATTGTTAAGATATTCTAAGAGAGTAAGCTGCAATCCTAAACACACTTATTAGGGAGTATATCCCAAAGTACCAGTAATTGTGAATGGAACTGGGCTGGAAAAGAACTAAATGTAACTTAGCATTATTATCTTCAAATCAATTAACGAGAGCTGAGATTTATTTTTCAAATGCTTCAAATTTGAAAGTGCTAAAAATGAAGCTGTGGTTATGAATTTAAGTGATTTTTGAAATTTATCTGAAATTGCCTTTCAGCTCTAGTTTCTTCCCTAGCTGCAGTCTGGGCATATTTCAAAGGAGGGGAGAAAATGTGTAGCTTTGAAATAGTGATGGCACCAAAAAGATAAGATAGAATAAAATTGAGGGGTTGGCAGCACACAGAAAGAGCAAAGAGCAGCGAGGAGAGGGCAGTAAATATATGAAAAGTGCCTTTGCTCCAAGGGGCCAGCAATAGGTGGACAGATGGGGGCAGGCTACTCAGATGGGGGTTCCCCCTCCTCACTTCCTCTGATACCACCTGTGCTATTAAGGGGGATCATAAGCAGGTAAAAAAAAAAGACCCAACAGATTTCATATGGCATAAACTTTTGCGGACTAGAATCCATTCCATCAGATGCATATAGTGTCATACTTAGAAAGTGTATACAGTGGTACCTCGGGTTACAGACGCTTCAGGTTACAGACTCTGCTAACCCAGAAATAGTACCTCGGGTTAAGAACTTTGCTTCAGGATGAGAACAGAAATTGTGCTCCGGCAAAGCGGCAGCAGCAGGAGGCCCCATTAGCTAAAGTGGTACCTCAGGTTAAGAACAGACCTCCGGAACGAATTAAGTTCTTAACCCAATGTACCACTGTATTCACATGGGCGCAGAGGGGGAAATGGAAAGCTTACAATGGGGCTAAATGATCGAGAAACGCCAAAAGCACAGTGTGCAACGATTCAGTTGCAGCTTAAAATGTATGCAAAACAAGCAAGTGCCCATTCACAACAGCAGTAACCCGTGATGACAACACAAGCTTCTTAGCAGCGTTAAATCAGGGCCAGACTAAAAGTGACTTGCATTGTGTAGCTGGTCTTTGTTTTGCAAATAGGTAGCATGAGGTGGGGGCCCCCAGCCAGAATAGCAGCTCCCTGCAGCTACACTGTGTGTGGTTGGTTTTAGGCCAGGGGTCGGCAAGGTTTACTTCGCCTGGGTCATCCTTCGGGGGCTGGATTGTGCATGCACATAAGCTCCCGTGCCCACAATTTCCAGTGTGTGCATCTGCACAGACGCGATTTCCAGTGCTGTGGAAGCGAGTCCCCATGCCGCGCTGCGCCGGTTTAGTGCAGCGAGTGGGAACTCACCAAGCAGGCAGCTGAGTTCGGGGATGGCTCGTGGGCCAGTTAAACGACCCCCAGGGGCCGATTGTGGCCCACGGGCCTTAGGTTGCCTACCCCTGGTTTAGGCTGGCCTTTGATGCTGAGGGTTAAGTTGGGAAAGGACGAGTAATAAAGGTGAAGGAGATGAAGCCTTCTTCTCTTTGACTGACCGTTGAATGTCGGTCAATTAATAACGGCCTTGAGTCCGCAAGCTCCATCCGTGGCACCAGCAGCCTACGGAAAGGTGAAAACATTGCAGAAACCCAGACAGTGCCATCTATCTGAGCCACCAAGTATGATGCCTGAATCACTGTGATAAACAATAATGGCCATACTTGCTTGCAGAACACTAAATAGGAAACAGGACAGAGATTTGCCCCTCGTCCATGCATAAGCCTCTTTTCTCACCCCCAGAAATCTCCTGTGCAGCTGTGCCTTGAGCCTTTTCCTTCGTTTTGGAGATGGAAAAGCAAACCTGCCAGTCTTCCTTCTCTGATAGTTTTACTCCATTCCCTTGCGTACTTCGCACAAGTTTATTTGTTACTTTATTATTATTATTATTATTATTATTTTTAAAGATATTTATTGAGATTTTCCGAATATTACAAAAAATAAAAGAAAAAAAATAAAATAGAGGCAGAAGAGAATACAAAGAATAAAAATAGTTTTAAGAAAAAATTCCAAATGAGAAAAAAAAAATGACAGGAAAAAAGAAAAAAAGAAGAATGCAAAAATCACAAAACTTTAAAAACATTTAAAAACAAATTCATTATTTTCAAATCCTTAACTGTCATTACCTTCTTTCTTAGACCTCCTCCTCCTCCCTTTCTTTGTATCCTAGTTATTAATTATCCCAGCAAATCTTTGACCTTATCTTTCTATAATAAAATAAACCTTAACACTTAAAACTTAAATCTTATCCTTGCCAACTTCTCATGATCATAATATTCTTTCATAATTCTTTAAACATCTTTGCTAAAGCCAAGTATTTTCATTCCAACATTTTCCTATCATTCATCAATTTTATAAAACAGTTCTAATAGTAGAAAAGAGAGGTATAAACAGATCCAATCTTCATCCAGCATCCCTTCCTCCTGGTTCCTGGTTTTGTCAGTCCTTATTCCCGTCAGTCTAGCCCATTAACCTGGCAACCTTATGTCCGAGGCCCTCGGGTCTCTTCCATGACCCTTCCGCGGCTCTTCTTCATATTTGTAACTGTATTTTCCCTTGTCTCTTGCTCGTGGTAACTCCAGCTTGACAATGTTTTTAATCCTTCTCAACAGATCAGCCCCTTTTCCATGTTCAACAATGAATTCCATGTAGTATTTAAAAGCATGTTTCAAAGGCCCTCCAAAATTAAGAGCCCCCACAGTCCCAAATATCTCACGGCCCGTTGCCATATTTGAAAAGTCCAAACATCCCAGCATAGGGGGGGTCAATCCAGCCCCCCATTTCCAAACCGAGCCAAACTTTTCCTTTCCAGATATGGCTTTTTCCAAGTTCATTTGTCAAATCCAAAAAAATCATATTCCTGTTGGACCTGTTCTGTCAAAACACACTCCTGATTTAATGTCAAAAACTCCTGTTCTGTCAAGACACACTCCTGATTTAAATCCTGAGTGGGCTCCACATATTTTCCCACTGTCTGTTCAAAGTTTCCCACTGCCTGTTCAAAATTTCTAGTCGAAGTCGCCATCCAATTCACCTTCTCGTGTAATTGTTCCAGTAGATCGTTTGTTTTATAGAGAGCATACAACAAGGCTTCTGAATAGATTGTCCCACAAGGTCAGATACTTGTTCCCACGGTTGTAATCTGTAACAGCTGTCGACTCCCTGGAGTTAGTTACAATTTCACAGTTACAATTTCACAGACTCCCCCTAGGGGGAAGACTTCTATTTATTCTTGCAACAAAATTTCCTTTTTAAAGATACTTTGCCCATATATAATCCTTTAAAATGCGAAAGGGAACAGTGGAATCACTAGGTTTCTCTTCTTTTAACCATCTGTCAAAAACACTTGTCTTTGGTTAATGAACTTCACACGTCAGTCCTGACAGTCCGCTCCAGGCTCAGGACGGAGGAAAGTTACTTCACTTTAAAGTCACTTTAAACAGTCCAAAAAGATCCCTGCCTTCTCCTGATGTCGAAGGGGGATTCCACAACCTCAAATGGTGAAATCCAATCTTTTAAAAGCGATTTTCTGAGCTCTAGTTTAAGTTGCCTTTGCTTTATTCTGTTTACAAAAGAACGGAAGGATGACTTCCTGTTTAGACCTTCCCGTTCCGTACCAAATTCAAGTAAATTTTAAAAGTCCGATTCTTTTCTACTCGCAAGTCCTTATTTGATGTCCAATTGTTCAAAGTCTAAGTACTCACGGGTGCTTATTTTAAAGTCCGAATTGTCCCAGGAAAAAGGCAGCACTCTCCGGCAACAGCTATGCGGCTTCGCTCCACGGAAATAGCAGTTGACTCACAGCACCGCGCCACTTCCCCCTCTTCACTTCGGAGCCCGTTAGTGGGTTCCTTAGCGGGTTGGGGGGGGCGCTAAAGGTGCCCACCGAGTCCCATGGTCACAGGCTTCATCCGCCTGTGATTTTTAAGTGGGTCCCCGCTTCACCGTAGCGGAGAAGACCCATTTTCCGCGGAGCTAGTCCCTCCAGTTCAGAGGGAGTCCGCCATTGCCGGTGGCGCCACCCCGGAAGTCTTGTTACTTATTTATTTTTAAAACGTATACCCCAGCTTTCTATATTGGATGTTCAAGGAAGCTCATACTGACGAAACAACATGACTGCCACACCATACAACAAAATAAGATCAGGGCCAGCTCAATATATTTTGCTGCCTGAGGCAAGATGGCTCCTCCTGCAATTCCATGCACGGGAATGTGACTAGACTGGCTGTTGAATAGTACTTCAATTCTGGCTGCCTTCATCACACCTGGGGCTAGTTTAAGGGGTACAAGAACGACCACATGGTACACACAGCTCCAGCATCTCACTACTGCTCTCTGCTCCCCAACATCTACCGCTGAATGGGTGGAAGCCTCCCTTTACCTGACAATAACATTTTATTGGCTCCCAACTCAACTCTTTCCAGCTCAGTTTAGATCTTGCTCTACACGACTGGTCCCCAATTAGCTAAGTACTGCAGACCCCCTGTTTTCTCAAGAGCCAAGTCCTGGACCCCCTACTTTTGAAAATTTTGATATCTCTATCGTAGCTTTTGATATGTGAATGGTGCCACGCCCCCCCTCCCCAGGTGGGTTACACGGACCCCCTGGGTTCTGCAGACCACCAGTTGGGAACCCTTCTCTACACTGCCATATGCATATGGTTCCAAGAAGCCAAAAAGCTGTGTCTTACTTCTGCTTCTGTTTCTTTTCTACCTCTCCCCAGACACCCCTTCAGCTGTGGGGTGAAGAGGCAGAAGATGGGGCCATCTACAGCATCATCCTTCACCGAGTGAGGGCAGAGCCCATCGCCAACAGATCATGTCAGCTGGTATGTGGCAGCTTCCCTTATAGGGAATACCGGATCCCTCATTCTATGCTAAACTGGCTTTTATTATTGGACAGCAGAGGGGACACATGCACGGAAAGTCACGTCTGCCTCATGCGTGCAAGCATGACAAGGAGCTCTCTTCTCTTTCCTTTGCTCCACCTGGTACGCAGGCTAGACTGTCTCACCAAAGTGGTGCATGCTCTAGTTATCTCCCGTTTGGACTACTGCAATGCACTCTACATGGGGCTACCTTTGAAGGTGACCCGGAAACTACAATTAATCCAGAATGCGGCAGCAAGACTGGTGACAGGGAGTGGCCGCCAAGACCACATTGACCTACCATTGACTCCCAGTACGTTTCTGAGCACAATTCAAAGTGTTGGTGCTGACCTTTAAAGCGCTAAACTGCCTCAGCCCAGTATACCCGAAGGAGCGTCTCCACCCTCATCTTTCAGCCCGGATACTGAGGTCCAGCTCCGAGGGCCTTCTGGAGTTCCTTCACTGCGAGAAGTGAGGTTACAGGGAACCAGGCAGAGGGCCTTCTCGGTAGTGGAACGCCCTCCCATCAGATGTCAAGGAAATAAACTAATATTTGACTTTTAGAAGACATCTGAAGGCAGCCCTGTTTAGGGAAGTTTTTAATGTTTGATGTGTTTTTAATGTTGTGTTGGGAGCTGCCCAGAGTGGCTGGGAAAACCCAGCCAGATGGGTGGGGTATAAATAACAAATTATTATAATTATTATTATTGCAAATTTGGGGACCCCAGGATTTGTGGTAACCTTTTCAGTGATGGGAATCACTGGAATCTCCTGTATCAAAGGCAAGAGAACTCCACAACTATCAGATTTTCCATGTTAACTAATCTGATTTTTCACAAATAGGGTTTTTTTTTAACTGTGCAGTTCCCACTGAAGGCAGGTTGCAGCTCTACCCTGTGTATTAGACAATGATAAGCACCTCTTCAATAGGTGTCAGCTATGTGAGTTTCTCCCACCTCATCGTGCCTGTCCCTTTCCCAACAGGATGTCTCCAGCACACCAGAGTGTCCCTTTGTACAGTACCGCACGTGCAAGAAGCGCCTGTTGCGGGCTGCTACGCTCCCCAGGCTGGTGGAGTGGCTGGTGTCTGCCGATGTGGAGGGCGACCTTGGCTTCGTGCCCAGCTTCCTGGCCACCTACCGGGCCTTCGCCAACCCTGCGCAGGTGCTGGATCTGCTGCTGCCACTGGGACCGGACAAGTGAGGCACAGGGGTAGGAGGTGGGTGGTTTGGGCAGGAGGAAAATGCTGGACAAGGTGTGCTCCCGTTTCAGGAGCCCGGAGAAGGGCTGGTTCTTGATTCTGGCAGTGCGGCGAATTGGGGCGGGAAAAGCAATTCTAACCTGGCAGGGTATCAGAGTGATGCCCACCTTGCTTTTCGCCCTGTAGACATGTATGTACAGGGCGAATTTATTTGTTTCATGCAATTAAGTGTTTTTTAGAAAGGGGATAAATAGACATGTGGGTGCTGTACACATTATTTTCATTGAAATTCTACTCAATATTGATCCAGATCAGAACTCCCAACATATAGTTAGCAGAGTAAAAACTTAAACACGTTGCAGGATTCCCAAAACATAGACCAGAGGCAATTAATATTTCATCCAGCAGAGTTTTACTGCTACTGAAGGCAAATGAGCATAATGGTCACAAATCCAATACATTCAGGATTGGCACTGTCCGTAAGAAATCCAGTTGCAGCAGACTTGACTTACACTTACAATAATGAAAGTTAAGACTTATTGTAAAAGTCTTAACCTTCACACTAAGCATACTATGTACGGAACACCACACCAGAAGGAAAAGAGATAGAAAGAGAAAGTTAAACCCAGGCTCCTTCTGGCCTCACTATTATAGTCCGCATGACCTTGACAGAAGAGATAACGGGACCAGTTTAAGCCAGCTGTACTCAGCTTCTCTGAAGGAATAACCCAAACATCAGGAACCTTCTGCTTGTTTCTTTCACACAGAGAAGCTTCCAGAACCCTCTTGAATTAAGTAGAATAGGAAAGATCTCTACACATCAGATCAATACATTCTGTAATAAGAAATGCAAACTGACAGATATAGGCAGTGCTTTCCCCCCTCAAAAAATGTTTAGGGGCACTCTCAGTTGGACTAAAAAAACCCACCATTTTATAGTTCAAATTGGGAAAAATAAAGACAAATAAATGGACAAAAGTACAAAGATTCACAAAATGTTTAGGGGTATGCATACCCCTGCGTCCCCCCAGAAAAAAGCACTGGATATAGGAAGAAAATACAGTGGAGCCTAGGTTGTCGAATGTAATCAGTTCTGGAAGAATGTTCAACTTCCAAAACACTTGACAACTGAGGCACAATGGGTGGTCGGGGAATTCAACTGAAAAAAATTGGGAAACGTGCCTTAGAAGCTGTTTGACTTCCGAGGCGTATTCGAAAACTGAAGCAATTACTTCTGGGTTTTCGGCGTTCGGGTTCCGAAACATTTGGCTACTGAGATGCTCGAAAACCGAGGTTCCACTGTACAGGGCAGTGACTGTTTTAGGTGCATCCAAGATGTGTGCAGCTGAGGACGCGGGCATCGTTCCGAATCCAGGAATGACCCCCCAAAAGGGGGTAGAAGGGGGCAGGGGTGGAACAGGACGTTTGGGGACTTTTGCCATGGTGTTTCAAATATATGTGATTTCACTTAAGCACAAGGTGCCTTGGAATGTGGCCTCTGCGTAAAGAGGGAGTTGTCTGTAATGAGATGCCAGATGGGCAGTGAAGCTTGGTGAAGTCCGAGCAGCACAATCTGGCAGGACGCATAAGGAGGGGCGCCCTCAGGAAGAAATCCTGGTGAAGGCAGCATGGAATCATCGACTCGTAGAGTTGGAAGGGACCCCTGGGGTCCTTTAGTCCAACCTCCTGCAGCGCAGGAATCTCATCTCAAGCATCCAGGACAGATGGCTATCCAACCTCTGCTTAAGAAGAGTAGGTAGTCCAAGGTAGTCCGTTCTGCTGTTGAACAGCAGGCAGCTTATCTGGGACAGGAGGGGTTAGGGCAGCCTTTCTCAACCTGTGGGTCCCCAGATGTTTGGGAACTACAACTCCCATCACCCCTAGCTAGCAAGGCCAGAGCTCAGGGATGATGGGAGTTGTAGTCCAACAACTTCTGGGGACCCACAGGTTGAGAACCACTGGGTTAGGGGCACCGGGAGGGGGGGAGAGAGAGGGGTCAGCAACCTTTTTCAGCCGTGGGCCGGTCCACCGTCCCTCAGGCCATGTGGTGGACCAGACTATATTGGGGGGGAGGGGAATGAATGAATTCTATGCCCCACAAATAACCCAGAGATGCATTTTAAATAAAAGGACACATTTTACTCATGTAAAAACACACTAATTCCTGGACTTTCCATGCGCCGGATTGAGAAGGCGATTGGGCCGCATCCGGCCCCCGGGCCTTAGGTTGCCTACCCTTGGATAAGAGCCTAAGCAGTTTGTGAGTACAGTGGTACCTCGGGTTACATACGCTTCAGGTTACAGACTCCACTAACCCAGAAATATTACCTTGGGTTAAGAACTTTGCTTCAGGATGAGAACAGAAATCGTGTTCCGGCGGCACAGCAGCAGCGGGAAGCCCCATAAGCTAAAGTGGTGCTTCAGGTTAAGAACAGTTTCAGGTTAAGAACAGACCTCTGGAACGAATTAAGTACTTAACCCGAGGTACCACTGTATATGTACAGTGATACCTCAGGTTACAGACCCTTCAGGTTACAGACTCCGCTAACCCAGAAATAGTACCTCGGGTTAAGAACTTTACCTCAGGATGAGAACAGAAATCGTCGACAGGGCAGGAGGCCCCATTAGCTAAAGTGGTACCTCAGGTTAAGAACAGTTTCAGGTTAAGAACGGACCTCCGGAACGAATTAAGTAGTTAACCCGAGGTATCACTGTACGTGTGTTTGTGTATGGTTGGTGCCTGACTCTGTTTCCGTTCCGGCTGCAGGGCAGTGCTGCGTGTATTGGAACTCTGGCTGCAGCATCATCCTGGGGATTTCTGGGAGCCCCCCCAGCATCCCAACCTGCAGAGAACCTTGAGCTTCTTGCACCAATCTGCTCGTGACTCCCCAGCGCTTGCTCTGGCAGAGGGGCTGTGGCAGTCCCACAAAGACAACGAGGAGGAGGAGCGCAGGAGGGCAGGTGCTGCTGAGGTAGAAGGTAAGGATTTCTCCTGCCCTGGGGACATGACGGCCCAGAGCAGACGGCCTCCGAAAGTTTGTGGCTCAAGTCTAGCCCCCGTCCCCACCCATGACCTCAGCTCCTCAGCCACATGCAATTGTCCTCAGGGCCATCCTATTCAGCCTATTAGATGGCATGTCTGCATTATAATAATAATACAGTGGTGCCCCGCAAGACGAACGGCTCGCAAGACGGAAAAACCGCTAGACGAAAGGGTTTTCCGTTTTGAAGTTGCTTCGCAGGACGAATTCCCCTATGGGCTTGCTTCGCAAGACGAAAATATCTTGCGAGTCTTGAGATTTTTTTTTCGCTTTTCCCCCCCTTTATCTAATCTGCTAAGCCTTTAATAGCCTTTTAGCAGCTAATCCCCTAAGCCTTTAAGCCTTTAATAGCCGCTAAACCGCTAATAGCGCTAATAGCGCTAATCCGTCAATGGGCTTGCTTCGTAAGACGAAAAAACCGCTAGACGAAGACTCTCGTGGAACGGATTAACTTCGTCTTGCGAGGCACCACTGTAATAATAATAATATTATAATAATAATAATAATAATTTATTATTTATATCCCGCCCATTTGGCTGGGTTTCCCCAGGCACTCTGGGCGGCTCCCAACTGAATATTAAAAACACAGTACAGCATTAAACATTAAAAACGTCCCTAAACAAGGTTTGCTTCAGATGTCTTTTGAAAGTCAGATTTCCTTGACATCTGGCGGGAGGGTGTTCCACAGGGCGGGTGCCACTACCGAGAAGGCCCTCTGCCTGGTTCCCTGTAACTTCACTTCTCGCAGTGAGGGAACTGCCAGAAGGCCCTCGGCGCTGGACCTCAGTGTCCGGGCTTCTTCAGGTATACTGGGCCGAGGTCGTTTAGGTCAGCACCAACACTTTGAATTGTGCTCGGAAACATACTGGGAGCCAATGCAGGTCTCTCAGGACCAGTGTTATATGGTCTCGGCGGCCGCCCCCAGTCACCAGTCTTGCTGCCACATTAGCCAGCTATCCTATATGCTGGAGCCCATGACTATTTGGTGTCCTCTTGGCAGCCTGTCTGTGGGTGTGTGGGTGTGCATGCCAAAAGCAAAACCATCTCAAAAGCAAAATTAGCCCTGGGCTGCCTCTCACTGCATGTTTCCACCCTGCAACACTCACTTGGTCCAATTCAGCATCAGGACCACCATCTCCAGTTATCTGAAAATCTAAATTCTATGATGGGGGAAAAGAAAAGAAAAGAAACCAAATAGCATTGAGACCTTTAATGTGCTGTCACAAAACTGACTTTTCTAAGGGGATCGTCTGCTCTCTCTCTTTTTCTCTCCAGAAGTCCAGTTTAGATTATTAAATACAGTGGTACCTCAGGTTACATACGCTCCAGGTTACAGACTCCACTAACCCAGAAATAGTGCTTCAGGTTAAGAACTTTGCTTCAGGATGAGAACAGAAATTGTGCTCTGGCGGTGCAGCGGTGGCAGGAGGCCCCATTAGCTAAAGTGGTGCTTCAGGTTAAGAACAGTTTCAGGTTAAGAACGGACCTCCGGAATGAATTAAGTACTTAACCCGAGGTACCACTGTAGAAAGCAAACAGACTTGGTCAACAGATTCCACCATGAGCTCTCAAATCAAAGGTGTTGTAGGAACCAATCCAATCTTATCACATGTATCATTCCAGTTGGGTAAAGGCTGGTCTGTATAGACCAAGAGCAATCGTTGGGCGCACAGGTGACCTTTAACCTTTCTAACCTTTAAACTTACTTAGCTCAAGCTTCTTCCTCTGGTGAAAATAGTGCCATTATCCACATGGTGCAAAATGAGGTAGTATCATTTTGAACGGTATACTTCACACTGCAGGTAGGAAGGGTGTTGTCCTATATTTGAATGCTTCCTCACATAAAAAGCTCCCTGTATATAGCAAATGAGAATTGTGTCTCTGATGTGCTAGTGTATCACATGCAGAGAGGTTATTTTTACATTGGGGAACATTAAAAAATACGGATTTAGAAGGCGATTGGGCCGGATCCGGCCCCTGGGCCTTAGTTTGCCTACCCATGCCTAAGAGAGACGCTCCAAAGATTGTCAGTTTCCTTAGGACAGTTTGCTCCATTGGGTTTTATATCTTCGGAACAACAGAAGATGTTTTATTGTGTTTTCAATATTTTGTTGAGAGTTGCCCAGAGTTGCTGGGGCAACGCAGTCAGATGAGCAGCATATAAATAAAATAATCATAATAATAGTTATTGCTGTTGTTGTCAGAATTTTCTGCATGTACTGGATGATGCCTCCCCTTGATCATGTGGTATTTACGGTATAGACTTTTTGGGGAGGGGAGGGATGTTTCGTAAGCCACATCAGATTTTGCTGCAGGTTTTGAGATCTGTCAGTGATGCACTTTCTGGTACGGGTTTGATTGTAGAAGCAAGTCAAGAAGTCACCTGGCAAGGGGATGATCTCTTTAGGGGCCCCGTGGGGCACCTAAGGCTCTCTTGCAATTCTGGGACTCAGCGCTCAGAGGATGCAAAGCTAGCACATGATCTGTGAGTTGTCCCTGAATTCTGCATAACGTTTTAGGAGATCCTGGGGGAATGCACATTTCTTGGACTAGTGAAAGGACCTCCATACACACAAGTGTGTGGTCCTCTTCTTCCTTCGTCAGGGTTGGGCTTGCGCACACTCAATCAGGTGGCCCTTGTCTCACTGCCCGACAGGAGGGGAACCCACAGGGATGGGGATGCCACAGGTGATCGGAGAAGCAGCTGGGACAGGTGACTGCGAGGAGACACCAGCCCTCCTGTCCTTCTCGGTGGATGAAGTAGCTGAACAGCTGACCCTGATGGATGCGGTGAGTAAGAGGGGTCAGGGACGGCAAAATGCTTTGGGAAGAAGAAAACAGCATTAATGGGGGGTGTGGTGTGGCTCTTGGGCTCTTAAATGTTATTTCCAGCCAGGGTGGATTTGATTTAAATCAAATCAATTTAAATCACTAGTCATTAAGAGTTGATTTAAATCATTTTTTTATGGAAAGACTCATTCTTGCTGGTACAGTCATATCTCGTTACGTCTGCTTCATGTTACGTTCTTTCAAGTTACGTCCCGTGGTGACCCGGAAGTACCGGAAAGAGTTACTTCCAGGTTTTGCCGCATGCGCAGAAGCACAAAATAACGTCTTGCGCATGCGCAGAAGCGGCAAATCGCAACCTGTGCATGCGCAGATGCGCCGCTGCAGGTTGCGCTCTTTTCATGTTGCGAATGGGCCTCCAGAATGGATCCTGTTCGCAACCAGAGGTACCACTGTATAATTTTAATATTTACAACCAGATGAAGGTTTCATTTTTTGAATAATAATTTTTCAGAGTACGGTACTTTTCACAGTTATATCAAAAATTACTGATTTGGTTATACTATTAAAATACATAGACAGATGCATTTGAAATTATTGTGAGGTTTAGTAAGTTAACTGTTTATATTTGGACAACTTTTCTGCTGTATTTTATTGGAAGGAGAAATATAATCATTTCCTTAATAACAATTCGAACAATTTACGTATTTAACTTAAACAATAACATTATAGCATAAGTATCCATGTTTGTTAACTGATGTGGTTAAACAATTAAAAAAAACTTAGACTGAGTTTTAGCACGCATGAAAAACTTAAAACAAATCCTTATTTCCTGATGAATAGCCTTTGGACTATAATGTAACTTAAATAGAAAACTATCTTTAGAAAGATTTTTCCTCCAAACGCATTTTATTTTAAAAATCCGATTTAAATCAAAAGAATCCAATTTTTTAAAAAAATAAAATATATTTTCCAGCTATAGGAGTTGAAAGGTAATGGCTCAGAGAGGTGAGTGATAGAAGCCAGGAGTCTGTGACTTAGACCAAGAACAAACCCATTGCAATCAATGGGATTTCAGTCACAACTAAGTATGTCTACGTCTGGATTCCATGCTCTGCCCTTTCCAAAGCCATACCATTTGTGATTGGTCTCTGGTGAAAGGAAACAGGAACTGGATCAGCCTTTATGGTTCAGTGTTGTGCAAAAATATATCACCAAAGCAACTACTCCAGAGAAAGGAGTGTGGACAAGCAAACAAATACATCACAGAAATAAATCACAGAAGAAGTCTTTTCCCCCCCAGTCTTTTTCTTTATAATAATAATAATTTATTATTTATACCCCACCCATCTGGCTGGGTTTCCCCAGACACTCTGGGTGCCTCCCAACAGAATATTAAAAATACAATAAAACATCAAACATTAAAAACTTCCGTATACAGGGCTGCCTTTAGGTGTCTTCTAAAAGTTATATAAATCATTATTTCCTTGACATCTGACTGGAGGTCATTCCACAGGCGGGCGCCTCTACCGGGAAGGCCCTCTGCCTGGTTCCCTGCAACCTCACTTCTCGCAGTGAGGGAACTGCCAGAAGGCCCTCAGAGCTGGACCTTAGTGTCCAGGCTGAATGATGGGGGTGGAGACGATCCTTCAGGTATACTGGGCTGAAGCTGTTTAGGGCTTTAAAGGTCAGCACCAACACTTCAGTCAATTGTGCATTAGCAGAAGCAACATCAACTTGTAAATCAACATCTGGACGCTGTTCCGATATAACCAGCATTTCTTCCCACAGGGGGTTTAATCATCGAGCTGTACAGTAGAGTCTAGACAATGTACAATTGATAGTTTAGAGAAATGAACAAATCTGTCCCTCTGCGCATTTCTCCCATTGTAGCACCCTGCTTGTGGTTAACGCTTAGCTGGAATGAAATATTCAACGCAGCAATAGAGAAATTAAAATAATAATTTATTTGTCAGACAAATAAATGAGAGACACAGTGGTATATGGATACCAAAGCTCTGCCCACTCCAGCCCTGATGGCCAGCACTTATATTTCCTCAGCCCAGCCCCCTTGCTCCTCCTTTGGCTGCCTCTGTCCAATCAGCCTGGTTGAAATTCCTATTGGCTGTTTGCTAGAACCAATCATAAAAGATACACCCATTTCCTATTACCTTTTATGGGAGACAAAGAGCTATATTTCCTTCTATCCATAAATGGCAGACAAGTAGCCATATATCTTACATTTGCCTCGACCAGGCACCTTAATTACCAGATAACCTTTTTGCCCTATTGCCCTATTGCCCTATTGCCCTATTCACTCCAAAACAGATGGCTAATGGTTCTAATTTTATCTTAAACAGAGATCTTGGGTTCACCTTCTCACACACCATCAATGAAATAAGAATCTAACATAAGAATCTAACATTTCTTACTTTCTAAATCCTTTGCATAATTACATTTAAGCCAATATATTTCATACATAACGTAGATAGATTTTTAGAAGGAAAGGCCTTTTCAAAGTAAAAAGGAACTTTAATAAAAACAGTTTCGAAAGCAGCCTCTTTAGTTTACAACTCCTTTTCCTAGCCAGCTGCTGTTCCTATTAGCTCTTGCCCTTTAACCTTATGAAAATATGGCTCGAGTCTTCTGTTAAACAATAAAACTTACTATTTACCAACTCTTAATTGTGTCTTTGCAGCTTGATTGTATTCTGTAATTTGTATGGTCAGTGTGACCTTTTGCTCCCAGCCTGTAATTTCCTTTTACAACCCTGAAGCACTGCTATAGATCAGAGGGGCCCTTGATCAAGAAGATAAACATCTGCCAAAGTACTCAGCCAGCAGGTTTCTCTCTGGCATGAGAGATACAAACATTTGCAAATATATTTTTAAAGCTCATTTTAAAATGCAGGTCTTGATCAGATGCCTCACCATAGAAAGAGGCTATAAAGCCTTCTATTTGCTAACCTTCCTAACAGTGCCAGTATATCACTTCCCTGCACATTGTGACGTGGGTGAGGCTGTGGTATAAACCAATGTACCTCTTGGGTTTGCCGATCAGAAGGTCGGTGGTTCGAATCCCCTCAACGGGGTGAGCTCCCCTTGCTTTGTCCCAGCTCCTGCCAACCTAGCAGTTCGAAAGCATGCCAGTGCAAGGAGATAAATAGGGACCACTGTGGTGGGAAGGTAAACAGCATTTCCATGTGCTCTGGTTTCCGTCACGGTGTCCTGTTGCGCCAGAAGCGTTTTAGTCATGCTGTCCACATGACCCGGAAAGCTGTCTGTGGACAAACGCTGGCTCCCTCGGCCTGAAAGCGAGATGAGCACCGCAACCCCATAGTCGCCTTTGACTGGACTTAACCATCCAGGGGTCCTTTACCTTTACCTTTTACCCTGTATATTGTTTATAGTTCAATGGTAGAGAGTTGACTTTGAATCTTGGAGATCTGATCCAAGATCCAAAGCCAGTGTGGTGTCGTGGTTAAGAGCGGTAGTCTCGTAATCTGGGGAACTGGGTTCGCGTCTCCGCTCCTTCACATGCAGCTGCTGGGTGACCTTGGGCCAGTCACACTTCTTTGAAGTCTCTCAGCCCCACTCGCCTCGCAGAGTGTTTGTTGTGGGGGAGGAAGAGAAAGGAGAATGTTAGCCGCTTTGAGACTCCTGAAGGGGAGTGAAAGGCGGGATATCAAATCCAAACTCCTCCTCTTCTTCTTCTTCTTCTTCTGCAGTGGTTGCACTGAGTGGCATTGGGGTGGTCTTCTCTCTCATCCTCCCTCTCATTCTCCTTCCCCAGGAACTCTTCCGAGCAGTGCTGCCCTTCCACTGCCTGGGCTGCGTGTGGTCGCAACGAGACAAGAAGGAGAATCAGCACATGGCTCCCAGTGTCCGAGCCACTGTGGCCCAGTTCAATGCAGTCACTAGCTGTGTCATTGCATCTGTACTGGGAGACCTGACTCTGCGCTTTCCCCAGCGGGCACACCTGCTAGAGAAATGGATCGACATTGCCCAGGTAAGAGCTTCTGTGTCCAGTGAGCTAGCTGGCCTTAGTTTTCCTTGTTTCCTTAGCCCTGCCTCTACAGTGGTACCTTGGTTCTCAAACTTAATCCATTCCAGAAGTCCGTTCCAAAACCAAAGTTTTCCAAAACTAAGGCACGCTTTCCCATAGAAAGGAATGCAAAATGGATTAATCCGTTCCAGACTTTCAAAAACAATCCCTAACACAGCAATTTAACATGAATTTTATTATCTAATGAGACCATTGATCCATAAAATGAAAGCAGTAAACAATGTACTGCAGTCACACAATCAATCAATCAATCAGTAGTTGAACTGGGTTCCACACAGTCTCAAAAAGAAAAACAAAGAGCCGCAAAAACTAAAACGCAAAATAAATAGCAAAAACAGACAGACCTCAGCGTAACACTCAAAACAGAAGTGTGGCACTCAAAATGAAGCACGTTCAGCTTCCGAAAAGAGTTCCCAAACTGGAACACTTACTTCCTGGTTTACAGTGTTTGGGTTCCAAGTTGTTTGAGTACCAAGGCGTTTGAGATTCAAGGTACCACTGTACTCCTGTCGGCACACAAACCAACATATGGGACTGTACCTCCAGCCAGCTCACTGGTTCTCCACAATTTGTGAATATTACAAAAATGGGCCTACATAATAGCTGCACAAGCCAAAGGCACAGACCCCCTCAACTTTTCATTGCAAAAGTAACAGACACGCTGACAATGTAAACTTATGATGATATATCAAAATATAGCCAAAACAAGTGGCATTAAAGTGAGGAACGGTAATGGATTTGAAGAATGTTTAATTATCATCTGCCTTCTAACTGATCTGTCAGTTTAATTGAATGTAAATACATGTGTACCTTATCAAAACCTCAGTACTGTGGGGGTTGAGGGTTGAGATACTGACAAGTGCAAGATTACGTGACTTTCTTTTACTAAATAAAAGCTGCCAGCTATTGTTAGAAGATAAGGTCTTCTTTCTTCTGCATTGTGGTAATAGCCTGCACAATGGCCATGTTTACTCTTGAGTCACAGTCCACACGTCAAAAATGGTTTGATTATCAACTAAATGAATCAAAAGCTTGCAGCCTTACTCAAAATGCAGCAATTGCTTTGCAGTTAAATCTTTAATCAATCCAATCGCTGGCGTTAAATCCTACCCCTTTCTTACTGAAATATTTGTCATTTCCCCACTCCCAATTCCCCAAATGGTACGCCTGCCCTCCAGCGATGTCGGGCCCTCCGGAATTTCTCCTCGCTGCATGCCATCCTCTCTGCCCTACAGTCTAACTCCATCTACCGACTGAAGCGGACGTGGGCTGCTGTACACAGGTGAGGTTTTTGGTGGCACCATTTTTCCCTAGAAGAAAAGCCCTGGTTAAAAGTGTGGCGCTTTTTTTCCTTTAACCATCTTTGTAAGAATGGATTCCAAATATCATTGAATTTGTCCATGGCAAGCCTGCATTTATATACAGGTTGTTCATATGTTGCGAGTTTCTATAAGTCTTCAATCATAGAAGGGAGCTGCATTTTTATTTTTCCAATTCATCGGTATCAGTCTTTTTGCTGTGGTCAGGGCACGGAGAGTCCACTTGTATTGTCCTTTTGTGGGGTTCCATGTGCTGAGTGTATAATTCAAGAGGATATTTTGCTCTGTAAATGTAAGGTTGTTCCGTACAGTTCTGTTGATGGTTTCAGTTACCTTCTGCCCAAAATCTTTCAATATAGGACAATGAAAAAACATGTTTTAGAGAAGCATTATCCCTGTTGCATCACCAACAGTTAGATACCTTAGATAGCCCTTTTTTAAAACAAACATAATGGGGTCCACTATATTATAAATATTATTTTTTTGTTGTATGAGCCTCAATTTAAGGTCCAGAGGCACCTTTGCTATAGCAGTTAAAACAGTTTCCCACTGTGTCGCACTTATTGTAAGCACCTTTCCCCCCCCTAAAAGAAAAGCATTGAAAAAGGGTTAGGGTAAAGGCTGGGTAAAGTAGGCCACAGTAGACTCTTGCTTCTCTTTGGAGAGAAACCACAGGGCTCTGGCAGGTTCAAGGATCGTCCCCAACCAGGACTGGGGAAGAGTTTTGCCTGCGACCCCAGAGAGCTCCTGACAGTCTTTTTCTTTTCAAACAAGATTTTTATGAAAGCTTTTACATAATACAGCAGGATAAAAGAAACTACAGTGGTACCTTGGTTTGCATACGTCTTGGTTTGCTTACATTTTGGATTACAAACACGTCAAACCCGGAAGTGTGTGTCCTGGTTTGCAACCTATTTTTGGATTACGAACAAAATTTTTTGGAGGCCCCACTGGCGAAAGCACGCCTTGGGTTACAACCTGTTTTGGTTTACAAACAGACCTCTGGAACGGATTATGGTTGTAAACCAAGGTACCACTGTAATCTAAATAAAAACCCAAACAGAGAGAGATGAGCTCCTGCCAGTCTCAGTTGGTGGTTTCAGTTGACACAAGCCCATGCTTGGAAAATTAAGCAGAATGAAATGGCTGCCTAAGGCCAGCTGTTTTTCCGGAGTCCTACAAATTTTCTTCTCTCTCGGAGGACAGAGCTTTTTGTGCCACACAGCCTGACCTGTGCTAGTCTGTAGGGGCAGATTTAGGGCAGCGTGACCGGTTCCCCCACTCGGGCCCCAAGCTAAGGGGGGGCACCGCAGGGCATCACAACTATGACATAGTACACATGCAAAACAGGAGACAAGAGGCGGGAGTGTCACATTTTACCCTTGCACAGGACGCCGCTGAAATTTGAAAGACCTGCTAGCCTGCTGCCCTTTTTCCACCACAAAGGATGCTCTGTTGCAGCCACTGCTAAAAAAAGATTCAGCTTCCAGTCCAGTCAGTCTTCTGGAGGTGTGTTTGTGCAACTGTCTTTGCCCTTCGCCTCAGGCTGCAAAACAGCTTGGACTGGCTGTGGCCTCTTGCACTGACCCCTGTGCCAGGGAGCTGCATAAACTGAGCCTGACTTCTCTCCCAGGGACACCAGGGGCTCCTTCCGAAAGCTCTCGCAGATCTTCTCCGAAGACAACAATTACTTGAAGTGCCGAGAAATCTTGCTGCAGGTAGCAGAACTGCGTCGTTTGAGAGGAAGAGGAGAGCAATGTTGTGTGTGTGTGTGTGTTTTTTTATGCAGGATAATGTGCTCAGAAGGATGTACAGTGGACGCTCGGGTTGCGAACGTGATCTGTGCAGGAGGCACGTTCGCAACCCGCAACGCCGTGTCTGCGCACGCACGGGTTGCAATTTGGTGCTTCTGCGCATGCGTGACGTCCAAAACCCGGAAGTAACCCGCTCCGGTACTTCCAGTTTTCGGTGGGTCCATAACCCGAAAAAATGCAACCTGAGGCGTCTGTAACCCGAGGTATAACTGTAATGTATTGTCCAGTGTTGTCAGGATCAGGAGAGGGCTCAATAGCCCGGGGCATAGGAGCCAACTCCTTGGGGCCAAGGTCCTCCTCTCCCCCCAAAATATTTGTGATTTCTCTGAGGTGGAGTGGGGACTTGAGCAGGGGCGTAGCAAAGGAGGTGTGGTGGGTGACAAAATGGTGGGCGGCACTCACCGCTGGGCCTGCAGCACGCCTGAGCTACATCTCTCTCCTGGGAGTGACGCACTGGCTTGAGCGCCCGCAGACTCCCTGCTGCCCCAAACAGTCCGCCCATTGCCTTCCCCTCAGCTGTATGGTGGCTGAGTGGAAGGAGGCAGGCAGGCTCCTCAGAGGCCCTGCAGTGCCCCCGTGGGTGACTGGCCCCGCTCCCAGGCACAGGGCCCGTGCCTCCCCAGGCGCCCGATCGGCTTGCTCCGCTGCTGGACTTGAGGATAGTTGCCATAATAATAATAATAAATTTTTATTTATATCCCACCCTCCCCAGCCAAAGCTGGGCTCATGGCAGCTAACAACAATAAAATAATACAACATTCTAAAATCATTTCATTATAAAATTAATTCAAATCAAATTGATGGCAACCATTGGGCTAGAGTTCTGTGAAGATTGCCAAAGGAGGGAGTCAGGCTGTGCCCTGGCCAAAGGCCTGGTGGAACAGCTCTGTCTTGCAGGCCCTGCGGAAAGATGTCAAGTCCCGCAGGGCCCTAGTCTCTTGTGGCAGAGCGTTCCACCAGATCGGGGCCACAGCCAAAAAAGCCCTGGCTCTGGTTGAGGCCAGCCTAACCTCTCTGTGGCCTGGGACCTCCAAGATGTTTTTGTTTGAAGACCGTAAGGTCCTCTGTGGGACATACCAGGAGCGGCGGTCCCGTAGGTATGAGGGTCCTAGGCCGTATAGGGCTTTAGAGGTTAAAACCAGCACCTTAAACCTGATCCTGTACTCCACCGGGAGCCAGTGCAACTGGTATAGCCATGTTGTGTTAAGTGTTACCCAGGGGCATTAAGTCACCATGTTTGGAGCAGGGAAAGTGTAAATGCTCTGTTCAGTGTGAGCTACAATTGCCCTGGGTGCAACCTCTTTTGGTTCAGGGGCTGCAGCAACAAGAGACACCTGCTGAAATGCTCCAAAGCCTTTGAGTTCTTAGATTAGCCCCTGTTAGGAGGGTCAGTTCTGTACAGTTGGATCAAGGTACATTGGACATCAGTTGAGTTTATCCTGCAGCCTTTCTCTCTGTCTCTCGCAGGAAGGAGGTATACAGGGCTCCAGTGACAGATGGAACAGCACACAACCCCCAGCTGGGGCATCTCCAAAGGTGAAGCATCAGACCAGGGTAGTGGTGAGAGCCATCTTGCCCCCCCCCCCAAGCCAGCTGTCCATCCACTCTGAGGGAAATATGTGGGAATGTTCAGGGTGGCAGGAGAGGATATATTGTTTATTGATATCCTTCGTAACTTGCGCTAGCAAGTTCCTTTATGTAGCAGAATTACATTCCCCCTTTTTTATATGCACAGCAGATAGCTGGTTGCAGGCTTGTGTGAGCCTCTCACTATTGCACAATTCAATCTGATACAGATTGAATTGTACATTCTTGGTAATCCCCTTGAATCCCTCTTTAAAGAATACAGTAAAGATGCCACAATCTTATTCAAAGTCAATAAAAGAAGCTTATTCGTATCAGTTCACAGTTGGATTCCTGAAGGCAGACTTACCGTATTTTTTGCACCATAACACTCACATTTTTCCTCCTAGAAAGTAAGGGGAAATGTCTGTGCGTGTTATGGAGCGAATGCCTACGGGTGGCGGGAGGATCTGCTGCAGTCGTGAGCAGAGGATCCATGGTTCCCCTTCCTTCCCTCCTCCATGGCTCGCTTTGAAACAGCAAAGCGGGAGAAGAGCCACTGAGTGGGGAGGAGAGAGGGACAGAGAGCCTGCTTGCTTTAAGGGAGCAAAGCGGGAGAGGAGAGGAGCCTTCTCCCCTTATACCCCTCTTCTTCATTATTAGCAGCATCCTTCTCCACCCACCCCACGCGTGCTCCTTGTCCCTTGAGTGCTTTTCCTTCCCTCCCCACTTAAAACGTGGTTACAAAGCACGGATCCACATGGATCCTCAGGATCTTTGCATTGGGTCACCCCAAATTCACCATCAGATCACATAGCATGTCCATGGCTACAGCCTGCACCAAAAAAATCACGCACCCACTGTTGCCTGGGGCCGCAGTGGTGCAAAAACGTGGTTACAAAGCATGGATCCACATGGATCCTCAGGATATTGCATTGGGCTACTCCAAACTCACTGTCAGATCACATGTCTGTGGCCACAGCATGAACCACAAAAATCATACATCCACTGTTTCGTTTAGAATTTTTTTTTTCTTGTTTTCCTCCTCTAAAAACTACGTGCGTGTTATGATCTGGTGCGTGTTATAGAGCGAAAAATACGGTAGTTACAAATATGTACATGTGGATCTACCCCATATGGGGGAATAATCCCAATGCTTCTGCTAGCTGAGAGCTAGCAGAGCAGACCTGGCTAGAAGCTGGTCAAACGAAGAAGGAAGTAAAAAGAAAAAAAAGGAGGTGTGCTGCTTGACTAGTCCTTTTGTTACCTGGACAGGTTAGGTCATGCCCACCTTCTATCGCATGCAAAAGGAAGGATGCTCCAGCCAGGAGGAACAGGAAGTTGCGACTGGCTGGACCAAACATTCCCTCGCATGTCTTCTCTAGCATTACAAGGAATGTTGTACTTGACTGCCTCTCATGGATCACATCCCACAAAATAAACATAAAGGGGAGGTAAGAAATACATGTTTAATGTACCTCCCTCACACTTTAGATCCTGAAAACCAGACTCTCACCAAAGAATTACCTCCACCAGAGTGTCCACACTCTCCCTCTTGTGTGAAAACACTACTTAAGATTAGTCAAAGGTATGGTTTCAAATTGGATTGGGAATGGCCTATTGAGATTCCTGGATTGCAGGACAGTGGTGCTCAGGATCCTTTCCAAATCGGCAATTCCTTGATTTTACAGTTCTATGAAAGTCTGCACATGACATGTCATCAAATATGACTTTGAAGAAGCGTGATAGAAGAGAAAGGGAAACCTTTTTACTTGAGAGAATCACCTCTCACATATGCCACTTGACTGCTTTGATCTGTAGAACTGGCCGTGCTGTGTGTGCCTCATAATATTCATTATGCACCCGCAAGAAATCCGTCTTTCATCGTGGCGGCGTCTACCCTTTGGAATTCCCATTTCTCTTAGACAACTAGAGTTGGAAGGGACCCTGAGGATCATCTATAGTCCAGCTCACTGCTATGCAGCTGCCCCAGATGGGGATCAAACCGGCAACCTTGGCATTATCAGCACCATACTCTAACAAATGGAGCTATATCATAATTCTGTATCCTGTACCATCTTTGTGTTTTGTTTCAGAGTGAGTGGGGTTAACCCTAAAATTAGTACCTAAAAAAGACCCCCAAAAAAGAAAATGGTGCTCTTTTGATTTTTTTTAGCAAGAGTAGTTGTCAGCTAAAGGTTTAGCTACTCCTCCTAACATTCTCTCCTCCACAATTAGAAATATTTGAGATTTTTACATTATATCTGATAATGCACACATCTACCAATTTAGCAGTCTTCACAGAGATCTTGTTTCAGCTTTGTTTTCACACACACACACAGAGAGATTTGCACACATCCGCCTCTTTTGAAATCCCTTGCAGTGAACTTGCCAGTAGGAAGGGAAACCCAACAAACAGTGGAAACCACAGCATCCTTTCCCTTCATTCTGGACACCATTTGCATATTGGTCATATGCATAGCTGTCAACCATCCCTTATTTGGCAGGAAAGTCCCTTATCCCAGCGCTGTGTCCCACTGCTGTCCCTTATTGATGATGTCCCTTAAATTTCCCGGGTTTCAAAGGAAGCAGCTCCTCTCCCTCCCTCCCTGCCGGCCAGGGAGGAGGGAGGCTCCAACTGTGTTGCTTGGCTGCGTTGCTCACCCAATAAGGAGTCTAAGAACGACTGGGGGGTGGAGCTTGCATGCCTTGTGCCGATCAAATCAGCCGCGTTGCCTGAGGAATCACCTTTGCTCAGCACTTCCCAACAGAGAGGTGACGGTGGTTTTCCTTGCTGCATCCCCTTTGCCGGGTTGCTGCGCTGTGGGAACTACCGCTTGAGGCTTTGTTTGGCTGCTGGCTGGGCTTTCTGCCTTTGGCTCGGAGGGGCTCAGAAGTTGAACATACCTGTGCTTGGAAAATCCCTTATTTTGGCTGCTGATGCCTTATTTTCGAGGCTGCTGGTCCTTTATTTTCAAATCTGTAAGTTGACAGCTATGGTCATATTTTGCTAAGGAAGTGTCACCAAATGTTTTAATTTCCCAAGGGAGGGTGGTGCACTGGGCAATCAAAGGGCTGAGTGCATGAGTCCCATTGTGCTTTGTTGCAGGCTCCCACCATCCCATATCTGGGCACCTTTTTAACTGACCTGATCATGCTGGACACAGCACTACCAGATTTTGTGGAGGTGAGCATCTTGGGGAAGAAGAAGTGGTACGAGAACATCCCTTGTCCTCTTCAGGGCGGCTGAGCATCCTCTGGCAAATGACTTCCTGTTGATCTCTGGCCATTTGGGTTGGGCAGGTGTTCCAGATCAACCCTTCAGGATGGTTCGGGGGTCACGTAACCACTGGTGGAGGAAGGGGGTGCGGTGGGGGTGGCTCGCGCCAGGTGTCATCCCTGAGGGGGGGTGACATCGCTGTGCCACCCCCCTGAGATGCTCACCACACACCCCTGCAGCACCCCCTTGGGACACTTGCCCTGCCCCTGCAGGCAGCTAGCTCCGCCCCTGCAGGTGGTTAGCTCCGCCCCTGCAGGTGGCTAGCCCCGCCCCCAGGTGCACAGCATCTGCACAAAACTCAGTTTGTTCAGTGAATGAAGCCTTTGTCTCCTCCTCTGGGGTTTCCAGTACTTTTTTCTGGGGGTACTTAAGGGTAAGGGGGGAACACCACAGAGCCTAGGACTTGCCGATCAGAAGGTCGGCAGTTTGAATCCCCGTGAGGGGTGAGCTCCTGTTGCTTGGTCCCTGCTCCTGCCAACCTAGCAGTTCGAAAGCACGTCAAAGTGCAAGTAGATAAATAGGTACCACTCCGGTGGGAAGGTAATCGGCGTTTCCGTGCCTCTCTGGTTTGCCGGAAGTGGCTTAGTCATGCTGGCCACATGACCCGGAAGCTGTACGCCGGCTCCCTCGGCCAATAAAGCGGGATGGGCGCCGCAACCCCAGAGTCGGTCACAACTGGACCTAATGGTCAGGGGTCCCTTTACCTTTAAGGGTAAGGGAGTACTGGCACTCCCCCCCCCCATTAAAAGTGTGACACTTACTGTAATAACTTCATGGTGCGTACCAGCACCTTTTTTCTATAAACAAAAAAGCACTCAGGCTTTTCAAAGGCTGGCAGCCACGTGGGGCAGAGGTTTTCAACCTTTTTGAGTCCACAGCTCCCTTGACCAACTCCGTTGGTCCCTGTGGGGCTCCGTTGGAACCCTGTGGGGCTCAAGAGCCCAGTTATGCCACCCCTTGCCTGCAGAGCTGGCAGCCTCTCACCATTTTCCAAACACCCTCCGTTATAGAGTGTTCCTTCATCCTCCTCTCCTCTCTCCTTGGGAGTCCTCAGGGCAGCTGCTGCCGCTGCCGCTACCTCCCCTGGTCTCTGAGCTGTGCCCCCTGCCCCAAAGAGAGGCATCTCTTCACACTGCCCCATAGGAGCCTGGGAAGCACCTCCTGGGCAGCCCCAGAGGCACCATTCACTTGGGGAGCTTGTAGCCAGGGCAGCTGCAACAAACAGCTGTACAAGCCTTTGGGAGGCAGCGATGTGAAAGGGCATCAGAGGAGGGAGGGAAGGAAAGAGGGACAGAGGTCAGTGTTGCCAGTGGCACCCCTGACCATCTTTCAAGGCATCCCAGGGTGCCCCTGTTTGAAAACCACTGATGTAGGGTGATTCAAACATCCCTGCAGTGTGGTTTGTGTCTCCTAGTGTTGCTCACAATCCCTGTCTTATTTTTCAATCCCACAGAGCAACCTCATTAACTTTGAGAAGAGGCGCAAGGTAAATCCAAGGTGGAAAAGCTGGAGGGGGGTGGGTGGGATTCTGCATCTCTTAGCTCATTGCCCAGAGCTGGGAATGGAGAGGAATGATAGGATGTGGAACTGGGAGGAAGAGCACTGCCTTTCAAACCACAGGAATGCAAAATGTGGCTCCACCGCCCACCTCACTGCTATGTCTTTTCCCTCCCAGGAAGCAGTGATCCTCTCCTGGATCTGCCAGCTGCAGGATTCATGTCAAGAGTACCATCTTTGTCCAAACCCATCATTCCGTCTTGCCTTTCACCAGCACCAGCAGCTCTCTGAGGAGCAGAGGTAGGAAAAGGTGTTGGGTTCTCTGCCAAGGAAGAGAATGGTTGATAGTGGGCCAACTAAATAAATGCACAAGCAGAATGACTACTGCTTGTGCAATAGGACTCTCCCTCTTTCCCTCTTGCTGATCTGCTCTGGAGGATTGAGTCCCGTTGCACAAGTGTAAGTTGTTCCAGTTGTGCAAAGTGCTACTTACTCCTGCAGTGATTACAACCTAGGCTCTTGCTGTTGAAAGGCTCTAGTTAGGAGCGTTATCAATTGCACCACTTCAGAGTTCAATCGGAGCGTCTTAAATTAAGGCCCAAAGTCCACATTACGAGTGTCCTTGGAGTTGACCACTTTCTCCTTCATTCCATTAAAAGTAACTTTGCGCAACCCTTTGCTGGAACATGACCACTGTATGTGGTGATTGAGTTAATTGTTTCCTCCCTGGACCATTTCCCCCCCTGCTAAAAATCATCCCACCAGTCCACTATTTGCTGTTTACTGTAAATAGCACCTTTTTGCAGAGGAGGTGTGTTTTTAATGGGAAAATGCTATGAGGAAGGAAGGGTTAACTCCCTCATCCCCACACACTGTGTTTCCAGTCCAGACCAGTGCCGCAGTGCAGCTGCTTCTACTGGAAAAGAAAGTTTCCAGTTCTGAGCAAGTTTGTAAAATCTTTCAATAAAGATATCTTTAATAATTTGCACACAGTGCCTCCCTGTCTCCCGCATTCCGCACCAGAGCGAGAGCCAGGTATCAAGACGAACCATGAATGAAGGTCTTTCCTCCCTGTCCCTGGGGGGAATTTGCAAGGATAATTACCCTCCTTGTTTTTTCTTCGCTAACAATCTCCTGCTGTCATGGGAGCTTTCTCCATTAAGGCAGACAGGAACCGGAAGCCTTATTTTCTAAACAAAGAAACAAACATGTGTATTTAACATTAAGTCCATTTGGTCCTGTGGATTTTATTTGGGGAGCTAAATAATTAACTGATTGCATTTATATCTCACCTTTTCCTCCAAGGAGCTCAAGGTGATGTACATGGCTCTCCCCTATCTGGTTTAATCCTCACAGCAACCCTGTGAGGTAGGTTAGGCAGAGAGGCAGTGACTGGTGAGCTTCATAGCCAAGTGGGCATTTGAACCCTGGTCTCCCACATCCTAGTCAGACACTCTAACCACTGCGCCACACTGGCTCCTGGTATCTCCAAAATGCTGTGGTGACAGAGTGGGTTAGGGAATGTCATCTATCTCCTATAGCAAACCTGTTTCCCCACCGGGATAGCAACTCTTCACTTCTCAGATACCTAAAAATGCACAGGGAATGTGCACTAGTCCTCCCCTCCCTCTGCGCCCAAGTTCAAGAGCAAGAACAATCTCCCATCTAAATCCATTCCCCCAAAGTTCACACTGTGGGTTACACAGCTAATTATTCATTTATTGTTATTCATTTATTTATGCCCTGCCTTTTCCCCCTGATGGGACTCAAGGCAGCTTACAGATAAAAATAAGAACCACTAAGAATAAAGAAAAACACACACACACAAACACACATCCCACATACCAATAATTACAATTATAAACAGCATGGCAACAGTCCTTTCCTTAAAAGTACTCAGCTCCCAACAACCTGTTGGAAAACAAAGGTCTTCACGACCTGACAGGAGGACGACAAGGAGGGAGCCAGTCTGGCTTCTCCAGGGAGGGAGTTGTCTGGAGGCAGCCACCACCGAGAAGGCCCTCTCCCATGTCCCCACCAAGCGTGCCTGAGACGGTGGCGGGTCCGAGAGAAGCTAAAAGTATGGGAAGAGAGAAAGTCAACTTTTTTTCTGGCCTTCCTGCAGTCCCACCCCCAAACCAGGCTGCATAACTGTGAGGGTGGCACAAGGCAGATGCCAAGGGAAAGAGCCAAGCATGCCCTTTTTGAGAAATTGCAGGGCAGCAGGGTGTCAGAAGCGACAGCCGAACAGAGACACACCAACAGAGAAGAATGGGAGGCCATGCTTGGGGGGATATAGCCCATGCTTCTACTCTCCTCCCTCTGCAGCTACCGGATTTCCCGTGTGATTGAGCCACCAGCCGACTCCTGTCCCAACTCGCCGAAGCTGCATCGCAGCTTGACCAAGCGCTTCAGTTCGTAAGTCAGCCTTTGTGTTCCGCGAGGGGGCACGCTTCCTGTGGCTGCTCCTTGGGGGCGGCCCATCCCGTTTCGCCACCCAAGGCAAGATGGGAAGGTGCTCCCTCCTGCCAAAGCCTCGCTTGCCGGGGTCACATGGGATTCTGCTGCCCAAGGCAGGTGCCTCAGTCCGCCTCATGGGTGGGCCGGCCCCGCTGCTCCTTCCCTGCCCCTTTCTCCTTCGTGCCCCCTGCTCCTACCCTGCCGTGCTTGGGACAAACTTCCCTTCTGTCCGATGACCTTCGGCCTCCTGGAGAACCCCGTTCTGTGTTGTTGTTTTTTGAGGCAGAGGAAGTGAAGCTGGAGAGATTGGGCATTGCCTCCCACTAGGCCTGGTCTGCCTCTGAAAAATCGCATCCCCTGGCATGATTACACTTTTGCAGTTGGGCTGCCCTTGGGTTAAAAACCAGCCTGGCAGCCTTCTTGGCTGAGGTTCCTCATTCCTGATCTAGAAGAATGGCTGCTTTACCTAAGGGAAGGGATCACTCACCTCCCTCCCCAAAGCAGCTATGTTTTTCTGACAAGGTTATTGCATCTTGAACAGCTGTCAGGCAAACAAATCTTTTCCTGGCCTACAGGTACACTACTGCATACCCTCCAAGTGTCCTGATTTTCCAGGGACAGTCCCATAATTATGAAAGCCATCCTGACTTATATGATTTGATCGTAGATTTTCTTTTTGTAAATCTTCCAAAGAATAAAATAAAATAGGGATGAAGGGGTTTTCTCAGGGCAGCAGATGGTGTGTGTCCTGTTGGTGTGGTGTTGATAGCACTTGCCCTTCTTCTCGTAGGAAATGCTTTTTTTGGGGGGGAGAAGATGACTAAAAATGGGGGGTCGAGAACGGTCTGTTGCGGGCAGTGAGAACTGTCCCTATTTTCATCTGAGGAATGTTGGAGGGGTATGCTGTTGGAGAAAGCATCGCCTGCTCAATTCCCCTTCGCTGCGTAGCTACACATGACCTAGGAGTCCCAAGTAAAAGAAATAAAAGTTGGCAACCTGATTTTTCCCAAGAGTTCAGAGCACCCAAGTTGAGAGGCAGTGCAATGGCCGAGGCCACACTGTGAGTGTATGGCAATGGATGGATCTGCTGGTCCATGCAAGCCCAAGATTTATATTATTATTGTGTTCAGTGTCATGTGTATTGGTGATGAAAGAGAGATTTGTTCTGTAGGAGGCATAAATGGTTCCTTTCTTCCATATTTATCCTTACAACAATCTTGCAAGGCAAGCTATGCTTGGGTTGTCAGGAGTTCAGCCTACACTCGAGTAGGACCCTGGCAGAGACACATGTGCGACTGGCATGTTTCCTCCCTCCTGGTCGATCGTTCGGGAGCTTCATAAGCTTTCTTCAGCCCAAACATCACAGCGACCGATGCCAACCGGCACCGGCACACTTAGGGATCCGCAGAGTTTGCGCAGTTCATGCGTAACAGACCTCAGCAACTCAGTATTTTGGCTAATCTACTTTATTTACATATAAACACACACGGAGCACTGCAACATGGCTCCCTCTCTCTCTAGCATCAGACAGCAAAGAGAAAAAGACAATAGTCCCACTTCACGGAACACAGTAACACAAACATCCTGTCTCCGTCACTTCCCACTTTGTGGAGTCAAAACATATACCGCCATGTGATAGACAACAATCTCATGACTGCAATCATGGAGCGGGAATTCTAACATGGGTATGCTGACTGGCCCAAGGTCACCAAATGAATATCATGGTGAAGTAGGGATATGACCCTGGAGCTCTTGTCTGATACATAACTAACCACTACCTGACAGTGATGCTCCAACACCTGAGTCACTGTCTCTGCTCTTCCTTTGCAGACTTCTCCTGGGCTCAGAAGCCTCTGCTGCTTCCCCAAGCCCTGAGAAGCCCGGAATTTCACCTCTGGGCTCCTGCAGCAGCCTTTCCTCTGAAGATACGCCTAGCACCCCTTGTTCACCAACTCGGGGACTCCCCACTAGCAAGGTAGCTTATTTTTCTTTATAAAACCGTTTCTGTCCCGTTCTCTTGGTCCCTGAAACAATTCACAATCTTAGAAGATCTCGTTATGTGACCGAGACAGCTAACAAGGGCATAACATAAAATGCAGAAGTCTGTATGTTGCTATAAAACAGAAAGGGAGAAAATAATCAACACAAATCAAATGCCTGTCAAAATAAAACAGCTGTGACAGAGCATCTCAAAAGGGAGCAGCAGAGTCTCTTTGGGGAGGGGCCTCCACAGCCTGGGTGCCCACACCCAAAAGGCCTGCACTTGCATCACTGCCAGTTGCACCCGTGATGGTGGTGAAATATGGAGCAGAGCAAGGGGCAAGCAGCAGAAGGCAAATTCTCTTGGGGATTCGTAATGCAGTTGCCACAGAGAGTGCAAAGAGATGGCATCGCTGAAGGAGCGTCTCCACCCTCATCGTTCTGCCCGGACGCTGAGGTCCAGCTCTGAGGGCCTTGTGGTGGTTCCCTTGCTGCGAGAAGCCAAGTTACAGGGAACCAGGCAGAGGGCCTTCTCAGTAGTGGCACCCGCCCTGTGGAACGCCCTCCCACCACATGTCAAAGAGAAAAACAACTATCAGACTTTTAGAAGACATCTGAAGGCAGCCCTGTTTAAGGAAGCTTTTAATGTTTAACAGACCATTGTATTTTAATATTTTGTTGGAAGCCGCCCAGAGTGGCTGGGGTGACCAGATGGGCGGGGTATAAATTATTATTATTATTATTATTATTATTATTAGTGTGGTAGGCTGGTTTCATTTCTAGCCAAAAATGAGCCAATCAAAGCAACACATGTGAAATGAATAGATATTAAAAGCTATCATTATAATACAAGAATGGTGTACAGTGGTACCTCGTGCTACGGATGGGATCCGTTCCTGAGGCCCGTCCGTAACGTGAAAAGTCCGCAACTCGAAGTACCGTGTCTGCGCAGATGTGCGGCACGATTTGCCGCTTCTGCACAGGTGCGAGCAGCGAAACCCGGAAGTAACCCATTTCAGTACTTCCGGGTTGCCGCGAGACGCAAGATGAAAGCACGCAACCTGAAGCGGACGCAACATGAGGTATGACTGTAATAATTTACCAGTCATTTTTTACACCTGTGGCTGAAAAAAAATGGTATGATTGAGCAATAAAGACAAGATTTAGGGAAGTCTCCGTCCCACTCTCCCACCCCCAGCTCACTTTAGCAATATAAAATGTTGGGATGCATCCTGGTGCAAGTTCATGCCATCCAACTTTTGAGAGCCAAAACTAGGATTTGCATCTTCTGGGATGTGCTCCCAGGCAAGACATGTGACCCATGCCTCACTCCCAGATAAAGTGTTGTGTTTTTTTGAGGGGGGGGAGTGAAATTGCAGCACCCAAAATGGCCTCTGTGCTCTCGTGCAAAAGATGGGATGTCCAGGGCACTTGGTAGGTATTCCAGCTTGCATCAAATGCCCTTGATGGAGCCACTGATTAGTACAGTACTTCACTTCTGGGACTGGTTCTGGGGTGTTTAGACTCTAAACAGACATAGTGAGATTCTCGTCTCTGACAGCTGGGAAGAGCAGATCTCTAGATATATGTATTTTGTAAATAAATACCTTTTCAGTGTGTCGGGGGGGGATATTGGTTTGTTTTGCGCGTTCATTTTGCATTTTTATGCTGTGAACCACCCTATGGATCTTAGGATGAAGGGCAGTACAGTGGTACCTCAGGTTGCATACGCTTCAGGTTACAGACTCCGCTAACCCAGAAATAGTGCTTCAGGTTAAGAACTTTGCTTCAGGATGAGAACAGAAATCGGGCTCCGGCGGCGCAGCAGCAGCAGGAGGCCCCATTAGCTAAAGTGGTGCTTCAGGTTAAGAACAGTTTCAGGTTAAGAACGGACCTCCGGAACGAATTAAGTACTTAACCCGAGGTACCACTGTATACAATTTTGATAGATGGATGGTAGATAGGTAGATGATAGATAGATAGATGATTGATAGATAGATAGATAGATAGATAGATAGATAGATAGACAGACAGACAACACACCTCCCATGACATCCTGTTTCCTCCACACACTACTGCCTCTGTTCCCCTCAGTAGGGTCCCCTATCACCCCCACTTGTCTCCTCCTCCTCTGGGGAGTAGCAGGAATCATTCTATGGGCTGTGCCTTCCAAAGGCTGCTTGGAGTGTTCTGAGGTCTGCTTCTATCCTTGAGTCTTCCCCTCTTGTTTATTGGAGCTTATTTTGATATTGTTGGATAGGCCGGCCCTGAAGACCAGTCATGCTTTCACCTTGGGTCACCAAAAGTGGTTGAACTACAACTCCGATCATCCCTAGCCCCAGAGCTAGAGGTCAGGGTTGATGGGAGCTGTCATCTAATGACATCTGGTAACCCACGGAGAGCCAGCTTTCATTTAGCACCGATGTGCATATCAGCAAGTAAAGTGGCAGAAACTTCTGAGCAAGATGTTTTGATGGTGTTGGTGGCCAGAGAGGTAATGGAAATGTGGGGCGGAAAGGGAGGGAGGGAGTCAGAACTCACGGATTCATCTCCTGGTCCCCTTTTTGGTTGTCTTTTCCTGACCAGAATCTATCTGTACCGCAGCTAAGGCCCTGCCTTCCGCTGGAGCAGCCCCCGCCGTCTCCCATCTTCAAGCAACGAGGGACAGAGTCGCGCATCATCCGCGTCAGCATGGGTGATGTTCATGGCAACGGCAACCTGTATCGCAGCATTGTGGTGAGTGGACAAAGGGATGCAAGCTGCCAGGAACATCTGGACATGACTGGATGGTGTGCATCATGTCTCCGTGTGGGGATGAAGATTTCTGGGCAGGGGAGGAGCGCATAGAGGCCCTGCACAGTGAGGGCAACAGCGCTGCTACAGCAGCATGGGCAAAGTCCCAGAGGAGCAGGTAGCGACACAATGGGGGGGGCAGGGCAAGGGTCAGATCCACCACCTGAGGCAAACAGTGTCATAGTCCTGTGCTGCCAGCCATGGCAGAGCTCAGTGGAGGGAGAAGCCAGCCAACCAGTTGAGTCTCGGTGGGGGAGTACTTGCCTGGAGGCAGAGTCCAAGGTTAATAATAATAATATATTTATACCCGCCCATCTGGCTGGGTTTCCCCAGCCACTCGGGGCGGCTTCCAACAAAATATTAAAATCCAATAGTCTGTCAAACATTAAAAGCTTCCCTAAACAGGGCTGCCTTCAGATGTCTTCTAAAAGTATGGTGCAGTGGTACTTTGGGTTACATATGCTTCAGGTTACAGATTCTGCTAACCCAGAAATAGTGCTTCAGGTTAAGAACTTTGCTTCAGGATAAGAACAGAAATCGTGCTCTGGCAGCACGGCGGCAGCAGGAGGACCCATTAGCTAAAGTGGTGCTTCAGGTTAAGAACAGTTTCAGGTTAAGTACGGACCTCTGAAACGAATTAAGTACTTAACCCGAGGTACCACTGTAGTCCTTTTTCTCTTTGACATCTGGTGGGAGAGCGGGTGCCACTACTGAGAAGTTCAGTCCAGTCCTAAGGTCAAGAGTGAAGTGTAGGTGGTTTCCCATGAGGCAAGACGCAGTGATAACAGCAAGAACATTTATTGATCTACATAACTGGGAAACAGGGGCAAAGCAACTGCTTATATACATTCCTGAAAGCCTAGGCCACTCCCACTCCCAACATGATTGGCTGTCTAAACTTCCAAGCTGCGAATCGCGACTCAGCGTTCAAGGGCCAATGGCAGAGGCCCAAATCCTGAAATGTTCTATGATTGGACATCATGTATTGAATCAGAACACAGGAGCTCAGAATCCTTAGTCCAGACTAAGCTCAGGCAAACACAGAATACATAACAAGGAGTATCTCAGTTCACGTAGTCAGACGGTCCAGGGATCAAGAAAGCCGAGGTCACAAGAAGCAAGAAGCAGCAAGATCTGGCCAGGAACGACAAATGCTGTTTCCAGCAACTGCCTGAGGCTGGAAACCCTGCTTAAGAAAACTGGAGCCAAGCTGGTTCTCATCAGGAGCAAGAAGGCTGATCAGCAGCAGGTGGATTCACTTTGCCTTCTGCTCTTCAGGCTACTGCTCAGCAGATGAAGCCAACTCCTGGCCCATGACAAATGGCTTCATCCCACCTCATGCGGGTTGGAGCCCAACAAACGCCAAGAAAGCCACACGTACCCCCCCCCCCGGTTTTGTCCGACACTTTTTTGATTCGGCTAGCATTAGATAAGGTAAAGGTAAAGGGACCCCTGACCATTAGGTCCAGTCATGGCCGACTTTGGGGTTGCGGCGCTCATCTCGCTTTATTGGCCGAGGGAGTCGGCGTACAGCTTCTGGGTCATGTGGCCAGCATGCCTAAGCCGCTTCTGGTGAACCAGAGCAGTGCACGGAAACGCCGTTTACCTTCCCACCGGAGCGGTACCTATTTATCTACTTGCACGTTGACGTGCTTTTGAACTGCTAGGTTGGCAGGAGCAGGGACCCAGCAACGGGAGCTCACCCCGTCATGGGGATTCGAACCGCCGAACTTCTGATCGGCAAGCCCTAGGCTCTGTGGTTGAAGGCGTTTTCACTACTTTCGTTAATATTCTCCCCTGCCCCTCTCTGGACACCTTCTACGTTGTGTTGCCACGTTGCCTGGCCACCCCTGTGCCCTCTTCTGTGGCTCATAACCGGATGACTTTCCCCCGCAGATCACCAGCCAGGATAAGACCACGGCTGTAGTTCAGCGCGCACTGCAGAAGCACAACTTGGAAGGGCACTCGCTGCACAACTACCGGCTCCTGCAGCTGTTGGGAGATGGCCAAGGTGAGGAGAGGGATAATAATAATAAGAATATAATAATAATAATTTATTATTTATACCCCGCCCATCTGGCTGGGCTTCCCCAGCCACTCTGGGCGGCTTCCAAAACATATTAAAATACTGTAATACATCAAACATTAAAAGCTTCCCTAAACAGGGCTGCCTTCAGATGTCTTCTAAAAGTCTGGTAGTTGTTGTTCTCTTTGACATCTGGTGGGAGGGCATTCCACAGGGTGGGTGCCACTACTGAGAAGGCCCTCTGCCTGGTTCCCTGTAACTTGGCTTCTCGCAGTGAGGGAACCACCAGAAGGCCCTCGGTGCTGGACCTCAGTGTCCGGGCAGAACGATGGGGGTGGAGAGGCTCCTTCAGATATACTGAACCGAGGCCGTTTAGGGCTTTAAAGGTCAGCACTAACACTTTGAATGGTGCTCGGAAACGTACTGGGAGCCAATGTAGGTCTTTCAAGACCGGTGTTATATGGTCTCGGCAGCCGCTCCCAGTCACCAGTCTAGCTGCCACATTCTGGATTAGTTGTAGTTTCCGGGTCACAGGACCCGGATGGAGGGGAAAACATTGTTGGCATCACTCATGTTCTCTCTCTCTCTTTATCCTTCAAGAGCTACTGATCCCCGACGGCGCCAATGCCTTCTACGCTATGAACCCCGCTGGCCCCCACGACTTCCTCCTCTGCCCCAAGGAAGGCGCCCCCAACTCCATTGGGACCATGCAGCCTGGTAGCAAAACCACACTCCATGGCACACACAAGGACCGTGGCACCGGAGCTTCATCGTCTTGCAGTTCTCCACACCTAGGCCCTCCTAGCCTGTCCCCACATGGCTCACCATCCCCACAGCTCTGGCTAGCTTCGTGTCTCCTGGCACCCCCATTTCCATCTCCTTCCTCCAGGCAGCCACCAAATGAGCCACCAAACTCTCCTCCTTCCCCCTTGCCTCTTTCTCGCCACTCACCCTTCGGTCCAGCTCCATCCCATGTTGTTCTGCCCTCCTCCTCGCAGAGGCCAAAGACTCCTTCTTCTTCATGCCAGTCGCCCCTTTGCTATTCCTCGGGGGCATCCCTTTGGTCAGGGTCCCTCAGTCACTGTGACGTCCCTCGCCTTTCAGCTTCCCAAACTCTAGAAGCTCTGAGCAGTCCTGACCTAGAACTGGGCGCTCAGGGCCACAGCTAATCTCTCCGAATAGAGATGCCTCCCCTACATGAGACCACACGCAAATGGCCAGGAAAACTGAGTGCCCCACGAGGGAGCGATGATGTTAATGGAGTGGCCACTGTGAGGTTCCGTAGCTGTGCCCTCCCCAGCCTCCCCTCAGTAATCCTAGAATCGTAGAGCCAAGAGAGATGGGCTTACAGGCCATTCAGTACAAAACACAACTGATGCAAGCCAGGTAAGCAGAGCCTTGCCAGTGGAGATCAGAGGTGCCACAGGGTGCCAGAGTCCTGGTGTTTTGTTTCATTTCCTCCCCTCTTTTTGATTTATGACATTTGCCACCAGTGACTTTATTTTTTTAATATAATTTTTTATTTGATTTTTTTAAATTATAAACATGTAACAGAAAACAATTCCGAATCCAAATATTGAGATTACTGTGAATCTCCTGACTTCTCCCCATCCCTTCCATGGGTCCTAGTAATCAAATTTACTACTGCAAATCAGTACTTATCCAAATTTTTCATCCTCCTAAATTATCCATATTTTCCATTACTTTACAAATGTGGTTAAAATCCTGCTAATGTTTTAACCTGCTTACAGTGGTCTCATAAATAAATTATGAACTTTTCCCATTCTTTCTTAAAGTTCTTGTCTTCTTGATTTCTGAGCTTCCCAGTTAATTTCGCCATTTTGGCATAGTCCATCAACTTAGTTTGCCATTCTTCTCTCATCGGGGTTATCTCTTCCTTCCATCTCTGGGCTAGTAGCCTCCTTGTGGCTGTTGTCGCATACATAAACCATCTTTTCTAGTCCTTTGGTACCTCAGTACCTATAATTCCTAATGAAAAAGCTTCTGGTTTTTTAGCAAAAGTTACTTTAAACATTTTTTTTTTCCATTTCATTATATATCATCTCCCAGAAATTTTTGTTACTTTACATGTCCACCACATATGATAAAGGGAATCTTCTTTTTCTTTACATTTCCAGCAAATATTTGAGCTTGTTCTATACATTTTTGCTAACTTGACAGGCGTCAAATACCACCGAGACATCATTTTCATGTAGTTTTCTTTCCGTGAACACCAGGGTCCTGGTGTTTCAAGGGAGTGAGACCAAGGGCCTGTGAGGCAACTGCTTTGGGCAGCAGATCTGGCCTCCGAGGAAGGCATTGTCTACTGCTGCAGCTTGCTCCTTGGAGGCTGGACCTTTTGCCTTCTCAGCAGCCTCCCTACCTGCCATGCCACTGCCATAGCAGCCTCTCAGCAAATAGGAGGGGCTGCTGGTCTCCTCCCATCACTAGGGAGAAAGTGCCAGGAGTCTCCTGGGCTCTGCACCCACCTGGAGTGATTCGGAGCTGGCCCCTTTCCCCACCCCCACCCCACGGCCTTTGATTCCCGGTTCAACCACCAAGCAAGGTTGATTTGATTCCCCCTATTGTTCCTGATGTAGATGTTCCCAGTGTAAATCTCCAAAAAAACAAACAAACAAAAAAACAAAACAAAACCCACTTATTCCTGATGTACATTTTTCCTCCCCCTTCTTCCCTGGCAGGGAGGGGGAAAGCATTTTGTGGCTTGCCCCAGGTGCCAAAATGTCTTGGGCCAGCCCTGAGTGAGACAAGCCATATTTTGCAGAGGAATACAACACCTCACTCCCTTATTCTCCCTCCAGAATTAAACACTGTAGTCGAGAGCAGAGGTGGGTGGGTGGCAAGGAGGCCTAGTGCTAGCTACTGTCTGACAGTGAGCTTGTAGCTGGAAGTATGTGTTGGACTTCCAGACCTGTAATAGAAGAAGAGGAAGAGGAGGAGGAGGAGGAGGAGTAGGAGGAGGAGTAGGAGGAGTTTGGATTTGATATCCCGCTTTATCACTACCTGAAGGAGTCTCAAAGCGGCTAACAATCTCCTTTCCCTTCCTCCCCCACAACAAACACTCTGTGAGGTGAGTGGGGCTGAGAGACTTCAGAGAAGTGTGACCAGCCCAAGGTCACCCAGCAGCTGCATGTGGAGGAGCGGAGCCGCAAACCCAGTTCACCAGATTATGACTCTTAACCCTACACCACACTAATAGCTGACTTTGCGTGAGACTCACCCTTCAATAAAATAATTTGGTGAAATGCAAACTTTCAGGATTTCGCCAACTCTATCTGCATTGCAGAAGCTGTGCACTTTGCCCTGGCAGAGAGAATTATTATTATTATTATTATTATTATTATTATTATTTGTACCCTGCCCTCCCCGGCTGGAGGAACCAGGAAGTAGAAGAGTTACACAAAAGGAGGTGGTGCGAAAGCAAAACCTGATCGAGAACTCTGCTCTTTTAGGTTAGAGAACCAGACCTAGAATGGCTGCTCTCGCTTTCTGCACTTTGCTAGCAGCCATCAATCAAATTTACAGTGGTACCTCGGGTTACAAACGCTTCAGGTTGCAGACGCTTCAGGTTACAGACTCTGCTAACCCAGAAGTAGTACCTCGGGTTAAGAACTTCAGGATGAGAACAAAATTGTGCGGCGGCACAGCAGCAGCAGGAGGCCCCATTAGCTAAAGTGGTGCCTCAGGTTAAGAACAGTTTCAGGTTAAGAACAGACCTCCGGAACGAATTAAGTTCTTAACCAGAGGTACCACTGTATTATCAAAGCTATCATTCCTACAAAAGCACCATTCAACCCAATGGAACATATTTTGTCTCCTACTCCACAGGACTGACTTCCAAATTATAATGTTAAACTTTGGTGGCAAGTGATTTTAGACTGGGTGTCAGGGTGCTGTCAGCAGCTACCAGCTGGTTGCCCAGGAAATCATAAAGATGAGGAAGAGTTTCTTACCATCTTTTTTTATTTCAGCCTTTACAGAGAAAGGCTATAGAACCCAGCCTCTTGAATCTCCACCCGCCGTCTCTCCCACGTCCTCATGCATCACTTCTACGGGTGCTGCTACCTGCCCTCTGCCTTTGAGCTCTTTGCTCTCCTACTTTTAAGGCTTGCCGGGTTCTGGGAGATGGAGGGTCTAGAATCCTTCCAATGACAATGTGTCAGTCAGCTGCTGTTCTGGCTCTGCCTGCTCCTCCTCTCCCATTATTTCCCAACTTTCCCCTCATCTCCTTCTGAGTTGTGACCTCCTGCAAACCACTGCTGTAAATCTATACTGTCTTCCTCTTCCTCTTCCCTGGAAGGGTCAGGATGGGGAGGCAGTCTCCACTATTCCGCCTCTGCCCAGCCCTGACACTGGGATTTGCAAAGCAGTCAAGGAAGGACTTGCTGTATTGGCCTGAATATAAGCCGCACCTGCAAATAAGCCGCACCTTTAAAATTCGGGGGGGGGGGCGAGAGAGAGAGAGAGAGAGAGAGAGAGAAAGAAAGAAAGAAAGACAATACCCAAATATAAGCCACTCCCTTAAAGTTGGGTTGAAAATTGCTGCGGTTGGTAGAATTGTAACTCCGAGCTAATTTAAGCCTTTGATCTTCCAAGCCCACAAAGGTTACTGTATAATCACGCAAATCACAAATCGCTATTCAGTTGCTACAATTCCGAAGGCACTCACAGCCGTAAATGGCAAATGAACAGCCTCAAGCTCGCAAATCAGCAATAAAACGTATGTCTGTTTCACCAGCGATATCACAAAAGCCAATTTTTGTAAGGTCACAAATTTAAGCCGCACTTTAACTTTTCACAGCTGGAATTTGGAAAAAAAAAGTGCGGCTTATATTCGGGCCAATACAGTAAGTGCTTTGTTCAGCCTTAGCAATATCAATGGGCTATTCAACTATGACTGCCATACGTTCAGGTTTCCCTGTTACAGTTTTGAGTTAATGAGCATATAATCAATCCCTGGTCCTGAAATCCCTAGCTATGATTTAATATAATTAACTAAAAATTTCCAGCCAATCATTGGGTAAGTGTAGGTAGGCAGTGAGATATGTTAAAGGATAGTAAGCAAGAGGACAAGAATGAATAAATAGACAGTTTTCACAATGGAGGAAAGTGAGATGTGAGTTATTATAACCATTGAGATTATTCATAAATATGCCTGTAAGCAGTTAGGAGCCAAATTTGCAATGATACCAAAATAATCAAGTTTCGATTAATTGATTAATTAAATTATTCATAACTCGGTCTTCATTGTTCACACAATCCCAGAAGAAGGAAAAGCACCAGAATACAATACAATATTAAATGTTTCATTTAAGTACAACTGAATGTAAAATCAGACTGTATACTAACAACATAACTACATCAGCCAAGTGAGGGGCACCGACTTAGCCCAAATCTTGCGTTTACCAGATGGCGAAAACTTGAGGAGACGGCAAAGAGCTTTTGTCAGAATGGATGACTAGGCAACAAAACAGCAAATCAGTTTGCGAAATAAACAAGGTGATGCCCGGTGGGGCAACTTACGTTGTTGCGTTTATTTATTTTCTAGCTTTGCATATACATGGGGTTTATGTATGACCAACAATTTAGGAGTGCAATACTAATCAAGTCAACACATAAATGAAAACTTCAATTCAGTTTGTGGTGGTGGTGAATAGGGCTAAGAATTAGGATGAAATAAAAATTTGGGGGGTGGGGTTGCAATACTAATCAAGTCAACACATAAATGAAAACTTCAATTCAGTTTGTGGTGGTGGTGAATAGGGCTAAGAATTAGGATGAAATAAAAATTTGGGGGGTGGGGTTGTTGAGGGAAGTGGAGGTGGAAGAATCAGCCGGTACTGCCATGCCTTTGTATGGTGTTGCTGCATTTAGAATATTTTGTGTGCAGTTTTTTGGCTACCTCTTCTCAAGAAAGGTGCTGTAGGTACAGAAAAGGGAGCAGAAGAGCGCGAGCAAAATGATCAAGCGATCAGACCACTGCGGAAGTCTAAATTGTTCAAGGGCTTTTGATTCGGGGGTGAGGACTAGGGGCCGCGATAGAAGTTTATAAAATATAAAATTACTCATGATGTTGAGAAAGCGGATGGAGGCATTGGGTAGACCAGAGAGTAGACTAGAAACAGATTTGACCCAATTTAGCAGAGCTCTGATCTCATTAGGCCTATTATATATCACATATACTTTAGAGAAAAGGGAATAGGGGTTTTTGTTGTTGTTGTGGCTTTTAAAAAACTAAATTGGGTCAGGGGAAAAAGTTCTTTTTGGGGGTGGAAGCAGCAGCAGTAGCAGCTATATAACAGCCGAATGAGGAGAGGAATCAGATAAGAAGGTATGGCTTGAATAACTTCGTGAAGATGTTTTCAAAAAGTACAGAGTGGCTGGGATAAACAACCGCTGTGCAGGAGAGCACAGAGCTGCTAGAGCCTTATCACGGCCAAACACTTTTTGTTTGTGCCTACTTTTCTCCCCCAACCCCACACCTCCCAAATCTAGCACTGGCACAGAGGCCGCTTGCTCTAGAGACCTGCTCTGGGGGTTTCGCTCACACACATGCACAGGGAGTGGTCTTTGGAAAGTCTCTGGAAATGTGAGACAAGCCCATGTGCTTTGCCGTTCCCTGTTTTCTACTCCCTGAAAGTGTCGCCATGCGTTTGTAGAATGCAGTTGCACAAACCTGGGGTTGCAATAATAATAATAATAAATTTTATTTATATCCTGCCCTCCCCAGCCGAAGCCGGGCTCAGGGCGGCTAACAACAATAAAATAGTACAACCTTCTAAAATAATTTCATTATAAAATTAATTCAAATCAAATTGATGGCAACCATTAGGCTAAAGTTCTGTGAAGATTGCCAAAGGAGGGAGTCAGGCTGTGCCCTGACCAAAGGCCTGGTGGAACAGCTCTGTCTTGCAGGCCCTTCGGAAAGATGTCAAGTCCCGCAGGGCCCTAGTCTCTTGTGACAGAGCATTCCACCAGATCGGGGCCACAACCGAAAAAGCCCTGGCTCTGGTTGAGGCCAGCCTAACCTCCCTGTGGACCCGGGATCTTCAAGATGTTTTTATTTGAAGACCGTAAGTTCCTCTGTGGGACATACCAGGAGAGGCGGTCCCATAGGTACGAAGGTCCTAGACCGTATAGGGCTTTAAAGGTTAAAACCAGCACCTTAAACCTGATCCTGTACCCCAGGATACCCCAGGCTTTTCTGAAATAACAGGAAGAGTAGCTGTGGGAGCAGCCAGGAACCCTCTCTCTGCTCCCTGTCCCCCCATCCCTGGCATTTTTGATCAAAAGATTCCTGCATTGCCAGAGGAAGGACAAGATGAACCTTGCGGTCCCTTCTAGATCTGTGATTCTATGATTGCAGGAGAGCTCCTTCACCTCTGGTTGCTGAGCTTTCACTTCAATAATAATAATAATAATAATAATAATAATAATAATTTATTTATATCCTGCCCTCCCCAGCTGAAGCCGGGCTCAGAGCGGCTAACAACAGTAAAATAACACAGTTTACATAAAATCACAATCAATTAATTGAAATACATTCTAAAATCAATTCATTCTAATGACCCACTTCCCTGTGTTTTTCTTTGGAAACCAATGAGAATGGCTTTTTAAAAAATCACAAGACGCTCACAAGTGACTGCACATATAACACCCATGTTACAACAAAACCAACCTGATAACAAAAAAGCGCACAAAATAAATACAATATTATGAATAATTGCCATTCCCCACGATTGGGCTATCCTATATGTAACAAATGGAGGCAAAATCCATAGGTTTAGCTGCACCCCAAGAGACCCTTCATTTATAAGTCAATTTTTTCAGAAATAAGACCATCATTTTATGGAACTTTGTATTTAAAGAAAAACCAAAGGACACCTTACATGCTTAAGAGTGGAAGGACAAAATAAGTAATTATAATTTAACAGTTTCCATGTTACTCTATTTTATCAAAGCAACTAGAAAAAAATATTATGATGGGAAGATCTCACACAGGTGAAGGGAAGCAGTGGGGAGGAGGGGAGGGTTAGGTTGAATTTGGGAAATAAAATAATATATGGGACAGCAAAGGATATACTAGATTCTTATAGAATAGTAATATATTGTAAATAGAATAGAAGTTTAAAAGGGGACGTAAATGTACTTTTAGTATTTTCATTATTGTAATAGTTATTATTATTTCTTATCGGTAGAAGGCAATGTTAATTTAGGCATCTTCGTTTTGCTGTCTGTATAATTTTGTTTTTTATGCCAATAAAAAAAAATAGGAAAAGAAAAACCCAAGGACTCCTTCCAGCCCAATGATATGGTCAAATGAGCTGCTAGTAACAGAAAAAAATGGATGGCTGTATTGCAACCATTTCTCCATACTTCTCATGCCCACACCTTAAGGAAGAAGATTAAGAAATGGCTGTCGTACAGCCATCCGATCACAGGCCTACCAACTGCGCTACCCAAAGCAAAGCAAATGCACCAGCCTTGTCGTTTTTCTTCTCTCAACCTGGGCACCATGCCCACAATTCATTGGAAAACAGTTTTTTTCTCCCTCCCTCCCTCTTCCAGGGCCGGCCCAACCCTTAGGCAGGGCAAGGCAGGGGTCTCAGGTGGCAGATGTTGGGGGACTGGCACAGTGTGTTGGAAGAGGTGGGTGCACTTTCCTGCTGCCCTCAGGGGCAGTGGAGGGCACTGAAGGATTCAGCTGCCCTATACATAGACCAAAGGGGCCATCTTGCCCTCCACCGCAGGCAACAAAATGCCTTGAGCTGGCCCTGACTTCTTCTTTTCATCCAATTCTCCGTGCAATTAATGTCCCAGAGAAGCTGCCAACCTGGAAGTCACCCTTCTGATCCGGCAGGCCTACAATGTACACTTAATAATAATAATAATAAAATAAAATTTTATTTATATCCCGCCCTCCCCAGCCGAAGCCGGGCTCAGAGCAGCTAACAACAATAAAAGTAACACAGCGTTCTAAAATCAATTCAAAATCAAATTAATGGCAACCGTTGGGCTAGAGTTCTATGAGGATTACCAAAGGAGCGGGGTCAGACTGTGCCTTGGCTAAGGGTGCCCTTTGCACATGATCAGAGGCACTGATGTATGTTACCACCACGTCAAATATTCCAGGGCTTAGCCTGAGCACTGAGGACAGGCGAGATGCCAGAAGGAGCATAGAACGCATGGGCCTTGAATTTCAGTTCCCCTCGTATAAAGTTAGCAATAAATGTTGGAAATGCAAAGAAAAAGAGGGAACATTTTATCATATGTGGTGGGAATGTAAAAAGGTGAAAAACTTCTGGGAGATGATATATAATGAGATGAAAAAAATGTTGAAATATACATTTATTAAGAAACCAGAAGCATTTTTACTGGGCATTGTAGGAGATGATATAAACAGAAAGGATTGTAAGTTGTTTTTATATGCAATGATGGCAGCAAGAATATTATCGGTACAAAAATGGAAGCAAGAAGAATTACCAACAAAAGAAGAATGGAGGATGAAATTGATGGACTATGCAGAATTGGATAAACTAACTGGAAGAATTCGAAACCTGCAGGACCAGAGATTCACAGAAGACTGGTGTAAATTTACGGACTATTTGAAAAGTAATTGTGATGACCAGATTACGTTTGTAGGTTTGCAAGAAGTTTTGTGTGGTAAATTATTTGAATTATTGCAAAAATGGTTAAAGAGGTGGATTGTGAGTTAAGATAATTAAAGGCAATAGGAATTTAAGAAATGCAGAAGAAATGATAAAAATGGTGGATCATCAGAGGGGCTGATGGAAGTCCAAAAAGTTTGCATAAGATGTGCAGTTCTGTGGAATGTATAATAATTGGTATGTTGAAATTAATAAAAAGTATATATGTAAAAAGAATTTCAGTTCCCCTCTGTGTAATGGCGGTAGAAAGACCGCCTTATTCCGGCGGTGCATCCTCAAAGAAGGAGGATTTCAGGAGAAACATCCAGGGGGTCTGATCCGTGACTTCTCAGCCTCTGCTCAGAGTTGCTGCTTTTGCTTTTGCTGCTGCTGCTGCTGCTGCTGCCGCCACACAGTAGAGCCCACCCTTTATCTGCAGCCTCCAGCCGGGAGCAAGGCAAGGGGTAAGCAGCTCTGACAACCAGATGCAGATTCGCAGAGCAGGTGGAAGGACACTTTTGGCGGGGAGACTCTCTTTCAGCCGTGCAAGCATGGAGAGAGGCTGGAGACACGCCGCTGCCCTCTGGGTCCTGGTTCTCTGGGCCTCCGGCTCGTCTCACAAGGGGCTTGGAAACCTGGACGCCAGCTTCGACAGCAAAGGTACCATGCTTGAAGAGAGGGCTGGCCACCTGGGCCCTGTCAAAGTGGGGGTGGGGGGGGTTGAAGGGGATAAGAGAGCAATTGCCAAGGTGGGGAGCTGGGGGACAAGGAGTGAAGAGAACTCAAAGAGAAGCTAAGAAACTGCCTGTGAATGTACTGTGTGTGCCCAACATGCAACTGGTCAGACAGAGTCTCTTTCCAGTACAGTGATACCTCGGGTTACATACGCTTCAGCTTACACACTCTGCTAACCCAGAAATAGTGCTTCAGGTTAAGAACTTTGCTTCAGGATAAGAACAGAAATCGGGCTCCGGCGGTGCAGCAGCAGCAGGAGGCCCCATTAGCTAAAGTGGTGCTTCAGGTTAAGAACAGTTTCAGGTTAAGAACGGACCTCCGGAACGAACTAAGTACTTAACCTGAGGTACCACTGTACTCTGGATTGCACCATATGGCAGTGGCGCGATAATAATAAAATATGAGGCAACCTCCGCAAAATCGATCTGATCTGATCTTGCCTAGTTTGTGTACTTCATCTGCTCCTCGCGGTTCTCATGTAAACTTTCTCTCTCTCTTCCTGAGCTTTAAGTGCGATGAAACACTGTTCTCAGCCGCGTTGAAAGCAGAAATTTTGCAGCTTGGCAGACATTGCTCCTTTACAGAAAAAAGGAGATCTGAGGGGTTTAACTCGTGGAGCAGGTTCTTGTAAGGTCTGGTGGATTCTTCTTGTAAATTTGAAGTCTCTCGGCTTAAAAAGAAAGAAAGAAAAAGGATCCATCCTTTAACTGTGGACACCAGTGTTGGGGTAACCTGGAAGGGGAACAGGTTGAGGCAAAGCGGCGGGTGAGAATTATTGGGTCTATTTCTGTAGAAGGTAGGAGGTGGCCGATTCAGAGGTCAATGAAATAAGGCACCAATAAGATATCCCCAAAGTTTGAGGTTCTAAAGCTGCAGGCTTTATATACTGTGCAGTATGTTTGTTTTCCTGTGGGAAAGAATATGTCTGTGGACAACCCTCTGTTCAGTCCTGGCCACACATCCCTCGCAAGTAGACCTGAGGGTGTATTAACAAAGCAGATGCAAAATTTCAGAGTGCACAATTTCCAGTGTGGCAGTTTTGACATCCCTGTTCCCCTCAGACAGCTGAAGTTCAGCAGTTAAAGCTCACAGGGTGAGAAAATACATTGTTGTTTCCTGACTTCAGCCGTGTAGTCATTAGATTTGTAAGCCCAGTAGTTAGATGTGTGGGATTTACGATGGTGGCAGATGCTCTCTTGGAAAGTTGCAGACCCACCTACCCAAATGGGAAACGTAGAAAAATAAAATGTGAAATGCAGATTTGCTTCCATTGGGAAGATTGTAATATGTGAGCAAGAAACTACTTTGACCCTGTTATTGTTATTATTATTTTCTGGTGGGATTCCACATCCATAATGTGTGTGTTCCTACTTAGCTTAAATATTACTTGCCTAAATATCAAGAAACTTGGTAATGAATGGCTGCTCTGTAGACTATAAAACATATGTGATTTAACAAGTCTGCCTGTGCATGGCTTGTTTGCCTAGGGGAGTCCGATATAGTTCGTTCAGTTTACTTAAGGTCAATTTAACGCCTGCTCATTATTTTATGACTGCAGCATCTAGTGAGAACTCACCATATAAAAATGAGGTTTTTTGTATGGTTCCTGTTTGACTTGTGTCAAATTTAGGAAGCTTTGATTCTACCTTAGACCCCTGTTCAGTTTTGAGCTGCAAATTGTCAAGTGCAGAAGAATCAAGTCATGTACCGGGGGTTGGGGGTCAGTCCTTCCACTTAAGACAGTTTCCAATCCTATGCCTAAATCCAACAAGAGGAAATTTACCTGTTGCCTCCATTTTTGAATGCAACTTTTCAACAATGGAAGTGTATGAGTGCAAAGGGCATTTGCTTGCCTGAGCTTTTACATCAAAGCCCTACCCAGATAGCTCAGTCCGTAGAGCGTGAGACTCTTAATCTCAGGGCTGCGGGTTCAAGCTCCACGCTGGGCAAAAGATTCCTGCATTGCAGCGAGTTGGGCTAGATGACTCTTGTGGTCTCTCCTATGAATCTATAAGCTGTATTCCTGTAAGGCAAAACAACAACACCCCTCCCCACAAGGTCCAGAGGCAGATTCTAGAACCCCAAGGGTTCTAGACTCTACTGGTTTTGGAAGTTCTTCCCGATGTCTAAAATCTAAAACCTCCCAGCCAGCTGCCGCTACACCATCTCTTCAGGTACCGTAATACGGTTTCTTTTGATCTGGGCTGATTCTGTTTTTGCAGCTTTGTGCATTTTCCACATTCAGGGACACACCAATCTCTGCATTCTTGGGATAAGCAAGCAGCCATCCCACGTCTTGTAGTTTCAGCAGAAGCAGATTTCATTTGCTTTTGTCCTCCCATTCCTGCAGCCTCCATTTCGATAACAAAAGAAGTGCAAACCTAGCCAACAACTTAACAACTGCTGTTCTCTGTTGTTGACAGTTTCCCAAGGGATGCTGTTTCTGTAGTGCGGAAAACTGGGGATGGAGGAATAGGAGAAATAAGGAATTGTATTAACTCTGCTTCTGTTGCTCATCTTGAATCACCCTCCCCCCCCCCATTTTCCCAGCCCAGCCCTTGTCTCCACGTGGCTAACTAAAAACCATTGGTCTGACCCCAATGGGTGAGGCTAAGGATTCCTGGCAGACCCATATAAAAAGTGGGTGGGTGGGAGAAACAAATGGCTGTCCCCTCCTCTTTCCTGTACTTTCTCCCGCGGCCTAGACTCTACTGGGACTGAGGGTGTGCAGCCAGCTCTTATCTCGGGGAAACAGATGCCAGAAGGAGGTGGCTGTAAGACTTCTGTGTTTGTGTGCGTAACGTAAGGAAGAGAGCTGGGTCATAAAATACATAGCTGCCGATCATGTGACTTTGCATATGACAGTTTGTACTGTTTCCCTTAAAACAACAACAACAACAACAACAATCCAACAAAATCTGGATTCTATGGCGGTAATGAAGTTGCTTTCATTACCAGAAGTCTATCTGAAGGCATTTAAAGTAAGAAGAGTAAAGACAAGAATATCTTTGAGAGTACACAGAGTGTTGTTCCTTTGCTGCTGCTGCTAATTTATTCATTTATTACTGTATTTCATGCGTTTGTAAGCCCCTTTCTCTGCAAAAAGGGCACGGAATGTGGCATGCAATAAAGACAGCATGAAACGGCTGGGCAAGATTAAGAAAGGAATTAAAAACGGGATTTCTGTGCAGAAAATGCAGAAGGTTGCTGGGACCAGAATTCAGCTTCCTAAAGTTCAAATGTTCCATTATGAGCAGCATGTGGCTGTCACTAAACGGAACCTCATTTCTGTGAGCCCCAGGTGATGCTTAGCTAAAGATGGTAGGATAATATCGTACGAGAAAGTTCCCCTGCCCCTCCTACCCTTTCTTGGCTGCAACTTTTGAGGGGTGGAAGAACTTGGAGCAGAACAGCAACTCGTCATTCATCTCCTTGAACAAAAATTTTGTAGAATCACAGGAAGGAGACAGAGGAAGGTGGCAGGCCAACTTGTTCTTCATCCCTCATTTGGGTCTGAGAACCTCCTCAGATTTCAATTTTTTCATTAATATTTTTTTTAATAGCCTACATCTATGTTTCATATATGAAATTTAAAAACAGTATGACAACCTGTAGTAAACCCCCCCCCCAAAACTCCACACTGATAAAGGAACTGTACACCCAGGAATATTGCTTAGAAACCTCCCCCCCCCCCCCAGTAGTTAGACATCAGATATGGATTAAATTCCACTCTCACAAAATGTATTAAGTTGCTTTTACATTTTAAAGCTGCTTTTAAGAAGCTTTATGGGGAGGTGACCCACAAAATGGAAGAAACAAACAAAACGAAATCAATGGTCACAAGGGATCCTACAGAATTTCAATTTTAAAAGAAAACAAGGTTCTAGTCCTTTAGGTCAGGGATGGGCGCTCCCTCTGCACTTCAGAGGCTTCGCGTTGCTATCGCTGAAGCCAAGGAGCCTGCATTCGCTCCATAGGACGCACACACATTTCCCCTTAATTTTTGAAGGGAAAAAAGTGTGTCCTATAGAGCGAAAAATACGGTATGTTTTTATATATGTTGGAAGACGCCCAGAGTAGCTGGGGCAACCCAGTCAGATGGATGGGACGTTGTTGTTGTTGTTGTTGTTGTTGTTGTTGAATAGGACATCCCTATTTTCTTTGGAGAAATGTTGGAGGGTATTTGGTAACGTTATGCCTGTCTGTCTGCTTTGCACCTAGCTGCGTATCTGTTGACGGAGGACCGTTCGGACCTCAAGTGTTTCACCCAGCAGCTGGAAGACCTGGCCTGCTTCTGGGAGACATTTGTACCCCCGAAGGAACAAAACAACCAGAGCGTGTACAGCTTTGGATACAAATATGAGTAAGTGTGTGTATAAGCCGCACCAGAGCCAGCCAGTCTCAGGGGCTCAGCCTGATCTAGTCTACAGATCCTCTAAGAGCCTGAGGATGTTATGGGGGTTTCACCTAAGACTTTCTGCATTGTTTTCATTTTATGTTATATTTATATAGTGCCTTACCTCTTAGGCACTCAAAGCAGCAGCGTATATAGAATCATAGAGAGTTGGAAGGGACCCCAGGGTCATCTAGTCCAACCCCCTGCAATGCAGGGATCTCAGCTAAAGCATCCGTGACAGACAGCCGTCCAACCAACCTCTGCTTAAAAACCTCCAAGGAAGGAGAGTTCACCACCTTCCATTATATTCCCTCCATGAGGGCTACCATTCCAGTCCGACATAATCATTAGTAACAAATAGTTCCAACATATGAGAGTATGCAGAATTAACTACACAATATATTTCAGGGACATTCAGGCTTAACATATTTTATCTTATTAAAATTTATCCTTATTAATTATTATGAAAAATATATAAAAAAGGAGAAGCTAGTATTACAGTTTCGGTGCTAACAAGATGCCAAGGGAAGCTATACTTATATCGACAATCTGAAAACCTGGTCTGGTTTTTCATTATTGTTACTGTACTATTGCAAAACCTAATACATAGCTTCCGTTTATTTTCAAAGGCTTCTTTGTATTTTGATGCATCTGTACACAATACAGGTTTCCTTTTTCCAATATCTCTGACCTTTCCTAAATCTAGGATGCGTTACTCCCAAATTCTTCCCTCCCACATCTCTCTTCTGTTTTGAAGGACTCCTGGGAGATGCATCAAAGTGGTGTTAGCGGATTGTGCCTGTGTAAAATATATACAGAAGTGCCAAAATAGGAAAGAGTCGGGTCAGAATGAGGGTCGTACCTGTAGTATTAGTCAAATAGGTTTCTGTATCCCAAAAGTCCCAGGAGCTTGTATTTTACCCTCACATTCCCCAGATGTTAGAAAACTGATTTTTATGTTGCATAAAACAATAGATCTTGAAATGTACTAAAGGATTCTGACAGTGCTGTTTGACAGTGGAATGGACTCTCTTGGAAGCTGGTGGACTCTCATTCCTTGGAGGTTTTTAAGCACAGATTGGAGGGCCACCTGTAACGGATGCTTCAGTTGAGATTCCTGCATTTCAGGGGTTTGGACTGGAAGACCCTCAGGGTCCCTTCCAGCCTTTCAGTTCTACGATTCTATGATACACATGCCTAAGATTGCTCTGTGAGTGTAGCTACTCTGTGTGAAATTATCTTGAGTGGGCTTCTTTGGAAACATGGGAAGTAGAAAGAGGAGGCTGAGGTGGTGGAGGAGAGAGAATGGGCAGAGAAGAAAGGGCACAGAAATAGGAGCTGCTGAAACGAGGAAGGTTGACGTTCACATATTGATTTGTGAGAGACACATCGTCTCTCTCTACTTCACGAAGAAATTGTATGCCTCAAAGGTAACGTGACAAGGCCATTCAAAGGATGGATGAACCAAAACAACTTTAATGCAAGTGCTTTATGGAGAAGAAAGCCAGTTCCACAGCAGGCTGCTTCTTCAAATGTAGAACAGGAACTCATGTGCCTGAGAGCTGACTTGTATGGCAGGCCAGGAGAGCCAATACAGTACAGTTCAGTATGTAAAATTTAGTCTTATGCTGACTAGCGTTGACAATGAGCTTTACAGGTCAAAACTGCCCTAAGGGACGTTGGCCTTGACCTCAAGAGCCCCCCCCCCCCTAAATTCCCATATTCTTCCTTCAACCCTACTGGGCACAATGCTTGCAACAGAAGCTGCTTCCCAAACTTTAAATAATAATGCAGTATTTCTCGCCTGCTTTCATTCAGGGACGACGACTCTTTGAAATTGTGTAACTTGACTGTGGAGTACACACCCCGGAATACAACGCGATACACTTGCTTCTTTCCGAGGCAAGATGTTTCAGCCTTTTCCCCTCTTGAGATCAAGGTCTTTGATGGGCGCTCTCCCAAGAGCACTCTGTACAACAGAACGATCTTTGTGGAAAAACTACGTAAGTTCCCAATGCGGGGGGGATGGGCCTTGCAAGAAATGACCTCCAAGTCTTCCTAGAGTGGGTGGGTAGGTGGGAACCTGGAAGCAAGAAGAATGTAGATCAGGATCATAGAATCATAGATCCTGAGGATTGTCTAGTAGCTAAACCCCCTGCAATGCAGAAATATGTAGTGGTCCCTTACGGGGATCAAACCTGCAACCGTGGCGGTAGAACTCTGGGTTATTTGCTATAGGTCAGCAAAGGTTTCTGACTCCCAGTGGATTAACGATCGCAGCAGCAAAACGATCCCTTTCCACCTGAATTAGGCTATCAAAACTAAGAAAGCGCAAGAGGAATAGACTTTTGTGCAACAGAACGGTGAGCTCAGTTCTGTAAGGAAAAGAAAACAAGTTCAGAATGTGCTCAGAGGCACCCTAACCCACACCACACATTTAAACCAATTTAAACAGCTGTGACTTCCCTCAAAGAATCCTGGTAACTATAGAATGCTAAGGGTGCTTAGAGACGTCCCACAGAGCTTCATTTCTCAAAATGCTCAACAAACTGCAGCTCTTCCTCCCCACTAGTTTAATCCAGGTTCCAGACTACCTGAGTCTAAGGAAGACTTGTCGTTGTGTGGGGAGGACTAGTAATGTTTTGGACTACAAGCCCCATCAGCCCCAGCCTGCTTGGCCAAAGGTCAAGGGTGATGAGAGTTGTATTATAACGACATCTGCTGGGTACCAAGTTGATGAAGGCTACCTTATCTATACCTTTACTACAATAGAGGCAGAAACTGGAGAGGTGAAGCTTTCTGACCTCCATTCTAAAACCTGTTCAATTTCTATATGTTTTACAACTGTTAAAGTCACAGAAACATTGGTTAGACTGAGTAGTAATGGTCAGTGCTTTTTTCTGGGGCTTAAGGATGCTTAGAGTGCTTTTCTTTTAAATGTGCTTGTGCACATTTGCTCACAAGATCACATTGAGTTCAGTGGAGCTTACTTAGGGTTGCCATGTGTCCTCTTTTTCCAGGACACGTCCTCTTTTTCAGGGGTAAGATTTCTGTCCAGGTGGGTTTTTTTTTAATTGGCCAAAATGTCTCTGGCTATACTTTCTGGATGATACATAGACATAACTGGTGGTTGAAGACTTGCTTCTCTTCTCCTGCCCACCCCCCCACCCCAGTAAGGGTATTTAAAATGAGAGTTGTCATAGCGTGCTCTTTTTTGCTATTCAAAATATGGCAACCGTAAGCTTACTCCCAAATTAACGTAGCCTGTAGCCTGTAGTGCCCAGCCAGTAGATCAGCTTCACTCTTTGTGACCATAAACTACTTGGGGGTTTTTTTGGGGGGGGGGGACAGAGGCTAGCAGTGCAGTCAACTGGAGGAGGAAAGATAACGTGAGTTTGCACTAAATAGGAAAGAGGGAGTAGTTGATGTAGGCTTGGCCAAGCCAGTAGGCTTGGTCTTTATTGAAGATTGTCATGACAGGACTCCCACCTGCCACCAGGTGAAACGAGATTGAAACCCCAAACAAAAGAGAACCCAAACTTTTATTAGCTGCTAATTCCCATGTTACACCCCCTCCCCACACTACATCACTAATACATCATGGTTACATCATGAAAGGGGAGGTCTGGTGGCAGTAATCTGAGCATCCTGGACCCTGCCCCATGGTTCCCCTTGTCCTCCACCAAACACCCATCAAGTGTAACAAAAGAGATATTTGCATTTCCCTGTTTCCCAGCCAAGTGAATCACACCCTTTTGTCTTCATCTGGGTTTGTTATTGCTGGAATGGCTACCTGTCTGGCACTCAGGTATCAGGATGCCAGGAATTATCACTCAGGTAGAGGGGCTGCTGAGTAGCTGAGCTCACATGTCTATATGAATTTCTGAAGTTTTCCCAGGGAGGCAGTACATAGGTACATTTATCAGTGAATTGTTACATTTGGTATTGTGCAGCAGAGGCCCTTTGAGTAGATAGGAAGAAACTGTGATGAAATGTTTTGTGGGGACAAATCACAAAAGTCACAAAAGTGATTGTGCTGATTTTGGTAGTGGGCTGCATGTGCATGATATCTGCTGGAGGGGCAACCCCCAACCAACCTATACATAAATTCCTGCAAAAAAGAAAGAAGACCTCTATTCTGTCGCCACTGGGCTGTTCTCACATCCTGCTCCTTTCCCCTTCCAGTTTTCCTGGACCCCCCCTCTAACCTGGCAGTGCAGCTGTTGGGGCCTCCGGGGCAGCTGAATGTGAGCTGGCAGCCCCCCATTCAATACATGGACAATAGCATCCGCTATGAGATGGCCATCTTCCACAAGGGTAGCATAGTCCAGCGGGTAAGTCACTTTTGTCCTTTGTTATGTTGTAAACAAAAATCTGCCCTTTTTCCCTTATGGAGTTTCCAAGAGCCCATATAGAATGCTTATGTAGGTTCCCTATTGGTAGGAGAAAATAACAGAGGCCAACCAGAGAATATTAAGAAGCAAAGCAGCTAGTAAGCCTGATCTTTATCTTTATTGATCTGTTGCAACAGGGTCCTCACTCACCACACGCAGAAAGGAGGAGGGACCCAGAACAAAAGTGTGCCTGCCCTTATATAGACATTTTAAATTCCCTCCCTGGAGTCCAAAACCACCCCCAGAAACATCATACATACATCACAGAAGGGGTGTAGCTCAAGACCACCACCCCAGATACATCATACCTACATCACAGAAAGGGCGATCTACAGCAGAAATCTCGATTGTGTTGTTTACCTCCTGTCTACCAGGTTATCTGTTAATGATTACTTAATTGGATACCCTGAGGAGCCTGGCCAGTCTTTTGTAATGATAAATACTTAGTTCCTGAGCCAGGTCACAGGCTCACACCCTTTGTTGTTGTTGTTTAGTCGTTTAGTCATGTCCGACTCTTCATGACCCCATGGACCAGAGCATGGCAGGCACTCCTGTCTTCCACTGCCTCCCGCAGTTTGGTCAAACTCATGCTGGTAGCTTCGAGAACACTGTCCAACCATCTCGTCCTCTGTCGTCCCCTTCTCCTTGTGCCTTCCATCTTTCCCAACATCAGGGTCTTTTCCAGGGAGTCTTCTCTTCTCATGAGGTGGCCAAAGTATTGGAGCCTCAGCTTCATGATCTGTCCTTCCAGTGAGCACTCAGGGCTGATTTCCTTAAGAATGGAGAGGTTTGATCTTCTTGCAGTCCATGGGACTCTCAAGAGTCTCCTCCAACACCATAATTCAAAAGCATCAATTCTTCAGCGATCAGCCTTCTTTATGGTCCAGCTCTCACTTCCATACATCACTACTGGGAAAACCATAGCTTTTACTATACGGACCTTTGTTGGCAAGGTGATGTCTTAAATGTGCCCTTAAGACAGGGTTTGTGAAGGAAAAGACAATGGGGGGGGGCTTTTCCATTTTCCTTTGAACTTGCAGAGAAAACATTTGGTCAGTTTGGGAATCAAAAATGGCTTCAGGTCGGTCTTCCTGTGCTGATCTATGTACGTGCTTGGTTGGTACACTTATGAACATTTAACATATATCTAAGACCTCAAAATTCCTATCACAGTTACCTGGCTTTCAAAACTCCCTCCTTTCCTCCCTCTGACCTCTGCTTTCCCCCCTTCTGCTTCCAGGTGGAGATTTCCAATGGGCAGACATATTACCTCCGGAATCTCAAAGGAGGAACCCGCTACACGTTGGCTGTGCGGGCCAAGCCAAACGGAGTCAGCTTTGATGGCTTCTGGAGTGGATGGTCGCAGACGGTGTCGGCGATGATACCCAGTGGTAAGTGTTCTTCAGGCAATTTTGGCCACAGCCATGGCACAGGGCCGGTTGAAAATAGCCACTTAATTAGAATGGAGCGATGCTCATAAAACCACGAGAAGCTGAGAAGCTGCTTTTAAGGAAAAATGAAACAAAAAGCAAAGCAGCATTAAAATAAAACAAAATAGTGGGCACCTTCTGAGAACTCCAACCCAAAATCAACAAGAACGAAAGCCTCAATAACACTGGAACCAAAATCCCAAGCCTAAGGAATCCAAAACAGAGCACAATTCACTTTACATCTGTCCAGCACGTCTGTTCAAAGAGAATAGGACCTCTGCAAAAAGATGGGAGAATTCTCCAGCCACTTTTCAATTCCCAACCATGGCTTCTTCCAGAGAGCTATTTTCTGCCCAGATGGTGCATAAACCGGTGGTGCTGATGGAAGACAGGCGATTGCTGGTGTGTGTGTGTTAGATAGATCCACTGTAGATGGAAGAAAGTCCCTATTTCCCTTGCGTTTCTAGAAGACAATGGCAGCCTGCAGTTCTTTTTCTTTGAGGAGATATCTGATTGCCCTGGCCCAACCAATAACAAAACTCAGATATCAGTGGGGACAAAAAAACCCAGCTTGTTAAGCTTGTGGGAGTATTGTTGGGGGAGAACAAGGATCTGAAGTATCCAAAGCCATTTAGGTTCCCTAATACAGCCCCGAACCAGGGATAAATTTAGACCCCTTCAGAAACTGGTCTAAATCCCTCCTGGAAATTTATGTTATAACAGTTAAAATTGTAAAAAATGAAACAGACGTAGGGTTGCCGTATTTTGAAGCGCAAAAAAGAGGATGCTATGACAACTCATTTTAAATACCCTTACTATATGTAGGCTACAGAACAGGCATCCCCAACCTTTGGCCCTCCAGATGTTTTGGACTACAGTTTCCATCATCCCTGACCACTGGTCCTGGTCGCTAGGAATCATGGGAGTTGTAGGCCAAAACATCTGGAGAGCCGTGGGTTGGGAATGCCTGCTGTAGAAGCTGTGATATATCACTGAGGGGGGCAGGAGAAGAGAAGAGGAAAGCAATTCTTCAACCACCGGTTATGTCTATATCTCATCCAGAAAGGATAGCCAGAAACATTTTGGCAAATATAAAAAATCCACCCAGACAGAAATTTTACCCCTGAAGAAGAGGACGTGTTCTGGAAAAAGAAGACACATGGCAACCTATCAAGAGTGCCCCTCCAGTCTCACTTCCACCCTGCTTGTGAGAGCCTTGCAGGGCTTTGAATGGGCAATGATGTGCACGCACACACACGCACTCCACCAACTCGCCATAGTATTTCATAAGGTAAAGGTAAAGGGACCCCTGACCATTAGGTCCAGTTGTGACCGACTCTGGGGTTGCGGCGCTCATCTCGCTTTATTGGCCAAGGGAGCCGGCGTACAGCTTCCGAGTCATGTGGCCAGCATGATTAAGCCGCTTCTGGAGAACCAGAGCAGTACATGGAAACGGCGTTTACCTTCCCGCCGGAGCGGTGCCTATTTATCTACTTGCACTTGATGTGCTTTTGAACTGGTAGGTTGGCAGGAGCAGGGACCGAGCAACGGGCGCTCACCCCGTCGCGGGAATTTGAACCGCCAACCTTCTGATTGGCAAGTCTTAGACTCTATGGTTTAACCCACAGCGGTACCCGCGTCCCTGTATTTCATAGGGTGAAATTGAAGATCATAAACTATTGGTGCTGTTTGTCATTTTGCTGGACTCTGCTTGTACTTATATTTACCCCATATTCTTAGTAAATTTGCTATGACGTTATCCTTGTTTAAACTGGTTTCCAATATTTCATTAATAAAACTTGTAGATTAAATTGTCTTAAGAATGGTTCAGTTTTAACCCCAGTCATCTCTAGATTGTGTATCCATTCTGTTAGCCATTTAAAGGCATTGGCAATACATTGGTACCTCAGGTTAAGTACTTAATTCGTTCCGGAGGTCTGTACTTAACCTGAAACTGTTCTTAACCTGAAGCACCACTTTAGCTAATGGGGGCTCCCGCTGCTGCCGTGCCACCGGAGCACGATTTCTGTTCTCATTCTGAAGCAAAGTTCTTAACCTAAGGTACTATTTCTGGGTTAGCGGAGTCTGTAACCTGAAGCGTATGTAACCAGAGGTACCACTGTATAAATATAAATTGGAAATGATATGCCACCCTTTTTTCTTGTCTAGCAATACAACCTATTTAATTAATTCTTGGTTGCTTCCTATTCCATATAAATTGCACAACTAGGCTTTGCCACATTTTAAATTAAGATTCATTTACTCATCTTGCCAAAGCCTGAAAAATGACATTTAATTGGGGCAAGATTATAATTTTAGCCATGTGGTCAAATAAATATATTTAATCTATTCCATTGTTCTGCTTTGGAACTTCTTTTCTTATATAATCTTCCCAAAATTATCTACATAGAAATGCTTTCATTTTTTCTTAATATTATACAAATATCACACAGAACTCTTACTTACTCATTGGTGATCTAACTTTGTTCTTTTTTAAAACATCACTTTGTATATGTAAATATATATTGATTATTTCTGTTTTGTCCTTGTTAATTTTAAGGCAAACAAGAAGACCAATATTGAAAAAAGAATCTTCTCCAGCTACAGATAGAATTTACAATCTCTATTATTGTTTAGGCATTGCTGTGAAGACAGTTACATACCAGCTATTTTTCTGTGTGCAGTTCCTTTGTTTTCTGCATCTATTACTGCACCAATGTTTCTTATGCTTCTTAAAGGTTCCAAACGGAGAACAAATAATGAAAATGACAGGACCTCTGTGTCTTTTTCCAGTACTCAGAATGAATTTGATATTTGGTCATCAACCCCTATCCTTGCAGTTGGGCTGTTGTTAATAATGTTAATCAAAGTAAAGATTTTTTTCTCTAAAGTAAGCTTTTAATGTTTTAAAAAAGAAAATACCGTAATGTTATCGAAAGCTTTTTCTGCATCAAAACCATTAATAAAGGCTGTGATTTTACTTTCTTTACATGCATAATTGTGTTTATATTTTTCCATACATTATCCTTCAAATATCAGTTGGATATAGACCCCGTTAATCTCCTATTCATTTCTCATCTGTTATTTGTTCTCATTTTTGCAATCTTTCATATTTCCCATTCTTCCCTCAAAATAGATTTTTCTTCCAGTCTATTGCCATTTATTTCTGCATTTCCTCCTGTTTGCTTTTTGGAGTCTCTGTTTCTCACTTTTGAGATACAAAATGCTTTATCTTTTTAATATCATCCATTCTCAAAACACGTTTTTCATGCTTAACAACAAAAAACATCCAAAAGTATGGCCCTTTAATCCAGATGCTAATATTTCACTTTCTGCTTCACAATCAATATTGCATTTTACTTTGGGCATCAAACATTGCACCTTAAACAAGAATTATAATTTACCCACCACCAGTTATTACATTCAGCTGGATAGCAGCTGTGAGAGTTTTACCTAATGCCTGCTTTTGTACAATACTCCAGTGAAAAATAATTCTATTATAAATACAACAGCAGATACTACCCAGAAAGTGCAGTACTATTTCACTATAAGCTCAGCCACAGATATTGCAGCATGTAGTTTAGTAATTTAGTACTTGCCAGTGAGAGAAATATAACTACTAAACATACCTGGGATAGCTCAGTAGAGCATAAGACTCTGAATCTCACGTTTGTGGGTTCAAGCCCTATTTTTGCAAAAAAAAGTACTACATTGCAGGGGGTTGAACTAGATGACACTCATGGTCCCTTCCAACTCTATGATAATTATCTACTATGCATAATTACTATGTTTCTATGTTCTTGACAAGTTCGTTTATTGTTCAGTCCAAAAGATAATGGCCTTTATTAGTTAACAGCTCCACAGGATGTAGTTCATTAAAAGGTCCGGTATTATTTTATTGGAAAAGTAGGACTTCAGCAATTTGGCAATACTAAGTTCCATTGTTGTTAATGCACATATTTCTAGTCCAGGACTAGGCAACCTGTAGCCCTCCAGTTGGTCATCTCTGTCCATTGACCATGCTGGCCAGGACTGATGAAGCTGGAATCTACCTACATTTGGAGGGCCACAGGTTCCCCACTAGCTTCCTCTTCCATCCACCTTTTTCTATTTTCTTTAAGCAGTCTATTTACTTTTTTCAGTTATTTGGTTCAATCAGTAGCAACCCTGTATGGTGGGTGTGGATTCACCCTCCCCAAACCGGTGCCACTGCAACTTACCTGGACAGGCAGGACATGGTTGTGATGAGGTCAGGGCTGCATGGTTTGCTGGTGTGCCCATGCAAACTCTATTGTCACCCTGCCATGCCCCAGCTCATTCAGCTACAGTGACCCTGACATCAGGAGGGTGGCTGAGTGGTTCCACCATACCACAGGGACCTAATGTTGAAAGAGCTCATTTTTCTCCACCTTCAGTCCCCAATGTCTTCCACAAGCTACATCTGCAGCCTCTCATTTGATGTCTTCAAATGCCATCACCAAGCACAAACTTGACACCATTGCCACATTGTTATGGGGGGTGGGGTGGAAGCCTCCCTCAGTTGTTGTGGTTTCTTGCCCTTCCAACTCCCAGCTGGAGCAATAGCTTACCTTGCGCACAGGTGGTTGCTGAAGGCAGGTGCAGCTCGTAGTGCTTTGACAATTCTCACTGCGCTACCTCTCCAGATAATATTTTCTAATCTTCATTATCTGGACCAGGAATGGAGGGGTGGCCATAGAATGGTGGGAGACTTAGTGGTCAAGAAGAATACATGTTAGAGCGCTCAGTTGACTAGATGATGTGATGTAATGACCACAGTTGGCCTACTCAGGAGATTTCAACATGGTGTTCTGGCCTTGTATGTCCTCTGAAGTATTTAACAGTCATGATTCACTATCTACCAGGACATCTGAAAAGAACCAGGTAGTAAGCTGAAATCCAGGCAAGAGCATATCACTGGTTCATCCTACCATGTCCACTGCCAGAAGTATGTGCTTTCTCCATGTAGTGACTATGTAACAGAAGGTTGTTTGAAGGAGACTTGGGTACCAACCAAAGGGTTTTTATGAAGTGCCTCTCGCTAAGCTAACCTGTTCTTTATCTTGCAGAACTGGACCCCCTCATCCTGACGCTGTCTGTCGTTCTGGCGCTGATCGTTCTGCTGTTGGCTTTCCTCACCCTGATGTTTAACCGAAGGTAATGCCCAGTTCGTTTATTTTCCAACCCTCCTACCCACCAAAGGGTGGGTGGCCTTTTTGAGTACCGGGACCTTGGCCATCAGGTCTGGAGGGACTGTAAGAGCATTTTCAATCGCAGCAGTTAGAGCCATCAGGAAATGCCCTAAATTGAGGAGTGGGACACCTGTGGCCCTCTCAGTGTTGCCGAACCACAATCAACACCACCTCTGACCATTGGCCAAAGTAACTGGGGCTGATGGGAGTTGAAACATCTGGAAGGCTACAGGTGCCCCATCCCTGCCCTAGTTAGTTTTCATTACTAAGGTCAGTGCTTTTTTTCTTTTAAAAAATGTTTAGGGGTGCTCTCATTTTCCTACTCATATTGAAATACTGCCCCTCAATGAGGCCAAACTCAGATTCACAAAATGTTTAGGGGTATGCATACCCCCAGAAAAAAAGCACTTACTAAGGCAGGGGTTGTCAACCTGGTTCCTACCACCCATTAGTGGGTGTTTCAGGAGTCTAGGTGGCTGGTAGGGGGTTCTACGGCACAAGCTGAATGCTCCTTCCATCGAGCTCTGGTGGGCGGTAAGGAAATTTGGTGCAGTAGGTGTAAAAAGGTTGACTACCGGTGGACTAAGGTGATGTTGGAGTGGGAATGACTTTTAACACTTGTGATTGTGATGCACATTCTTACTAAAGTCTGTTCTCTCCTATTATCTTCCACCAGGTTTTTGAAGAAGAAGATCTGGCCTGCAATCCCCACCCCAGAGCGTGAATTCAAGGACCTTTTCACTATTTACAAGGGGAACTTCCAGGTATTACACTGGCTGTAGTTCCTTGTCTTCATATGACTTCTCCCTCGGCTCCCTGTATTATGCTGTTACAAAGCCTGGGGTGCTGAGGGTCCTATGTTTCGTCAACTGTTTTGCAGTTGTTGTTTTTTACAATTGATTTGTGTATACCGTATTTTTCGCTCTATAAGACACACTTTTTCCCTGCTAAAAAGTAAGGGGAAATGTGTGTGCGTCTTATGGAGCGAATGCAGGCTGCGCAGCTATCACTGAAGCCAGAACAGCAAGAGGGATTGCTGCACAGCGATCCCTCTTGCTGTTCTGGCTTCTGGGATAGCTGCGCGAAGCCTCTTCAGGGCAGGGGGAGTGTTCTTCCCGCTGCCCTGAAGAGGCTTTGTGTTGCATTTGCTGAAGCCAGAACAGCAAGAGGGATCGTTGCGCAGCAATCCCTCTTGCTGTTCTGGCTTCTGGGATTCAAAATATTTTTTTTCTTGTTTTCCTCCTCCAAAAACTAGGTGTGTCTTATGGTCTGGGTGCATCTTATATTACGAAAAATACGGTGAATTTTATGAAACTAGTACCGTATTTTTCGCTCTATAAGACACACCAGACCGTAAGACGCACCTAGCTTTTGGAGGAGGAAAACAAGGCAAAAAATATTCTGAATCCCAGAAGCCAGAGCAGCCAGAGGGAGCACTGCGCAGCGATCCCTCTTGCTATTCAGGCTTCAGCGATAGGTGCACAGCCTGCATTCACTCCATAAGACACACACACATTTCCCCTTACTTTTTAGGAGGGGGAAAAGTGCGTCTTATAGAGCGAAAAATACGGTAAATAAAAGGAGTGTAAAGAAGAGAGAAATATATAGTGTCTGAATACAGAGTTAAAGGGAGCCAGGTGTGGCCTTCCCCACCTCCCACCCCTTGATGCTGATGTTCCCCCTTTCTTTGCAGCTATGGCTGGGGCATCAGAGCACCTACCTGTGGTGGAGCCAGAACTCTCCTTACCTGGAGGAGCAGCCGTTTTTGGTGGAAATCCTGTCTGAATGTGATGTTCGCAAGGTGGATGGCCCTCCCGTTCCTCCGCTCCTTCCCCCCAAGGCACGTGGCATGGGGGAACCACCTCGCAACCCAGAAGTCTCCCAAGATGATTACCTGATACTGGATGAAGACTTGGTGCCGTGCTGCTTAGGAGGGGATGCTTCCCTGCTCTTGCTGGCCAGCAACAGCAGCGAGGGCACAGATCCGGCCCTCGACGCAGGAGTAGGGACACCAGACAACAGCCAGGCCTCTTCTAGCTTCGAGTACACTGTGTTTGACCCCAGCTCAAAGAGTCTGTCCCCGCAACATCGCCACATCGAGCCGCAGCTCAAGAGCAGTTACCAGATGGTGTCCGACTCTGGGATCTCTGCCGACTATAGCCTGGTGGAGTCCAACGCTGGCCAGATGAGCTTATACACCAACCTCTGTGATGGAGGGCCGCAGCCGTTCCTGCCCACCTACATTGTGTGCTCGTAGCAGCAGTGATCAGCAGGAGAACTGAGGCAGCGAGATGCTATCCCAGGAGCCTGGCACCTCCCACTTCCTTCCTGGTTCTAGCAAAATGCCAGGGGAAGCCAGTGGACACAGCTATGGGGCCTCCAAAGCTCCAGTTGGGCCCAAGTCGCACTTGTAGGAGGAAGAGAGGTTTGCAAAATGCATGGAAAGGTGATGAAGGACGTAAGGAGGACTCTGCTGGATCAGGCCCATCCAGTCGAGCATCCTGTTCTCACAGTGGCCAGCTGGATGCCTCAACAGGAAACCATTGAGCAGAACATGAAGCAGAACATGAGCACCACAGCACTCTCCCATCGCCTGGTTTCCAGCAACTGGTGTTCAGAAGCATTTCTACCTCCCAGCTGTGGAGGTAGCGCATAGCCATCCCGGCTAATAGCCCTTGATAGCCCTCTCCTCCATGAATTCGCCGGATCCCTTTTAAAAAATGCTGTCCTATTTTGAATGGGGAAGGGGCAGGAGGCCCACGAAAGAGACTTGTTGCTCCCACAGCAACCCTTTGAAGCAGTCCTTTCTGACATTAAATGTGCTGTGGCATCTTTCTTTCATTTGTATTCACCCCAGGCAAGTGCATTCTACAAGGCTGCGGATCGGGGACTTGGCCAAAAGCACACCTAGAGTTCTGGTGTGGCACAGCAGGTTTGCAAGTAGCAGCACAAGCTTAAGGCTTGAGGTGTTTATAGACTGAGGTGTGGAATATTGTGGGCACTCGCTTGCTAGCCAGGTAGCTAACTTTCTCCCACTCCACACTCTTCTGATGAAACTCCTTCCCCTCTGACCCTGCTCTGTCCTTTTAACTACCAAGCTTTTTGGCCAGACATATTTGCCCATTATACTATGTGCCCAATTATTGCAAAAATATTTATGTCCAAATGTCAGCGTTGGGACTGATGTCTTTTGGGAGTTGAGGGGGTACGACATGGAAGAGTGTGTGGAATGAAGGAGTCTCATTTCTGCTACAATGCACTGTGTGGTCTTTGCTTACCTTCCTGTAAAATGGGCATGGCTCCCCCCCGCCCCCCCCCCGGCTGGAGCTCAGTTCTGGCACCTCTCAGGTGGGCGCCATTGCCATTATAAGAGAACGAGGGAGGTGTTCCCAGTGAGTCCCTGCACCTCTTTTTCTAGAAAAATAACACTGAAAATGGGGATTGACAAAACTAGGCAAACAAAATACCAATTGAAATGTTAAAAGGGGCTGTCTTTCCATTTTGGCTTGAATAAGCACAGTAACCCAAAAACTCAGAGAGAATTGCATGGCTGTTCTGCCAGCTGTTTACTGCCATAGGGTTTGCATGTGGGGCACAAAAAGGTGTGCGGAATGTACATGCCCTGTTTAGAATATTACTGTTATTTTCCCACTCAAGAGACATATTACGGTGTTTATGTACTCTGGTAACGGGTTTCCTTGTGTCTGAACTATCCTTCGAAGGCACAGATCAAGTCCTGGGACTGGTGCTGGGAGGACTGTATAATATCTGAACTCTCACAGGTATGGCCACAAAGATTTTGTAATTATCCTCTTGAATTTGTGTATCAAAACAGAAACTGGATATATTTTTATATACTTTATATACTCCAAAGTGTTTTTTTTTAATTAAAAAAATATATAAAAACATTGTTTTTGCTCATTCTGACTCCCTTGTGGGAAAGAAGATGATCTCTTAATGTTCACCCAGATGCTTTTCACATTTCCTTCTCTTCTTCCCTTTGTTGCCCAGAACTACTGAGCACCGAATCAGACCTCCGAGTTAGGAGGACACAGGTGTGGGGGTGTGGAGTCTCACAGCAACTGGGGTGTTCCTGAAAAAGACTCCAGCTTAACAGGGTAGGGCAGGAGAAGGGAAAGGCCATTCTCCATCCCCTCTGAAAACATCCCGTTGTCCTACAGATCACTGACAGTTCCACTGATGTTAGTCATACTCAGAATAGACTCAAGTTTCTGCAGCGCATTGATTTCAGTGGGTCTACTCAGCACATGCCCTAGTTGGATATCACCCACGGGGTTCAATAGGATTTGCTCCTATGTGTGTATAGGATTGCAACAACAAAAAAATCCTGGGTTTGGGGGCTAACTACAAGCCCTGAAGCTAAATAAAGAATTTGCCAAATAACAGGAAGTTTTTGAAGAAGGTGGAGCTTCGGATTTTCCCCATTCTCCCTCTCCCGAAACCTCCCTGTACACCGTAGGTATGATTTTTAACCTTGTGGTAAACTGTTGGGAGATGAGAGAGAGCAATCAGGGGTTTAGACGAGGCAGGCAGGAAGGCAGCTGCTTGTCAACACTCAAAAAAACGTTATGCCCAACCCTTACGCCCTCTGAAAAGAGCCCACCAGCACAGCAGGCCCAGCCCTGGCCTTGCTGCTGTGATAGGGCTTATCAGTGTGGCAGCAAGCACCTCTGTAACCGTTATCAGGGATGCAGCTTGCAAAAAGTGGCAGGAGACCAACCCACCGCTTGCTGATGTTGGGCAAGCTCCAGAACAGAACCAGCATAGGCCCTTGTTTCTGGGAGAGGGGAAGCCCTTTTCCCTGTTCCGTGAGATGCTTTTGGGGGGCGCATTGCAATGGTCCCCTGTGGCTCTGCTTTGGGCTGGTTCATGAGTCACGTCCAAACAGGCAGCTTAAGCCCAGCTGTGGTCTGTTGCAGCTCAGGCCTCACCTTCCAATAAAGTTTCCCTGGCCGCTCCAGTATTTCACCAGAACTGCCTTTAGAACTGCAGGCCCTTTGAGAAAAGAAAATGGCTTGAATCCAATGGTCTGTTGAGGAAGTGGAGCACACCGCAGGCTGCATGTTGTTTCTGGGAAAGCTATGGGGCTGCATCTGGTGAAGAGGGGTGTGAAACCTACAACAGTCCCCCTTCCTGTGTCTGTGGCTCCAGTACAATGGGACACAGGTGGCACTGTGGTCTAAACCACTGAGCCTCTTGGGCTTGCTGATCAGAATCATAGAATCATAGAATCATAGAATCATAGAGCTGGAAGAGACCACAAGGGCCAGCGAGTCCAACCCCCTGCCAAGCAGGAAACACCATCAGAGCACTCCTGACATATGGTTGTCAAGCCTCTGCTTAAAGACCTCCAAAGAAGGAGACTCCACCACACTCCTTGGCAGCAAATTCCACTGTCGAACAGCTCTTACTGTCAGGAAGTTCTTCCTAATGTTTAGGTGGAATCTTCTTTCTTGTAGTTTGGATCCATTGCTCCGTGTCCGCTTCTCTGGAGCAGCAGAAAACAACCTTTCTCCCTCCTCTATGTGACATCCTTTTCTATATTTGAACATGGCTATCATATCACCCCTTAACCTCCTCTTCTCCAGGCTAAACATGCCCAGCTCCCTTAGCCGTTCCTCATAAGGCATCGTTTCCAGGCCTTTGACCATTTTGGTTGCCCTCCTCTGGACACGTTCCAGTTTGTCAGTGTCCTTCTTGAACTGTGGTGCCCAGAACTGGACACAGTACTCCAGGTGAGGTCTGACCAGAGCAGAATAGAGTGGCACTATTACTTCCCTTGATCTAGATGCTATACTCCTATTGATGCAGCCCAGAATTGCATTGGCTTTTTTAGCTGCCGCATCACACTGTTGACTCATGTCAAGTTTGTGGTCAACCAAGACTCCTAGATCCTTTTCACATGTACTGCTCTCAAGCCAGGTGTCCCCCATCTTGTATTTGTGCCTCTCATTTTTTTTGCCCAAGTGCAATACTTGCCCAAGGTCGGCGGCTGATCAGAACCTCAACGGGGTGAGCTCCCATTGCTCTGTCCCAGCTCCTGCCAACCTAGCAGTTTGAAAGCACGCCAGTGCAAGTAGATAAATAGGAACCACTGCGGCAGGAAGGTAAACGGCGGCAGGAAGGTAAACAGTGTCCCGTTGCACCAGAAGCGGTTTAGTCATGCTGGCCACATGACCCAGAAAGCTGTCTGTGGACAAACACTGGCTCCTTCGGCCTGAAAGTGAGATGAGTGCCACAACCCCATAGTCCCCTTTGTCTGGACATAACCGTCCAGCGGTCCTTTACCTTTTTACCTTTACAATGTGATGCACATGGTGGGATGCAAAACGGCTCAAGCCACCATAGGAAACACAGCAGAAGTTACAGGGTATAGAATGTCCTTTCAGTTCATCATGCGCCCATTACAGAACAGGCGATCGGGACATGATGCTACGTATTGCTGAGACTGTTTTCAGACTAAGCGGATATAAGGAGCAGAGAGGGGAACACGGCGACTTCCTGGTGTTGAAGTCCAAATTCTTGCAGTGCTCAAGTGCACTGCAAGTGCTCACGTTTTGCTCCAAAGCCAACCAAGCTCTGGTTAGTGCACCCAACCGTGCCTGCCATGTGCAAACATGGCTTCTTTTGCAGCTTGCATTGCATCCTGCTACCTTTGAAGGTGACCCAGAAACTACAACTAATCCAGAATGTGTCACCTAGACTGGTTACTGGGAGTGGCCGCCGAACCCATATAACACTGATCCTGAAAGGGCTCCCAATATGTTTCCAAGCACAATTCAAAGTGTTTGTGCTGACCTTTAAAGCCCAAAACAGCCTTGTCCCAGTATACCTGAAGAAACATCTCCACCCCCATCGTTCAGCCCGGACACTGAGGTCCAGCTCCGAGGGCCTTCTGGCGGTTCCCTCACTGCGAGAGGCAAAGTTACAGGGAACCAGGCAGAGGGCCTTCTTGGTAGTGGCAGCTGCCCTGTGGAACACCTTCCCAACAGATGTCAAGGAAATAAACAACTATCTGACTTTTAGAAGACATCTGAAGGCAACGCTGTTTAGGGAAGTTTTTAATGTTTGATGTTTTATTGTGTTTTTAATATGCTGTTGAGAGCTGCCCAGAGTGGCTGGGGAAACGCAGCCAGATGGGCGGGGTACAAATAATGAATTATTATTATTATTATAGCTAGGCAGTTATTTTGGGTGGTGTGGCTTACTGATTCATGGTGAGTGCCGTCCTGGAGCTGTTCCCTGCTGCCTTGAAAGAGGTGATGGAGTTGCCACTCCTAAAGGAACTGGTCCTGGACATCTTAGACCGGGATAACTACTGACCAGTCACAAATACCCTTGGTTGAGAGAAGGTGGTGGGGAGACTAGTGGCTGGGCAGCTGCAAGCATGTGGCAAATTGATCCTGCAGATGGTGCTGCTCTACCCTAAAACACAGTGGCACTGAAACCATGAAGACAGGCACCAGCACCAGGACCAGTGCAGGGCAGCAATATGAGCGGTGTACCCAAATCAAGCCCCATGTGTTATATTTCACCCCAGGGGAGCACATTTACAAGAGTGAACAAACCCAGAGGGAACACAAGGGATTTCTCACATCGTGGTGCACTGAATGCGTGCCATGCACTAGGTCACAACTCCCTAGGAAGAGCATGTGCTTTGTGTATGCTTTTGACTATTCTGGGAAGCAAACATGAGACATGACAAACATACAGAAAACACCCCACCACTTGTGTGCAATTGACTTGCACGCAACTGCACATATGTGCCTTGCCAGGAAATAACTAAATAATTCAATACTAACCTGGAATGGTGGGAGAGTCCTAGTGACTCACAATGAGACCCTCCCCAGAGTCCAAAGTCCAGGGGAGAAAATGCTCCAAGGACTCCAAAAAGGTGTGCAGGAGCTATCACTGCAACAGCTGTTGGGCAGGAAACTGTACTCACCCTGCTTATGTGCATTTCGCTTATGAGCACTGATGCTCAGAATGTAAGCCCCACATTAGTGGGGAATCGCCTGTATGTGAAAGACCCAACACCACTTTCCCTATCTGCTGTAGTGTAACCAACATAAAATAGGTCAACGGAGGGATAGAGATCTCTCTCTCTTTATTTGCTCAAGGTAACACAGTGGGAAGAATCCAAGAGGCACTTTTGCTCACCCACTCACAGGTAACTGTACACATCTTCCCCCCAGGTCACGCTCTGAAAACCATTTCCCTCACACCATACAACTGGGTTTTTAAAAGACGAAAAAACAAACCCACCCAGAAGTGTGAGATTTAATCTCTTGGTGTTCTGTTTGCCGAGTCTTAGGGCCTTGCTTCCTTCCAGGGCTTTTCTCTGGAACTGGCAAAGCAAGAAAGGTACATTTCACATTTGCGATTGGAGGTGCAGCCAGTCTCCGGTGTAAGCAGAGAAGATGGGAAGCTGAAATGACTCTATAGTACAGCACTGGAACTTGCTGCTCGTCAAAAAACAACAACAACCTCTCAGCCCAAAGCTGGGAAGAAACAAACAACAAACTGGAGTAAGAAAGATGTTATCACCTGGGATGTGAACGTATGCGTTTGGGTCAGAGGTAGTTGATTACCTGAACACAAAAATGACTCAACTAAGGACCACCAGAGGCCTAAAGATTGGGAGCCGAGAAAATAATGGGCTTAAGTCTCAGGGGGTCGATCGCTCCTCGAAGCTGTGCACCCATCAACTTCCCCTTCGCACGGAAGCAGAGAAATCCTCATGTCCCCTTGTGGATCGAATCTCACCAGCCATTCTTGGTCCTTAGTGCCCGGCTGGGAGAGACGTGCTCTAATCAGCTTGGTGATGCCCTGGCTACCTGAATCAGCAATCTCCTCTGTGCTCGGATGCAGCCAGCACTGGGCTGGGAAGTAGCGCTCAATTGCTGAGAAATACTCCGCTTGTTCCCCAGCTTCTCCAGAAAGCCTCATGGAAACGACGAGCTTGCAGCCTGCAGCAGACTCCACGGGGAGCTTCTGGCTGAAATGGTTCGCTGTGTCCAGCAGCAAAGCCACAAGCTGAGCTGCCATCGCTGGGCTGGAGCAGCTGCCCAAGTATTCCTCCAAGCCATCCAGAACGACTAGGGAGAGGGAGCAGGAAAAAGTTTCATGTAGGGAGGCCACCAGCTGAAGCAGCTCCCGGAACGATGGCGGGTACAGGAAGTGGATTCTCTAGGAGTTGAAAGGGAAGAGTGTTAATGGCCAATTCGTAGGAATGAATAAGCCACACTACAGGCCAGGGCAGTGGTTGCCTCACTTGCATATTACTTTGGTAATATGGCCATAAAAAGGTAAAGGGGCCCCTGACCATTAGATCCAGTCGTGACCGACTCTGGGGTTGCGGCGCTCATCTCGCTTTATTGGTCGAGGGAGCCGGCGTACAGCTTCCGGGTCATGTGGCCAGCATGACTAAGCCGCTTCTGGCGAACCAGAGCAGCGCATGGAAACGCCGTTTACCTTCCCACCTATTTATCTACTTGCACTTTGACGTGCTTTCGAACTGCTAGGTTGGCAGGAGCAGGGACTGAGCAATGGGAGCTCACCCCGTCGTGGGGATTCGAACCACCAACCTTCTGATCAGCAAGTCCTAGGCTCTGTGGTTTAACCCACAGCACCACCTGCGTCCCTAATATGGCCATAGCTGTCAATTTCCTCTTTTTAAAAGGGAAATTCCCTTATTTCAAATAGGATTCCTCACAAGAAAAGGGAAACATTGACAGCTATGAATATGGTACCCTGAGCAAGGACAAAATTTGGTGCTCCCCCCCAAATATTATTATTTTGCATCCCCTCGACTCCATGCCCCCGGGGGGGGGGCGGGGAACCAACTGCACAATCCTAAACCCCCATAGCAGGAGTCGAGGGAATGCAAAATAATATTTGGGGAGGGGCACCAATTTTTGTCCTTGCTCAGGGCGCCATATTACCATATTTGTCCCCTGGTGCAGCAGTGGACTTCGGCCTTTCAAATTTCAGTGGCACCTTGAATGAGGACAAAATGTGACACCCACCCCAAAAAATATCTCTTATTTTCACAATAATTCATTTTGGTACAGCTGCTTTTTTTTTATTAATCTCAGTAGGGACCCACATAAATACTGTATAGGTATTTTTGTTGTTGTTACTCACTCCCTCAGCTGAGCGCCCTTTGCGCGGGAGTCGCCGCCCACCGCGCCCTAAATCCGGTCCCGCAATCTGGCCTCATGGGTGGGCTGCTGGCCCACCTACCCACTCGCCCACCCACCTGGATGGCTCCGGCTCCGGCTGCATCTGCGCCCCCGGCCGGCAGGCGCTCCAGAGGCCGCGGCGCCAAGAAAAGCGCGCGAGCCCGCGAGGAGGAGGAGGAGGAAGCGCCCAGCAGCGCCGCGCGGAACGAGAGCGCCGAGCGCCCCGAGCCAGCGGGACCCAGCAGCAGCAGCGCCGGCCGCGGCAGGAGGAGGAGGAGGAGGCCAGCCGGGTCGGCGCCCGGAACCGGCTGCTGCTGCTGCTGCTGCAGCGTCGACATGGCCAGAACCGGCGACCGGGTGGCGCGCGCGCGCCTTTGCCGAGGGGAAGCCGCAGAGAGTGGGCGCGGCGGCGGCGACAGCCAATCGGCGGCGCAGCGGCTGTGGATCGCTCCGCTTTGGTGGCTGGGCTGGCTTCGCAGCCGCGTGGGAACGTCTCCTAGATGCGAGAGGCAGCTGGATTCGGGGGATCGGGGGTGGTTTTTTTGTTTGCCTCGTGCAACTGATCCTTTCTGAACGGGGTGGGGGGAGAGACAGGTCGCCAAATCGGGACATCGACACCGCGCTCCTTTTACGCACGAGCCGCCTCTCCTTGGATTGGGGTCTTTTTGGCACAGCGGCGATCTCATTGCTGCCCGCCCTTAAGGAGCTCCGACTTCGCTAATATGGCGCCCTGGGCGAGGCCAAAATTGGCGTCCTCCTTTAAAAGATGTATTCTCACAATAATTCATTTTGGTACGGTAGCTTTTCTTTACGTATAAATATAGGGTGTTTGTTTGTTTGTTTTTAGTAGTAGTAGAATTCGTAATAGTATTTTGCGCCTGCTCGGCTTGCCACCCTGTGCAGGGAACCGCCCCCACTGCCCTCAATCCGGCGCTGCCATTATTTTTGTTTATTCAGCTCCTAGCTGGTCTCATCAAGAATTCGGAGCAGGTAGTGGTTAGGCTGCTAATACCAGGTAACCGAACCCCGATTTGGAATAGCGTGCTGCGGCACCTGCAAGAGTTGCGCAGGGTCAAGGTCTGGTGAGCAGATGGTGCCTAGCTAGAGTTGGTCAGGTTGGCCCCCATGATATGGGTGCAAAAATCGCGCCTCTGCACTGCTTCATGCCTGGGCGGCGGGGCAAGGCGCGCAGGCTCTTCGCGTGGGCAGTCGCAGCAGCCCTAGGGGACCCCCTTCCCAGTCAAGCTACAGCGCTATTTATTAGAAGTGCGACTTTTTTCGAGTTTCTGGACCATGGACTGTCCCAGACTTTCGCTGAGAGGTTTGGAGGTAACTGATTGACGGCTTTCTAACGGCTCCTAAGGCAGGAGGAAAATACTGGAGATTGCTTCGTTGTTCTGGCCTTCTATTCGTTTCTTTAAGGTGATATCCCACTTTCTCCATAGGAGATTAGTTGCTGTGAAAGTCTGCAGCAAAACCAACCCATTATTGTGGTGGGAATACAAGGCACAAGGAAGTGAAAGGCAAACCCGGATTTGAGGAATGTTGCCTGCTTTTCAGGTGCATTTATATATCTGCTCAAGTTATCATATTAAAGATGGTTGAAATGAGCTTGTCTTGATTGTATGTATACTTGGTTGTTTTTTTTAAAAAACCTTATCTAATGGACAAATAATAAAGTTATAAACTACCATGTTCAGTATTGTTGAAATGAGCTTGTCACAATCATATGCACCCTCAAATAAAAAAAGAAATCTAAGAACAAGTTAAAATTTAAAATTGTAGAATGCTCATACATTGCATTGATCACCACCTTTTTGTTTTGCTCTGAACATCCCAGGGGGAGGGGGTCTTGAACCCACCCACCCACTGCTACCCTTCATAGGAAGGAGCCTTGTCATACGGCAAGCAACGCAGGGGTGGGGGGTATCTCTTGCCCAGCAGGGTCCTAGAAGAGAACACACTCTTCGCACCCATCCCTACGATGATTTGGGTGGAGGTGTAAATCACAAAACAGGCCCATCATATTTATTTAACGTCAGGACTTAGTTTTGGGATGTATAAAATAGATTTTGGTCTAAACCACAGAGCCTAAGGCTTGTTGATCAGAAGGTCAGTGGTTCGAATCCCTGCAATAGGGTGAGCTCCCGTTGCCTGGTCCCTGCTCCTGCCAACCTAGCAGTGCGAAAGCACATCAACGTGCAAGTAGATAAATAGGTACCGTTCCGGCGGGAAGGTAAACGGCATTTCCGTGCGCTGCTCTGGTTCACCAGAAGCGGCTTAGTCATGCTGGCCACATGACCCGGAAGCTGTACGCCGGCTCCCTCGGCCAGCAAAGCGAGATGAGCACCACAACCCCAGAGTCGGCCACGACTGGACCTAATGGTCAGGGGTCCCTTTACCTTTACCTTTAAAGTAGATTTATCAGGATCATGTGAAGCTGCCTTAGACTGAGTCAGTTCACTGGGCCGCCTTCTAATTTGACAGGCAGCTGTTCTTCAAGCAGAGAGAGCAGGTGCAGAATTCAGTGGCCAGATTGATTGGGGCAGGGTGGTCCTGGTATGACTGCACTGGTTACCAGTTAGTTTCTGGGCTCAGTTCAAGTGCTGGTTTTGTCCTAAAGCCATATGTAACCCCAATACCTTCCACTGTAAGTGGATTCAGTGGCATGGCTGTCCTGCTTCTGCAGGTAGTAAATAGCTCTCAGGGCTAGTAGCCATCGTTGGGCCTTACCAACTACCTAACCCAGCCTTTCTCAACCTGGGGTCCCCAGACGGACTATAGCTCCCATCATCCCTAGTTAGCAGGACCAGTGGTCAGGGATCATAGAATCATAGAATCATCGAGTTCAACCCCCTGCCAAGCAGGAAACACCATCAGAGCACTCCTGACATATGGTTGTCAAGCCTCTGCTTAAAGACCTCCAAAGAAGGAGACTCCACCACACTCCTTGGCAGCAAATTCCACTGTCGAACAGCTCTTACTGTCAGGAAGTTCTTCCTAATGTTTAGGTGGAATCTTCTTTCTTGTAGTTTGGATCCATTGCTCCGTGTCCGCTTCTCTGGAGCAGCAGAAAACAACCTTTCTCCCTCCTCTATGTGACATCCTTTTATATATTTGAACATGGCTATCATATCACCCCTTAACCTCCTCTCTCCAGGCTAAACATGCCCAGCTCCCTTAGCCGTTCCTCATAAGGCATCGTTTCCAGGCCTTTGACCATTTTGGTTGCCCTCCTCTGGACACGTTCCAGTTTGTCAGTGTCCTTCTTGAACTGTGGTGCCCAGAACTGGTGAGGTCTGACCAGAGCAGAATACAGTGGCACTATTACTTCCCTTGATCTAGATGCTATACTCCTATTGATGCAGCCCAGAATTGCGTTGGCTTTTTTAGCTGCCGCATCACACTGTTGGATCGTGGCAGTTGTAGTCCAACATCATATGGGGACCCAGGATTGAGAAAGGGTGGTCTAATTTTCCGAAGTTGGTGACCATCATGGTATCTTTTTTGGTAGCACATTTCATTATTTGCTTATTTATTTATTATATTCATCTCCCAAGGAGCTCAGCTTATTGAACATAGTTCTCCTTACCATTTATCCCCAGAAGAATCTTGTGACGTAGACTAGGGTTAGTGGCTGGCCCAAGATCACCCAGTGAGCTTCCTGCCTCAGTGGGGATTTGAATTCTGGTCTCCCAAGTCTTAGTCTGTTGCACCACACTGGCTCTCAATAAGTTAGCTTATGTGCTATATAGAAAAAGTGCTTCTTTTTATCTGTCCTTGAATCTTTTACCATTCAGCTTCAGTGGATGGCGCCAGGTTCTAGTACAGTGGTACCTCGGGTTACAGACACTTCAGGTTACAGACGCTTCAGGTTACAGACTCCGCTAACACAGAAATAGTACCTCGGGTTAAGAACTTTGCTTCAGGATGAGAACAGAAATCGCACGACGACGGCGCAGCAGCAGGAGGCCCCATCAGCTAAAGTGGTACTTCAGGTTAAGAACAGTTTCCAGTTAGGAACGGACTTCCAGAACGAATTAAGTTCTTAACCTGAGGTACCACTGTATTACAGGAGAGAGAGAAAAACACTCCATTTTCTCCATGCCACGAAAAATCTTAATGCACCTTAACCATGCCCAGTTGCCTTTTTAAACAAACTAAGAAGCCCCAAATACTGTAACCAGGGTTTTCCCCCCAGCTGGAACTGACAGGAACTCAGTTCAGGTACCTCTCAGGTGGGCATCATTGCCATTATAAGAGAACAAGGGAGGCATTCAAGGTGAGTTCTAGCACCTCTTTTTTCTTAGGAAAAAAAGGACCGGTTGTAACTCTCTTCTCACTGAGGAGTTGCCCTCGAGTCTGCAATTCCTTGGGATTTCTCCTTGCCCCTCTCCAAGGGCGCAGGCTGCCCTCCTGCGCAGATATATAGTTCACCTGTTTTCATTCTGACTTTGTGTTTCAGAGGTCATTTTGAGACATGAGGGGCAGGCAACAAGGGGCTTAATTAAAACATTTAGCAGTTACTAAATGCTGGTGCTTTCAGCGGACCAGTGCCACCATCTGCTGCAGGCTTGGCAGTGCTGAGGCATGGAGATGCATGCAAACCCTCACCATCTGTCGAGTGCGAAAGGCGTGCATGAGGATGGGGAGGGAGGGCTGAGGTTCCTCCTGCGCACGGCAAGGTAGGAGCTGGATTCTTCTTGGTGCTTGACTTAAAGGCAGGTGTGATGGCCTGGGAATCTGATTCAGAAGCTGAATCTGAGGAGTCCCAGCCTGCACAGGAATCCCCACCTCCAGGGCCGGCTGAGCCAGGGCAGGGGCTTGAACCTGAAGGGCCTTCACCTGTGCTGGATCCTCAGGAGCAGACACCAGCTGAATCCGCTCTGGCTCCGGAGGTGATCGAGGACCCGCTGCCTGCAGGTGCGCCTCTCCCAGCCCTGTCAGGGGAAGGTGAAGCTGCCCTTGGGTCCAGTAACCCTCCAGTCTCTCCTGAGCTGCAGAGGCTCAGGGCAGAGAGGCGGAGGGAACTGGGTTCTCTCAGGAGGAGTGCTCGCCTTAAGGCCAGGAGAGGCAGGTCACCTGTGGGCCAGTCAGCCCAGATAAAGGCCAGTCAGCCCAGTCCCAGGTTGCGGGAACAACGACGTTGGAAACCTGTTTCTGCCAGCACCCAGACCTGTTTCTCCGGAGTTCCCGACCACGCCCGGCTTCTTGCTTTGGACCCCACTTCCCCCTTAGTGGGCAGTCTCCAGACCCTCGGCCCAGGACCGGACTTTGACCACGCCTCACGGTAACCTCCCCCGGGACCAGCACAGCAGGTGGGGGAAAGAGTCAGGTCTTCTTGCTTTAGATACTATTCTGCTAGATCCTAGGCACAGAGGAGCCACCTGAGATGTCAGCAGCAGCTACCACCATATGATGGTAGCTCCGCTATGAGCGAAAGTTTGGGGGCTTTTTAGTTGAAGAAGGAGAAGAGTTTGGACTTGATATCCTGCCTTTCACTCCCCTTAAGGAGTCTCAAAGCAGCTAACAATCTCCTTTTCCCTTCCGTGAGGTGAGTGAGGCTGAGAGACTTCTGAGAAGTGTGACTAGCCCAAGGTCACCCAGCAGCTGCATGTGGAGAAGCGGGGAAGCGAACCCGGTTCACCAGATTATGAGTCCACCGCTCTTAACCATTACACCACGCTGGCTCTCGAGAAAGAGAAGCAAGTAAGGGAGGCAGAAGACAAAATAAGCAGCCCTTTGATCCAAATTCTCAACTTACCAAGACCCAAGAGTTCAGTTGGGTCCAACTTTCTTGCAAGTGCTGAGCTTCTCCTCTGCACACGAGTATTTGACTAAATTGTTTTAAGTGTGCACTACATTATTTTAGGGACGTGGGTGGCGCTGTGGGTTAAACCACTGAGCCTAAGACTTGCTGATCAGAAGGTCAGTGGTTTGAATCCCCGCAACGGGGTGAGCTCCCGTTGCTCGGTCCCTGCTCCTGCCAACCTAGCAGTTCAAAAGCACATCAAAGTGCAAGTAGATAAATAGGTACCGCTCCGGCGGGAAGGTAAACAGCGTTTCCGTGTGCAGTTCTGGTTCGCCAGAAGTGGCTTAGTCATGCTGGCCACATGACCCAGAAGCTGTATGCCGGCTCCCTCGGCCAATAAAGCAAGATGAGCGCCGCAACCCCAGAGTCAGTCACAACTGGACCTAATGGTCAGGGGTCCCTTTACATTATTTTAAGTGTGCACTGTGCTACAATGTAAACCTAAAGGTGCAATACGGATGTCAACAAACACACATATCATATAAGTCTGCTTGGTCAGGGAGTGAGGATTGATGGACAGGGGCAGATCTAGGTTTGCCCTGTGAAATCACCCTTTGAACTAAAGGTCTTGCCAAGTCGACATCTCACACCAATGGGGTTGGCAGGCGTCTTGTCAACTCCCAGAAACTGTGGTTGCCCAGATAACATTTCCAGGTATTAAAAAGGGATGGGGGGGGCAGGAAGTGGGCATCATGTGCTATATGTGTGATTACCAGAGAAATGTCCTGGGTGTTGTGTCTATGACAGCAGCACTGCTGCCTTTACCAGGGCTGCCATACATTCCAGTTTTCCTGGAC